AAAAAGGCATACGGGCGCCAAATTGAGGACCTAGTACGCCACTACATCAATCACATCACAAAGCTAGAGTTCCTGCCGGCATTTAAAGCAGCATTCTACAACTCAATTACAAAGAGCAATATTTGCGCAAGCTTTCGAGGCGCAGGCCTTGTGCCGCTTGATCCAGAGGCAGTGCTCTTAAAGCTTGATGTTGTGCTTCGTACGCCGTCGCCTCCCGCCGTGGAGGCTCAATGGGAATCAAAAACACCAAGCAACGCTCTCGAGCTAGACTCTCAATCAGCCTTAATTCGTAATCGCATTCAAATGCATCAAAATAGCTCGCCTACAGCTATTCTTGACTCGCTTAATAGCCTCTCTAAAGGTGCTGCAATTATAATGCATAAAGCCACGCTGCTGCGCAATACAGTTGCCAGCCTTCAAAAGGCAAATGAAGCTGCCACAAAGCGCAAGGCGCGCAAAAAAAAGCGGATTCAGAGGGAAGGAACTCTAACAAAGGAAGCAGGCTCTCAAATAGCTGCTCAAAGAATCGAGGAGGCAGCTCAAAGCAAAAGGCAGCAAGCCGGAGCGCGCTCCGGCGGCGGCGTGCAGCGCTGTAGGCGCTGCGGCGAACCAGGGCACAACGCTCGTACGTGCAAAAAAGATGCAGAGGTTGCTGCAGATTAGGCTACAACTTGTATCTAGTTGATATCTATTGGCGTTGTGGAGCAATCAACGTTTAAGGCAGCTAAATATGATGAGGTGGCCGACTCGCTTGTGTGGCCGACTCGCTTGTGAAGTACGTTAGCAATTCTATATAAACTATTCTGAGATTTCTTTACGCTAAACTATTTCAGAAAAATCACTAGCTGGTTTAGGTAAAACTCAGCCTATTATGGAGTTCCTGGCGCTCCAGGAACTCCACAGCAATTTCTGTGGATGGAGTGGATTTGAGGTTAATTTAGTCTAGTCCAGTCTAGTCTAGTTCCATCACTGTTGTGACTGAGATGGACGAGTCGGTGCGCGCGTTCAGCGAGAGCCTGCCTACGTGTGTTGGCAGGAGCGTCCCTGGAGGCGGGCGAGAGGTGTACTTGGGGTTCTAGAGGATGGCGCTCGTGGTGGTGAGTTGGTTGGCGATGGCAAGAGGCGATGGCGGGGCTATTGCTGTGTTGGAGCGCGAGGCCGATGTGGAAGGGGGGGAAGTCGGGACTTCGTCAAGCCTATATCGGCTCGGTACGGCATGGTAGACATTCATCCAAGTTGTTGGTACAGTCGGAGTCTTGCGGTGTATAGTATCGATGATATCCGGGAACATGTGGCCAGCTACCGAAGGGCAAGGCAACGGGTGGGACAGTACCTTAATCTATATACCGGGAGCCGGATTGGCGCTCTCTACTATAGAAAATGGCTAATCTTGGCAAGACGTGTTATATAGGTATCTACTTACCTAGCAGCGTCTTAATTTTTAGTACCCACGGCTCGTCACTCGAGGAGGTTGATTCTGGCGGGCCGTCGCTAGCTGCTGCTTCACTAGTGACTGCTTCGCCAGCGACTGCTTCGTCAGCTGGAGAGGTTGTGCTCATCGGCGGACTCTCCAGGTTGGGATCGGGATTGTCTACCGCGCTGGGAGTGACCGTCTTGACATGTGATGAATCCCGCCAGTGAAGAGGGCCTGCTTCAGTTGGAGGAGTGATGACCGGAAGGTACTTGGGAAGTTGCTCCAGGATGCCCGGGACGTCACGATATCCATCGTTGACTGCGCCAAGAATTGAGACATGGTCCATCCTGTATTTCTCGTGCCATCTTTACGCCCACTCGGTATTCTCGTCAGAGCTCATTCGTATATGAGGATCTCGACCGCCGTCGCTGCCGTCCTGGACAATGGCCAGCTTCCGATTCGTCGTGTTTTGGATGGCCATCCGCATTGACTTGCCCGGAGCGTCCCCCTTGAACTTGCCCTTCTCATCGTTATAGAGTTTGACTCGGTTGTCCTCGGACCCGGTGGCCTCTGCGATCACATCATGGAAGAATGTCGCAGGGGCCTCCTCCATAACGGTGTCGAAGAAAGGGAGGTTAGGTAGGTGGTGCTGTTGTTCTTCCCGGTGCGCCGCTGCGCAGGCTACGTGCCTTCTTTGATCTCGTGTCGAGTAGTGACGGAATTGGAACGGAGAATTTCGAATTTGGAGCGGATGGAGGCGCTTTAATCCTTCTGGAGCGGATACTGGCTGGTTACTAGATAGAATGGACTGGAGGTCGTTGGGGCTACGGTAACTCCGATGAGGGTCGTTTGAACAAGTCCCTATTCGTAGTCTTCAGCTTCGCATGTCTCTCTTTGGCACGCTTCTGACGCTTCAGAAACTTGATACTCGTTGCTGAATTGGCCGCTGGGTTGCGAGGAGTCCTTTAGCATGCTCGTCCCAAGGCTCGGGGAAGGCTGGACTGGAGTGAAGGCCTGCGCGACTCTACTTCCGTCCAGTTCCAGCATCGGTCTTGAGGACTCCTGAGTCCTCAAGCAGTTCGTCATAAGCATAGCGACCCAAAGTAACATTGTGCTATCTAGTAGCCTCCGCACAATCTTCTGCAGTTGTACGTATGCCGCAGGATCGATGGGATGAGGTGTGTCATTGTCTTGTCTCACACTCGATTTCGATTTTGCGGAGCCCATAGGGCTCTCGGGTACGGGTAGTTCGGGCGGTTGTGCTTTCGACCAAACAGATGAACTTTTCTTTGCTGGTCGAGTACCCAAATTCGCCTTCATACTCGTTAATCTACCGTAGTTAGTAGATGCGCTTAGCATTTTCCGGCATATCTCCAGAGTGTCGGCTTCTTGTAATGGCTGCGAAAGATTAGAGCATCCCAATGGCAGGGAAGTCGAATGCACCTACAGCTAGAATTTGCCATCAATAATTTTCATGTGGCTCCTTTCTCAGCAACCTTTGCTCTACAGATGCGCTTCGCCTTCGCGTCGCTGCTTTCTTTCTCTCAAGGGTCTGAGAGTCCGAACTTATGATCCCAGCAACTCAGCGGAGTGGCCTAGGCTTGAGCTTCATATAATATCGTCCAACATGTTGCTGTCGAACTGCATTGCCAGCGGCCGTTGAATGCCCGATAGCGGTGGCGAGGAGATGACGAAGTGTCGCAGGCAACCCATCGATACAAGCTATCGTTGTTCACAGGCGTGCAAGCGACTGGTATCAGCGGTCAGAAATGCTCGTCAGGAGCAGGGTTACGCTGCCGGTCTGAGAGCCATCTGATCCCAGGAAAGTGACTGACATTCCCTCTTCAGCTATTCTTGCTTTCCTTTCACGTGCTGGCTCTCGCCGGTATTCAATGGCGCGACAGCGCTCTGAGTTGAGTGCTTCAACGGGCTTTTGAGCGGACTCAGGCGCAGTTGAGAACACACGGCTTGCGGCGATCTGCGTCCTGTGCTTCCTGTCCATCCATTTGATTGTTCGGTGGTCCGAACCGGGTTCAATTGTGGGTTCGGCTTTCGCTGTCGTCCCCGCTGTTGTTACCGCTGTTCAGAATTATGGGTGTCGTTCGCGGCTCGAAACCACCTGAGAATATAAGTGGCGCTACGGTGGATATGTGGGCATGAGGTGGCCTGTTCGTAAACATCAGAGGAAGTTTAGAAACTTTGGATGAACTTGTTGTCGCGGAGGCAGACATGGGCCTGCTCCGTAGACGAGACCAGGTGCGTCCCCTTGAAGCACGTCTTGAAGCTTCTGAAAAGGGGGACTTACTTTTGAAGGCTCCGGGGAGCTAGGCGGACGTAGTGAAAACATGAGGACGCAGCCGAGTGACCTCTCGAGAAACAGCGTTGCCATGGACGCGGCCGACATAGGGAGGAGTTCGCTGTGGAGGTTTAGCCGTACCGTGATCATGCTGCTGCCGCTGAGTGCGCAGGATGCTCTTGCTCACGTTCGTCGCGATCGTGGAGACCGTAGTCTCATTGGTCTCTAAAAGGCTGGTGTGAGACTCTGCTGGCAGCTTGTAATCTGCGCGATATCCCGCTAGTATCCATGACAGGGGAAAATGAACCGGGTGCGCCTCCAATGAACCAAATGAAGCGTCGATTGCCGGGCGGGTGAGTTCTCTCATTCAACGATAGAGTCGCGCAAAGAGGTGGGCAAAACTGTCTGCGTGCGGCGCAGGCAACCGAGGAGGTGAATGGTTTGTCCTGTAGACGCAAGAGATACACGGTTTGAATGGATTTGTGAGATGTTGAGCGCGGTTTTGCCAATCCATAGCGCGGTGGGCGAGGAGGAAATGCGGAGCACATCACGTGTAGAAGTCACTTTTTGAACTCAGTTCTCGCGGCGGGGATGTCCAAAGATACATGCAAAGTTTATGCATGCCACTTATCATAATGCAATAAAATGAGCAGTTGGCACTGAGGTCAGCGTAGTTCATTTTGTAGGAAGCGTGGAGCGCAGTCTATAAACATGAGATGTTAGCTGTAAATGTGCACCGGCTTATTCTAAGTAGTAAAAGAAACCCAAAGCTGTCGGAGCGTTCGCTGAAATGCCCGTGATCACATGCTGGGCGTGAAATCTGAAAGTGGGGCGGCCTCTGTGGTGGTATATATTTGCTCTAAATTCAACTCACTTCGCCTTCGGGCATTTGGTCACATCGTAACAACACAGAGAAGATTAGCATGGCCCCTGCACTAAGGATGACACGCTTTATCAAAGTGAGCTTACGAATTTTTTTTTGGGGTTCGATTCGCAGAGAGGGTGAATCTTTTTTGGCCGTAAATAGTTTTTGGACCCCAACCACCGTTTACACTAGAGATGAGAGCTGTAGGACTCTCTCTCCTGTCTATAGAGTCTCTTGGAGGAGTGTCAATGTGAATATGTGTACTTCCCCCCGAGAAGGAGGCGTTCGCTCTCGACCGTAACCGCTGCATGCCAACCCGCCGCCTGCCAACCTGCCACCAACGATCCCTATTTGTAACGACGGCCTATCGGTCTACTACATGCATCTATTTCACATCGCTACGGAGTAACTATCATTTAATTCGCCGCCTTCAATGCCGGGTCCTGCGAAGTAGATCGTTATCCTGGCTGGTCGCCGGCCGGGCCCAACCCTTAGCAGCGTCACTTCAACACCACTCCCGCCGAAATGCCTCTGCTCCAGCCTACCTCTCCGCATTTACATTTTTTCTATAGTAATAACCTACAACGTTGCCGATCCGACCTCGCTACTGTCCGACCTCGCCTTGGTTCGATAGAGCGATGCCCCCAAAGACTGCCGAGCCGCCACCGTCACTTCAACATCACACCCGTCAGCCGACAGCATAACCGCACGCAGCAGCTCTATCATCACCCCGGAGATGCTCTCCACTTCATCAGAAACATCGTCAGGCGTCAGGACAGCCCTACATCATGTAGACCTGGGATGGACCCACCGGCTGTCCCGCTACCGCCTTCGTCTTCCCGCCTTCTCTCTTTCAACGTCACCACCGCATTGAATGCCCCACGCTGTCTTCGATACCTCTCGATCACTCTTTCTAGTCACTGCAAGCTACACGTAATGTCGCCAGCTGTTTGCCTGTCCACATGCTTCTGGCGCTCTGACTGGCAAGTCCCTTCATATCCACCGGATCTCATCGCAAACCAGGCCTCATATCCCACGGCTCAGCGCATCAGAGACATAGGGAACCAGAACGCGAGAATGGTTTCATACGGCTTTCACAAGCGTCCCTCGCTCTCTACAGCTTCCGGAACGTCACTACCACGATCACCTAGGGGTGTCGTCGAACTCCCAGATTTGCCCACTCATCGTCAGAGAACGAGAGGCGGGCCCGCGAAGAACTAGACAGCACGCCGGAGGCACTACACTGGGTTTATAGACCCGGCGTTGGCGAGGAAACACAAGCGCAATCCGTGATTAGAGTCCGCAAACGACCGTCAAGACCAGAGCCATCTTCGACTGCCCCAGGCGCTGACACAAGCTACTTTGGACCGACCCCAGACACTCCTGGTAATCCCTTCGAATATCGCGACTGCGAACCCACCACGAAAGTCTCTCCTCTCCCCACACTCGGCTCCCATACCGGAACTCTCTACGGCGTATCACCGACCAGCGCGTCGAGACCGCCTTCAAGCCCAATTCACTGCAGCTCTAGCACTATGAGCTTGAGCGGACAACCAGCTTTACCAGCGCTAGGTAGAAAGATCTCAACATCTTCCTCGCGCAACAGCGACTCACTGGTTACTCCATGACGAGCCCTTTCACAATCGTCGATGTCACGAAGCGCCGCAGCTTTAGTGTACACCATAGTTGCGCGGGTGAGGGTAGGGGCAGATCGAAGGATATGGCATTGGGAGGACTTGCTGACTCCCGCTGCCATCGATCGTACCCACTGCTAGCATCTCTTGGATTGTCTCGCCGAGCTCCCCTAGCTGTTGCGGTGGAGTCCTTTGAGGGGACAGCCCGTCCACACCGTGTCGCTTTCCCCGCCGCGTCACTGGAGACAGTCGATAGTTTTAGGCCAATATGAACGTAAGACACTCACTCTTCACCTACTTACCCTTCACCTTGACGTTGTGGAGACCTCACTTATCACATCTCACCCGTTAATCGTCTCTGGACACCGGAGTGCTTGAGCTGATATTTTGCAAGTTCCTCAGGAATTACCCCGGTCGTCGGCCATCCGGCTGCAACTCGGATACCCTCTTCAGAATCCGAACAAGGCCCTCAACTAAGCGATGGGCTGGATTTGACGGAGCTTTTACGAAGACAATAACCTTACTATCGAGATCATGGATGGTGTCGTCTGGGTGTCTGACTATCAGGGCGACCTTAAGCTCGTCCGACCATCGCTACGGCCCGCCGTCCCGCTACAGTCGCGGGCAAGCCGTGCCAGATCTTGCGGAAGGAGAGCAAGGTAAAGAAGAAGAGGCGAGACCGGCAGAGCTGCCACAGGCGAGTGCAATAGTGGAGTGTGGACGAGATCGTGAGGGAGTGAGGGAATAGGGGAAGACATGGGTGAGGTTCCGGCGGGAGAGTGAGGCTGGTGACACCCCCCGACGTTCGTAAAGAAGGCCTCCCCGACGACATTATCCAAATCTTCGCAAAGGTGTAGCCGTAAGCGGGAGAACACAAAGAGGTCAAAGAACAACTGGGCGTTGTGGGGATGCTGGGGAAGCTGGGGCGAGAGGAGAAGCCGAAGTTCGATTTATCTTCGATCGTCGAGAGATATATCCTACCAACCAACGTCTCGAGTTTGCCGAATGCTTCTCTTCACTAACCGCTTGATCCTGACAGTTTGTCTGAGCGAGCTCTCAGTGAAGGGATCGCCGTTGTTCGTATACTGGACCGAGACTGCAGCTGAAAGTTTCATAAACCAGGATTTGAGACCAATCCTAGACCCCTCCGACGGCCTAACAAATCATCTTCTGCGGTTTCGCATCCCGTATCAGGGTCCTTCCTCGCCCAGTTTCTAGCGCTCGACATCAGCTAGCGCTTCGCGACCGAGCGGTTAACTTCTTAAGACGATGGTACTCCCCCCCAGTTCCGGCTTCCTTAAACTAGTTCTTAGTCAATATACTGCAGCCCAGACGTTTAGTAGCTTCTCTAAGGTTCCGCGCGGAACGCCGAGCTCGACCTCACCAATCCACATTATCAAATCCCTAGAGCACGCCGGAGGAGTTGCGGGACACAGCTAGTTTCTACAACCGGTTGAACGACAAAGGTCGCGGTAGAACTTCGTCCCCTGATGGAAGGTCAAGCATCCTATACCGTCCACGAGATCTTCTGGCAGGAGGATGATACTGCTCGTTAAGCGAGGAAGGTCCTAGTAAAAAGGTCCTGGCGCAGACATCTAAAGGAGCAGCCTCCGCGGCTTCAGGCATACTGGGAACTTGAAAATGTGCCAACCGGCCAATACGTCAAGCCACCCATCTATCCAGATCCTACAATTCACGCTCTGACGCGAACGTAGAATAGGTGTTCCTTAAATCTCACCTCTCTGGTTCAATTCTTCGTCACACGCAACAACCTCTCACTTCATTGCCATCAAAGTGTTATTCGAAACTGCCGAGAAGCTCAACAAGCTGCTCGAGGACGACGTACTTAAGATCCACTTTCACCGGTTTCAAGGAGAAATACATGGTAGGAGACCGCGTCGTGGGGGAAGAACATGGCAGTCGGCTGCATGAACAGATCCGAGACATAACAAACCTAAACCAGAGCGGCGATTTCAATGACGGCACCTCTGAATCAAGCAAGGATGCTGGTCTAATCCCCGGCCGTTTGACCTGTACGATGCGACAGGCTATTATGGAACCGACAGATGTCAGGGCCCGCGACGACGCCTTCACATTGTCTAAATCATCAATAACTTACTCCACTCCGTTGATTTCCAACCACAGATTCCGTCGCCATTGCCGATCTTGTGCAATGGACTAAAGCATACAATTGAAGGCCTTGTGAAGGGCTGTGCCGGGGCGCCATAGTGGAGCATCCTACCATACAGCAAAAGTAGCTGGGTCCCCTATATCTGTGGCAGGCGCAAGACTACTACCCCACCGGCCTGATCTGCACTTTACGGAAACTCGTCGTGGAACGCTTACTCCTGATGCCGACTCTGGATGGCTGCACAGGCGTGGCTTGGCACGACCAGCCAGCTAGTGTCAAGGTGCCAATTCTGGACCGCAATCCTTATGCCCCACTCAACACCTTGGAAATCAAGCCGATGAACCTCTAGCCTGCACAGCCCAGTGAGACCCTCAAGACCGCCGTCAACGTGCTTTTGGAGACGGCAAACCGTCCGGCCTGGTCTGTACGCTACGGAACGCCATTATGGAACGCCCGCTCCCGACGCGGACGCACGACCAGCCGGCCGGCCTGGAAGTCAATACTCTACTACCCAGACATAATTTACAAACATTTACAACTTCCAATGCTGACTTTAGACATGCTAAGGAGTTGAAAAACGGTAGGAGAAGCGAACGGGATGGGCTTGATAGTTTACTTCCGAGATACGTTAGGCAAAATTCTAAATGCACTTTGTTATAGTTCTGTTTGTTTTCAGAAGACATTAGAAAGATGAACAGATATTGCCTCTATAACTAGCAAACTTCGGTCGGACGTTTGAACTACTTCACTAAGTCGCTGCACGATGATCCCTTCTATAAACTCAATTAACAAAGAAGATAGTCATGATTGCGTAGTCGGAGATATGCGCAAAGGCAGATAGCGGGCTACATCGGCAGAGAGGCGAAGCTAGGCTAGTCCTTCACTTCGCCATCTCACCTCCACCCCGCGCCAAAACCTCACCTCCACAACCCTCTTCAATATGCGCGCCCTCTCTCGAAAACCGGCCTAATCTACCGCGTCAGCTCCGCCACACTCAGCATGTCCGGCGCGAGTGGCCATCATAATGACCTCGGATCCAGACTGCGTCAGCGGCTGGGGAACTGCGACGCACCAAAAGGTATGGCCACGACTTCTATCTTCTTCGCTCCAGCCAGTCTCAACGCCTGTAGGTCAATGAGACTGCTCACCAAATCATTTCAACTCAACTCGTCGACGCTAACAGCATCATGTTCCAGCTTTTCGGCTTTGCTGCCCTCCTGGGGTCGAGAAATCTCAGCGACGACACACAGGCTCAGACGCGCTATCGCAGTTCTGCAACGGGTATTCCCCAGACCGAAAGTAATCATAGCACTGAGTCGAAGTCCGCGAACAATCGCACCCTTTGCAAATGGATGAGATGATCGGACACCCCGTGCGGAAGCGAATTCAATGCGAGATGTCCGCCTCATGACGCCGCGTCGCGACTCAATCTCCTCAAATGAGAACGACCTTCCAGGAACGCCCTACACCGGAGGGATGTCCTTGTTATTCAACGCGGACATGAGACATACCAACCCTATCAATCTGTCAATCCTAAAGTTGTCCGGACCCGATGAGTTTCTCCGTGTTGAATCAGAGTAAGTTTATCCAAACCTCATCCTTAAAGCGATGGCAGCCCAGATTCTAATGCTACCATTAGATCAGGGCAAGAGCGAAGCTGGTTCCGAGACTAGCCGTAGCGGCAGTAGGTCTAGCGCTTTGCATCGGTGACAGAAGACATCCTCAATACCACTACCCTCTCCATCTCCCTCATCTCCTCTCTCCTCGCAGCCGCCATGATACCTCTGTGCCCGCCTAGTTTAGACGAGACACCCGCCGCTCTCCCTGCAGCCGAACTGCATGCGATGGACGTGAGAGACGCCCGCTGCCGCCACTGGCAGTTCCTGTTAGCACCGCTGCGCGAAGAAGAGATACTCGCCCATCTCGAGGATATAGAAGAGGCGCACTGCCCACAAGCGTCTCACCTACAGCGCCTCACCTGGAGCGCTTCACTTGGAGCGCCTCGAAGTAAAGCGGTTGAGGAAACGGCGATAGGCCGCCGGTCTTCATGACGCCTCGCAGCGACTTGATCTACTTGAGTGAGAAGGACCTTCTGGGAACGCTCTACACTGGCTATGGCGTCTACCGCAATGGCACGGCCATGATGCACCTATGTACTGGGAAGTTTCAACTCCTAGTGTTCAACTGCTGCCAACGCTCGCTTGGCGTTACGCAAGTCGAGCCACCGACCCCCTTCAATTTTCATCCCTCCCATCGACTCGAACCCCTACGACATAGGTGGTGGATCCGTGGTGGAACAATGCTATCGAGAATCAGAGCGTCTTCTGCGTCTTCTGTTACGACCGGGAGTCGAAGACATATGACCCGTCCCTTTGCTCGTAGCACGGTGGATGAGAAGCTCATCATCATGCAGAAGCGGAAGACAGCTGAGATTGCCAAGATTATGGAGGATGATGGCAAGCCTTTGAACAAGCTGGGCATGGGGAATTTCTTGCGGGTACTTGGACCTGTCCGTGAGGCTAAGCATGGAAGCCCCTTCCTCTTAGTGGACGATCCTCAGAACAACGGCCGCGTCGGCCCAGAGTACGAAGACGAAGACCTCTAAAGAGTAGCCCTACCTAGGAGGACCACGCAATCCGAGGTCCCAAACGCGGTCGTTTCGAGCGGTGGTCTGCCTTGAGCAGCCTCGACGACCGCATACTTTCTTGAGCCCATATTGGATCAACGCCTAAGTCAAGTCTCACTGTGGACCCGATAACCGAATTTTCAGCTGAGAAAAAGATCCGGTATCATCTCAACGAGGCCCATAGACGACGCCCGCACCGCCATTCAACAGTCCGAGCCGTTCCCGTCTCGCGCGATTGTCCGATTGAAGCGGCTGCTGGAGGATTGCGACGAAGAGTGGGAGGCTCTAGACAAGAATGCAGAGAAAGAGCTGAAGATCCCGGGCAACAGTGCACAGTGGAGCAACCGTTGGACATCTCTAAAGATGGGCATCATCGCGTGCCTGTCACGTCCCCCGTGATTGCCCAACCGAAGGGGCTGCAGAAGGCTTCGGAGAACGAGTGGTAGACTCTGGGTAACGATGCAGGCAGTCTAAGCTGGTCACGTCTCGTGTGATTGCCCGACTGGAGCGGCTGCTGGAGGCATCGGAGGAAGCCCGGGAGACTTTGGAGAATATTGCACTTGGGCGCAACAGTTGGACACCTGGAAAAGAGCAGGACAGCCGCACTCAGGACCTGGATGAGGCCTGTGCTAGTCACGTCTCGAGTGATTGTCCGACTAAAGCGGCTGCTGGAGGCTTTGGAGGAAGAACAGGCCGCTGTGGATAAGAATGCAAGCAGTGCCAGCCGGTCCCGTCCCGCGCGACTGCCCGACCGAAGTGGCTGCTGTAGGATTGGGAGTAAGAGTGGGAGGCTCTAGACAAGAACACAAGCAGTCCACGCTGGTCACGTCTCGCGCGATTACCCGACTGAAGCAGCTTCCGGAGGCCCGGGAGAAAGAACTAAAAGCTCCAGACACGAGTGCACCGTGGAGCAATAGTTGGACACCTCTAAAGATGCGGGATCGCCGCTTTCAGAATCTCGAAGACGCCCGCGCCTGTCACGTCTCGCGTGATTGCCCGACCGAAGCGGCGGCCAGAGGCTTTAGAGGAAGAACGGAAAGCTCGGGACAAGAATGCTACAAGCGCGGCAACATTTGGACACCTGTAGAGATGCGGTATTGCCGATTTCCGATCTCTGGACGACGCTCGTGACGGTCACATCTCGCGTGATTGCAGGACTGAAGCGGCCGCTGGAGGCTCCGGAGGAAAAGCCGGAGGCCCTGGTCAAGAATGCTACAAGTTGGCCACATCGCCCGTTCGTGCACTCAGGATGGTGGTGGTAGCTATGGCGAAACTACAGGTGCATACGGTTAAGGATATAGCGGAGGGGCTGGAAGCCCGGGAGAAGAATGCTGCAGGTGTGGCAAAGTTGGCCACATCGCCCGTTCGTGCACTCAGAACGGCGGTGGCAGCTACGGCGAAACTACAGGTGTATACGGTTGTGGATATAGCGGAGGGGCTGGAAGCTCGGGACAAGAATGCTACAAGTTGGCCACATCGCCCGCTCGTGCACTCAGAACGGCGATGGCAGCTATGGTGGAGCCCCAAGTGGATACCATGGAGGAGGTAACGGAGGAGCTGGTAGCCACGACGGAGGATAGCGACAGATCACGTCACCCGTTCGTGCACTCAGAACGCCGGTGAAGCTATGGCGGAGCCCCAGGTGGATACTGAGGAGGATAGTGCAGAGAAGCCAGTGGTTATGCCTGATGACAGCGACAGACGGCCTGCTACTCTTGCGGTGGCTATCGCGGGAACAGGTTCGCCATAGCCACTTCTTTACCTTATTTAAATGAATGATTTCAAACTTCATAAAACAAGGCACATGGTTTATAGTTGATGCTACTCACATGGCGCTTGGATTTTAGTAGCCTTGTACACTTTTAATGTTCCATGTCTCAGACTTTTCTGTAGTCACCAAGCATCAAGACATCATGGGACGGATGAGGCGATATCCAACCACGACTTAAGACTTTGACCTCTACGACGCTTGCCAAAGCTGATAGCTCCTCATTTAATGCTGTTCGTCTAACACTAGATCTTCCTCCGGTAAGTTACGCCATCCTTAAAACCAATAGCACGAGAATAACTGGTACGCCCTCGCCGCCATCGTAAATGCTAGGGCCCGCATTTAATTAGTCGACCGAAAGACTCCCTCCCGCTTCTCCAGCCACTTGAAGACACCCACAGCTTGTAAATCAAAGTTGGATTCGGAGTTGAGGAGGGAATCCGCGACATACATGGCCTCGTCGCTCTTGAGATGCAGTTCACCTTTGCGTACGTGGAGCGTATTCTGCGCAGTGAGCAACCCCGTGCATCGCCCATTCGCGAACGTAATACTCCTACCTTTGTCTCGAGCGGGCCATGGCACAGTTTCCCCTGCGAATGCGATCCCTTCTCACCGCTTTGCGTGGTAAAAGCATGCGGCGATTGTATGTGCTCGTAAGACTCACTTTCGTACTGAATGCATCCATCCCGGGTGGCAGTATTGAGTTGACTTTGGCCTCGGGGCCTCACGAAAAGGTTTTGAGCGGTGCGGCCGTACAGTATTAGGAGATAAGTCTGGGCGCTCGCATCTGCCTGGAGTATCCTCCTAACGGGCCCGCTCCTGACGATGGTGTTCACCGAGTACGAGAGAGGGTGGAGAGTGGTAGAAGAATAGCGATGTATGCTCGCGCTGATGGTGGAGTATAAATGGGACTACCGTTTAGCTGGCTGAAGACGTGGTAGCTAAGGCACGCCTTACAGGGGCGTCAATGTAGCAAAAGAGCAGCCTGATTACATCCATTTCAGTGTGCCCAGACTTATAACCTAGTACTGTACCAGGTGACATCTGCCCTGAGGGTGCTGGAGCAAAAGTTTCAGCTCGATTCCTTAGACAAGCGCACTCTCTTGTCTAGCCTAGTACGGGCCTAGGTCGAGTACATTTCAGAGTGGTTAAGTGAAGAACGAAGAGGTTCGTAATGACCATAACGACGCTTTTGAAGGTCTCAGGTAGAACAGGAGGGATGGATATGTAGACCTCAGAAGTGATACAACGTAGAGCATATGCGGAACAAGTGGGAGCGTCGTAAATTCAAGCAGCCTCAAAGCACGTTATTTACTCTGACAATACAAACTTTCCCACGCCATCCTCAGCGCCGACTATATAATAATGAGCCCATTTTCTCCCAGACGCGTGTCCTGCTCAAAGAAATGCGTATGTCGTTCCAAGACTTGCAGTACAGATATCGAAAGAAAAGTGAGATGTGCCGTAATTTTCCGTGCTCTACGCCATGCCAGACGTAGATGCTGCTCAAAGACTCGCAATGCATGCGTCGCTTGGAGCCTTGCAGCACAGATTTTGAGAGAAAGAGCCGATGCAATGTTGGATGCAAGACGTTACGTTCGCAGGACAGGCGATTCCGTGTTCTTCCACCACCGAGACGTTGCTTGCGGATCTGAAAGGCCCCGGGGAGAGAGGCCTGCCGTCTTGGGTTCGGGATATTGCGCGACGTGACGGTGGTGCAGCGGACGTCCGAGCCATCCAGGATGTGAGCATACGGCACCGTGTTGTCGTGCGGACTCCAGGTACATCGTCGGTGACGTTGGACAGTAAGATTGCCACATTGGATGACACCACCGATTGGTATCGCGGGATTGGCGAAGTCAGCAAGGCCGGGGGGGAATGAACGATTGTTGCCGGATCCAGAAGGATGATAAGTGCCTCCATATCCACCATGAACTGGAGGGCCGCCTTGCGAAGAGAAGAGAGGGACACGAGATCCAGCACCGCCGAGACCATCTCCTGGAGGATACTGAGGAGCGACTCCCTGCTGCGATCCGGCTGGAGTGATGCTCGAAACGTACCAGTACACCCCCTGGGAAATGTTAGCAACGCATTGATAGCCGCCTAAGCTGTACTTACTGGGACCCGCGCCTCTCCCTCAGGCAGAAGATCTTCAACCGGGCCGGCGTCGCTGTATCAGCGCTCGAATCTCCACCTCTGCCCGCCCCTCCCTGAAGCTCGCCGGCACGTTGGGGTCGTCGATGGTGGCCTGGGAGCTCACGCTGTCGCCGCGACGGGCCTGGGCAGCCTCGAAGGCGCGTCGATCGTGCTCTTGTTGCTCCAGTTGTGCCTGGCGGGCGCGGGCGTCCTCTTCCTGCAGCTTCAAGAGGGCAGCGGCGGCGTCGATCTTCTCCTTCTCTTCGGCCTCCCTCTTCGTCTGGCTCCTCGTCTTCGTGCCTTTGGCCTCCATTTCGAACTGCTGTGTGTGTTGTTGGTGACTTGATGTGTGGAATTTGTGAATGTTTGCTGTGCGCTGTGTGCTGTCTGCTGGTCTTGCTCGAGGCTTTGGCGGAGTTTATTATGATGAAGCCAGCTCAACGTACCACCGCTAAGCGAACCCACTTTGGGCCTAGTCTCATCCCAATATCACATACATTTGTTTGGCAAAGGGATATAGCACTGCTGGGGCTTCACTCTTGCGCACTCGACAGCATTGTCACGAGGAGCCCGGCTAGCAGGTAGTAAGCCAGCCAAAAGGCAGCCGAATATCTACTGCAATGATCTTTACATCGTGTTTTGAGTTTTCAAAAACTGTAGAGACACCCTAAACAGCGGCAGCAATGGTGCCCAGCATATTGTTTAAGCACTGAGTTCTAGGCCATATGATTTGAGAACTCGGATATTGCACGGCTGGGGCTTTACCTTTGCTCACTGGGCACCACTGTGGCGTGGCCCAACGAGCAGGTAACCGGACTGTCAAAGGGTTGGCGTTTGGGGAACTTGTGATGGGAGAAGTGACGTCAGTAAGGGTATATATTTGGTTTTATTTTTTCGTCCCTCGCCCTCTCGGGGTGGCGGAGTGGGAGGATCGGGTACTCCGGGAGAGGCACAGCAGGTACGTACCAGGCAGCATACTGGGTTCGAGCCCCGGTGCGGCACGGCGCGGCGAAGAGATTAGTCTCCACGTCCAGGTTCACTCATCAATAGTGTTCTCTGGCGTGGGGGATACTCTTTTGTAATTTTTTAAACTTCAGGGTTACTCCTTGCTACTCTCTTTTTGACCTACGAGGCATTGAGGGTATGAAACAATGCGTGCTGTGGCTGTTGTGTTGACAGAAAGGGCAAAAAGGATAATGGCGGATGTGGAATATGAGCAAGATGCGCAGATTGTCGCAGCGTCAATTGGCTTTCTTCGTATGTATGCTACAGAGAGCGATCACCCTAGGTATCTTCACTCGATGCTGGGACTCGAAAACCCAGCGAACTGTGTTCCCGAAGCCCGCTCGCAAATTCAGCCCAAGCGCATATTTGTCCATGTCCGCAACACATACCATCTCGCCCATACCGCCCTCACACCAGCCTTTCCTACAGCCACGCTCTCCAAAGCTCTCTGTACAACACAATGTCCTAGTCTTCGCAAGCGTCTTAGCGGTGCTCCACTGGAGACCGTTCAAGGTCTTCACAGCTCTTCGCCGAAACGCGTCTGGGCCCCATCCCGGTCGAAAACATTGCGACTTGATCATTGCAGCACGTTATTCCAGGCTCCGACGAGATATACATTGATGACCTCAACCAGACAGCCCTGTGTTCTAGCGGACCCGTACTACAGCCAATCCAGGCCTGTCTCCGCCATATTCTGGCTACCGGCCCCCCACCTCCTACGCTTTCCTTTCCCGCTACGAGCTTCCGCTCCTCCGATACGCCGAGTCGAGCTGCTCCTTCCTGACCCGGAAATTTAACGTTGCTACAAGTCCAACTCCAGCTACCCTTTGACTGGCCAATGGCTTGCTAGTGGAGCCGCTCCTCACAGTCGCATCAAGAGAGCAGCAGTACGGCCCGGACTGTGGGATATTGGTGTACAAGAAAGAACGATCCGGTGTTATGATTGATATGAGGGGTGTAGCGAGGAGCATGAGGGGGGAGCGCGATATGGGGAGTCACGCCAGGGAACAGTATAAACTGATGAGAAACACATGTTGACTTGAGAGCATTCAGCATAAGAAAATTAACGTTCATTGGAGCTCCTCCAGCAAACGGGCTCTATGGTATATTCTTCCGCTCTTTGAGCCAATTTTCATTCTTGTGTAGCGTAACAAAGGTTCGGGAAATCCATATCTGCAGTTATTCATCAACTTCTGTTAGACACAGAATGTGCGTAGCGCACGATGAGTCTCCAAACGTACTTTCAAGTGCTTGAATATTTAGCCCTCATTTTGTCGAGGGTGATTTTCCCCTGCTCTCCGAGTCGCCTTCTCTCTGCCCTCTTCGTCTTCCAAAACTCCGGCTTCAATATCTGCTTCCAGAATCCTTGCTTCGCGGAGGGTTTGGGATAGTTGGGCGTGGGGGCGCTCGGATGGTGCATGGTGCCAGCAGAAGTCATTGTGGTAGGTGGTGATTTGATAGGTGTGAATTTGTGATGATCAAAATTGCGTGTAATGAATGCTGTTGCTTTTCGGACAGCAAAAGGAGACACGGCACGTCGATTTCGTCTTAATATATGGAACATATTGGATGCACGGGCCTGTAACTTCACTTTGTGTACCTTTACTATGGCTACTTGTGTGGTTAAGACAGTACTCAATGCGGTGAAAGTCGGCCATTGTCCGCATTGTTTTTCGACATGCTAATGTATTCGGGTGAAGATCTCCCACGCCGCTTCCCTCTCTTGATACCACTGCAAGGGGCGGCCCGACTCGCAGATACTCGGTTAGTCAAATGGTAACCTCAGTTCCATTGAGCCAACCAATACATCGGTAAATATATACAAGCACGGTGAATAGCGCCCTAGCATATGGCCCACTCCTACCACCAATCTGATTGTTCCTTCGCAGCCTTCAACTCTTCCCTCCCATTTTATCTCCGGCAGCGTAGGCCAATGTGTCATCTCCTTGAGTTGCCACTTCGGGCACCAGATAGTCTTCTCGCCGAGCACTACGCTGTGATTCTCCGGAAAGTCTTTCTCTTTCAAGCGGTTCGGGATCGGTCGCTGTCCATTCTTCTCCGCAGGTCACTGCTCGGGCTCCGTAGCTGGGTAAGTTTCTGGTTGCTTTCCTGGCTGCGGAGCCGGCTGCGCTGCCACTCGTGCTAGACGATTGTCAGGTTCCTTGTCATGCTGCGTAATCGGCTGCATGTCAGGTCGTATAGCTGGCAGTTGCGCTCTAGGTCGCACCCATGGCGAAGGGTCTGGCGGCGCTGATGTCCAAGCAAATGGATGGCAGACTGAACGACAAAGGCGCTGGCAACATCCACGACAAAGGCGCTGGCAACATCCACGACAAAGGCGCTGGCTATCCCCCTTCTTGCTATTCAAACCTCTGGTCTACTCTCTATACTGCATTGGTCTTGAATCAGGTCTTGAAGGAACCGTCCCAAGCGAAATCATTAACCGGGTTCCGATGATTCTCGCAGATTGCTCTTCCTCTTGCCGTAATTCCTCTTCAATATCTGCTCGGGGTTCTCTCGGCCAGTCGAGCTTCTTCTTCAGGGGAGATCGTTTCTTTTTTGTGTACCAGTATCTTACAGTCCGCGCTGCACTGCTACTCTTTTAATACCAATGTGAGGAGCGACCGTACGAGCAGGCCCACAGTCAGTTAAAGGGTAAACTCTTTGGTGTCTAGAAACTCTGCAGAGGGTTTTAGAGTGGCGCTGCGGCGGTACAAGCCTACATTGAAGGTTTCGGCGGTTATGGAAAGCTAGCGGAGATACAAGTTGACTAGATAGGACGAGTTAGCATTGGGGCCGGGAATAACGTGCGTTGCTTAAAGGAAAAAGACATACCAAGGTCAATGCTTGCTTCTCCTTAAGATCAGACAACCTTCTTCTGAAAGACAGAGGGGTGCTTTTGGTGGAGGTCCGATGGCTCATCCTCACGGTTTCTCGTCAGGTGGGGGTCTTTGAACGCAACCGCTCTACCACTTATCTGCGTAGCAGGACTTGGACAATTGACTTTGCAGCTGTCTGATTCCAAAATCTGGCGATTCCATCATCCTAAGTAGATAGGAGTAGGTTCCTACGGAGCTGGACTGCGTTGATAGGACCCTGGTGCCCGATGAGCTGCTTGACATGAAGGCTAGTCTGACGTCCCCAGACATGGATGTTTGCATCCATAGAGCAGGAAACGGTGTTTCAATCGTCGGAGGGGATGCTGTGCGGCAGAGAGGCGGACATGGTGTTCGCTCGTCCTAGGGAGGATCTTGCGTTGGTGGAGAGAACTGGTGTCCTTTTCAGTCGGGTACTCATAGCCCGGTAGTGTCACACTCGTTAGAAGGTATCTCAGACTCAGTCTTAGTGTTCTTCTTTCGGGTGGGATGCTCACTCAACCATTTTCATGTACTATGCCCCATTCGGCTAGCGCCCGTCTTCTCAATCACTACTTCACGCACAACCCAAAATCCTTCCACTTCACCGTCACCGTCACCGATTCTCGAACCTCCTCACCACTTTGCACGCGTCCGCTGCCTCCATCACCAAGATGCCCTCACGTTCACTGGCATGTGTGCCTTTTTCTCGCGCAGTAAGCCCGATTCTGATCCTGCTCGCAAGAAACCCCAAGATCTGACTGTGCATCAGACCGCGTCTCCATCCTCTCCACTGGACTGCGTTCTTGCCTCGTGGTCGTGTGTAACGCCGTCGGCCTGATACCGTGGAGTAGGTGTTCCTGTTCCAAATGTATTAAACGTTATATTTACTGACACGGTCTAGAAGTTCCTGGCGCCGTCCGCGCTGCTCGTCGCCTGGTCCGCCGCTTTGTGCTTGTGGCTGTTGGTGTCCGCGCCCTTAGGCACGCTCTCGCTGTCCGCGCGCACCGACTCGTCAATCTCAGTTGCAAACCTCGGCAGAAGCCAGCGCCAGCAGATTACCACCATGGACAACCGCAAGCACCCAAGCTCCTTCCAGCAGCTGGAGAAGCTCCGTGAAGGCACATATGCCACAGTAACTCACTTGACCCGCGTTACTAACTCACACGCTGACTTCCCAGGTCTTCAAGGGCAGCCGCCAGACCAACAAGTTTGTCGCGCTCAAGGAGATCTACCTGGACTCTAAGGAGGGCACTCCATCGACGGCAATCCGCGAGATCTCGCTCATGAAGGAGCTGAAGCACGAGAACATTGTCTCTCTGTACGACGTCATTCACACAGAGAACAAGCTCATGCTCATCTTCGAGTATATGGACAAGGATCTGAAGAAGTATATGGACTCCCACGGTGACCGTGGCCAGCTCGACCCGCCCACCATCAAGTCATTCATGTTCCAGCTCCTGGTCGCGGCATTGCCTTCTGTCACGAGAACCATGTCCTGCGTTGCGATCTGAAGCCTCAGAATCTACTCATCAACGGCAAGGGCCTGTTGGTGGTGGTTTCATTAAAATAATTAAATTTTGTCCTCTATGTACTGCTCTTCTTGCTGCAATGTGACTCAGTTTGATTCCAACCCTTTCTTCTTCTTACTATCGTTCTGAGATATGAAGAAAATGCCCTAGGTCTGTGAACATATGGCACCAGGTTGTAAGCGTGGGCATACGGATATCTCCTCTTCACTCAAGGCCACGGTAAGAAGTACCCCAAATTAGATGGTTTCAATTGGTAAATCGGTAGCCCTTTACTTCTCGCGTCAAATAGTGGTCTTCGCACATAAACATCCCGCTGCTCGAGCACCATAGACAGTTACCTCGTGGAGGCTTCTCCTCCGTAAATACTTCAATACACCCTTTGCAGACATCTCTTTGTCTTCAAGAACCTCTCGTGGCCGTCGCCTCGTATGAATCGACACGTGTACGACAATTAGTGGCTGAAGAACGATTCAGAGATCTCAGCCCAACACCTTTTCCTTTCCTCTTTCCACTCTTACATCTCGCGGACGGACGTAAATCAGAACATCGCGACATCTCGCGTCAAAAGCGTGTAGCCATAGCGGCGATACGCAATTACGAAACACACAGAGCCCCCGACTCCTTCGCAAAACACAGAACTTGCGTGCAGCTTGCTGGAACGTGCTAGCGACAAAGGTCCACTCGCGACATGTAGGGCTCCGCGCCCTTAAGAATCTGGGTGTGATTTGTCGCCTCTCGTGTGGGCATGCTGTGAGCCATTGCGTTTGCCCTAGAGGCCGATGAAAGAGCCGCAGCTAGAGCTTCCTGGGGTTTGCTGCGCGTGCGGTGGAGGTAGTTCCACGCCTCTTCGCTGTATTGGGTACGCGCGTAGACGCCGTGAGCGACGCGTTTAACTACGGTGAGAAGGCGTTTCTCCGGCGGTTCGAGAAGTGGCAGTAAGGAGTTATCGTTTTCATCGTCTTCGTGGGGGCTTGCTGTTTGCCATTGCCTCTTTGAGCGCTTCGACCTTCGTATACAATTGTTCAGACCGCTTCTTTTGGGCCTTGTAACCCATAGAGGCTTCGTACAAGTCTTTCTTACGCGCGCAGTACTTCTCCGCAAGAACAGTAGCCTGTGGAGTGTCGAAAATTGTTGCTCGAGTCCTGTTCTCCTTCGTTTTTTTTCTGCTCGTCCAACACTACTGACAGGAGTGCTCTTGCTAATAGCGAGCTGTTCAGTCAAAAGGTAGTCTAATTCCTAATGCATCAGCGCTTTCGTCGTATTCGGACTCTTTGGGGACTTATAGCGATAACGGGATGTATTCAGGCTCCTCTCTTGCCCGGTCAACACCACTGTAATCAGGATCTTAGCAAGCATGTCTTCAGTCAGTCAAGGGATAGCCCTGATTCCACTGCGTCCAGTCTGTCAGACTGACAATAAAAACGCTGCCTCAGGGGCTTAGGGTGTAGACGATCTTGATAACGTGCACGTTGTTGGTGAAGTAACATGGTTTACTTTGGATCTATGAGAAACTGTTGCAAGCAAGAGGGCGTGTGAACCTTCTTCCCACGACGAGATGCCCATAGCGCCGAACCCGATTCCGCTCTTTGGTTGCTGAGTCTCTCCTCGCGACTACCACTGCCGGGATAAACAATGCTGCGTATCCACCGAGATCCGAGGGAGAAATCCTGCTTCTGCTTTCGTGCGTTGTTCGAAGAATCGCCATGTCTCTTCTCCTATGTAGTAGGGTCAATGGCGATTGCGCTCTTTGCTGAATTCCCGTGTTGCCGCCGATACTTCCAGGCGGTGTAAGCTGACCCGTGCCGTTCGCTAGCACGCGATCATCTTTATTCGTCGGTGAGTCTCTCCACATGCGTGGAACCCTTGATCCTCATGCGCACCTGCGCCTCGTTGGAACCCTTGAGAGCGGCCTTAGCTGCGAAGAAGCCTTTGGCATCCGTCCACCTCTTGCGTGAGACGGCTAGTTTCTGTGCCAACATGTCCGAATGTAATGTCCTGTTTTCTGAGCTGAGCTGGTTGTCCATCCCTTGGCTGAGCTGATTGTCCGTCTCTCGGCTGAAGTAGAGGATCATCCTCGCCCAGAGATTTCTTCTTTCCTTTTTATCAGAACCCTAGCTCGGCAGAGGCGTTCCGTCTGCCCGCGGAGTCGTCGACGTCGAGCGCGGTTGAAGTTGTCAAAGTCGAGAAGGCAGTCATATACACACACGTATCAGTCCAGGCCGACGGCGCCGAAATCGTGAAGCTACAAGAACGTATTAGACCAATCAGCAGTTGAAGGTATGGCACTTGTATACGATGGGGATGGCTCGACGATTGACAGGGCAGATAGGGCTCGGGATGCAACGGGAGTAAGACAAGGTACTCACGGCCTGCAGACGGCTCATGGTCGGGCTCGTGAGAGCAGAGTTCCTAACAACAAACACGAGGAATGCAAATCTGCAGATGTTCTTAATCATGGTAGTGGCGAGGCAAGGTTCTAATCGCAAGGAAGCGCGGAGAGCTACACTACGAAGTGAATCAGTTGTGCCGGCCGAGAGGGGATCGTGGACCAGCTGGAACGACTGGCTCGGTCCTCTGCACGCAGACGGTCCGAGACCTGGCCGTCGCTACAGCTTTGCTCCTTCATGGAGACAATAAGTTCATTGTCTGAGTCAAGCTCTGCTGTGACCCTCTTCGCATAGGCCAAAAGTCTGCCGTACAATCAAATCTTTGTAAACTTCCGCCAAAGCCTGCGGCTCCGCAAATATGCCTGCCGTAGATCCGGTATTATTCACCCTAGCTCTCGCGCAGACGAGCACCTTCGACCCCCAACCCTCGTTCTTAATGTCAAGGAGCTCTCATCTTCCGGAAGGTTACCTGCTTTGTCGCGCCGCGGTACGGATGTTGGAAGTCCCTGTGCTGTTCTTGACCGGCTTCTCCCAAGACCTCCCATTGCGTTGCTGTGCCTCTTCTAGCCAGGTCCCGTGGTATCGTGATCGAAGCCTCGAGGTTTTGGGGAGGCGTTGACTCTGGCAGCTGCTACGGCAGGATCGTCGAGCAGGATGATGCGATCTAGTCTCTGCCAAAATATGAAGTCAGTATAGTACCTTGGGAATCCAAACCTTATAATTCTGAACCCCAGAAGATGTCTGAGCCAGGCGTCCATGGACCTTAGCGGTTATCGGTCCTCCCCAACTATGCGAAGGGGGTAATGCCAAAGCGTCATCGTACACTGCGTGGCCAGGGCCTTGCCTTGATAGGACCGCTCGCCCTGCGCGTAGGGCGGCCCCGGACCATGACGCAGGACAGTCGTTTTCATTTTGGCACCCCGGTTGAGTGCGCGACTATGAGGAAGCCGGCACGGTATACGGCGGTGCCGGGGTGCGGAGGGATTTGGGCGGGTTGTGGTGGAAGGAGAGTGACTGTGACTGGATAAACTTACTCTGCAGGGATACTGGGATAGTACGCGAGACTCGAACTGAGTTGTCGGGCCGTACTCGAACTGCGTTCATGCTGTCAGCTATGCTACCGTAACATGCATGCAAAACGTAGTCGTGCAGAAAAGGATGTCTGAGCCGGGCGTCCATGGAAGGGGGCTTCAGGTTCGTTTTCGTTGTCCGCCCGAATCTCCATGGTGATATATGGAGTCGGGGATCGTGCCCGCGCGTCACGTACACCGAATAGGTCGGAGCATCTACAGACACTCTGCCATATTGCGGGACGTGGTTTTCAATCTTGGCACCGCCATCTAGCGCATGACTATGAGGAAGTCGGCGTCGTTCAGACGGTGGTGCCGAAAGTGCTGGAGTCGTGAAATGGTTTGGGACAGCTTACTCTGTATAGCTATTGTTCTCTCAGGTCCGGTTTTCCAATACACATGCTTCGCCTCCTTCTGCTCCATTTCGATTTGCATAATCCGCGAGCTTCCGCAGCCAAGATCCTAAGGCTCCTTCCCCTCTGCCTGAATCTGGAGCGGCACCTGGTGTGGATTGACCTACTACTGGTCGAACGTTCGGCAGAATCAGGATCGAAAGGGCGGGAGGACGAGGACGGAACTGGTCCAGTGAGGGTAGCGGCCTCTCAAGGAGAAGCCGGACCTGTTTCGGCTCTCGCTTTTTTGTTGACGAGGTTCCTGATAGTCATGTCAGATGATGTCCCGCCAATATACATGCACAGCGTGCTACCTCTCAAACCCAGTTCCACGAAGCCAGGAATATGGTAGAACAACCCATTTCGATACGATTGCCGACAAGATGAATGACACGATGGGTGAGACGATTGGGCAAAGGCAGCGCCACAATACTTCCCCGATGACAGCGACAGGGGGATCGGGACTCATGTTGGAGACAGGATGTGATGCTACTCTCAGCGTGCAGTCAGGCGTGCCGAAGTTTTCGGCAGGGTATTCGCGTCGAAGTTGAACGGCTGCTCGGACTGAGATGGCTTCCTATCGACGTGGGTCTCTGCTCGGCCCCTACGACGTATGAGCTACATTGTGCCCGCAGAGACGTGAAGGCTAGTTGAGGCGGGTGGTGCTAGGGATGTTGGAGATGTCGAGTTTGGGAGTAATGGATGTGCCTGCTGTAGGGCAGCAGAAGGAAGATAGGGAGGCAACCTAGTGCACCGGCGTCCTGATCGAATGACTGCAGAGCCGGAGGTAGGGCTGGAGAACCCCCTCTCGGTAGCGCTCATCGCGTCGTTTATCGGGTGGGATGTATGGCTTCGATATTGAAAAGGACTGATGGTGGCGGGACGACGGGCTGAGGGGAATGTTTGATGAGCTTGAGGTCGCCCGGGTAGTTTGACGCACTGAAAGAACTGCTCAATGTTCAAATCCATGGCCGAATGCCTTCTCTGACAGTGGGTCCTGGAAAAGATGGAGAGGAATGCCAGGACTAGCAGGAAGGGCTGAGAAGTGATTGATGGGAGGCAGGAGGCACAGAGGCTCTCGCTCATGGGCGTTGATGTTGAATGTTGAGAGATTGATGATGTTCTGGGAGGTCGAGGTCGAGGCGGTGTTTTGAATTTTGATGTTTGTGGGAGATGCTGCTGTCTTGGCAGGAGGCGTGAAATGGTCCTCATAGCGCCGCCAGCCTATCTTGATAGAGCCTTTTGATGCTTTCTGAACACGCAGCGGAGGAAACCGTCCTTCAAAGGAGTAGGATGGAGCGTTTTGCCTGGTGTGGTGGTACGCGTTACGCGTGTCGCTGCTCACTGGCAGACGCGCTTTGGTGGGAACGGCCGTCCTCTCCTAGAGACGCAAACTTTGATCTCACGAAACTTGAAGCTACAGAGACATGGCACTGCGTGTGGGGACACCGGGAAGTCTCATTGGACTCACAGGTTTCGTGGTGTTGGCATTTGCCCCCGTCGCTGCTCACTGGCAGACGCTCTTCCGTAACGGCGGCCACCCGACAACGCGCACGCCAGATGATGTGAGTCTAATTCTGAAGCCATGTAAATGCCATGCGATGTGAATTGAGACTCCCAGGCGCAATCGCAACCATCTTCTCTGCCGTGATGGTACCCTCTGGCCGCGGCGCTGCTCACTGGCAGACACCCGTCCAGCGGCCGGAACTTGCTGCCGAGGGCGAAAACCCCCAAACCATCAATCCAGAAGCTACACAGAGGCTACGCGGTGGGAGGAGTCCTAGAGAAGAGGATTTTACTGATGTGAGATGCCGTACGGGCTCCAAATCCCGGTATCGATGCTCACTGGCGCGCGCATTTGGGCAGCGCCGGTGCCCACCTCCCGGGGCGCGATTCCTCTCGACACCAAATTCAAATGTCCATACAAAAGCACCAATTCGATTATTTTGCGAATGCTTTGGAGGGCACAGTATGTCTGCGGCTGTGCTCTCACCTGCCTGCGTCGCAAATACGTCTTGAGCGCCGTCACGAATTAACTACGGGAATTGGTGGCACAGTGATAGACATTTTCTCAAAGAACACGCTGGAACGATGCAAGTGTATAGTACATGAATTTACGAGTACTGTAGTGCTTGTGAAGTCGTTGTGGCTTCGTGCTGAAATCGTGGACGCGGCTAGGCATTGTGGTTGCTGCGAAACAATAACACCATGTTCAGACGTGGTGATAGCAGGAAGGCGTGACACTATGGCTTCAAGTGTGGTGTAGAGCATGGGTGTGGCGGGGTAGCGTGCTGGCGTTGCAAAACCAAGACCAAAACACCAGGCGGGTGACGTGATTGCAGTAGAACTCATAAGGAATAGCGAACACGCAACACCAAGTCAAGGTTCGAATGAGGTAGGCAAATCACAACACCAAGTCAAGACCAAGATAGATAACGATCATAGAAAAGAACTTCTTCTTCGAAGATCCGCACAAGGCGAATGCATCAATGAAAAAGAGGCTGTGAAGCCATGCAGCCGGGCCCAACCCTCCCGACTGCTCGCAGGAATCCAGAGTATCCAGGTCAAGAGCAAGCTCAAGTCCAACTCTGCTGCGTCCCAGAACAAGAAAGCAAGGGAGGGATCACGTACCTGAAGCTGAACTCTCAGGCATAGCATAAGCAAAAGCCCTTGAGACAGATCGCCGTCGCCATCACCGTCGCCGTACCAGAACAAAAGCAAGAACACAAGGAGATATACGTACCAAGGCCCGAAAGCCTGAAGATCCAGGAGGCCGAAGCCTGTGGATGGGCGGTTTCGCACGCGCTCCATACCCAGAGCCACATGATGGAGGAGAAAAATCTCGAAGAGGAGAAAAAATGAAGGAAGAGAGTTGTCGAGGAGTGTGTAGAAGGAAGGACGAAGGAAGGACAGGTTATTATAGGTGACGGACAAGCTCGCTTAGCTTGCTTACTCATCAGCGCTAAGCAAAGTAATCGACTCTCCTGGGACATTGTAGCCAGGACCTCTAGTGTCGCGGAGGGCGAGTCCGCTTAGGAGGGAAAATCTGTGCCAAGGCGCCAGAAGGTCGGACCTCGAAAGATCCGCTGCCTCTCACTGGTAGTATATATTACCCATTATGTCACCGCCCGCCGTACAGCGGGTTAGAAGTCTATAGTGGCCGCAGCGGACTGCCGACTGGGTCTGAAAAGGTCACCGGAGAGGCAGGATGGCAGGCGGCTGTACTGGACTTGCGATGCCTATGGGGGCAAGACAGCAGTGCCCTGGACGTACTGAGGAGTATCTACAGCTTCTGCAAAGCCTATAATCATGATTTTCAATTCATGATCCTCAATGAGGGCTTGGTGCAGTGTGTGACGGCGAGACGGGGTGAGCGACGGGCGTGGTTGTGAGCGCGACCAGCAGCCGTTCCAGACGTGATATGTGACCACAACGCCTGCTCAACAACCCGCGGAGGACTCTGTAGCAGATATTAAGGCTCTAGAGTGTAGGGTAGAGCTCCTCCTATGCGCCTTCTATCATGATGATTCACTGCGGCACGCTGAGTGGTGAGCGCGGCCAGCAGTCTTATGCCACGGGCCCATCAAAACCATGAGGAGGGCCTACAAGCCGTAGAAAGGCCTTTCCTTAGGTGATAGAGGCACAGCATTCAATGTCCAGACATGGGGACTCACTGCGGGACGTGATGTGGCAAGCGCGGTCAGCACGACTCTCACGCAGGTATTCGCGCGACGCGCCCGCAAGCACCACAGAGAGACTGGCAAGTCCTCGAAAATCATTTCTTGTGAGTAACAGAGGCATACCCTTCAAGGTTTTATCATATAGATTCGCTATGGGACGTGATGTGGCGAACGCGGCCAGCAGGCTTGTCATGCAAGTACTCATGCGACGCGCCCGCGAACACCACAGGGAGAGTTGGCAAGCCCTCAAAAGACTCTTCCCATGGGTAACATAGACATACTCTTCAAGATTCGATCATGGAGATTCACTGCGGGATGTGGTGCGGCTGGCGCTGGCAGCAGTCTTCTCGCACGACCATCCAGGCGACGGGCCCATCAACACGACACGGAGGATGGGTAAGCAGTAGCAAAGCCCTTCCCTGCGTGATAGAGATATCTACTCCGAGATCCCTTCAGGGCAACTCACTGCGCTACGCGGCTGAAGGACGCGGCGATATACAGAGTGCACCAGAAGATCCCAAAGCGGCCTCTCGATACTCACGCTCTTAGTCAAGGGTATATGTCTCAGTATGTGGCGGACGCGCCTTTGAACTGTGGGAGGCATCATATTCGCGGATAGGGTGGACAAGGGACCATTATCACATCTCATGGGCACTCAATCCAATCTCTAGTAAGTCCAAAGAAGCTCGGCCTCCCAGAATTCATCATAGTCAGTCACTGCAGGACGCGACGTGGCGGCCGCGGTCTACAGGATTTCTCAAAGGCATTGCGCTTGCCCTTGTCAACACCACGGCTTCATAGTTAACGCTGGGGCTGCTGCTTCAACCTCAAACGTACGGTTGGACCCTACGAGATTTTAACCGTAAGGATACGAGCTAATTAATTGAGGCAGGATTTCCGTCGCGGCTGGCTACGTCGAGAATCTCAAAGCCAGTACTCGACGTCAATCCTCGTTCCTATCCACAACGGGAAAGTACTAGGATTTCCAAATACTTCTTCCCTGAGGCAGAAATCGACCGTGCCATCCTCAATTACCCACAAGTACCACCGAAGCGAGTCAAGAGCCCCCGGAAGCTCATTATCCGGGACACAAAGCACACAAGGGAGGAGGAAGGCCTATAATCGCGGCTTGGAAAGCAACGGTGACTGAAGGCATGATACGAACTATTAAGGGGTGTCTCAATCGTCAGCCGAGTCAATAATTGGCGGTCTCTATAGACCTAGTTCAGCAGCTCATGGATCCGCGTCACGAGTCTACGCTTGCCACGGCCTTGGTTGGAGATACACGAACTTGAAGTCTCCATTCAATGTTTCTGCATTCGCACGAGGTAGATCTATTCATCAAGTAAGCAATTGACAGGCATCATAGCTCTGGTTCATGAGCTTATGAGATCAGCGTAGTCAGCGGGCTACCCAATAGTCAGAGCGTCCTTTACAGCCTTGCACACTTTACAATCTATTTTCTATTTCATTCAGTCGATTGGGGTGTCTCAAATTGATAGCTAGGCCAGCAATCAACAGCTTCGATAGCTCTGATTCAGGAGCTCATAGGAATAGGGTCGACATGAAATGACCAGAATCTGCCAAATCAACCTAGGTCATGTTCTGTCAGGCTTGCTACTAGGATCCAGGGAGAGAAGGACTAGAGGGGAGACAGGAAGGATATGGCTCTAAGTTATTAGCTACTAAATAGTAGCAATTCCAAATACCTAGCTATAAGCTAAGGGTTAACCTTAGAGGTGCTCGGGCATCAGAGCGAGATTCATAGTCCTATAAACAATACATTCCAGTTTCAGATTCATCCACCTGCAAGAGGCAGCTGAAATGGATAGGTAGGTCGGCAATTCACGGGTGTTATAGCGATAATTCAAGAGCACATAGGAACAGAGTAGCCAAGGAGGTGCGCGGCAATCAGAGCCTGATTCAGAACGTCACGATCTTTACATCTCCATATCAACTCCTCATTTCCGCAAGAGGTGTCTCAGATTAATCGGAGTCTACGATGCTGTAGCTATGATTCAAAGTCTCATGAAATTTTAGTAGTCAAGGAAGTGCGCGGTGATTGCACCATGGTTTAGAGTCTAAAGAACCTTACGTCTCGATCTTACATTTATTTCATGACAAGTAGAGCCTCAAACCCATGGATTAGTCCGTAAAGTGAAGGTACTGTAGCTCCGATTTGTAAGGCGATAGCGTTGAAACTTCTATGGAAGTGTTCGGTCAATAAAGCCTGATCTACTTCCCAGTGGCTTGACTTCTGAATTGAATATTCATACATACCTTCAGGAGTTAGCTAGTTTACCTATTCACTTATACTATCGCTCTGGTTCATGACCTGCGAGAAGGAACCGCTAGGCCATCCACATGTTGCATGGAAGTAGCTCGAAATCTTGATACTTAGAACTCAAGTCCCATAAAGTCCCATAGCCATGCGGAACCGACAACGGCCACCAAGACCCTTTATTTTTTCCATCTAGCATTCATGCTTATGCTGGACTATAGAGTGCCCTATATGCTTATGGACTTGGCATAGCTCCCATTTTCCTAATGGACGAAAGGGCTTCATGCAGAATTACTACGACATGAATATGATCAACCATGTACTCCGACCTTGTACTCCGACCTTGCTCGTACCATCGTACCCTGAGCCATTGTGCTACGGCTGAGGTACCCAGGCATTCATCGTAATTCCCCTATCCACAAGAAGCTTTCCAGTCCGTCCATGCGATCAAGTCAAACCTAGGCCAGCATAGACTCACACCATGCTCTTGTCTTAACAGACGGCTGAAGAGATCCTGCACCAGTCACCGAGCTTCTGCTTCCCGTCGGACCATATCAGCCTCCGTGGGCGCCTGTCTATCCGCCACAAACTCAAAATGAAGACCGGTGTGACATCTTTCCACCCATGTGACGGCTTGACCTCAGCAATCGATTGCTGCGTCATAGTTCTATGTGCTGGAGGCTTTGTGGTCTTCTCTCGTGCGGCGTAGTGGGAGACGTGACAAATTTGAAGCTTTAAAGGAGAAGGTAGGTGGAGGTATTCCTCCCTGGACGTGGCGGGAGCGGCGAAGGAGGGTCTGTAGGTTTTATGGGGTTTATCTGACAGCTCAAGGGCTGGGGAGCTGCTGGTAGATATTGCGTGGCTGTGGTGTAGAAGTAGGAGAGCGAGTTGGGGTGTAGATATGAGATAGCGCTGTTTTGGTTGGTGGGAAAGCGGTAGCTTGGTCGATGATAGCGGATGGAATCAAGAAGGGATCCAGAAGGCTGTCAGAATTACTCCCGAATTTCCAAACTGGACGGAGTTGGGGCGGACGAGAGACGCGGAGGAGACGCGGGAATGATGCGCAGCCACTGACCTGGAGAGACTTTCCTGTCAGCCACCTTCCTAAGGTATCACTCCGGTCTACGACCTCCGCTAGCCGAGATAGCAGCCACACTGTTGCGCTCAATTTTTCTGCCTCACCCCACCCCATACATCGTCACAACACCGCATAGCACATCAATCTCCCTCCACATTTGCTAGTCGACCTTGCGAGACTCCATCAGAGCATTCCTGGTAAGCCACCACGTTCAGTTCGGTCACAGCGCTCATTCACTAACTCATGCACATAGTCTGCAGCCCGCACCACCTTCAAACCCACGCTCTGCCATCCAACGACCCCAAGTTCTTCACAATGTCGGGCCCTACAAAGAACTTCCTCGACCTCACCGTCACCATTCCTCCCGTCGAAACATCAGCGAGCGCCCACCGTGCGGCCTCCAACTCCGCCCACCCTGCCCTGCCAGGAGAGCAGCCAGCGCAACCGCCCGCGAGACCCACCACATCCGGCCTCGACGGGCGCGACGCTTCCACCCTTTGGCCCCGTCCGGCCCTCTTCACGTCCACGTCCCCCGCGCCTAATGCGTCCTGGCCGGGACTCGAGTTTCGAGTCTGAGCTGGAAGAACGACCAACAATGCCCACAACGCCTACGCGTGGCTTGTCGCCCGGTCGGCCAGTGAGGCCGCTGCGTCCTAGCTTCCTGTTCGAGTTCTTCTTCTTCTTCTTCTGACTCCGAGCCTCCTCTTCCGCCGCCGCCGCGTCCCCTTGCGAGAGACCCTCCCGCGTTACACCGGTGCACCTCCGCAGCCGCCTGTGAGGCCCCCTCTGCCTGGCGGAACTGTGTCGAGTTCGGACTCAGAGTCCCCGGAGCCCCCGAAGCGTCCGCTGCTGAGTCCAGGCAAGCGCCTAGCTCCTGACGACGAGTAGTAGGACTTTCTTCTCGAACATCTCCCGGAGTGGCTGGTTGTGGATTGGGCGGTATCTGGGGCGGTCTTGTCCGATATGTGTAAGTTTTTGAGGGCCTTCAGGCGGTGGTGGAGGTTTGGGACGTGAAGCTGCCTACGATGACTATCACGTGACCGAGCGTGATCATGTCTTTGTTCTCGACTTCGACGACTTGTGTCGCGCACTCCGAGCCCGAGAAGTTATTCGTCAGATCTTCGAACATCCCGATCTGGGTATGGCCGAGGAGCCGATTTGTAGTCGTTACAATTTGCAAGTCTAAGAATCGAACCAGTTCTCAACTTTGAAGCTATGGCTTTCATGTCGTGATTGCTCTTGACGCCGTGATGATGATGCGTGAAGTCCTCTGGTCTGATTTTGAAATTTTGTAGAGGATTGGAAGTCTGTCGTTGCAGAAGGTGTAAGCAAGTCCAACGACCACCAGGCACGCCCCTAAATAGCGCGAGACCGGAGATCGATTGTAGTTCATCTATAGTTTGCGCGCTCTCATAGTCAATCAATGCACCTCTAGCCCAATTCAAATTCCGTGCACAAGATGTCAAATGCATGATCGAGTTAATTAGAAACCTCCTGTACCCACCACAACAGCGCTGTTTCAGGTCCTCCAACACCCCGGCCAAAATCTGGGAAAAGGAATATGTACGGGTCAGAACACCTCCACCGTCCCCATCAACTGCCAGGCAGGGCTGAGTACGTGGTAACTTCAAATCCCGCTCGCCCTCGCGTTGTCGTCGAGTTCTTGACGACGTCCGATTACGGGATAATCCCACTGCCTTGGGCTTGCCTTTGGCGTGATGATAATTTTCCACGTCTGAACTCACCCCACCAGCGAGGACGATTGTGCTTGATCTTGGCGTGCGCGGTACCTGGGTAGGTTGGTAGAGCATGTCATGGGGAGGGCATGCTCGACCAGCGCGTGCCGTTGAGGAGCGGAAGCTCTTTTGACGCGTCGTGATCCTGAAGGACTGCTGCAGATCAACTCCAAAGTGGGGCCAAGCAACTCCTTATCCCAGCATCCAAGCCCAGCTCCACAGCGCGAGCAACTCTTGACTCCCCCTGCGGTGCCAGAAGCATCATCTTCCTCATCAAGGTATGTCCGGGTCAGGACACCTCCACCGTCCCCATTATGCGAGGCAGGGCTGAGAACGTGGTATCATCAAATCCCGCTCGCCCTCACTTTGCCCTCGCTAGGCCGGGCCTGCGCCTGCGAGTTTCCTGTGGTAATTAGCATCCGGGTACGGTTGGAACCCACTGCCTTGGGAAAGCAATCTGCTCCGCGGCTGCTGGCACTAGACTCCCCCCGAGCTTCCCACCAGTGAGGACGATTGTGGTTACTCTTGGCGTGCGCGGTAGGTAGGACCTTGGCTGAGCGGGTCATGGGGAGGGGCCTGCTCGACCAGCGCTTGCCGTGGATGTAGGAGTGTTGAACAAGAAGCGATGGTGGTGTGATGGATCTCTCTGCAGAATGTTAGCAAACCAAGTCATCATGTATCTTGCCGGTCTCTTCAACGAGACGGCACCCCCTCAACCCCATCCCCACAGCGCCGACCACCACGCTGCCATATTGATAGCCAACATCAGTATATGTACGGGTCAGAACACCTCCACCACCTCCATCGCTGCCAGGCAGGGCTGAGGGCGTGGTAACTTCAAATCCCGCGCGTCCCCGCTTTCGTCGTCGTGCCGCGGAAGAAAGCCAGCGCCCACACGTTCCTGACGACGGTCCGATTACGGTCTAGCTCCCACTGCCATGGGGTTGGGTCTCTGTGATGAGTCTGACATGGAACGTAGCCCCCAGTTGCCCACCAGTGAGGACGCGTTGTTCGATCTTGGCGTGCGCCGGGCGTCGAGGATGTCATTGGAGGACAGGCTCGGCGGGCGCGTGCCGTGGGGGAAGAGGAGGGATGGCTCTCGTTATAGCTGGGGTGCGTGGAGAGGGCGATGGCCTGTGTGGGGATGTACCTGTAGTAGATGCCCACGTATGCGACGACGGCGGTGGCGAAGAGGGCGACGATGGCGAGGAGGGCGAGGAGGAGGAGAAGGAGGAGCAGGAGCGTTCGAAACTTGATACAGAGGGAGAGACGCGGTAGTGGAGAAGGCGGCAGTGTGATGAGGGTAGTCCCGGGCTCGTCGTCAATGTAGAAACCAATTGACAGGAGAACAAGATACGTACTTACGTTGTTCTCATGAGGCCGCTGGGCTCGGAGGGATCGTTTTGGGGGAGGCCATGTTGAACGCGTGAGGATGGAAGAGAGTGGAGGGATGTTGTTGTCGCGCTGAATTTGATGTGTCGCAGGTGAGTGACGTCAGCTGGGCTTGCGACTCCGCCAGTCGGGAAGAAGGTCAGCGGGGGAGCACATCTGCGGAGAAGGGAAAGTCTTAATTCCGGCGGAGATATCAGAGGATGACTGTCGCTTCGCCGAGTCTTCATCCACCTTCGCACTTGTTAGCATACTCCAAGACCGAGGTATGAAACATGACAAGAGGTGATTGAGTATTCAGAAAATCGTTAAGATCATTGCGAACTCGCAGGCTCACTAAATCGAGAGGTGCCAGAATAGCTGTGTGTATTCATTATTGGAAGAGAGGTGGTGTGAACGTGTGAAGACTAGAAGAACATACCGCGTGTGGACGAGCCTATTTCCGAGCCTGTAGAGACATCCGCCGTCATGAGCTTGCGCTGAGAAGGGAGGCGTGATGAGGAAGGGTCGGGAGAGAAGTTTGCGGAGGGAGATTTGCGGAGGAAGCTATGCTGAGGGAGGTCTGTTGAGGGAGGCGCGGACGGCGGTGGAGCGACGTGGAAACTTGCGGAGACAATTCGAATCCAATTCGCCATGCTAGCTGTGTGAATCTACGAGGACGGTGTGCAGTAGCATGGAGCGCATCATCCTTCATCGTCAGGTCAACTTCGTGATAGTCAACTGGTACTTCCCTTTCCAGCGATATACCGAATGCTCGCTCGCTATGTTTGCGAGAGCTGTAGACTCTTGCCTAGTGTCTGTAGTATCTCAGCCAGCCTCGCGGACTCAGATTTTTGGTTCCATCATAAAAGATTTGGAAGCCGCTGCCAAAGCAGCTTCGTCCGATAGTCATTCCTGCCTGCAAAGAAAGGAGTGGAAGAGCACAAAAATGTGTCGCCGGGTGTATGCCGTTAAAGAAGGGAACTCATCCAGACAGCTACCATCCAACGGTGGCCGCTAACCATCACACAGCAGGAAGGCCCCCAGATCGGGTTCCTCACGACCACTGGGAGGGAAAACATCAATCTTGCGCTTGTGAACCCACGCTGAGCGTGAGCCGAGGTGTCCGTCTGTCAACGGTGGGGAAGTTGAAGACATTCCTCTCGCGCCGCAAAAAAAGTTGATTGAGGAAGAGAGAAGGGACGCTGGGTATGGTGCTAGATTTGTGAAGACTGGAGGACTCACCTGAAGTAGGGATAATGGTAGAACGGAGAAGCTAGTCTCCCCTGAAGGCAACGGTTAGCATGACGCGCAGAACATGAATGGAAGGAAGTAAAGTTTGAGAAGAGACTTTGCGGTCGTAACCACAGGATGACAATGCGAAAACGCCAGCTGAGCGAATGGTGATGAGGTTTGAGTTTGTCACTCCATGCTCCCCAGGTTGTAGAAGTGTAGCCTGTCGAGCTTCCAACGCCAGGCGACAGCCCCGTGGGTTTGAGTCAAGACGCTGTCGATGATGGTGCTGTAGACTTCGCTCTCGCTCAAAGGTTGGGGAATAATGATTCGACATGCTGGCGGCACGGCTTTGCAATCGGTAAGCGCTGTCTACTCGAAGAGAAGCTTCAGGCTGTTAGATGGTGCCCTGAGCGTCTCTGGAGGCTAATGAACTGGAAGATAGGGATTGTATTAGGGGTACGCCTGCCGTCAGTGTAAGGATTAAAAACACTGACCAAATTGTTCGCATGCAAGAGATATACCTTAGTGTGGAAAGTCACCGCGGAAAAGGCATCAGAGAAGTGCATGTCGTGAATTGGAAATGTCGTGGAGGGGCATGAGTGTGGGTGGACGCTAAGGCTACGCACTGTTGCTGGGCAACCTGGAGCCCGTCCTGGCACTGAGTCACCGCTCCCTTCCCTCTGGTGATCTGAACTCGGCCCGAGTGACCGTCCGACAGCCCGTATACCTGCCCCTCTGCGATGCTAGAGGTCCTGGCTACAATGTCCCACAGGAGAGTCGATTACTTTTCCTAGCGCTGATGAGTAAGCAAGCTAAGCGAGCTTGTCCGTCACCTATATCAATTCTTCCACCTACTCGTCCTGGACCTCAGCTCTCTTGTAAGTTCCAACCCCACCCCCATCATTTGAACAAGATTCACTAACAACTTTCACAGTGCCTTTTGGCTTGGATTAAGGGTAGTATCCGTTCTTGCCAGTTTAATCGCTGGACACGTCCCTACGGGGACATCTCGATTACTCTAGTCTTTGGAAACCGTTCCCTGGCCGCTGGGCTTGCCTATGTCAAGGAGCACAGTGTCGCTCGTATTGCACTGCCTCGGGCTGACGCGAACATTTTGTTCACCTTTTTTTCTTCATTGATCTACTCAGCTTGTCTGGGTCTTCAAAGAAGAAGCTGCTCTTTCTCTCTGCTTGCTTGATTTTCTGTGATGCTGTGATGTTGGGCTTTGCTTGCTTGACTCTCCGTGACGCTGTGATGTTGTGCCTTGCTTGCTTGACTCGCTGTGACCTTGGTGTTTTGATGAGGCTGCAGAGTCCTCACGACGCTTCTACCCCACGCTATACCTCCTAACAACGCGTTCAGCTTGTGGATGATGGCTGTTTGCTTGAGTATTACTGGTTCTGTGAATGTACAATTTATCCGAGACTCGCTGCCCGGGGCTAAATTGCTGTCGCATGTGGGTTCATTGCGGCTGCCGGGAATGCCCACAACCTCTGCATATTGCCCCCCGCCTGCGTGAACCCTATGGTGGCCATGAATTGCTACTGGATGCTGAATGCTGAATGCTAGTAAACGAAACTTTCCCACGATCACATCCCTCACTATCATCGCCTCCGTATCAGTCGCCCACAGCGGCGTGACGGAGGCACCCCTTGAGAGCCCGCTCAGCTCCACCTCCCCGCCACCCCTCCCCCCGCGAGACTCCACGCTGGCTGAGATGCATCCAGCATGCTCCCGCGCTGGGAGACCATAGGCTCAGGTACGTAGACCGTCGCGTGCAGACGTTTGAGCCCCTCACATGCCAGCCCTTAGCCTAGCAGGACCGTCGTTAACTCCTCCAAGGTGCTCTTAGAATTTTTGTTGACGTGGAGAACAATGCATTTGGTTACTACATCACAATCCCATGAGTTAAAGGACATGGTCCAAGCAGGGTCAATAGTATCATTCAAAAAAACCCTATGGTGTGACAACGCTACCAATGCACCGCAAGTCGTCCGCTCTTCCCAAACCGCAAACCGTATCTAGAGCTTCCTTGACTTTCGGTTCGATAGCGGCGAAGCTGGCTCCCTGCGCTTGGTTGGGTACCAGCTTCGTGAGGACTTTCGCCATGTCTGGAGTGCTCCGAAAAGACGTTTGGCAACCGCGGACGGGCATGCAGATGTGTGACCAGGCTGGCGTACCCGTAGATGCGGCGTTCTCGTCAGAGTTTCTCCTTGAGCGCGACGAACTCGCCAGTCTAGTGGTTGCGATCTTTGAAGACCTGGGCTATCAGTTTGTGGCTCGGCAATGCAGGTCGATTGGCTTACTGTTGCATAGGTGCCTTCGCCGAGCTTCTCAAGCAGCTGGAATGACCTAGGGTGCTTGCGGTTGTCCTTGGTGGTGATCTGCTGGCCTCCGCCGAGGTTTCTGATCAAGATCGACGAGTCGGTCTGTGCGTCCAGCGTGAGGCCAGGGGAATGAACTTCGTGCGGAATTGGGGCAGTGAAACCGGTCAAGTCAAAGGCCGGGAGGCGCTGGCGTCGAGCGAGTTTCGACGGAACTGGCGGACAAATTGGCGCCAGGGGGAGAAAGATGGTCGCATAAAAGGCTCCGCCTTGCGGATTGTCGTAGCCGGGAGAAGGAGTCGTAAGATCTAGAGCTCTAACGGGGTGTAGCAGAGTGTCGCCGCTAACGTGCCGATGTATATTGAGGGGGGAAGTTGTTTCTGTGACAACATGGTCGCCGATCGCGCACGCTGAGACCTCTAATGTGTCAGTCGTAGACACAGAAACGAACGAGGTGATTGGAAAGAAAATTAGAGTATGCCTACGTGGGCTGGCCAGAGCGTCCCTGGAGGCAGGCGTGATGATGCTGACGGGTCGAGGCTGGTGGCGCGTCTTGGTACCTTAGCTGAGGTTTGGAGCGAAGGATGTCGCAGCCATCATTGCGAGAGGGTTGACGGGGCGGCGGAAGATCTGGTTCTTTTGGCTCTTCAAGGCTGAAGCCGGGGGCTTGGAAGTTGACATGGCGTTAGAAGATGGTGGGGATTTGCTTTGGTGAGGTGATGGTTGTTGGACTCCTTTGAAACAGCGCGGTGGTGGTTTGGACGAGATCCGAAATTTCGAGTTTACATTTGAGCCTCGAAACGACCGTCCGGTTTACGCCGCCCAACAAATCTCGCCGCCTCGTCATTTCAATACTTTTCTCACGCCTCGTTAATGCCAGCACCGCCACCAAGCACAGGTTCGCCCTTCAATATACGTAAGTTGATCTGGTTCTCATCTTCTCCTGCGAACCCCGAATGCACTCTCCGCAAGCCTGTTTCTGACGCTCGAATCTTTCATTGGCATTTTCCAAGGTGCCGACGAAGCCCATGATGTAGCAGACAAAACCAGTGAAGCCGGAGCAGGTGGACTCCCAGCGAACGCGGCCGTCTCAAGATCGGAGAAACGTTCTATTACGGACGATGAGGCTGATGATGGCGTGGCCTGGAGTCGATGGACTCCCAGCGAATGTGGCCTACTCTGGATCGGCAAAGAATAAGCCTGTGGAGGACAACGAAGCAGAGGGAGAGGCGGAAGCTGGAGCAGAGGGAGAGGCGGAAGCTGGAGCAGATGGAATGCCAACGGATGTGGTCTGCTGTCGAGCGGCATTGCATATCTGCTTGTATGATGAATCAGATCACGGCGTACAGCCTTGAGCCGATGGAATCCCAGCGTATGCTACCGGCGCTGAACTGCGGACAATACCTACGTGCTCGAGGACCATTTTGCGGTTTGGCGACGAAGCCCATGATGAAGCCGACGAGGACGTAAAGCTTGGGACCCAGGGGGTATGCGGTCAGCACGAAGCTGGCCAAGAATATTTTCTGGACAACGAAGACTTCATGGCCTGTTTTCCGAATTCGAGAGTCTCAAATGAACGTTCACCTTTATTGCGTAAAGTTCATTTGGGCAGTATGGTTCCTCACACTGTCGCAACATGCAGGTGGACTCCATAGATGTCTCAACGGCTGACATGTTCATGAATGAGGACATCGAGATGACCGACAACCATGGTCCCTCCAACGACGCCGAGAAGCTCAGACCTCGATCAAGGAGCTTTCCCATTCATTGCCTTCCACTTCTCTGGCCGGTCACAAGTTGTTGGTGATCATCGACGCTGAACCGCAACGCCTCGACTGTACCAAGAACCTGTATGAACGTCTTTGACACCATGCCGGCCGGGCCGATAAAGGCTCGAAGAAGCCCCATCCTCGACCCCTTTTACTCGCCTCATAAATCTGCTTGTTGTATTCTGAAAACAAATTCAAGGCAGCAATGGCGACCCGTCCTTTCTCCACTAGGAACAACGCCACTACCTATGACGAATCCGGAGACACGGGAACATGAGGACTGCACCCTTGGAAAGCTAAAGATCATGACGACAGAACATGGACATTGGCGGGATGTACACTCACTCTGAAGGTCGTCATAAAGGAGGATACTCCGACGAATCTCCAACTACGAACACGGGGGAACGACATCTATCATCCTATTTGGTAGGAGGCACCTTCTGTATATCATCAGAAGGACAGGGACAGGGCGAGGTCAAATCGTCGCAATGGCTGTAGATCTATATCGAATTAGCAACCACGAACACCATCACAAAGTGGGTGTAGCCGGCTAGGTTTTCAGGATTCACGGTCACCTCTACACTCCCGCGTCGTTCTCCTCATCGCTAGCGTCTTTCTAGCTTCGTGCTCCTCGCTCACTCTGCTCGAGCATGCCCCATTCTCCGCAAGCGACGTGCTCGCCGGGGTGATTAAGCTCTAGGATGAAAATTGCTGGCTATACTCGACTTGGAGTATCAGCTACGCACATAGCAACGAGACCACGGTCCACAGCCCTCCTAGATATCCACCTCGGCCCAATCCCTACGACGGTCATGCACCATGGGTCTATCCTCTATCCCTCGAGGTGCCCCTCAGCTGCCTCTCCAGGCCTTCACAAGATCTATCTAGTAATCACACTTTGTCGAGTATGGTAAGTCTCCCCTTCAGAAGATTCAAAATGTACGTACAGGCTAACAACTGCTTCCGCCTTTTCAGAAATTCCTACCTTCCTCCGAAACAACAAAATACTCGACGGCGCAATGCGATCCTACCGCAGTCACGGTAGGTCCGGTGCCGTCTTACGTACAAAAAGAACAGGTAGTGGGTTACTCCTGCCCATGTCCAGGTACCTTTGAAACTTGCCGCTGAGAAGATTGCCCAATATGCATCTCCAGCCTCCAGAGCTGCTTCGATTAAAGCCCACTCCGTGAAGCAACCTGTGAGTCATATTCTGCCTCTCGAGACCGCAATTCCTAACCACTCAATCTAACGATGCATAGCAGGTAGTGACGGCCGTCGACGACGTACTCGAAAAGCTCGTTTTGAATTCGACCTCCACCTTGCCGATACCAGCACCTTACCTTAAAGAGGCCGCATATTCGCAGACGGCCGATCGACGCACCCTCAATATCATCGCCGTCGTGGAGCGACTCGCTCGCGCCAAAGAGGCCGGTGACTATAAGAGTGCGGCAAGGATGGACATGAAGACACTCAAGCAATTTGCGAAGATGGTGGATGTAGACATTGATGGGAAGAGTGGTGGATATTGGGGGTATATGGTTGATGACAGGGTGGCCTGCAAAGGGCGTAAGGTATGGAATCTGGGTTGAAGATGGTGGATCTAGTGGGCCATACTCTGTCTGAGTAGGGGAAGGGCGGACCCTGAGTCTAAGGTAGGGTAGGAGTTTTGTGTAGCGACTAGCGCCCTCCTACAATTACTGCGGGAAAGGTTAGTCGCCTCAAAAGGATCTCAAGTCAGGACCCGCAATTCTCTTCAACAAAGCTACCGCTGCGCCAATAGGCAGGTCTTTCATGAATCTAAATCTAATATCATTCATGTTCAACATCAATGCCGAATAACGCCCATCGAACAAGAGGAATAAATGGGATGGTTTGTTAGGGAGGGAAGCGTTATAGGGTTCTGAAGCTCATCCTCTGTGCCGCATGCGCAAACCTGTGGCTCTGCTGTCTACAAGATGATGTCCTCACGAGCCTGTCCTGGCTGGAAAGGCTAGAACAACGCCACCGGCGTGTTCACGACGGACAGGCGATGAGCTTCACACAAGACCAGCGCTACAGCACATGCGCTACAATAAGGGCTAGTGACCGCCTGCAGTCCGCTCACAGGGGTGCTGCGTAGCGGCGTTTTAGTCGTACCGTTGCTTGAGTCTCTACGGACTTCCTAGGGAAAACTGAGCCGGTTGGGCTTGTTTTGCTCATACATATTGAAGTGTTTTATATAGTAACTTTTCGATTCAACCTCTACTTCATTACGATTTACGTAATTTCGTCCGAAATAATTCAACGGAGATATAGACATGAAGAACGGCGCGTGAGGAATCTTCTGCAAAGAACATCCTCAGTACACTCAAATGCCAGTGAAACCCGTGACACAGCGTCTAGAAGCTTGTGTCTTTGGCTCTTATGTACTCATCATTTACCCGTAAATCGCTTACTTCATCCTTCATACTCGATCCTTGTCCTCCGTCCTCAACAAGCTAAATTCTCAATGTTTCATCTTCCAAAGGCCATAGGGATGTCGAAGGGCTGGGGTGTTAGTGGGAATAATCTAACTGTCAGCTCTATGAAAGCGGACTCGGCTTTCAGTGCTTCGTACTTGGTCGCCAATGGAGATCGATGAAAGGCCGACTGTGTTCCGCGCCTTTTTCGATTTCCTTGTTCTTGAACAATGACACGCCCTCGAATCTCCTTCGGTCACTGAGATCTGTAACATATATTTAGATATGGGTAATGACGTTGCGACAAGGCTCTTCGAGCCGCTACCTTCCTGATGACATACTTTCGATTTGCCTCTTCGTTCTTGTCGCTAGCTACCGCAGCAAGGCACTATCTCTTGATATGTCAACACTGAAACTGACCGCTGTGACTCGACACCACTCACGCAGCGAAGCGCACCTCCTTCACCCGCTGTGAAGAACCTTAGCAAAGCAGCAGACTCAGAAACGCCCTTCACCAACTCTCCAGAATCACCAGGGGTTCAATAATCCTGATTGCCTCTTTGAAAGAACCAATGGCGTCGGGAAACGAAGAATCCTCTCCGCGTTACGCTAGGAAATCCAGACGCAGCTTTCGGGAGGAATGCCACCAGATCGGTCGTGACAACGTGGTAGGGTAATTGGCGGATGCATACCGTTACCACTGTGCTTAACATTTTGATCACCACCTTACCTCTCTACGTGCTCCAAGTACGCATCTTTCGACTCTGTATAGTGCCGATGAAAACTTGCCTCTCCTCCTCATGCTCTTTTACCTGGCGATGGTAGCCCAAGAATGTTTGGACGAGGAACTTGTTCGCAAATTTAGGTAAACATTAGCACGATAGAAAAGCAAATGACCTCGGAATGACGCATTGGGCAAGAGAAGAAACAGCCGTCTGTGATCGGGGGCGCCTCAAGGCGAAGCAGTAGCGTGCTTGATGTTAGACCCAAGCGTGACTGAGCAAGCCTGGATACCCAAATACTTCGTCGACGCTTGCATGGACCATGGGATAGTAGGGGACAGGAGCCGAAAGGCTTTCTTCATACATAAAGTAGTCCGCGCGCACCCGGTTTGAAGGGCTCGGGGGCGATTCCGGAGCTTGGGGAATGATCAACAGTTCCACGACCACGGTTCCATGGGGTGCTGGAGGCCTGAGCTGTCGGAATTAATGAATGGGGACAGGGCGAAGAGGCCACGTCCGCTTGCATGAGGAATATTGAATGAATGCTGAGGGGTAGCGGCACCCGGCGTTAAAGACATTCCTCGGCGTACTCGATAGTGGCTATCATTACTTTTTCTCGCTACCGACGACATCTAGACGTGGGTACTAACTTCAATCCATCACGTAGGTGGTGGTCACCATCTCCACTCGGTGCGAGCAGCGCCGAATCCCAACCCCATAGGGTATCCCTGCCCGCGATTTTACTCGCTGGCTGGCCTCGCCCTCCATATCCAGGAGGTCAGATCGAGTTTGACGAGCACACACATGAAGTCGAAGCCCCAGATTCGTTGAACAAACACACCATCGAATCGAAACTCCACTTGTGTTGCTCAAACAAATCATGAAGCCGAAGTCCTCGTCGTGGTGCACCGAAAAACTCCATCAAATCCTCCCATCCACGCTTCTGACTATCCTCCATCGCCTGTCCTTGTCCGAGGAATCGCTGCGGAAGGCAAAGAGTCGGAATATATATGGTGGAATCTTGTTTAGGAACGTGCAATGCACGTGAGAAATGGACACGCTTCCAGGACAGTTCCTTAAGCATCTTCTATACTGTCATCATGCTCTGGGGTTATTCGAGTTAGCTCGAGATTTTGCAGGGAGAACTAAAGCAGAGGTGTCCTCTTTCTTGGGCATGTCACCCCCTAAGAATTGAGGCCGACACAACGCCTGCAAAAGGCAAGCACGATCACGGCTCGACCGCTACTTGACTATCCCCTCGAACTCTATCGAATCGACGCATCAACAAACTCTACGTCCTCTCCTCGGGTTAGACTTGCCAACTAGCTTTCTATCCCACAATTAGGCCTCGACAATGCCCTCGAACAACCCTATCGACTATAAGTTGAGCTAGTTCCTCTGACAAGCCCAGCGGGTTGCCTCAAGGCTGCCCGTTGCCAGAACCGACTTAGGCTATAGGGAAGGACGATATATCAATTTAACTAGTGTTTCAGCCGATAATGAGAATTTACGAGCTGCGGTGTACTATGTGTCATTTATCCCTGTTATACCATTGCATTGTAGTTATAAATTCTCCGATGGTTGTGGAGGCCAGGTTCACAATGGAATAGATCTATCCCTCTTTCATCTGTTGTGCACCCATCCTGCTAGACTAAAACACATCAAAGTGGAACGCACTGGTGGGAACAGCTGGTTCATGGGTGTTTCTCCTTGCAGTCATTCTATGCATCTAGCTACCTAGGTATATAGGGGTTGCGCTCAAAGGGCAGCAACGCTGGCTAAGGATGTAGGAGCTGAGTATACCTCAGCCTCTCCTTGTGCCAGCGGCGCAGGCCCCGGGCTCTCCGCTTGTAAAACAATAAAAAGGATAACTACCCGAGGCAACTCAAGATAGGTCGACACAGCTCAATACAGCGTCCTACAGCTCGACACGGCGTCCTACAGCAGCTGGACACGGCGTCCTACAGCTCGAGACAGCGTCCTGTCTTGGACCCCAGTCTTCACAACACACTACCAGGGAGTAGCAGTGAGGGTACGACAGGCGCACAGCACCTCGTGTATATAGCCTCATCTTCCTCAAGACCTCTTCTTCTCCTCTCCATCCTTATATTCATCATCGAATACAACACGTACAGCCTCTACTCTCTCCTGTTACGTGACACACTCCGTCACCATGCACATTACCTCCGCCTGAGCTGAGACTACACCGGTGCACTACTCGCTGCTACCGTCTGAAACACTCTGCCACACTTTAAAGATCTATATGACTTCGTAATTCGTCCATTTGACTACTCCGCCACCTCTCCCGCCAGCACTCCGAGGTCTTCGTCGTCGAGGCAGCACGTGTAACCCTCACTTCACCCTACGTACGCTAACCCTTCACGATTAGGCCTCCCCACTAGCGTCTCGCCTTCTCGTCAACAAAAGGTCGGCCACGCCTCTTCCTTCAACCTCAAGCCTCGACAGTCGTCACATCGCAGATCACAGTCACATCACCGCTTTTCTCCTCATCATCGAACCATTCACAATCGACCTCGACCCATCCAACACCCAGCCAAACAGCATGCACCTCACACCAGCAGACATCCGCGGCGCCCGGGCCTATTGCCCGGAGAGCGTGAATCCTGACCTCATCCCGCGTCGCGTACCCTACAACCCAGCGGAGGACCCCGACAGCATCGAGAACATCGTCAGACGGTGCCGCGAGAGGATCAGAATCCAACGCGCTCTGGAGGAGGCCCAGCGCGCGGCAGAGGAGGTCCAACGCGCTACGGAGGCGCGATGGGGCCAGGCGGTGGCGGTGCTCTTCCGCCCTGCTCCCACTCCCGCTCCCGCTCCTGCCCCTGCCCCTGCCCCTGCCCCTGCTCCCATTCCTGCTGCTGTCCCGGCTCGCGTCGACCGCACCACTCAAACCGAGCCCGTCGCCGACGCAACCTGGCGCGTCCGAGAGCACCACATTCCGGCCATGATGGTGCCGGCGGAGGGGACCCCCATCACCCTCCTCACCGCCGAGAATCTGGCCCTACTCGACGAGATCGTGCCGCCTGAGGCCGACTACAAGATGCTCCCGGCGAGCTGGCGTCTGCACGAGATGCGGCACCGTGACGACTGAGGGGCTCCGGTATGTTGATCCACATAAGCAAAACTATCATGACTGACACGCGATTCAGACGCACAACCCAAGCGACATCTCAAATTCAACAGCACTTTCCGACTCGATGGCAATCAGGCGGTGGATTGGGGGGTGGGCGAACGGTTTTGGGGGGTGTTTTGCGGTGTTGTGGGGATTCGGTAGTTAGTTGTTCTATTCGTCTCTAGAGATTACTCTGTGCACTGGATGTGGCACGGTGGGAGCCTGTCTTTTGGCCTGTTGGCATGGCTGTGTGTCCGCCCTCAGGGGCATGGGACCGGAATTCAAGGCTTTTCTTCTTTCTCTATTCTGAAACTGGATCGTGAATATGCTTGTGATTATATTTTAAACTAGATGCCGTACAGAAGACGCTTGACGTCTCAGTGCCGCCGTTTAGAGTCCTTCAGCATATCATGAATTTTGAGAGTACGATGTCACATTTTGCACAAGCTAAATCTAGTGTGACTATTGAGTATCTGTCCCGCCTTCAATGGCAAAACTGGGGAATCAAAAGGCTTTTCTTCTCTCTGCGTTCTGAAACTGAATCGTGAATATGTTTTTGACTACATATAATCAGAGGCCTTGCAGAAGACGGCTGACTTCTTTACGCCACCGTATACAGCCCTCCACTCGGGTTGTAACAGCTACAACCTAGGATCAACAACTCATACGGTTCACGGTCACCTACGTACAGGCACTCCCCCCTTTTTCTCTCTCCTTGATTCTCGTTCTTTGATTGGTTGCTACTAGCGCGCACTCAGCGTGGCGAGGCCCTCTGTTCAGCTACACCAGGGTCCTCTCAGCTGTGTCCATTCCTTTCAAATGGCCTCTATTCAGCTGAGCTGATAAGACCTAGGGGGTGGGCCATTTCCTATTAGTATATATTCGGCCCGTACGACCACTACAATACAAGCAGAGTTCACATCAATTTAACCTGAGTCCTCCAGCCTATCACGAAAACTGAGAGTACGATGTCACATTCTGCACAGGCCAAATCTGGTGTTGACCATTGGCTATGTGTTCCACCTTCAATGGCAGCACAAGGGAATCAAAAAGCTGTTCTTCTTGCTGCATTCTGAAACGGAAATTTGAACATGCTTGTGATTCCCATCTAGAACCAGCCGCCATGTAGAAGCCTCTTAACACCGCAGTGCCATCGTCTACAGTTCTTCGGCATAGAAAAATAAGAGAGGATGTCACGTTCTGCACGGGCTATATTGGGTATTGAATATTTCGGCTAATCAACGGGGCGTCTGCCTTGGCGAAGGGCTGGCCGGGGCATCAAAACTGTTCATGTTCTCTGCAATCTGAACCTGAATCGTGAATATCTGTCTAATCACACGCCCTTCAGAACGCTCTTGAAACTCTGGTACCACCGTCTGTAGTCCCTCAGCATATCGTGAAAATTAAGGGCGCGATGTCAATTGTTGCACGGCCCAGATCGGGTGCTGACCATTCCGGCCCATTAAAGGGCCGTACGACTTGGCGAGGGGCCTTCCAACTGTTAACCCCCACATCCATTCCTCTACCATTGTGAATATGCCTGTGACTACCTCGCGAATAAGATCACATATCACGAAATTCTTGACACTCTAGTATCACCGTCTATAGTCCCTCAGCATGTTATTAAAAATGAGGGTGCGATGTCACGTTTCGCACGGTCCAAATCGGGGTGTTGACCATTTCGGCCAATCGAAGGGCCGTTTGTCTTGGCGGAAGGGCTTCTGTTTACCTGGGCAACAACTCGGACACCTAGGTCTCCAGTATTAGGCCCCTTGCACAAGGACCTTAATACTATGGTATCACTGTCTGTAGTCCCTCAGTGTACTAGAAAAATTAGAGGTACAATGTCACGTTCTAGACAGGCCAAATCTGGTGTTGTCCATTTCGGCCAATTGAAGGGCCGTATGGCTTGGCGGGAGACTTCCTTCTTAACCTCATCTCCGGAAAAAGGTGGCACTCTATATGAGTGTGTGCACGTGTATGCCACTGCTTGGGGTGCTTTAATGCATTTGCGGGTGATGGAATCCCTTTATTTTGGGCTATTTCAAAAGTTGTTGAAGCCTTCTGAGCAGTGGCAGACAGGTGTACGCGTGCTTAATGACTGCCATGCTTCTCTTAATAGAATTGGCAGCCCATAAATGCGTGGGTCTGGTTGACACTTTTCTATCCTTAAGTTACACACTATGTCTATGTTTGTGTACATTTAATTAGCAGCGTTTGAGGTCCTCTGGTATGTTAGTCTTGATCGTAAAAAGCCAGCTTTAGCAGTTCTAATAGCTCTCTGAGCCACCCACCTCAGACAGCGTTGCACTGCCACTTTATGTTTAGTGGAGCTTGAGTGCGCCACTTTTTTTTAGCGCCTAGCGTGCTTCCTTCCACGATTAAATTTTCCCGACGCGTCTTTGTCTGTTTCACCACTCTCTTCACCATCGGCGCCGAATTACGCTCATAGATACATCCCGACGAGATCAAGCTATGCTGTTCAGCACGAAGTCGAGCTGCACTCGTCACGACTCACAATCACGGTCACTGTTCTCCCTATCTGGTGCTTGCGCTGCCTGAGCCTCCCTCTTGCTTGCTAAACACCACAGTCAGGAGCAGTACGACTGGTAGGTCGTCGGCTTGTCAAGACAAAGCCTGCCACTACCGCCAGCATTCCTATTACACCCGTGGGTCACAGCATTACGGTTAAAGTCCTCCCTACCTGGCGAATACACTCCTTAGGCTTTATTCTTGCTTACTAGATACCACCGTCACGAGCAGCTCGACCGTTATGTCGTCGGCTGGTCAAAAGGGAACCCGCTACTGCTGCCAGCATCTCAGGTATCCTCCTAGCGCTAAGTCTAGTCGTGCTTGTCACGGTCACGGTTAAACTCTAGCTGTTTGTCCTTCCTACCCGGCGATTTCACCGCTTGTGCTTTGCTCTTGCTCACCCGACACCACTGTTAGAAGTACCCTATTTGGTAGGCTATCGGTCAGTTAATAGGCAACCTACCGCTACCACGAGTATTTCGGCTCTGCCTGAAGGTGACAGCAAGTGGGACGAAGGCACGGACTTGGATTCTGTCTTCCTCCAATACCTGCCCCGAAGCTTTGCTGATGGTGATAATTCAGCCGATGATGGCAACGACGAAGGATGCGAAGCGAAAGATACAGACTCCACGCCTTGCTTCAGAACCAGCCTCATCTCCGGAGCGGCTATGCATCAGGTCTCTTGCTCGTTCGACACCGCTATCAAAAATACCCTACCTAGCAGACGACGAAGAAGACCAAGAGGAAGATACAAAGGCCTGGCATCTCTTTAAAGCCAGCCTCTTTTCTGGAGCAGTTACAACACGAGGTCATAAGCTCAAGCAGATGGACAATTCGTTCCTCGGGCGCCACTTTTGCTCGATCGATACTGCTGTAAGAGGTACCCTAGTTAGCACCTCTTCGGTCACTCAAACGAACGGTAGTCTTGTATCCAGTGCGTGGAGTTCTATTGTATTCTAGAGTTTCAGCAGCCTGTCGACATTCCTCAAGAATATCGAAAAAGAGCTCCAATCTGAAGCCCGCTTCCGCCGCTCACGAGGGCAATACTACCAATCTAGGACAGACCATCCAGCATGAGGAATGAGCACTGCTCAGGTACCAATCTTGCCCGCTTCACATAGCTGCAGGAGCAGCCGGACCAGCAGGTAATCATCAGAGCAGCTACCAAAGGCAGAGTCCAGCTTCGGTACCCGCGTCCACCGCCCACCAAGACAAGGCTACCGGCTTAGAACAGAAGGTCAGGCACTCGGATATAGCACTGCTCGAGCTCCAATTCCTCTCGCTCGACGCCGCTGTAAGGAGGCTTCAGTAGCAACCAGTCAGCCAGTCAAAAGGCTGCTTAGTTCTTGCGTCTTCGTCAGATTCCAGCCCTCATTGAGCTTTGCAGAGTATCAATTCAGGGATGTGGGTATACCCCCGCACGAACTCCGCTCTTGCATGCTCGATAGCGCCGTGGGAAGCAGCTCAGCTAGCAGGTAGCTGCCTAATCCAAAGGCTGCCTGCTTTCCACTGCATCGGTTCTCTGTTCTACAAGTGAGTACTCCGATTTCATCATGTACCACGCAATTTCGAAGGATGAAACCAAATTATCTTGATCTATCCGAAGCGCTCATCCGCGCTTGCCATTGCATTGCACTACGCGTTGGCGAGCTACTGGTCGAGCTTGTCGAAACCAAGAGTTCTGACACTACGCACATCCTCAGTCATCTCAACGTAGACTTGGGTGGGCTCTTGCTGACTGTTCTTCTCACAGATCCTCTTCTCTCGTCTTCCTGCTTCACGCATAACCCTACATCCGCTCTATCAGTACGTATATCTGCCCTCTCATTTTACACCCTATATCTTCGAAGGATGAATCCAAACTTTTGATCTATCCGATGCGCTCAGCCGCTCGCGCCATGGCATTGCACAACGCCGTGGCGAGATGCAGGTTGAGCTTGTGGAACAACGAAGAGCTATCTGACACAACGATTGAACTCCACTATTTTGTTAGCACATCGATTAGCCTCTTACTAACCGGTGAACCTACAGATTACGCCCGGTCTCCTTTAAAACGATGTCCGGACTCAACGAGTACGTACTGCTCCTCCTCCCCTTTCTCCATCACACACTTCACACTTCGAAGGATGATACAATATATACATAATCTATCCGATGTGCTCATCTACTCGTGCCATCGCATTGCACAAAGCCTTGACGAGATGCTGATTGAGCTTGTGGAATATCTAGAGCCACCTGACACTGCCACTGTATTTCCCCGCTTCGTTATCACATCGACTGGCCTTTCGCTAAGCGTAAATCCTACATAATACGCTTCGTTATCTTCCAAGAAGTTGTCCTTGTTCATCAGGTACGTGCACCACTTCTTTTATCACATACCCCACGGTTCGAAGGATGAAACACTTTGATCATAATCTATCCGATGCGCTCAGCCGCTCGCGCCATTGCATTGCACAAAGCCTTGGCGGGTTGCTGGTTGAGCTTGTGGAACAACGAGAGCTATCTGACAACTATCCACATACTACCCTCGATGCATTCAATTTCGAGGCAAAGCGCTAATAATCGGTTATAGAATTCTCACTAGTACCGGCCGGAGGCCGACACAGCCTTTAGAATCTTCCACGCACTGCCTTTCTCTCCACCACGTTCGGCTCCGTTGTAGCACCGGCGCAGCGCCCACCAGCGAATCTGTGGATACAAGAGCGGTTTCTCGAGGCACATAGTGTTCTCTCGCAAAGCCATAAAGAATAAACAGTCTGTTCATTGCACCCCATGGCATATTTGCGACGATCCATCAACTCTTCGCCGTTACTACCTCTGGTGTAGCTGACAGCCGCTGGAGCCACATTCCCCCCTGAAACTCGTCAGAGAAGTTGAGGTCTGAAGCCTTGAATCATCCGGCGACTTGCTGGGAATCATGAGGCTCAGATGCTGGGTGACCTAACGGCCTCCCGCTCTCGGCAAGACCGAGCGTCCAAAACCGACTTCCAAAATAGCTACTCGACGAGGTGAACGTGCGAGGAAAGACGGCATTCCTGTTACACATGGCTGAAGTAGACTCTCACGTTGATAAGCGGAAGAAGGAGGAGGCGAATGACCTTGTACAAAAATCTGCTCTCGGGAATAGCGTGCACTTCACGCCGAATTCAACTTGGAGAAATTCAAAGCCTATCTCCGCCACGATCAGTTCGTCCATGGCGTTAGTTCATAGTTAACTCAGATAGTGTCAATTGTTTACCGACTAATCGATCGGGTGCATCGTAAAGTATATTCGTGATCCATACTGAGAACAATAACGCCTTCCAGCCGAGCAAAGAGGTCTACCGAAAATGTTGCTACGAATTTCTAAGCGCTGAAAGGAGGGGATACTAATTGGGCGTGCCAGAGTCTTTCTCGACCGCGATATATTGTTAGGTGGCGAGGATCCCACCTTGAAAGAAGTAAACTAGGTCATAAATAAAATTCCATTCTTCGTCACGGAGGCATATATGTAGCAATGTAGCAAGAAGAGTGTAACGTAGGGCATTAAAAGAAAATAGAGTACGTAGAAGATACGCAAGGATCAACCAAAAAAAATTATATGAAGTTGGTGTAGGTATACCAGCAATAGCAAGTTTCGAATCGTGGATGGCGGATGAGGCTGATTAAGGCTAAGGAGTGGGGCTGAGAATGTAAGCTAGCAGCCCCAATCCCATCGCCTCGACCCCAACCTACTTTGCCCTCGTAACACCACCGAGCGCCCCCTCTCGGACGTCCTCAATCTCCTCGCCTTCACCTTGAAGAAGATCAACGTCTACCTCCACCATGACAAGTTCATCCAAGGCGTCATGCGATCTTACGACAACTGCGGTAGGCTGTCCATATTGTAGCACTGCAAATTTCCGCTAACCCAGCTTGACAAAGAGACTGATTTGATCAAGTGCTTACTCGAAAGCACATGCCCGCCTCTGCCTCCCCGAAAAAATTCCTTCCAGCCAGACCAAGAGCTGTCGTTGCTGGCGGACACCTTCCCGCCTTCTTCTTTACGATAAATCTGGCTCTGGTGGCTACGATAAATCTGGTCCGGGTGGATATGACGATGCTCCACCCCGCAACGGAAACTATGCTGGTGACGAGAACCTCAAGCCCTGGCAGCGTAGCCCAGCTGGCGCTGCGGCTTCCTGGGCGCAGCAGCGCGGCCGAGATGACCGAGACGGTGGTTCCTCAGGCGCATTTTCTCCTTGGGCAGCTGAAGCAGGAGGTGGCGGAAACAACTACGGCTACAACAACTACAGTGCGGCTCTGGAAGATCCTCCTGGTGCGAATCCTTAGCAGCAACCGGCTGCACCTCCAGGAAATCAACAGTACGGATATAGAGGCTACGGCGCGACTTTGTACGATCAGCAAGCCCCTAGTTACGGCTAAGCCCCTGGAATGGGTGCTCCCGCGGGTATGGCTCCACCGCCTGGACTCGAGGCTTTCTTCCAGAACTCCGGCAGTGCGACTAGCCCGCCTCTTCCACAGCTGCCCGGAAAGGCTCTTCGTGGATTATACCGGAGAGGACAGTCCAAGATCTGTTGTTTACTGCAGCCGCAGCCCAGTTGCCATTGCTAGCAGCGTCAAGAGGATCACCAAGGCTGCTGGAAAGCACAATGTCCTCACAGTCCGCCCGGAGCTAGCGAGAGCAAGATATGCTATTCCCGGAGACCGTACGCCGACGTCCCTTGAGACATATTCGTTGTTCACAGAGAGATCATCGCGATGAGAAGATCTTGATACCGGCTGGCTGGAAACGCGGAGGCATGGAGGTCGTCTCTCGACTTCACAAAGCGGGTCAGAAGCCTAGGAGACGGGCTAAAGTACAAGGAGAATCATCGTGGCTAAGCTTGGCTTTGTACCGGAGTACGAAACCGAGCCATGAGTTACCTTACTCATAGCCCTGCACGTCTGCTCAGCACATTTTGTGAACGATCTAGCAGCCCGGTAAGCTCTCCACGACTACATATAACAGCGTCATACAGACGTAACGCGACATAAACTCAGTCCAAAGTTAACATCGGATCTTTTTGCAGTGTGCTTGACCCCCTGACATGGGAGCATGTCCACGATGCCGGACCCTTCCGAGACGCCGTCAACCGTGTTGGCCAGTTTGCCGTGTGCTTGACCACCCTGACATGGGAGCGTGTCCGCAATGCCGGATCCTATCGAGACGCCGTCAACCGTGTTGGCCAGTTTGCCGTGTGCTTGACCACCCTGACACGGGAGCATGTCCGCAGTGATGGGTCCTTCCGAGACGCCGTCAACCGTGTTGACCAGTTCGCCCAAGAGCATCTAACGCCGAAGAACCTCGAGTTCGCGTTTGTGACGCTCGATTCATAGAACCAGCAAGCGCAGCATCTTCGGGAAGCCTATGACAATTGCCATGCTAGGACGCGATAGACGGATGTACCTTGAGACACGTAGATCATCCGTGGATGGAATATGGCGATACAGGCGAGATCGTATGTCTTTAAATGGCTTTTGCTATGTCACTTCATATGACTAACCACCCTCAAGGATCTTCAAAAGGATGACACCCCGGCGGGCCGGAAGGATGCTGACGTCGGAGGCGTCTTCTCCCCACACAAGATCATGTCGATGCGGATAACTTCTCGCATGGATCTGTATCTGTGTCCAAGTGCGACCGTTGAAAGACAATGGCACACTTCACACCAGCCCGAGCGCAAACAGTTGCACCGCGAGTTGCAACCAGGCGTCTGAATGTAGCATCGAGATGTCTGAGTGTGGCATCGAGCATTGGTTCGGTGAATAGAGATCGGGCTGCTAGTTGGGCTTGTAGTGTTGCCCATCACGGAAGTCTAGTGTCACGCCGAGTCGGGATTCCATAAGGGAGACCTGAGGTCGGAGGATAATATGGCTTGGGCAAAGGTTGGGTTCGTCCCGGACCATGGCACAAGGACATAGTTTTTAAAGACTCAATTGATGACTTTCTCTGCTGCCACCCGTAACACATTCGTCCTTACATTCCAGCGATGGGCTCGGGTTGGAGTAGAGTGAATTGAGGGTTCGCGCTACTCCGCTCCAGCGACGACGGTTATTACCTTTGAAAGCTCCATGGAGCTCGATGCGCGTGACATTAACAAATAAATTGAGTGGATTGGTTTAGCCGGAACGTTTCCTAGGCGCGTAGTAGTCCAAACTTACCTGCTTCTAGCACCCAGTACCTTCAAGAGTCTCGGGATATAGAGGGGATGGTATGAACGGGATGTAGGGAGGGAAGAGAGGGAGAGGGTCATAAACAGCACGCTCTGATTGGTCAAGTCTAATCACACGTGATGGATAGGCCACGTGATCCACAGCCTTAAATTCAATCCCCTCCACCCAGTTTGAGGCCGGCTTCACGCTCCTACAAAGGCTAAAATTATCGCTCCGACCGTTCCAGCTCCAATCGCTCCAGTCCAGTTCCATCACGGTACATCCACACTCTCGACACCACCCGCCGTCACCATCGGTCACCTCCGCAATCCTGAATGGCCGCTCAACCTGTTCTACCACTCGAAGCTCAACCCTAGTGCACCTCGGAGGGTTATTCCTCATCAGCGACGAAAACTTCGTGAAGATTCGCAATTCAGATTGTACGCCCGTTTTCAGGATTTGCTCCTAGTCTCCGAAATGCTAATGAACTACTAGGACCTTAGGAAGGACGATGTCATGCCGGCTAGCTAGACGTTAGAGGCCGCGCTGCCTATTGAGCTTAGGTATATTTAGAACGTCCTCGTTCGGCAAGATCTTCGAAATGTTGAGTCTCACCAGACTGCGACGACCGTGGACGAGACAACGATGAAGAAGAAGTTGTCGCTCGACCACAACAGACACTCCCTCAAAGTGCCCTACCTCATCGCTGCGCCAGCTGAGGTTCATCAAGAGACCTCGCTCCATGCGTCTAACAGCGAAATACCGAGAAGACCGATGGAGCCCCCCCTAAGCCTACGTTCGCAGAGCTACACCTCTCCATCGTCCGCAAGAACACTCCAGAGAGCATCTCGGCTTCATCTCCTGCTCCCGCAAAGCCTGAGGCCATCCGCGACGTCTACAAACTTCCAATCACTAACGACGATCTTCTCGCCCATGAGACAAGCATGCTTCACATAATGTCCAGGCCGCTTCAGCCTCCTCCCTCTCATATCGATCGCACACGTAAGGGCCTGTCATACCTCGAAGCCTATAGCTATAACCCGGATAGTCAGACAAGATTGGGGGGGAAGGGTGAGGGCATTCTACATCCGATTAAAGCCAAGGAGAAGAGAGACACTGTTGGCTTGGGAATGAAACTCAAGTCTTCCAAGAATGGCAAAGCTCATGTGCCAAAGAGACCGATCAACTTAGATGCTAACAAAATCCGGAAAATGCATAATGAGGACACGAAGAAGCAGAAGAAGTTGTGAAGCTGTTCTACAATCCGCCCAAACGGCAGCATCTACGGCGTCCATCACAACCTTAAGACTATCTGCAAGGTGTTCAAAGAAGACATCAAGGCCGTAGAGCAGCTCTGGATCCCACATGCCGATATGACTGTACGGATTACGAGAAATACAACAATAAGTTCAACTTATGTATGTTCTACCCCTCTTGTCTCCTCATCTTCATACTAACCTGTAGTAGCAGTGATCTCGAGCCCGCCGCTCGTCTGATCTCTGGGACCGCCACATAGTCCTGTTCTGAGATCTTTCCGCCGTGTGACGCGAATGCAAAGTGAAGCTGGATTGAAGGCATATCGCCCACAGCTTAGGCGACTGGATAGGGGTAGACACAGCTCCTCCGTTAATTCCAACAGTTTCTGGATTTACTGGCGTCAGCTTTTCGAAGTGAAGTGTCAATCACATGACTGAGTGCGAACGACAAGCAATGCGGGGAGATGTGAGGAGTTAGCGTTCACGAAATCGCCGCGACCACCCCATTCAACTAATTTACCGATATTGAGATCGGGGACCGGAAAGACGATGCTGTAGGGGACATTGAAGTATTTTGGAACGAATGGAGACAGTTACGTAGAGTAGGATGGCGGAATTTCCTGAGGCATCAGTACGCTTCCTTAGCAAAAGCGCAAAGGGCCGCAATTCGGGCTCCGCTACCTCGCTCAATAAAGGCCTCTAGCACTCTAACAACTAGATACGAGTTATAGAACCAATTATACTTGCCGTTAACCCATATATATATATGCTGAGAGACGAGTTCACCAAGCAAAATAATTCACCGCCCAAAAAGATTCACCTACTCAGCGATTCGAACTCCAAAAAAATTCGTAAGCTCACTTTGATAAAGCGTGTCATCCTTAGTGCAGGGGCCATGCTAATCTTCTCTGTGTTGTTACGATGTGACCAAATGCCCGAAGGCGAAGGACGTTGAAATTTTACAAAATATATACACTGGCCTGGAGTGGGTTGGTTAGTGCGCTATTGTTTGCGCGCCTACCACCACAACAGTGCTAGAACCCGCGAGAACTTCGGCAATTAAACAGACTAAGGGCTGGTTGCACGTGTAGAAGCTATTGGAGTTGCTGTGGGCACTTTGCTTAGAGCTCGAGGAGACGGAGCGCGCCGCAGGTACGTGGATTCTTACGACGCGTCGCTGTGTTGTGATGATACGAGTATACCCACTCTGAATTATCTCTTCGATTACTTTTCTATCCACATATCTACTTATTCCCACGCTCTTTCCGTCCCCTCATAAGTACTCACTGCATCCCTCGCCAGTACTCGCTTTATTCCTCCTTCTCTCCGTCCTACTCCTCCGCCTCCGCCGGTTCTGCCACCTCGCCACCTCCTCCGCCTCTTTCGCCCATTCCACTGTCTCCTGGGTAAATAGCCACTACGTCGGTTGTACCCCAGCCGCCCATCGTATTAATCACCCTAGCCGCCGTTCACCCTTTCAGCACTCGCTATGCTTAGAAGAGTCACCTCGATGCCGAACCTCCCATCCTTATTCTCTCGCAACGAAGGCGAAACTAATCCACTGTGTACACAACTTCCCATCTCGGAAAGCATTTGGGCGTACACCGTTAGCCTTTCATCTCGGCGGAGGCAGGAGCATGGGACGCAGGCATTGAGATCGTGGACGAAACATCGCCGGGGTCTGAAGGGACACCGGCGGTATTTCAAGTTGAAAGGGGATTAGGGGAGAGGGAGAGACATGAGGAAAAGGGAGAAGCGGTCACCTAGACTGGTGCCAGCAGCGGCTAGGCTGATATAAGATGCGAGTATGCAGGGAAAGAAAGGGGAAGACTGGTGACACTGGGGACGAGGAAACAGCCAACTTGAATCCCCATGCAGAAGGCTTGCGCTTAGAGGACCTGCCAGTACTCTTTACAAAGACTCAGCATTATTCAATCGAGGCTGAGAACCACCTCTCGCTCCGCTCCGCAGCTAAGACCAACATCCCCTCAAATATCTACAGGCTCGTGCTCTTCCGGAGAAGGACGAGGTCTATTTGACTCAAGGCATGTTCATTAGAAGATAAATCTTCCAACTACCCCTCCGCGGTTTACCTGGGTGCCCACAATCGCCAATCGCAACGAGCTCCAGAAAGAATATCCTCCATCGTCCTACTCCTTCTCAACAGCGCTAAAGCAACAGACATTCAAGATGCCACACGCATACAAGAAGTCCACTCAGTGGTATCCTAGTACCGCTGCAACGAAAGCCAACAAGCAGCAGCCTCGCCATCCGACGTAGCTGATGGGACCACACTTCCCCAGCGGGATGTCAGCGTCAGATTTCAGAAAGACGACAACAACCAGAGGAAGCCCCAGCACCGGTGGGGGATTTAATGGATACTGCGAAGTCTGCGGAGGATACGGAGGTGCTCAGCCGCGCAGAGGAATACTGGCCGAGGAAATGATACAAAAAGGGTCGCGGCTATCTAGCATCTTATTGAGAATGATTATGGACATCATATCCAATTCATTCATCATTCGTACTGCCGTTGCTCTGATTAGATTAAACTTATGGGACTCGCATGATTGCCTCTCTCCCATTAGTGTAATCGCAACTGCGGTTCGCTCATCTTGCTACCCAATCTAGCACTACTCCCCACAGCGCAGTCCGCAACCCATCTCACGTACCGTCCTCGAGCAAGGCCATTTGCCCGATCATATTCCACAAATTCAGGCCCGCGGACTGATTCTCAGATACCTCCATACCATAGCTCCCATCGCCGTCCGTGTCTATTACAAGACTCATCTCATCAGGCACCATTTTAGCGCGCGAGCGCTCATCCTGAGTGGAAGCATCCCCTTAGCAAACATTAACAAGCGCACTTGGAATCAGTCCCCACCCGTAGATGGCCCGCCCATCCATCGAGACTCCACTCATGTCTTCAAGATTTCAACAAGCAATCCTCGTTGCTATTCTGAAATCCTTTATTTCCCTACCTCATTCCTCTTTCTCGGCTACCCTACTGTCCCTTCCTCCCACTCATCCGCCGCATAACCATTCGATTGTCAAACTCCTCTATACCCTCAAACCGCTTATTGCCAAGCATAATAGTCTTGAACCTGTCCCCAGATCCGCCCGCTACGACGCGTTACCAACTGCGCAATCGAGCCCGGGGTCGAGACCCACGACTGCTCGTCTTGCTGCGAGCCGTTGCCTGCGTCTGGGAAGCGTGGCATCGTGAGTAGCGCACCGGCGCTGGTGACCGTTTAGGCGTCCTGTTTGTCGGCTCTCGGATCCTGGGTCGTGGGAGGGGGGGTGTCAGACGCGTTGAGCTTTCGAACTCGGCAAAGAGCTCTGCTGGTTCGTCGACTAGCGTATCCTGATATGAAGGTGACGTCGGGGTCGGATTTATAACTGTGAGGTGTGTGGCTATCAGAGCCTTAACAGCGTCCGCGTTTTCTTTTGGCGAATCTAGGACTATAGCTTCATTGGTGCTTGGCGTCCTGAGCTCTTCCGGCTTGAAGGAAGTTAATGGTCTTATCGTTCCTAGCTGTGAGATGGGCACTGGTTCTTGCTTGATACACTGTACAACCAAACGGAAAACTTTAAATTGTGTAATCTTTTCAGATTAAAATATTCATATCTAGCTACTACAATTTAACTTCGGCGATAGGCGCGACATTCACCCAAATGTGCCCTTCTCAATTACCCCTCTGGATAGTCATTGACAGGAACATAGACTTTCTCTTCAGTCTTGGTCGGGCGCCTGTAGTCCTTGGTCGGGCGCCCGTAGTCCTGAGGCGGGTGGTAGTCGGGAATGGCCTTCATCACCTCCTCTTGAGTCTTAGTCGGGCGCCTGCAGTCCTGAGGCTGGTGGTAGTCGGGAATGATCTTCATCGCCTCCTCAATCAGGTTGTGGCGCTCATCGTCCGGGCGCTTGCGGTAGCGGTAGTCACGAGTGTTAACACGGCGTTCAACGTCGTCGTAATGTCATCTTCGTGGCGTCCGCGGTATTCGTAGTCACGGGTGTTCACACGGCGTCCAAAGTTGTCCTACTGCGGTGGCGGCAAAGGAGAGTTTCTCCATCAGCTCGTGGCGCTCATCCTTAAGATACCGGTAGTCGCGTGTCCAGATGGCGTCCAAAGCTGTCGTGCCGTCATCTTCAAGGCGCTTGCGATATCGGTCGTCACGAGTGTTCACACGGCGTCCAATGTTGTCATACTACGGTGGCGGCGAAGGAGGTCTGTTAACGGTAAGTGCGTGATCAAAGCAGGTTGGTTCGCGACAATCTTACCTTTCGCTATTCCCGTTCTTTGTGCGAGCTTGCTCTTTATGGATCACGGGTTCGTGCCAATCCAGAACCAAGCACCTCTAAATCCGCTACCAACTTCGTACTTGCATCGACCAAAACTAGACTGGCAGAGGTGAGCACCTGTGATCGTCGAGGAAAGGCGGTTCGGGGAGAGGTTTAATAGGTTTTCGCCTGTAATAGACCTATATAGGTTAGAGGTCTGATAACTGTGAGTTCTGTGGGCGTATATACCATGGCTATCAGGCTTTTGGATTTATGTGGTGCTTCTTGGTACTCGGTCAACGTTTGAGCTTGGAGAGTTGGGTCATCGCAGAGGCGGCATAAGGTGAAAAACTCTTAACAAGGTGAATGCGCGATTGGGCATGCCCTCGATATGTAGAGCCACGGGTGATGAAGAAGTGAAGAGTTGTAGGTGAAGGAGGAAGGAGAAAGTGAGGAGCTATTGGTGGGTGATGTAAAGCGAGAGCTCCAAGGCGGCAGTGTCGCGTATCAAGCTGGAGAAGCTGGTCTTTAAAACTTGAATTGTCCGTCTCCGGAGCCTCAAATTGGACACGAGGATCAACCGCAATCCCACACTTCTCCCGAAGCCATGCCGCCATGTAGGTGAGAGAGACGAGATCGCTAGCGCTCAGGTTGGCGACCAAGATGATCGCCTAAGAAAAAATGATACAAGCTTCAACTGAACACCGGATATCGTCGTGGGGTTGCCAAAAACCTGCCGGGGTCGGATGGCGGTGGAGCAAAGGGTAGTGGGCGTGCTGATGAGGCGTGCTGATGGCTAGCCAGACTCAGGCGAGACTCTCGGGGATCTTGAAGAGTTCTGCGAAAAGACGTCGCACAGGGCTAGGCGCGCGATGAGTCTTTCGTGGTAGCTCTGGCGCCAAAGGGTCTTCGTCTAGGGCTACTTAGTCGAGCAAGAGGCAAAGACGGTTAAAATCACTTACAAGCCAACCGTAGACACGCAAGGAACAAAACCTGTTGCATGTGACGTCTCATTCGTCAATGTCGAAGCGCTGGATGTTAACGGCGTCGGGCTCAATGCACTGCTCAAAACCATTTCCTTCCTGCAATCCTAACGAGACCAGACCTGGTCGTAGCGCTCCTTGAACCACTCTTCATTCTTGTGGAGTCTAGCGAAGGTTCGGGCAATTTGGATCTGCAGTTGTTCCTTGTACTCGTCGTACGCGATTTGGATCTGCTCCCTCTCCTTCCCTCGCTCTTCCCGAACGGATTGACGAGAGACACTAGGGCCGAGGATGCCCCTGGGGTCCGTTATTCATCCTACTTCGCCTGGCTCTATTGTAGGCCCTGTTAGGTAGGCGGCGGGCTCGGTGCGGAAGCTGGATACCACTCTGATGCAGACGGTACGACGTGTTAGATTGCACAAGGCAACGCAGCGGCGAGGAGACGGGGGAGGGGGTGTCTTACAGGGCAGGAATCGGACGCAGGACGCGCAGTTTGCAGTGTGTGTAGAGGCTGGTCACGGTGGATATTGGTGTTGTGTGGAGGAAGATGTGGTGGTGAGGTTGGAGGATGAAAAAGGCGAGTTTTGTCGCGAGGTTGAGGAAGCCAATGACTCGGAAGAGACCGTGGTCAAAGGGATTCAGAAGTGTGTCGATATACGCGGACCGCAGGATCGAGACGGAGGTAGATAAGAGGCTTCTCGAGATGGCCGAGTCGCTCGTTTTGACTACTCATGTTCGGAGGTACTCCGGCAGAACCTGCAAAAGAAGTACGGGCAGTTAATAAACAAACTCGAGAGTCAATGGCAGAATTGCTAACAGGTAAGCTGTAGGAAAGTACTTGTTTGCTTGTTTAACTAGTAAGGAAGCAAGCAGGCGTAAAGGTGCAGTCGCTTGCTAGTTCGCCAGTTGACTTGCATTTTATATAGAGTTATATGACCACGTTCCCGACAACCGTAGAATTAAGAAGATGTTGTCTATCTAGGCCCCTGGCACCTCGGGGTTATATATCCAACTGCTACTCTCTCAACCATGCATTTCTTGCGAGCTATGAAGTATATAGCTAATTTAGAAGCTTTAGAGACCTTGGTTTTTAATTGCATTAGACTGTCTTGACATTTCGAACCTTTAGGAAAAGAGTCTGGAAGCGATTTCAGACGGGAATAGAGCCAATATAGGAAGCTCGGCCTAGCGGCCTCGGCCGGTTCACTTGCGTCCAGCATAAATCAGTATACTATAAAATAGGCTCCCGATATCCTTCGTAGTACAATCACATCCTCCACGCTCACTTCCAAGCCCACTCTCTCCAACGCCCCCTTACTCCTAGGCCAATCCACGAACTTCAAGGCCCTGAAAACAAAATTCAAGCTGCCCTCTCGTTCTCTCAAAAGCCTCTAGACGCAGTGCAGGCCATTTCCTCTTTTCCGAACACCCAAACATATTTAAAGCAACTGCCTGCGCTTCCGGTCAGGGCCAAAGTCGAGACTATAGCCGAGGACGAAGCCGCCGATGCTCGATATTCTGTCGAGTCGTACTCTCCCTTGCATCACATTCATTCACTGAAACGCAGCCCGACTCTTCCTATCCGTCCAATTCGATTTCGCAGCGCAGTGGAAGACTCAGGGGACGCTCAAGATGATCAGGACGGGGACGATGACGCGCAGAATGACGAGGGCGAGAGCACTAATGTCGAGGACGATAAGGATGAGGAAGAAGAGGAGGACCCGGACCGCGTCTTCTTCGACGCCCAGGTTAGGAACCCGCAAAATTGTCAGTGCATTGTTGGGCACCGGGGCAAGAGTAGCAACTGCACTTGCTGCGGAGAGTGGGTCGAGGATATAATGATGTATTGAAAGGGAAGGAAGGCTTCGAGTACCACCTAGGCCCGATCGACGAGAGTGATGTGGCAATGCTCTATTTCCATTCCTCGAAAGACTGCGACTGCCAGCTCCCGGACGCTCTAGGCAATCCAAGATCTAAGTGGAAGACTCAGCTGGACAACGAGTACGTCTTCCAGGATCGGAGTGACGATGAGTACGAAGAAGAAGAAGGTTCGCAGAGGGACTGGACGAACGAAGAGATGGTGGGATGGCAGACAACGACCACATGCACGGTCGAAGACCTTGCCATCGCCTAAGAAGATGTTTAGGTATGCTGCCACTTCGGGCGTCTAAGCCAACTCGGCTTCGGTTTCACTGTTCGTATCAATAAGACTGACGTTCCGAGTAGTATGTCTTCCTTTGCGAGACCTCGCCGAAAGAATCAGTACAAGGCTGAACCTGCCCAAGCCTTTGAATAAATCCTTTCTCTTGCCCGGGCACCCGACAACTCCTTACACACGGTCGCTTCGCCCGTTCCTTCGGCTTCCATCCTCTCGATTCGATCAGGCATCACCCTGTCCAGCACTTTCTTGTCTAGTAGCACCCCCTACAACACTACCCCAATATACAGCATCACCTACTCCAGCAACACTTGATCCAGCACCATCTTACCGAAAACGACCTCTAGCACCACCGTAAAACCCACATGTCCGCGTAAAAGAAGGAGTCACCCGTCTTGAGGATTCATTGCAATGGGGCTAATACGACTCGGAAGCTGTCGACAAGCTCAGTGGGTGTTTCGATGAACGCGGTCAGCGCAAAAAGGTGCCGATAGCGTTGGAGGAATTGTCTGATGAGAAATATTATAGTAATTCATTCTACACCAGAGCAGATCACGTTTTCTCGTGAGATATTGCAGTTGCTTATCATGCGGTGTCTTTCTTGTGGATGTTACGACATGCACATTCATTAAAATGCTGATGAGTTCCTAAAACCTCTAAGTGAGCAGGCCTTGAAAGGCTTTAACTATTCTTCTGTTCGCACTTTCTCGACCTCTTTTACAAATTAACTAATCACAACCCATGGCCCAAGTCTAGTTCCCACTTTCGAATTTCTCTATAAACCCGTTGCAGTTAACTCTAGTAGCCAATAGGGGCATCTAAGTGTATAGAGATAACTGAAAGTCGCATTCCTTTAAGCCGCAACGTGCTGGACCACTTAAGTCGACCTCTATTCAACTTCCTGAGTTGGAGGCTGACCACTCCAAGAAAGGCCTTTCCCTTCCTGATGAACTTCTGTCGCACGAAAATTTCAGATATCTCCGAGGAGCTGAATTATCTCTGTTCCTAACCGAACACAGCCTACTATCTTTTAGTTCCTAGTTACAAGTAAGGAACTTCCTTACTGCCATCCTAAACAAAGATGATCTAACTCTCTTCCCTATTGGACGTTGCGTACTCTGTGAACTCGTTCGGGTGATTGGATGCGCCAACTGCGTCGAGATCACCGTCAGCAGCGACGTTCACAACAACGGTCGCGCCGGTAGACTGACGAGATCGGTAGATAGGGTGAATATACACTTGAGCATTGTTATATTCTTGGCCTTGTCCGGCTCGTTGTGGTTCTCTCCAATAGTTGTTGCAAAGTTAATATCTCTCAAATTATCCCGTCGCAGGACGAGTTCCAGTTATTCACGTCGCCTTAACCCACAGACGCTACACAATAGTTGTCAAGGTGCCTCTCACTCCCGGACACTATGAAGTGGTAGAAAAGTCTAATGGCCGGCAGTAATACTCGAAGAGGGTGCTGTTAAAGTCGGTTCTTGCAACGATGGAATTTGATGCTCGTCTGGGTATCCTTCCAATTAATGATGCTATTGATTCTAGTGACGTATAAGTAGGAGCGACGTATCAAGACCTTAAGCTGTGGTGCTCTGACATGTTAGCACTCACGATTTCTCGAACACCTACCAGGAATAGGGAAACAAAGCACGGAAACCTATGGTGATGTGGTGGATGTTGCATTGCTCCTAGGATAATTCGTGGTGTCCCCAGAACGCTATCCTGCAAATGCTTACATAGTCTCGACCAAACGCCATCGCTATGTTTTCAGCCAGAAACAGCCCAGCCGTATTCGTATCCTAGCGCAGCTGTCCCAGATACTTCTCCACGTCGTCGTTCCTGTAGAACAGCTTCAACAGCTTCTTGTGCTTCTTCTTGTCCTCATCATGCATCTTCCGACTTTTGCTAGCATCCAAGTTGATTGGTCTCTTCTGCACATGAGCTTTGCCATCCTTGGAAGACTTGAGTTTTATTCCCAAGCCAACAGTGTCTCTCTTCTCCTTGGCTTTGATCGGATGAAGAATGTCCTCACCCTTTGCCCCCAATCCTGTCCGACTATCCGGGTCATAGCCATAGGCTTCGAGGTTTGATAAGCTACGCGGAGTTGACGTCCGACATCCAAATGTGACTTATGTAGATCTGGAGTATGTCCTGCTGATCATGCAACCCGAAGGAAGAGAGTAATACGCTTCGGCGGTGGCATTGGAGAGTCGCTAATCGAAATAGCCCAGGCACTGCCACCTTGCAGCAAAGGCGCTCTAGGAAAAAGTGGCAGGTATGTCCGTCAGGACCGCAACCGGGAGGAAGTAGGTCGAACATCAGGGTTCCAGCACTGTCTCCGGCGGCGAAGGACCGCGCCAGGGTCCGATAGTACGTCTCCACCGAAGCTTTTAACGTGAAGTTGGATTAGACTGGCTGGTTGAGGGTGAATTGTTTAGTACACCCCTCCGAATCTCCTCCGACCAGAGTTCGATTCGAAGTGAACATCTGCTTCGAATTCCCACATCCTCCAACTGGAACACTCCGCAGAGGCGGCCAGAACAATCCTAATCGCCACATCTAACATGTGGTAGACCCCGCAGGTGCCCCGTTCGGCCCCCTGGCACCGTGTCCCACCTGACAGGACGCGGTTGCAGAATCCCTTTGACCAGTCGTAGAAGCTGGCAAAACTGACCCATTCACCCACCAGTCTGTGGTCCATTTCACCAATGTAATCCACCACGCGACCCTAATGGCCTCTATTTCCACGTCCATGTAACGTCTCCAAGGCCGATTGACGAAGTTCTTGGACACCTGCTGGGCTTTCCAAGCTGGAGCTTCGTTGGCTTGATGTCCAGGGCGGTACCCGGTTATATACATCGCGGTTCAGACTGGCACTATCAGGCCAGCCGGCTGGTCGTGCCAAGTCACGCCCGTGAAGCTGGGCTGAGTCGGCTTTGGGGGCGGGCGTTCCACAAGTTTCAACGACAATCCGCAGTCCTGTAGGTTCGATTGGACGCTAGCATGGCGAGCATAGAAAGGATAGTGTGTCACCTCCTCAAGGGGGGCCGAGCTTGGTGCGGAGGGTGGCATCCTCGACATGCCTGACGGAACTACTAGGAAGAGAGTCAGCAACTAGTCCAACGAAGCAGCCAGTCATATCACTTACTGAATAGCGTCGATGTACTTCCGTAAGACCACCTAGGTACGGTCGTCGTGGAAATGTCTGAAGGAGTCTTCTTTCCACAACTAGGTCCAACCTTTCGAACTGTTTCAGGCCGAATTGAGGTTCCCAGAAGACCTATCGACCAAATGGCAGCTATATCTCCTAATCGGTCGCTGAAGCTTGGTGTCGACTGAGGCCGTAGGCCGGGCTAGGGAGGGTGCAAACGACCTTCTGTTGGGCCAGCCGGTGTGCTTAATCGGCCCTCGCGTCGCGGTTTGGGGTAGAATCGATGGTTATTGCACATGCGGCGCAGCTTCCTACGAGCAGCTCCCCAGCTTATCCTTCTAGCACTGCTCCACTACCCTAACCCTGTTGAGTACCAGGCCTTTCTTTGCCCATCTCGCCTAGTCCCTTATGTCTTGTGTGCGGATTTCGGCCGTTATGATATCTTTAGCCTCCAACGCGTTGCGCTTAACTCCAGTCGCCGCAGGAAGCTGCCAATCTAGATCAAAGGATGGTATTGCCGGGGTCGGATTCGAGGAAAGCGGAGCCTGTCGGTCGCGATCAGGCCACGTAGTCTCGACAGTGAGGCGGTAGTGAAAGCCGTCGAGCGGCTGGAAGCCGCGCAGAGTGAGCTTTGATAGACTTTTGCAGAACCTTCTCACTGGGCTACCTCCATCCTACGGATGTTCTTCTGTATATCATTAGCGGACGGTTTATAGCCTGACTACTATAAAAGAAGCAGTGGAAAATTCCGGGGAAGAAGAACGTGTGAGCTGGGCGTCTGCAATATCTTGTGGAGTTGAGATAGCCCAGCGTCCCGTACCCTGCGCGTGAAGAAGATTCAACTCGCAAATACGCGGTGATCCTCAACCACAACACAGGCCGGTATCTCACTCTTGGCACCGTCCTCGGGCATACGACTATAGGGAAGTCGGCGCTAGAGTTGGCGGTGGCAGCATTTCGGACAAATGGAAAATATGAAGGCAAGAACGGAAAGCGCTGGGGAGGACTTACTTCACAATTTCTGCATCGTTCTTAATCCCGGCTCAAGAAGTATTCTCGCCATTCACTCGGTATCGTTGTCGTATGTACAAATCCGACTGCTTGGCCGCCCCAATCCTTCAGAGACTTCCGAATGATGAAGACTCCGACCTCGACTCCCTTCTGCGATTCGCCGTTTTCGTAGGGATTTTTGACAAAGCTGTCTAGGATCTCCTGGATAAGACTGTTGGGTATGGCCTGGGATTCCGCTGGAAGCTTGCAGAAGTACTTGGGAGACCGTCTCGCGGACTTTCTGCTCCTCTGGCTTCATCCACCACTCAGCCTATACTTCCCGAGCGATAGGCACTTCCTGTTTTGATGCATTTATCACGGAGAATCCGACCTTCTGGCTATAGAGTTTGGCTAAACTTTGTGCTGTCCTTCGTGAGCTCGGCACAGAATCGTCGAATCTTGGAATCCAGCACAGCGAAATCCAGTAGGTGGTTAACAGAGTCCATAGGGCCAAGAGTCTGACCCAGGCGTTTGTAGAGATCGTTGACAGCGGCCCTAGGACGCAACATAGGGTTGTCAGGGTGTAAGTCGCTGCGAAGACGGAGACCGTCTGGTCTGGTACTTGTTGAGTGAACTTGAAGTGAAGTCGCAGCTGGTCTAGGAATTAGCTTTCCATGGTGTTGGTAAGAACGATAGTAGAAAAGGTAGTGGGCGACGAAGAGGAGATGGGTGAGGAAAATATAATGGGTGACGAAGCGGTGGTGGGTGAAGAAGTAGTTTACTTGAGCGGAAGTCCGTCGGCTGTTGGATGAGGCGACTCCAACGCCGAGGGCAAAAGACGCCGCCCACATCCTCCTCAACTTCACCTTCTTTTCACTCGAAGGGCTCGTCTGTTATTTTGCCTTTTCACTTCGTCAGCTCTTCACCCAGTTGATTCTTGTCGGGTGGCCAATTATCCTTTTCGCTAACTGGCGAGAGGCCGCTGGAGGGTAGCTCGCCGTAAACTTCGACAATCATCCGAGCACTCTTCTCGCCTCCACTTTCAGCTCTACCGCCTTTGCCCTCACACCAGCCATATTGCTGCCAGAAGTCGTCGGGTCGCAGTCATCCCCGGACCTGACTCAGCCAATCTTCCTAGAAGCAGCTTGCGACTTGTGCTCTTGGACGGGGTTTCAAAGAAGCAAGATGGGTTCGAATCACTTCGACGACTTGTGTCTCGCACTCCGAGCCCGAGAAGTCATTTGTCAGATCCTCGAACATCCCGATCTGGATCCGTCCGGTGCTAGCATCCATGTGGAGTTCATCGACCCGGGCGAGGCCGCTGGTCGTCGTACCATGCTCCAAGGGATACGCAAGGTCATACGCCATGTTAAGAGCAAAGCAGGTCTCCGCTGCAAAGTCTTCAGGTAGAAAACAGGTTCAGTATAAGCGTGGAACCAAGTCTTCAGAGCCTTCCGAGTCTAGGTCAAAGGCCCCTGGCGAAAATACCTTTCCCTAGAGCAGCGGCGCCTATGCCCAACTCTCGAACATGGCCGACTCGGAGCCCAGAGGATCGCGTGCAAGCGAAAGAGCAGACGAGATCATATCAGACCCTAGCGAGCGACCCCCTTGTCACCAATCCGTGAAGACGGTCAACAAACAAGTTCCACAACCACCCCTCGCTCTCTATAGCTTCGAACATACCACCGGCCCCATCACCTAGGGGTTACAACTCCCGGTGACGTGTCAGAAACCAGCAGCGTCTTGGCACCTCCTCGAGCGCGCAGAGAGCACCCTCAAGCCCACTCTGCCGTCGCTCTTGTACTACGAGCTTAGAAGGTCTCTCAGCTTCACCTGCGCTCGGCAGAAGAAAGATGACAACTTCTTCTCTTCCATGCGCAACGGCGACTCACCGACAACTCCACGACGAGCTCCCTCACAGATGTCGTCGTCTCGACGCGGCTCTTTCAACCCCACTCAACCGTCTGCTGGATTTGCGCAATAGCCCCCCGCAGCACAAATGGGAGAAGTGGCCCTCAGCTACGACCGTCGACTGCGGTGCTCCTCGAACCCCGCCAAGCAAGGTGATATCACAATGAGAAAATGAGACACAAACATGTTTTACTTGGGAACCGCGAGAGCTTGGAAAACTACTTGGACGAGAAGATCAGGGAATCACCCGAACCGATTACCTAGGATGAAGCGAACCTCATTCACAAACTCGAAGTTCGCGCTCACGGTTCCGCGGAGAAAAGAAGGTATTACGGCGCAGGCATTGAGCTGGGCTGGGAAGGATGAGACCGCCAAGGAAACGGCTGCCAAGATCGATGCTGCTAAAAGCTCGGCCAACGTGTCTGACGACGAGTTTAAGGAAGATCTCACCCTGAACGGCTCGTGTCTGAAAACGCTGGTAGCCAAAACGTACTTCAGCATAATGGGGTGGAGGATTCTTGAAGGATAAAGACGACGAACGTCTCGAATGGAGCACGGAGGCCAAACAGGCACAAGCAGAAGGGTGGAGCGTACCCATGCCCCAGAACCAGTATAGGCTTCATCTGGCGGCGAGCGGCCCTTATGTGCATCCGTCCCGATTTCAAGGTCCCAGGGCTCGAGAACCCAATTCGGACCTCTCCAGACTACTCTGGCCGCTTTAGCTACTTACAGAGCCACCGCTAGTCCGCAAATTCTCTCTTCCGCCATGCCCCCAAGGCTCCAGCTTTTCCCGAAGTCGCTCGCGATACCGGCATCACGGATCAGCAAGTCCGCTCGCGTGGTCGAACGGTTCGTGCATTGACCAAAATATGTATAACTTGGAAAAGAGGAAGAGAGGTGCTGCAGATGATGATGAATAGGCTAATTTCCCATATCACCGCCTCAATGTGCACTTGTACACCCGTTGTCGAAGGCCTTTAGACGATAACGAGGGGTTCCAGCCTTCAGAGCATGTCGTCACCGCTAGGCGCAGGTGGTCAACAAGCACAACTGTTGAACAGCATGGTGCAGGGTCAGTAGTGGATCTGTGGACTTTATATGGCGATTTACTGCAGAACGCGGTGCATCTATGGCCACTTTCAAACCTTCAACGAGTCGGAATCGCAACACCAAATTGCGACACTTGAGACCAACCTCTTTACACTTACCTAAAAGCTTGAAGAGATCCTCCGAAAAAGCCATCAGCACCAAGCCAACCAGCAGGTACAGGGATTACTTCCTTCCCCGACATCTCCAACATACCTACCACCCACCACACGCCTCAGCTAGCCTTCGTATCTATCTCGGCACAAGGCAACTCATGACGAAGGCCTCTGGATTCGCTAGCCTTACCTCTCGGTTCCAGACGCGGAATACCGTAAAACAACAGCCTCGACCACATACCTCCAGAGGTAGATCCGTACATGGTCGACGCCCTCACACCAGTCATGTGGCTCCTACATATTCGTCGGGTGATAGTGTTTCCTAGAGTTCAATCCGCGCGTCATTTCATAAGCAACCTGCGGGAAGCGCTTTTCGACAGGCTGTAGAGGCCCAATTGGCGAGCAAGCCACTCCCACCACCCCCAGCTCCAGAGCACAGTACCACGGATTACTCGGGTATCATTGACAGCTACGGGGCGCTTGCTCCCATTCCGAAACTTTTCCATCGAGACGGACTCATCTATCTTCTTAAGGTATTGCGTGCGTCGCCTAGTCTTGCTGAGGATGAATCCACGTCGAAGGCCACGTTCATGACACTCGTCTCCCGTGCGATCAATGTGTACGCTCCCTCCTCCAGGAAACTACTCGAAAATCTCGAGGTCCGTCCAGCAGCATAAACGGCGTCTTTTACATCACCGAGCAGGAGTACTAATTTTCGCAACGACCCTTCGCTCCATGTTCTTCCGCTCTATATACGTCATCTTTCGTTCTGCAGGCGGAGACTACGTGAAGCGGCTTTCCAACAAAGGGATGACTACTTTGGCATCAACAAGCTCGTATTACGTTGTGGAGTAGGGGATATTAAGGATCTTGCTTTCCTCTCCGGCAGCAGAGATAGCCGGTTCGGGTTCGGAAAACGCGGCGATCAATTCCCCAAACGACCGAGAAAGCCCAGCTATCAGTCCCCGTTATCCCTCTGGAAACGCAATGTTGTTCGTCGTCTAGCCCCTTCCATACCGTCGTCTAGCCCCTTCCATACCGTCGTCTAGCCCCTTCCATACCGTCGTCTAGCCCCTTCCATACCGTCGTCTCTCGGTCCAGTGCCGACAACAGTGGACCGGACCACTGCTTCTTTCCTAACGAAGAACGGGTGAGGCGTACGGGTGAGGTCGACATGTCCTCCATCGACAAGCCTAATCTTCTAAACTGTGCGTCAGCATCACCTCTATTCGGAGTTCTAGATTGATTACGCCCCATCAATGGGTGCATTCTCTCCGCCAGGGGACTTCCCAAAGTTCTCGAGTCCTTCTCCATTGGCGAGAATGACTGTCTCGGTGTCAATTCACGTGGCTATCGGTTACCTCTTCGGACGGGCAAGCGTGGCCATCAAGACCCCATATAGACGAAGAAACGCGACGATTAGTCCTCCTTATACCTGTGGACACGCAATGTCGTCCGATGTCTATCCCCCTTATATACCTCCCAGGGGGGTAGTGGTAGACGGTCTGGCGTTACAGTCGCACCATGATATTGTCTCCCTGAGGTTGCTGAATACCACGGTGTGATGAATGCCGGCATGAGGGTTTCTCGCAGCTTGCGAATATTGAAGAACTCAGCGTCCACATCACTCCTAGAGCCGTTAACCCTTGGTCTAGAATATTGGGTGAAGCGGATGCTCCAGCTCAATAGGTCGTTTGATAAGTCCAATCCACCAGAGTCAGCGTACGATCGCTGCCATTTAAGAGCATGTTGTATAACGTTGGGTGCATCCTCCCCTCGAGGAATGAGCGAGTCGGTATCAACAAGATTGTTCAAGACGGTCTTCGAGCAGTTGTTGATGTGGAGCCATAGCAGAGCTCTTTGGGGGGCAAGATGGAGCAGACGTGCCTGGACGCCAAGCCGTAGTTTGCGAGTCCTTCCACACCTGCATTCAGACCATGGGACCCTTAGCTTCGAGTTAAGATTAGAGCCCGCGCCAAGTGGATCTGGAACCAGCAGGAGTGTCATGCTGGTTCGAACAAGAGCAAACAGCATGGAGCAGCGCGTGACAGCGTTCGGCCAGCGCGAGCTTGTCGGTGACAGCATGAGGACGAACGAGAGCTACAACTCGAGCCGGCCATGAAAGTCTGTCAACAAGCAGAAATGGATCCTTTTCATCTCCCACCGGCCGTTTAAGACATTTGATGAGCGGCCGGCTTCGTAGGGGAAGCTGGGAGACAAGCTGCCAAGGCTGACTCTGCTTTGGAGAAGAGTGCTAGGAGTCAGCAAGGCATTGTCTTCTCGTCAAATGCTTCAATGGTCACTTTAGACAATATGCCGTTGCTAGTGTCAAAGACGGTTACCCCAAGTCGCGCCACGAGACAGCGTTTCCCCAAGCCAGCCACTCTAAGATGTCCAACAACGCCCCGTCAGAGAACGCCAACGAGAGCGAGCCCAGGCCAGGCCCCTATATGACTCGAGTGGCCCCCTCCCCTTTCTTCTCATGGACACCCAGCGCACCTGGCGAAGAAGGAAGAGTCTTATATCTCACAATTCTCGATGAACGGCACAGTACGGGTCAGCGGGGCCTCCCCCGAGGCCTTCGCGGCCCATCATCGAAGTAATGTCGTTGCAGCTACTCTTGGGTACGTGTGATGGTTTCACGGAAAGTCTGGCCTGCGAGGGTCGCGTCAGACAAATCGGTGGCGTAGGAGTGAAGAAGCAACTTTTCACCTGTCCCTTCACTAGGTGAGTTGCAGATATCTAGACGGAAGCGGGAGAGCGAGCCCGCTATTAAGCCGTATCTACTGCCTGTCCTAGATCTCCAACCTCTAGCGCTGTCCAGTAGCTCCTACTCATGCTCGATATCGACCCGGCCTCTCCCAAACGCGGCACTAACAGCTTCGAGAATACGCTTCACACCACGTCCAACACCAGCCTCTCGGCCACCCACAGTATCCAGCATATCCTGGCGCTTCCCCCCACCCCCCCCTCCCCCCCGCGGCGCCCCGCTAGTAGAATGGACCGATCCTGTCCTAGGTACCCTTGACATTGCCGCCGAAACTCTGCTACTCCCTGTTCGAGCTCCGGATCTCGCGACACCTTTCCCGGCTACGACAATCCGCAAGGCGCAGACTTAACTGCTACCATTTTCTTCATCCTGACCCCAATTTCTCCGCCAGTTCCGTCAAAGCTCGCTTGAGGCCAACGTCTCCCTACCTCTGACCTGACGGTATCACTGCGTCAAAAACTACCCCGACCAACGAGCAAAATAGGGACTTTCCACGAACATTTGCAAGCAGTGGCCCGTAGTAGCACCTATAGCGATAACGTGAAGATCACCGCCTTCAGCTCTACGTTCCGCGTGCACCTCGAGATCTATCTACACGACTTCACCTACATGGTCTCTAGTGAGCTCCATTGGTAGTGGGCAGATCAGCCGGAGGCGCAGCACCCGATTGTCCGCATTGTCTTCCACATAAGTTCTATGTTGTAACCGGCTGTTCTGCTGCTAAGCTAGGGATATGCATCACTGGAATCTATGCCGACTCGATTTGGACAGACCTGGGAGTATTTCACCTTGGCGATCCTGGACGGAGCTCTCTCACGAAGGCTTGACTGCTTTTCTGGCAAAGTATGCGCCCGGGGGATTTGCGAGATCAGATTGTCCTCTCCGAAATCAGATTCCAGGGATGGGCCGGATGTCGATTCGTGGCGCAGTCAACGATGGATTCCTGAAGTCCCAGGCGTCTTGGAACAACTTCCCGGGTACTTTCTGGCCATTACTCCTCCGATTGAAGCTGGGCCTCTTCAGTGGAATGATTCCTCAATGGCAAGACAATGTAGCTCCGAGATATTGCTTCATTTTGGACCGCGACTATCCGACGCCGGAGAGGTGTCGAAGATCAGGTCCGTCTTAACAGTCTCAAGCCTCACTCTTGTATTACCCGGCTAGCAGTGCGAAGTGGATGTCTTTTAATCCCAAGTGAGGAAGCGAGATAAGAAGAATGCGAAAAAAACTGCCAAAGATGTCGAGAGACCAAAGGTGCTTACCGGCGCGGAGATTGACTACGTTGGCAATGTCCTGCATCCAAAGCAAGACGGCAAGGACGACGACGAAGGGCCATCAAACGACGAAGAGATTAAGGAGATCGAAAGGAAGGGCATCTGGGGTGTTTTGGCGCTTTATAGGCTTGCTTTTTGGTAGTAAATATACCGTTCACAGGTACAATTGGTGCTTTTTTGCTATAGAAAGTAGTCACTTATAATACAAGCTGTAAACAACGGTACTTGTTGTAACAAATGTTTAGGTTGGACAAGCAAGTGAAGCGGCAAGTTCCGCCCTCCCCCACACGCGTGGTGCACTATTGCAATAAGCTCCACCTGGTTTCCGCTACTCACTCTGAAGCTACACACACCTTTCTACCAACAACAGCGAGGACGTGATCGCCATTTCACTTGTTTCAAAATAGCTTCCATTTTCCACTTCCATTGCCAGTCCACGACTGAACAGCCATCGAGGCGAAGCACGAACCGCGTCTGATGCTGCCATGAGTTCAGAGCCGGAACCGGAGGAGAGTGGCACAGATGAGAGCTTCACCTAGACGTCGGCCGGGACAACAGGAAGCGGGGCCTCTACGAAATCCATCCAACCCGATCGACGGCCTCATGAAGTTTGACGAAAGGGCCACTAAGCTTGAGACCTTCTTCAAGCTTGATGCGCGACACCCGACTCTTGGAGCTCAACCTGGTACCAAAAGGCACCACATGAATCCAATAACCTGCTGGCTTCGTTGCGTCGCTCCTCGGTATCCTCCCGAGGACAGCCCCGCCGGTACTGGATTTCGCGTCAATCTCTTCCCTGAGCAAGACAGCCCTCCCGATCACGGTGGATATAGAGGCAACTCATCTCGTCCTTCCGGTACAGTCATCGGCGCTCATCAAACACAACCTGCCTTTCCACCTCCAAGCTCTCGCACCTGCCTCACCGAGGCGTGCTATGGAAGAGGCTATCACTCTTGCTAGAGTTCTTCGAGGCTTGGTCCGCATGTCTCAGCCAGCACGGTACCACTTAGACGTGCTAGAGCTCTCCGGGGTTTGATCCGCGAGCCTTGGCCAGTGTAGGGCTACCAGACGTGCTGAAGTTCTTCGAAGTCTGATCCGCAAGTCAGTCAGCGCAGCACTATCCAGATGTGTCGAAATTCTTCGAGGTTTGTCCGCAAGTCTCAGCCGGCGCCGGACCACCCAGACGTGTCGAAGCTCTTCGAGGTTTGATCCGCAAGTCTCAGCCAGTGCAGCACCATCCAGACACGCTTACGAAGCCAATGGACGCCCGAGCTGATGTCCCTACTTCTCTCTCGGAGCGAAGCAAAGTTCTGCACATGATTGGACTGCCCCACGACACCACCCATGTCTTCCTCGATTTCTTGGGATAAACAAACCTGACCTTAGGAGGATGTGTCGGGCTTGGGCAAGTTGCAATGGCCGGTCTCAATCGTCTTGTCCTAGGCGCGAACAAAGAATGAATTATATCACACCCGAAGGCCAACCTCACTTTGGAAGAGGGCAGCAAGCAAAGTGCGACTAGAAGCGTTGAACAAAACGTCAGCTGTCGTGCAAGTCAAGCTTCGAGGATCTTGGGGGGATATTTTCGAGGAAGGCGGGAAGCTTGGGACAGATTTTCGGGACAAGAGGGCCGCGGATGGTATATACTGGTTGGGGCATTTCTTGTCTAGGATTTTCAGTGTCTGGGTCAAAGACCGGCGGCTCGTGAGGGAAGACTTCTTTCAAAAACCGTCGACAGTTTTGATGTCGACCTCGACTGCTCCGGATCCAAGGCAGTATCTCGTACGCCCGTACCTTGGATGGTCCCGATCCGCACCACGATCATGCTTCGGAACATTCCAGAACCAAATGACTGATGTAAGCATCTTATTCCCGTTTCATGCGTCATCAACTAACAGTTGTCAGATACAACTGCTATCGGTCCTGTGCCAGGTAGGGTTCCAAAGCTTAATCGACCTCATGTGCTTGCGGATGGACTTCAGTCGGGGGCATGGCGAACGACCTAAATCCCAACTACGGCCTCTCGTCCTACCTTAATATGAAAGGCCTTATTGTCAGTGCGGATAATTAGGATAAGCAGGCTTCGGACTAGAACTATTAAGGTAGATAGGGCAGAACACAATTACGGCAGCGTATTATACTTAGAACGAGTCTGATTATTCCATGATGTTAAAGAAATTTATTCGAGAGTAACGACCCATCTGTCTCTGGTCTCGCAAAAACAGCGGCGGAAGTGATGAATGTAGTGGAGCCCGTCTATTAGAAGACCTGCTACATATACTAACTAGACTGGGCAGCCGTAATGAAAACTCTCCAGCAAACTAACTAATTATCCGAAGATAGGCGCCACCTAAAGCTCCATAATCATTATATCTTAAAGACTGTTCTCCACCCGCATCAGCCTCTATGTGAGGGGCTGGTGACGTGACATCGGGCCGAAAGATATTCCGCCGCTTCTCATATATCTCGCGAGCTGGAGCCTGGACCTCTCTCCTTCATCAACCCTTCGTTAACCTCCCAGCATGGTTCTTCGTCTTTCCACCCTCTCTTCCAAAAGCCAAGCGAGAGGTTGGAAACAGCCAGCAAGGGGTGCTCATTCTTTCGATCGCGCGGTTTTTAGAAGATCTTTCCAGCAGCTACCACGCAACCTAGAACAACGACGACCATGGCAATCAGACACCAGCTCTGATCTTCAGCACGGTGGTCGCCCGCTTGGCCTTTCCCACGTCAGATACACCAACATCTCCAACGGAGGTGAAGCTATGGAGAGAACCGAGGCTACCGGCGGTCTCACCTAGGATCGGATCATGCAGAGTGCTCCAAAACATCTTCCGCCTCATGGGTACCACCGACGTTGATTTGTTGCTGTTCCGGAGGTTGACAATGAAACCGGTGATGGGCGTGATGAAGCAGAGCAAGACGAAGATACAGGTACCGATTCAGCGTACGATCTACCGCCGGTGGTAAACCCCACACTCTAACTCCACGTCCGCCGTCCACAAGCGCATTCTTTGGAAGATCTTTCTAGGACCTACTCGCTGAAGACCTCCGATTCAGCGAAGACCGACTCAGGCTTCCGTCCTTCCTGCGCGAAACGAGTTACCTTTTCGGTCTTCGGATGGCTCAGCCAAATCCCTCCTTCCAGCAGCTACTGCTCGACCCGGAACAACGACGAGCATGACACCAGCACCGACCCACCAGCGCCGGTTTTTTGCTATTTGGAGGTTAATAATGAAGCCGATGATGGGGATGATGAAGCAGAACAAGAGGAAGATACAGGTACCGAATCAGCATACGATGAGCCACCAAAGACAACCTCCGCGCTCCAACCCCGCGTCCGCCGCCTACAAGGGCCTTCTGTGGATGCTATCTCCGGAACCTACTGGCCAAGCACCTCTGATCCAGCGAAGATCGGCTCAATGAAACGAGTTACGCGCTCAGTCTTTGAACGGCTCAGCCATTTGTCTCTCTCCAGCAGCTACCACCCGACTCGGAACGATGACTACTAGACACCAAGTTTTGATACCACCGACGATGAGCACAATAGCACACTCACCTCCCTCAGTCTTGTTGCCGAGGCCCACCACGTGGAGGGCGATGTATACGCTGACCGATCTGGGACGACGGCAAGCGACGAAGAGTTCTTCAGCGAGGAGCCGCCGCCGTCCGATCGACACTAAACACGATGAGACATTAGGATGTTGTGGCCGTAAGACTCCCACCCTACACCTCACTTTGATAAGACGAATTGACACGTCGTCCTAGGGCAACGTCTTCCTCTTCACTTTGGTCTGTTGGGTGAGAGGCACGGGTATCGGGGGCATGCCAAACGGTCCGTGTCGCTCAGCCCACAGACTTGGTTGCCTCTACCACCTCGCTGAGCAACTCGGGTTTTGTGCACCAGCCATTTCGCCAAATACGGTCCCGTATTCCATGCACACTCAGACCACGGACTTCAGCGAGTTGACGCGGATACTCTCACCTACCATCTGGAGTTCGATTCCGTCACGGCTGCAGAGCACCTTGTCCATGGCTGGGCCCATCCGACGACGAACACGCCGACCAGACACCCAGCTCAGGCCCCAGTAACACGAAACACGAGAACAACTCTGTATGTCTCCTATAGACCTCGCTCTTACGCCTCACTACAGAAACACCATCTAACACGCTGTCCTAGGGCGACCTGTCCTCTTCACTTTCGACCTTACTTACGGTAGAAGCAAGTAAGTTTGTTGGGTGAGCGACGCGAGTATCGGGGGCATGCCAAACGGCCCGTGTCGCTCAGCCCACGGACTTAGTCGCTTCTACCGTAAGCAAGGGCGGACAACAACCAATTCCGAACCGCTTGAAAGAGAAGGACTTCCCGGAGAACCACGGCGTAGTCCTCTGTGAGAAGACCATCTGGCCCCCGAAGTGGCAATTCTGAGCTGGCACCTTGGCGGACGCTACTGGAGATAAAGTGGGATGGATCTCTCTGACACCGAGAATAAGGTGATGCTCGTCTTCGAGTACATGGACAAGGATCTGAAGAAGTACATGGACTCCAGAGGTGATTGTAGCGAACTTAATCCACCCACGATTTAGTCGTTCATGTTCTAGGCGCTGCAGGGCATTGCCTTCTACCACGACAACGGTGTCCTCCACCACGATCTGAAGCATCAGAACAAACGGCCCTTGGTTTGCCGATGGTTGAGTCAGAAATGCACGGCGACTCTGGTGGCAAATTTTTTGACAACTTGTGGTTGTGCAGGGCGATCCAGGCGCTAGCGTGTGTGCCTTCTCCGTCCTTGATGACGAGAATCCGATCGGAGCGCAAATCGACAAGGCTAAGAAGGCGCTGGCTCCTATCCAGCGCTTGGTGTCCTTGACCAATCTAGAGACTTGATGGTCCGCCAAAAAGCTTGCTGGGACAGGCACTATCAAGGCCATCGGCGATACTGAGACGCCGTCGAGCCTGAAGAACAGCGATCTATTCCCGAATGTGAAGGAACTCCCAAAGAGCATGATGGGCCTACCGGAATGATGTTCTTCCTGATTCGAAGTCATGTGGGAGACTTCTTCCGACGCTCCGCACCCAAGACCACCTTTAACGGAAGCTGGAGTCGACTAAGTGACCGTAAGCCTCCTCTCTCCTCCTCACTACAAAAACGGCGAATAAAAGGGTATTCTAGAGCGAACTCTTCACTTTGCCTGTTGGGTGAGCGACACGGGTATCGGGGGCATGCCAAACTGCCTGTATCGCTTACCCCACAGACATACGCAGACCGGTCTAGTATGACGGCAAGCGACAAGGAGTTCTTCAGCAGCCCGGGGGAACCGCCGCCGTCAAATTCGGTAGAAGCGGCTATGGACTACTGGTATGCTTGGGGCTCCTGGGGAGAAAGGGCAGAGCGGGGTGAAGTGCCTCGTGCTGCACTAGGTGGATGTTTGGAGCAGCGACAATTTACTATGTCTCACGAGGAAGGTCTCATCGACTATTCGGACGACGAGCTCCAACAGACCGCCTTGCCAGCCTGGGAAAAGGTTACTGACATCTGTTTGATGGGACTCGGGGCCTCTTCTTTTTTGGGGCTTTAATATGTGATCTCAGCAAAGAATAGGGGTCTGTTGTCGATGGTAATAGACCACGGCATGGACTGCGAACTCGTGCTACATATCTACTTCACCACATTAATTCAAGCGTTTTGTCGTCGGTGAAAGCAAAATTGTTCTGCGAGTCAACGGCCATCGTGATGTAGCGTTCAACCAATTCCCTCTTGTAGACCTGCTGAAATGACCCTTTGCTTCGTACAGAGGCGCAAGAAGTCCTTAACTCTTCCTTCACACAATTTCGTTGTCCAAGTATCCGTTACATGGGGGCCGCAAGACCATTCTGGCTTGCTTGCCACCCCTCTGTCTGCATCGCCTTGCCAAACGGGCACCTATCGGACCATAACATCCGCGTTGCTATTCGGCCCGCCCACCTCCAAAACGCCTTTCCATGTTTCGGATCCCCTCTGTCTCAATTGCCATTCCACCTTCATTACTACATCAGGCCACTGCCACATTAGCATCATGAACAACCTCAGCCCAACGCTTTGCTGCCTCTCAAGTCTTATCTTCAGCCATCCTTCCGCATATTCTCCCCGAAATGCTGCCACTCTGATCCGGCAGATTTCTCGCAAGTGCAAGCCTCTTGGGCGCACTTTACGACTCGGATTCGAATATCCCACTAAAGGACTCCACTCCATGCGGACGGCACCACAGTATGGCGACAGACGATAACAGCAACGCTTCCTCAAACGCCCCTCGGCGCCCAAAAGAGCACCCTTCCACGATGCAGCAGTATGAGCCTGCTACAAGGCCCGGAGTAGTAGGCAGGCTTAGGCAAGCTCTGGACAACATCCTCTCGGCCTTGTGGCGGAAGGGTCATCTCCCGTAGGCGGCGCCAAGAAGGCCACCAAGGCTGCTTCGAAGCTCTCGGTGCGGTACCTGACTCGTTGCCTACAATACCACATCGAGCTAGCTATCTCAAGCAGCAACACCGCCTCAAGCTCCACCACAGCCGAACAGGTCGGCCGGCAGTTGACATTCGATATAATGAAAGAGTTTTCTGAAGTCCAGCATACGTTGCGAGCTAGTCTTGAGCTCGAGTCCGACGTGGATGGCGCCTTCGTTCCATCCATTCTAAAACTCTAGCGGCCAGATAGAGGCCTAGCTGAGCAGCACGACCACACGCCTTCCATATTGACACAATACGATCCTGCTTCGTGCACCCGAAGCAATCTCCTCACGGGCCGGCCCTGCAAATGATAGCTAGCTCCGCTACGACACCACAACTTCAGAGCACGCGATGTCCTCAACAAATACCGCTTGAACACAGCGGCATTAGGAAGAAATAGTGACCCTTTCTCTACCTCGGGATGATGCCTACCGGGACGGAGGAAGAACAAGCATACTCCGGTACATATTGAGATGGTCGGTTTGCTCAAGCGTCGAAAGACGTGAGGTCTCGACGAGGAGGAGGACAACACTGGCTTCAGCCATGCCGCAGAGAGGTCTCGAAGACGAAGAAGCCACTCCTCGCGATACAAACTCGTCTAGATTCGCAGGCACCGCGTAGGATGACCAGCTAGTCGTCATGATGGTGGACAGCAGCGACTTTCTGCGATCCATGACTGTCGTAGGCACCATCAATCCCTGCTCCAGTTCTTTACTGCACACACCTCCATCCACCTATGTCCATCCTGACTTCAAAGATCGCTCTAAAGTCCGGTCCGTCTCTTTGGCCAGGTTTCTTGCATAGTCCCACGAGACACACACCATACCTCAAGCTTCGCAGAAAGACTCCACCATTTCTGCAACGCGGCCCGAGGAAATCGAAACATACATACACAGAACGCTCACGTTGGAGGGGCTGATGACTATGTCCTCTCTTAGTGCATTGCATTGCGATCTACGGTAAGCTTGCCTTCAAACCCATTCACACCGGCACAGCCGTACATTCTCTATTACGATAAGACTTTTTATACATTAGGAAACACGTAACCTGTTAAGAACTCCAAGCTCTATAACGCCATCGTAGACCCCACCATTTCATTCTGTAGACCTAAGCAAGCACATGCTGACCTCGTATAGTCACTTCATCAGGGCTCTTCCTCTACTCGAATGCTCCGATGGACTCAGATCCTTTGCCCGCCTCGCCGTAAGAGACGCAGTCCCGCTATATATAGTGCAGATGCTCGACCGCAATCCCTATACTTGGAATCATAGCAAGCGAGACGAGGTCTATCTGCTTCAAGTCTGGACCTCCGAGTTAGACCCTCAAGGCCGTCGTCAACCGGCTGCAGGAGACCCCGGAGCCCAGTCATAACACGGAGCACTCCTGCCCGGACTGCGCCCTGGCCAATATGACTTCGTAGAAGTCGGATAAGGCAGCTGCCACGCCATACAACCACTGCACAAGACGTACCGAGTATATTAGGGAGGACTCAAGCGATAGTATGGGCCGTATTTGGGAACCACCTACTCGGCTACACGATTCTGGAAACCGAACTTCGACTCATTTCTGCAACCTTCGATCATGGACAGCATCAGCCTAGGCATGCTTCGTAGCAACAAGATCCCATGCTCGGTCTCATCATACTCAGGGAGATCCGTTTGGTTTGGGACATCTGCGCCCGGATTTGGTGGGCCAAGGGGGAGCCAGCGCCATAGGATACTCACTTTGGCCAGTCCATAGAGCACTGCAAGCGACGTCGCTTACTAAATCTACTAGCTCAACTCACCTTGCTCATCCTACTGACCTTTCGAACCGAAACCCCCCTTCTAACCTAAGTCCCCGTGCTAACCTTCACCCTTATAACTCTAATTGCCTCTAATAACCCAACTTACCGTACTAACGTAAACGCTTCTAACGTAGCTCCCTTCCTCAACCTACTAACCCTACTAACTCTAACTTGTCTACTAATCCAACCAAGTTAAATCTCCCTTCTAACCTAGTTTCCCTGCTAACCCGACTCGCTCTTCTAAAACAACCCGGCCTTCTAACCTAAGTCGCCCTCTAACCTACTTATCATCCAACCTGGATTAACTCTACTAATCTATGTCCACCAAACATTCGAACCAAATCCACTGAATCAATTTCCGCTATCACTCTCCCCCCGGAAACAGCCCGATGGATAAGTTACATCTTCGCCATGGCCACTGTTATGCTGTTCCACATGCCAGAAGCAGCGTCCACATAATGCACAGACAGGCTCCTCGTTCTTTGTCTCTCCTTCAACTGCTGCAAACTCGCGCCACTATTCGGAAACCTATCCCACCCCTCACACTGAAATTGGGAAACTCATGCGGACCACAATCAGCGGCGCGACAACTTCCTTAGCAGCCTAGAAACAAGCTCGACGACACCGGCAAGCCTAAGATGCACAACTTCGGCTCGGAGAGAAATCGCACGTTTCCAAGGCGAAGTTAGTGAGATGAGGATCAACGAGGTTTATGGCAAGGAGGTCGCAGCCTTGCGCTCCGTGTTTGCGATCTCGGTTCCCAGCCATGGTAGAAGCGACGGATGATTTGGCCGGCCCGATTATGTTCAAGGTCATCTCGTGAGCGTGAGTCCAAAGCCTTCAGCTTGAACGAAGGAAGTTGTGCTAACAATCAAGATAGCAGGGTCGGTTTCGCGGTACTGGTCCTAAACGGTAATCCCACCGCTCCGATTGTCAATTCTAAACCCCGGACCGCCGATTCAACCTCCCGTCAGCGCATGAAAGATATATCTGGAACTGCTAGTCTGCTGTCTACCACGAGCCGTTTCTCAGCTATTTTTCGGCGCGGCATCGTCCTTATATACCACGCCAAGGCCCGCATTCTCCCAGTCGACACCTTAACGACCAATTCGCACCTTGACCACGGCGACGGTGGTCTTCTCCTGAAAGCCCGGCGTTAAAGGTGGCGTTGGTGTCTTAAAGTGGTGCTATTCCGCATATAGTAGTTTAGGATAATTAATAGGATTTGCGGGCCGCGGCTAAGGATAACTTAAAGGCGACAAGGATGCTAGGATAGATTGTGTAGAGGCCTTTTACATAAGATAATTTTATAGCATGGTTTAAGATATTAATTTTAGAGAAGGTCGCATAGGGAAAGATAGTGGGCTTAACACAGGATTAGGAGCTGCGCACTTAATGTTTGGAGCCGGCTTATGGATAATACAGCGGCAACATAAATTTGTTTAGCAGTTAGCAAGTAAAGATATATTACCTACGCCTTCGCAGGCATAGCATGATTATACTTCGAGATACCGACGCCCGGGATGTATTCTCTACTCGCTCTATTTTGCCTTGATGCTTGATGTATGATGAATTGCATGTAGGGTGACTTGCTAATGCTTAGTTGCCTTAGATCGAGAGCCGTTCTAGCATTCTCTCTGCTTCTCCGCCACCCTTCCTTCTCTAGATATTATTCTGTACAAGCGGCCTTAATCCTGTTAATATTCTACGAGCTTTCGCGCAACCGGGTCGTAATTCCTCATATTTCTCACCGCGCGTGAGGGGGAGTGGGACTTCTTTTTTGTCAGTGAATCATTTTGAGCGCTACAGTGACAGCGAAGGCGATTGACGCTCTCAGTAGGCTTAAGAGGAGTATTTATTACATTGTTTCGGTCTTTAGAAGCACTTACATAAGTCTGGGCAGCGGCCATTAAGATCCACCCAGCCGGGCTACCCAAGGTCTTTACCAACCTGTGACAGCGCCACACTTGAGCCACCGACAGCCTAGCTCATGCCAACGTGGTTTTCCCCATTAGCGCGACCCCTTCACCACCAAATCCAAATACCCAGCTCACCTCTCTCGATCCACATTTCTGCCTGCCCAGCCGTGCAAGCCCAGGCCCTCCTCGCGAACTACCACCAACCGGTCAAATTTATATCACAGACATGGGCAAGTGAAGTACAAGAACAGGTTGAGCAGTAATATACGTCCTGATAGGTGACGGAGGGGAGGGGAGGGGAGGGGAGGGGAGGGTGAGGGTAAAAAAGTGAGGCTTCCGCCATCATAATGAGCAAACCGAAACCCCATCTTCTAACGCCTTTCCGAAGGTAATCATACAACAACTCCCCGCACACGACTTTCCAGCCAGACTCCTAAACCCCTCTCACGGTCGCAAGACCACAAGCACCGTCCAAGGCCTCTCTTTAACCGAGTTTAAACTTGCATTCCACTATCCGGAGGATGGAACATCAAAGCGGCGCGTCGCTGAGACCCCAGAGCATAACGCGCGACTCATCACTCTATCACACCGTCATGCGCTCCACAGCTACCCGTCCGACTCAGGGCTCGGGGCACGGAACAAAGCCCCCACCGGCTTTTTTGGTGGTCTCCTGTCCCCGGAATGTCCTCCTCACACTGGCGTTTTATACCCAGCACAAGCCAGCCCCTCCCCGTGCCCAGAGGCCCAGGATCTCCGCAGCCCACCCCTCTAGCAGTACACCTAGCAACCAGTTCAGGGCGGGGAACAACCACATCATGGCAGCAACCGAGACGAAGAAGGGCGAGATCGAGGTGACCCACGGCGCTTGGGAATCGCAACTCCCATCACCTTCGCACGCGAATCATCCTGTCTAATCTCGACACAGAACAAGGAGCTGTATGCCGTGTACGTGATGTATTGGATGATGATGATGATGAAAGAGAAGAGAGAGAGGTCTGGAGGAAGGTGAGGTTATATACAAGGTGGCATGCGCCTGCCGTAGCCCTCACCGCTACTCCATGACACTCGCGAAACCCAGGCGCTGGGCGCTTCGATGCCGCCGGCGATTTCGAGCACGCGTCTAGGATGCGCGGGTATTCTAGCAGCGAGACTGCTAAAGAGAGGGTTTCTAACCGCCACTGGTTGCGGCGCGGTCTTTGGAGAATGGCGACGGCAAGCCGGCTATATGGGTACCCCCCCCCCCCCCCCCCCCCCAACCCCCTCCAGCGCATATATGGCATAAGCTAACATGTTCGTAGTAGGGCTGGCTGCGGACCTCTTCGACGACCGACCCCGAGCTTTACGGCGTTAAGATTGTTAGATGGATACGTCTCCGCTGAGCGCATACGCCCGGGGTGCCGGCGCACGACTTGGACCCACTCGAGGCGGCTCCGTTGGAGAACTCGGCGGTACAATGTGGGAGTTGGAGGGAGAGAGCAGCATGAAACGGGGAGAGTGAGGGCTGTGTATCTTCCCGAAGCGCGCCTGTGCGCATGCAATTTCTAGGCAACAATAGAAACAGGGATAACGTTCAGCGCCACACACTCCGACGGCGTCTGGCCTATTCGCGAGGATGCTCTTGCAGAAGCTCCCTGGACCATCCACATTCCCAATCCAGAGACCCTCGCCCTCGCCCTCGCCGGGCGGACCGGCGATGCCCGCATGGAGCTGGAGCGGCTCTGACAGACACGCCGAAGGAAAGGAATTGCGATTGGGGCGACGAAAAGCTACGATCTGGTTCCTCTGCTATATTCACTTCTGCTCCAACCAATCCGCACGCTTCGCAGTCTCCCCCTCGCACTCAGCTTCCCTATCCGCCGTCTATCCCTCAAATCCACCCCCCGCATCACCCTCCCGTTCCAATCTCGTCACTCCATCCCTCCACCTCCTCTATCCCGCATCGGTTACTTAGATAGCCTCTGCAACGCCATCTCGGGGATCCACGAAAGCCCGGTGTGCCTTGGCGTGCGGGCGAGCGCGCAGGAGAGGACGGAGCGAATGGTGTTCGTCGTCGCCGGCGTAGCGTGCCGAGGAGGAAAGGGAGATGGCGGTGCCGAGAATCTATGTGAGAATGGTGGGGTGGAAGGGGGAGAGGAGGGTCGGACGGAGCTGAGGATGATGGTGCAGAGAGAGTTGTGGTAGGTGAGGAGAGACAGAGGCGGGGGGGATGGAGAGGAAGGTGGGTGGAGGCGGGCCGCTGAAGGAAGTAAGGGAAGAGGTGGTGGAGGTGTTGTAGTGGTAGCATAGGGCTAAGGTGGAGTTGCAGGAGAGGCGGTGGCGATTAAGGAGAGGATGCTGCTAGAGGCGCCTAGGATGGCTGTGACGCGTTTTGGAGGCATTCTAGGGTTTGATGGATGCTTTTCCAGAGACGGCGTGTTCAAGACGGTTGCTCGCGAGCTGATTTGGAGTTTTGATTTAATCTCTAAATGTGGATTCTCAGGTTGGAGATACGCAGAGGGGTAATGGAAGAGCAAGACGCTTACCTCACTTTACCTTTTAACTGATGTACGAGAGTCTGTGTATGAGAATCCGAATTAAAGTTCCCCGGTAACAAACTCCAGTGAAACCCTTTTGAATCATCTCGGGATGGCACGCATGATCCCAAGCCCCGATTTGGATTTTATTTGTGGGGAATGCTGGGCAGATATCATGAAGGCATCGAGATGTTGGATATTGATGATTCTCTCGTCCTAATCTTGGTTCTGAGGATATGCACTTGTGGATATCCCTTGAAGAGGTTCGTCTTGCGAGCGTGCATGTCAATCCCACGCCCAGGCAAAGATTACCGGAGTTGAAGGGACGTGATATCTCCGGGACGGAGGAACGCATTCGATAGAGCTCGTGCTATCTCCAGTGATTATTTCTCGTCCGTTCAAGTTTAAGAGATTGTTTTGGGGGATTGAAGGTCAGATGTTGGGTTACTTTGATGCTCGTGAACGCATTCCGGGGTCCTGGGACGAGGTCGAAAGAAGCTTTGCCGCTCCAAGCCGGACCGCTTCAAGAAGCGGGGAGCAAGAGTCACGTGATGTGCATTGAACTTGTCTACGAATGATTAGATCATTGGAGCTGCAGCAGAACTGCCATTAAGCAGCACACATACTTCAATAAAATGCATTATCTCTATAGCCCCAACACCATCGTCGCCAGCACGTGACCATCCCGATGCACCCTCAGCCGCACCTCGATGGTCAACGCCAACCACGGGCGCATGTCCATCTCGGGCGCATGTCCATCTCAGGCGATGCACCGGCCCTTATCTCTCCCGCCATCCCTCCCAAGCCCTCCCATCCCTCGTGGCGCCGTCTAACCTGGCACGGCAAGCGCACGCGACGCCTTGGACCGGGGCGTGCAGCAGCGATTGGCGGGGCGGCTTATCAGCGTGGGCGCCCGATACGACGCTATCAGTCGCAGGGACCGACGCCGGGGTGCTGGAACTTATACCGTGGAACCCCTCGGGCTTTATTTCGACCTCATTCACGGTATTATTGCCAGAGCGAAGACGATTGGAAAGAGGAAAGGAGCCATGTCTATCCCTGTTGTGCGACGCCGAACGAATAGTGTCACTGCCGCTGATGTTGCGATCCATGATGAGGATAAGCTGGCCGAGTTGGGGTATAAGCAGGAGTTGAATCGGAGCTGGAGCGCGTTGCATAATTTTGGGGTGTCGTTTTCGATTATTGTGAGTGTTTTCAGACTCTTCTTGTCATGTTCTTGCACGCGCTTTGATTTTCGGAAGCGGTTGCGGTTTGGCCATGTGGAGTGATGGATTGTGGACGCAGCGTCAAGATGGTGGTTCGTGGTTTAGGAACGCGATTGTGTCTCAATGCGCTTCAGAAAGAGACATCGTGTTGGGAGAATAGGAAAGCGTGAGACGGGTCGATAAAGAGTCGGGATTTTGTCAATGGAGTGCTAATCAAGCATGCAGAGTGTCGTCACGGGTATCACGACTCTCTTCTCCTATGGATTGACCGGTAAGCCCCAAACTTTCATATGCCATGTAAAGCGTTACGCAGCTAACATTCCCAGTCGGTGGCCCTGCCGTCATGAGCGTGGTAAGTCAGATACTCACCCCATGTCCACAGCATACTCACCCCCCAGGGCTGGATCATCGTAACCTTCATGACCATCTTCGTCGGGCTGGGCATGGCCGAAATCGTCTCCGCCATCCCCACCAGCGGCGGGCCCTACTTCTGGTCCGCCATCCTGGCACCCCCCTCGCAAGCCCCCTTCTGGTCCTGGATGACGGGCTGGTTCAACCTACTCGGCCAAGTCGCCGTGACCACGGGCATCACCTTCGGCTGCGCAGGTCTCATCTCGACACTCGCCTCCATCAACGGCACCTACACGCCAACGGCCGGGCGCACCATCGGCATCTACGCCGCGCTGCTCGTATCCCACGGCACCGTCAACACCTTCGGCGTCAGCGTGCTGCGCTACCTCAACAACTCCTCCATCATCCTGCACTCGCTCGGCGTGTCCGCCATCGCCATCGCTGTGCTGGCCAAAGCGCCGCACCACCAGCCCGCGTCTTTCGTCTTCCAGAAGTTCTACGACGGCACCGGCGACCCCGGGTGGAGCGTGCGCGCCTCGCCCGCCTACGTCGCCGCCTGCGGCGTGCTGATGTCGCAGTACACCATCACCGGCTTCGACGCGTCGGCGCACCTCTCCGAGGAAACCAAGAAAGCGGAGTGGAGCGCGCCCATGGGCGTGCTGACGTCCATCATCGTGTCGGGCATCTTCGGCTTCTTCTACCTGCTCGCGCTGCTCTTCAGCATCCAGGACTTCGACAGCACCGTCGACTCGGCCGTCGGGCAGCCGGTGCTGCAGATCTTCATCGACGTGTTCGGCACCAACGGCGCCATCGTGCTCATGACGCTGATCATCGTGTGCGTGTGGCACTGCGGCCTGTTCTCCCTGACGAGCAACTCGCGCATGATGTTCGGGTTTGCGCGCGACGGCGGCTTGCCGCACTTCTTCCACGACGTCGACGTGCGGTTCAAGAGCCCCGTGCGCACCGTGTGGCTCGCTGCGTTCCTTGCCTTCTTGCTCGCGATCCCGTCGCTTGGTTCCTCCGTCGCGTTCGCGGCCGCGACGTCCATCGCGACCATCGGGCTGTATATCTCCTACGGCCTGCCGATCCTCATCGGGGCGCTCTGGCCCGGGAATTTCGCGAAGGGCCCGTTTAACCTGGGGGTTGCGAGCAGGCCTGTGGCGGCGGTCGCGGTGCTCTGGATCTGCTTTATCAGTATTATCTTTTGCTTGCCGACGGCGAATCCGGTCACCAGCCAGACGCTGAATTATACGCCGGTGGCGGTGGGGATTATTCTGTTTTTTTCGTTGGGGAGCTGGTTTGTGTGGGCGCGGAAGTGGTTTACCGGGCCGATTAAGAATGTGGATGGCCGGGTCGTGATTGAGACGCAGGAGGATCCGGTGGCGGTTGCCGAGGGGCGGGTGGAGAAGTTTTAGCCGGTTTGGACGGCGAGGTCTCTCTCGTTGGGGGGGAGTCTTTTTGGATGTGAAGGGGTGGTGGATGCGGACCGATTATGTGGGTCTTTCTTTTTTGGTGAAGAGTTCGCGCCGTGGTTAGGGTAATGTGCTTGGAGCTCGTCTTCGCGTCTTCTGCGCTGTGCGTGCTTCGTCGAGATTTGGATGTGCTCATGGGAAAACGTCCACGTTGCCGAGATATCAGTGTTTGATTCTGCGACACGGTATCTGGAGCCTGTCTGCTCGCCATTTAAAGCTCCGCAGTCCTTCTCGATGGGGGTAGTAAGTATGCCCGCTTATACCGCTATCCCGTGTTGCGTACTGGATGAAACACGATGATAGAGGGCGTCTAGTAGTGACGGCAAGCATCTTTGGAAACGGCCAAGATACGAAAATGCCCTTTTCGGGCAAGCCTTGGCAAAACTGAGTGGGCAAAGTGGCGAACACCTAAGCAGAGACCATTTTGTATCTTGGCATAGAAATTCAAGTGCCAAGGATTTTATGCTGAGATACAAAATGCGTTCGACGCTTTTGCACCCTGGTCACGCGAAGCGCTGGTTATTTAGGTCGGTAAATTCTGTATCTTGGCGTTGGTACGCGTCTCATTCTGAGGGTCTACTTGATTTTGGTGAATTAGATTTACTAAGGCGTAACACACAGAGAATACCCAGGTAGGGGTGGAAAAGTGGTGAACATAGAGGCTAGTGTGTTCTCTTGGTGTTTTTTAAGTTGGGTCTATATGCGGCAGGCTTAAGATGGAGATGGTATCGGCAAGTAGAAGCTCGTCTTTAGTAGGTTTGAATGTTAGTAGTGCAGTAACGTCCTGGATTTTTGCTGTTGAATCGGTAGGCTGGTTACGGTGCCAGGTGCCGTGTTCGTCGAGGGGCTATTGTAAACGATACGGATACTCCATGGGATGGTGATCGATGTCGTTCAGTTTGGCCCGGTTGACGTCGATTGGCGCGGACTAGTGAACTTGGATGATGAATGAAGTTTCTCGCTGAAGACACTGCTAAGAAGGGTTGAGGTCTTCATCAGGACGGCTGACAAGCTTTGCGGTCCCTTCAACATCGGCGATGGCGGTTTCGCGGATGTGCAAAAGAGTAGCTGTGTCAACAGGCTCCTCCTATGTATGGTGAGAGACGTGCACGCTGCCGAAAAGTGCTTGGATTTTCCCCTTTACTTCAAGCCTTGGTTGAAACATCCGGCTCGAATATCATATTGTACTTTGTCGTCCTTCTTGTGCTCCTCCTCCTGATTGCGCTTCATTTGGACTCCGACTTTGGACCGGCTACCAGTGCGAGGGATGATAAGCATTGAGCAGGTCAATCTGTCTATCTCGCCAAGGCTGTGAAAGCAGTTGACGATGTCATGACTTTAAGGTCGAGGCTTGAAGCGATCGAGACTTGCTACTTCGAGATTTATCCCAGACTTATGGTTGAGCTGCGACAGCTCAGCCTCCTTAGTTGCAAAGAGGGTTCAATCTTCGTGGCCCCGAACCGAGAAGCATCGACGTTTCAGGCATTACCCTAGCGAGTCTGGAACGAGTACTGTGTCGACTGCTGCAGTAGAAGCCATGGGTTCGACCAAACTGCTTCTGCGTATCTTGGGGTGAGGTAGCACCGCCGGTTCCTAATTTACTTTTTCTTCCCCCTTCCCCTATAGGTGGTGTGTTCGTGGACAGGGCTTTCGGCCGTTGCTCCTACCATCCGGTGCAACAGTTAGCTTTCACCGCTTGTAGTCAGAACTCTTCGAGCAATTCGCACAGAGCCTAGCAGCAGTGCCAGACGTCAAAATACAAAACGAGAAAGAATTTTGCATCATAAGCCCATCGAGCTATATCCCCGGTCGAGGCTCCTGCTACTAGCATGTGTAGAATTTGTCCCAGAGAACGGCAGCAAATCACCCGCTAACTCTGAGAGCTGTCGCAATCGGACGCCCTATGAGCTAAGTCTGCTTCTGCTAGTCTCTGCAAGGCTCATCTCTTTGTTGGTGCAGCGCAATTGGTGTTGTAGACCAGGGCCGCAACAGTGGGTCTATCCACGTCCTCGCTAATACTCTTTCGCTCCGGGTCGGATAAGTCGACCACCACGCGAACCCTGAAGCCCAGGGAGGCCTTGTGAAAAAGCTTGGGAAGATCAGGTTGATACGGCTGATCATCCTTTCTGTTTAACGTCTCCAGCACGTCTGGGTGGATGTGCGCGACCGAGCCAACCAGTTGGCAGATATCGTGCTAGACTTTGAGGAGGGGTAAGAAAAGCCGCAGATAATCAAGAAAAGACATCGCAATGCTTATTTGAACGCCTCGAGAGGACGCTGTCTAGTGTCGAGGAAGATGAAAAAAGCTTGGAGAGGACTGGTGACGGGAGGAGGCAATGGCGATGGCAGAAGTATCGAAGAAGCACTCTCCCGAACTCGCCATCTTTAAGCTCTGGATGTAGATGTGGTGCCGGGCATCTACGCACATTAACGCGTATCCTAAGGATAATGTGGACCAATACCACTGCATAATGGCATCGATTGAGGTCGTGTTTCTTGTATTCCAAGTAAGGTGGACGCAGCTAATTGAAATGCAAGCAGATCAGCCTTGCACAGTCAATCTAATCCGCAGTGCCTGGAAAGAGATAGTGTAAGTGATCAGACTATGAACCCATACCGTTGCATGATGGCATCCCTTGGAATGGTAAGTTCTTCTATTCCTGTTAAACTGAATCTAGCCAATGAAATTGCAACTAGCTGATTGCAGTGTAATCAGCCAACTGACTTAATGCAAGTACATCGGTCATACAAAGCCAACCTATTGTCCGGTTGTAGAAAACCAAAGTGTAACCATAGAGCTCCATAGTCGACGCACACAGCATCCCTAATTGTCCAATCCTTTCTTCTCGACTTCCTGATGCGCGTCGTCCACCAAACCGCCCGCCATCTCGAATATCTTTCCGAAGTTCTCCAAGCCATCTGCATGCATCCTTATCCTGAATCCCGGGATGCGTTTCCCTACATTGAACGAAGCCTTGCGGTGCTTCAGAGAATGGCCACCAATTCCCCTCAGCGCACTTGCCAACGCGGGGTAACATCTTCAATCTGGGCTCTGCGCTGTACATCGCTTTCCGAGGATCTCCTGGATCGCGCTCTGGTCTTTGGCGATTTCTTGCAGCGTGATTTCCCGCGCCACGGTGTCCAGCAGTGCCACGGCGGAGTCGATATCTAGGAATGTAGTCATCTCCCGAGATATCTCACACAATGCATGTGTTATTGGAGGATCCATCGACCGCGATAAGGTAGGAGGAGGGTGGCCTGGTAGAAGGTGCGGAATAGGGGTTAGACCCTGTTGTGGAGGCAAATGGTGTTGACGTTTAGCGGAGGGCGGCCGGAGGAAGATCACTGTACGAACAAAGTGGGAGAGGCTGTGGAGGTTTTGCGGCCCTGAGAAAGGTTAGATGTGAGTATTAGATGGAAGTGAAGGGGACCTTACGGGCTCCAGGTAGCCCCAGCGTCAGACCTGCCAACAACAGGAGCGTCGGTGGGGACCGCGGTGGCAGGGGTATTAGGCTGGGAGGAAACAAAACTTGAATTCGACTTGAAGACGAAAGTGCTGAAGGCGCCCTTTCGAGATCTGTGTGGGCTCAGAAGAAGTGGAGGTCTCCGCGAATAGGTTACGCTTCCCTGGGGACTGGCCATCATGTCTTCCAGCTCGTCCAGCTTCTTCTCAATCGCGGCCTTCTTATGCTGGGCTTTTCCTGTTCCGCTTACAGTGTCCGACAGCGGCTCAAAGGCGACAAAAGATGACACGTCGAAGATTGAGGTAATGCTGTTTTAGATGGTGGCAAAGTGCTGTCCCGATTGCGTCTAGGCGACACTGTGTGGGCAGGTCCATCTATTAGTGTCTGGGTCGACCATGCGGTACAGGTCCACATTATGCTACGCATGGTACAGGAGGAATTTCAGACTGCCGATGGGAGAATCTTCGAGCGAACGTGACGCGACAAAAGTCGTCGAAGCCGAAGAGGCGCAATAGAAACACGGAGGTGGCCGGCTGGCTGAACTGGAAGCCGGCTCGACCTACTGAGGGTATGAGCATCCCAATATTTCCCCAGGGTTCCACTTGACCTACAATGCGACGTCTGCTGTATACAGATAAGAACACTTTGTGAGTTGCTGCTGCAACAGACAGGGACACCTTGTCAAGCGACACGTAGGGAGAAGAAGGTGGAAGATTGGATGTCTGTCAGTTTGCAGTCCGTAGCATCTGAAAATTGATGGCACGCGAACATTGTGTACATGAAAGCACTGTTTGCTACCGGCAGTGATTGCTGTAGGTGATTGTCGTAATATCGGTGAATTGTGTGTCGAGTTGCACATTAGCGAGGACTGAAGGTGAAGCACTGAACGATGGAGGGTGTTTAGCAATAGATAGAACGCATGTTTTGGGAACGTAAAGCCTCTTCGCCAGCGGACCCGCAGTGAGGTCTGATGTTCCCACCAAGTTGGACCCCCGCCAAGCTTTCCAAATCTTCACCCCTCGACATCAATCAGGCTATATATACCTCAATATTCTATGCGTCTCTCACCCTAGGGATCTGGCACCTAGGGGGCGCGTTGGACCAGTGTAACAATTATCGTGTTTCTGTCTCAATTACCTGTTGCAAAACTTCGGTTTTCATAGCCCTGGCAATTCGCGGCCAGGGTGAACTTTTGCTAGTTCGACTCTCGGTGAAGGCAGGGCTAAAGATCTTCTTTTTGCGCTCTTTCTTTTATTTGGAGGGCTTTCTGACGGTAATACTTCATGCTGGACTCGCTTGGGGCATTGAAGTCTCAAGTCACATCTTACCTGACTAGAGTTTCTTATTTCACCATCATTCATCTTCTATTTCCAACACAACCTAAATGAGGCCGTGAATACTTCTTTGAGTATCACCATCACATGCCGGTTGGGTGACAATTTCCTCCACTCCGACCCCGGGTGTCCGACTAACTGGCGGACCGTCTTTTTGAATTTTAGCGCCTGATTTCCGGCTAATATAAATCTATCCATCCCAAATATCATAGCTGAAACTTTTTCTCATGTTCGAATAATATCATCTATACGCCTCCGCGTCTCCTCTCCTCCGCCTGTCTTCGCAAGTCAGAAATACGGCAAGCATTGCCTTAGATATTTGAAAATAACTATGGTATACCCGCAGAGCCGCAGAACTAGCCGTGCTGCTTCCGTTACTACCTCGCGTCAAAATTTATTGAAAATCTTTCTAATGCACTAGAGGATTGACCTCTCCGTTCGTACAGAGTTTCAGCGCGTCTGTCTTTCCCATCGCGCTGAAAAACCAACCAAGCCTTCATTGCTAGTTACAAGTACTCCACTCTGACTTAGCCCAACTGACCAACAGCCAAAAATGCTTAGCCATCAAGTCCAATGACCAGTCCCAAACAACTCACCACATGATGTTCGACACATAGCTCCCAAGTGGTATCTATCCGCGAAACTCATCTCGTTCGTCCCCCTTTCTATCTCCGCCCAAGTTTGAGACTTTGCCCGGTCCATCTGCGTCTAACCACTCTCCGCCCTGGTGATATTGTGGATGAGCTTCTTCTCAACCCTATCTCCGATGCTAGCCGCGACCAAGTCATTCGATTCCTCCTCCTGGTTGCTGGTGTGCGCGGCATCAGAACGTCTCCCTCCCTCCTTCGAGGACCTTTTCCCTGGAAGACACTTTTCTTGGGACAGGGGTAGCATGAACACGAACATTCGGACTGAACAACTGCACCAAAGCGTCTAATTTGATGACCGGCCTTGATCCTATTACGTCCTGGTTAGCGTGTGTTGGCATCGGCCGCTCTCGTAGGCTCAGACATGCTCGATTTCTCGCCGCTCAAGTTCTTGTTCGGCGACACGGGCCCCAAGGTCCTCATCAGTGCCTTCTGCTTAGAGTGCCTTGAGGTTGTTCTCCTTGCGGTAGAAGACTGTCTCCTTCTCTTAGAGGCTGTGAAGTTCATCGGGGAAGAACTGATAGTCGTGGATCTGAATCTGCTTTGGTGGCTTGGTGTGATCAAGTGCAACGCTTTCGCACGCGACAATGCGGCTGCGGTCTTGGGATTTGAAGTCTTTAATGCAGGTGCCCGAATCAAGGTTCCAGAGTTTGGCGATACCATCACCCGACGCAAGTACGAGACGGTTCCTGCGAAGCTAGACTGCGTTGAAGGGACGGGTCCGGACCACTCCCCTGTTGGAAAGCTCGGCTGGGTCCCTGTTAAAAGTGCTTCTTAATAGAGTTTCCGTCGTAGATCTCCGTGGCTTCCTCAGCCTGTCGAGCTTCCTCTTCGGGCTACGAACGGGCCGATTGCATTCCAAGTCGTCTGTCATCCACTCCTTCAAATCGCCCTTTGCGGCTCTTAGCTCTCCCGTCAAAGCTTCGTTCTTCGTCTCTGAAGCTTCACTATTCGTTTGCAGAGCTTCAAATCGTGCAGAGAGGTCTGTCACGTTGAAGTATTTCTCCCGAAGCCATGTCACCATGCGGTTGAGAGAGTCGACTGTCTCATGCCGTATGCCATCCGCTCCTTCAGGTCGTTCGAGGCAACCTGTATCCGTTCCTCAAGCCACGGTTCCCTACCTACGCGGTAATTCCAGCTCTAATAGCTTATATTAAAGTTGTTGAGTTTAAAAGCTCGTAGTAGGACGTCGGGCTTGGTTGGCTGGTGGGCGCAAGGATCAACCGCGTTTCCGTGCTTTTCCCGAAGCGAAGTTCGCATTCGGGTGAAAGAGGCGAGTTCGCTAGCGCTTGGGCTGCCAGCTCTGCTGGTAGGAGGAAAAAATTGAAGAGAAGGCAAGGCACATTCCAATCTTACTTTGAGATTGTCTGTCAAACGTGTCCAGAAGACAAACCGTTGTGGCTGGTATTCTAGGCGCGTGATTGAAAGTTCTAAGGAGGGAGTCACACGGGACTGTGTTGATATAGCGTAGACATGGATGCGACAGTGAGTCGCTGCATCGTGGTGCGAGTCTATGTGAGCATCGGAGAGAAGAGGACGAGTGCCATCCCGTCGAAGATGTGTGTACAGTCCCACGGGCGGTGACGGGTATGCGACGCTGATAGCACAGAGGTCATCGCTGGCTATATCTATTATTCCACTGCAGCTGCTCTTCAAACTCTTTGGTCCTCTCGTGGAGGCAAGCGATGCACAGGAAGAAAGATCGCAGTCGGTCCGCTTTCTTTGGCGTTGATCAACACCCCAATCTCCATCGGGCGGTTATCGACCTTGACTCCATTGAGACCTTTAGCGTGCGACCGGTTGGATCTTCATTGAGCGATCCTTGGCTTTGACTCCGTTGAGTGCCTCCACGTCATCTTCTTCATTTTTGATCGGGCGGGCGGACACCATGACTTCGTTGAGGCTCGTCGCTGCTTCAGCCGAGCTGTTTCTTTCGCGAACAGCAAGAACAACTCGGATTGACGGACAGTCGGTCGAAAGAAGCACCTGTTGAGGAAGGATCGCGTTGAGTATTGTAAGACGGAACTCCAACTTGCTGAGGCCGAACTTGATGCTAAGGGGATGTCCTTCAGCTACCTGTCGTTGAACTTCCGGCCAGGAGAGTAGCCTTCGCGGGAGTCGGGTTGAAGCCAACGCTAGCATCTAGGCTCGCGGCACTATTGCGGATGCTCTTGTAACACGCGTCCTCAGTTTGTACTAGATGCGGCCCTCTGCCGTGGTGGTGCAGGTTGATTGGGCGTGCGGCGGGTGGTGGGTGAAGGAGTGCGTCTCTTAGTTGTCCCCTCAAAGCCTCGTTCTCCGCCTTCAGAGCCTCAAAGTGTGTTCGAGGATCAGACGCAGGCCCATGCTTCTCCCGAAGCCATGTCCCCATGCGGGTGAGAGAGGCGAGTTCTCTCTGGAGTGGGTTGTCGGACATGGTGACGAGATTCTTGCTTTGGAACGTCCGGTGGGTGAAGTGAGAGTGAGCGACTACGAGCTGTAGGGGGTAATGAGAAGGGAAGGGGGCGAATAGAAGAGTATCGCCCTTGCTTAGGACCTCCTCTCTCATTATGACGCGTTCGAGCTGCTTCACTTCGGGCACCGGATGGTTTTCTCGCAGAGAACTACGCTGTGATTCTCTGGGAAGTCCTTCTCTTCCAAGCGGTTCGGAATCGGTTGGTGTCCGGTCTTGCTTAGGAGCTCCTCTTTCATTGTGACGCGCTCGAGCTGCCTCGTATGGGACTCAACCATAGCTTGCCTGTGCGCCAGCCACATTGTTTTGTCCATTTTCGCAACCTCTAACTTCGGAAACAGCTGCCGCATCGAGCTCATCACCACTTGCTGTTTCTCGTTTTCTCTTGCGTCCGGGAAAATTGAAATTGTCTGCTAGCGAGATCAAGCTCCTGGCGCAGAGCTTGTATCTGACTCTCTGACAGGACAACCCGCTTGTCTGGTGCCGTCAACAGGGGCTTGGACGGGTCTGGAGGCTGCGGGTTGAGGCCTGCTTCGACTTTCGCCCGCCGCATCCGTTGCTTCCAACACCACCAGACCACACAGGCTGGCCCCGCTGGGGCGCCAGCTGGTCCAAGTAGTCGAGTAGCCTTGTAGTTACAAGCTACTGAGAGTAAGCTCTACGCCAAAGCTGTCGTATTGTGGTACTGTCGGGGACGAACTGCTTCGCCTTGCTCGCGGGGGCCCACACAGCCATGATATTCTTCTGCAGCTTGTTGGCGCCCGAGTCGAAGCCCCATTTGTCCTCCTGGGATAGCCAGCCCGGCAGATGTCTCATCAGTTCCGACTTCCGGTGCGGCATCGTGGACCTCTCCATGAGAACCCCGCTGTCAGCAAAGCGTGAACAAATCTCGGAGAGGAAGGACGATGAGGAGCGAAATGTTGTCGTTGCGACCCGCTGTCTAGTTCGGCTTCAAGTATAGCACTTCACTACCCGTCTATAATGAAAGATCTGGAGTGAGGTCTTGGTCGTATCTTCGTGAGGCGTCTGGGTCGGTGGCCGGCGTTGGCAGGGCCTTGGTGGCGTTCTTCGGTTGACTGTGCGAGTAAGAAACTGAATGGCGAAGGAGCTTTTCCGGGGACTTACGAGACACGATCGCTGAGGCTCTTGACCAGCTCAGTAGACAAGAAGTTCTGCTGATTGAGCATGACTTCAACCTTCAATGGGCGGTTGTTGAACTTAACCCCATTCAGACTCTTGGCCGCTTCAGCGGCGGCGGTTTCCTTGACGAAAGTAACAGCAGCAAGGTCACGGCCGGATATCTCACCCAAGATCGCACTGCGAACTGGCGGGAGGGTACAGCGGGTTTTAGTTGCGTAGCTGGTGTCAGAAGGACGCAGTCTGGGCGATGAGGTCCGTCGTGTGCCATTGCGGCTCACTTGGTTGACGTCTAGTGAAGAGTAGTCGGCCCTTTCAGCGTCGAGTCTAAGGTGGTGACAGGTCCGCGATGCCCTCCGCAGTACACCTATAGAACCAACGAGTTCCACGGCCGCTTTAGGCTTTCCACGACCAGCATTGCGGCTACAAGCTGCCTTTCCTCATTCACAAGCGGATTTGTTGCCGTACTGGTTGCGTTCACCGGCTTTGGCTGGTCCTTGGCGGCGTTCTTCGGTTGACTATATAGATCAGAATATGAAGACTAAAAAGTTAGGGAGGGGTTTAGAACCTTGAGTTGCGGGCTGGAGAAACGCCGCGGCGTCGCTGTCGCTGTCGCTGCCGCTGGCACTGCTTATACTCTCACCTCTGTCCCACTTGCTGTCACTAGCAGGCCCTTGCTGCCCAAGAGCTTGCGACTCTGGAGTTGTTCTCCCTTTACTGTGTCCACGTTCTACGTCGTCAAGGATTGTTGCAGCACGACTGGCTGGAAGATCTTCTAGAAGCGGAAGGGTGCCGGCTGAGCTTGCAGTGTCCTCGAGTGTAGCGCTCTCGCTTGCTCCAAGAAAAGACCTCTGTCTCTTCTCATTGTGACTAGGGTCGAAGACGTCCGACGAGTGGACGTGCTTTGATGGCATCATGCTACGGGAAGGCCGGAAGTGTTGACTAAATGTTCCGCAGCGGCCAGAGAAAGCAGGAACTTTTCGAGATCCGCGTCACTCAACCGGTACAGCTCAGGCAAAGTGGAGACGAAGGGGCCGGAGGGCGAAGGCACGGGTACTTCGTAGTGCAGGCGTGCGGCAGTGAGCCGAGGTGCTTTTGGCGGGGGTCCGATGGGCTCCTAAACTTCGTCGCTGTCTGTTTCCGACAGGGTCCAGCAGTCGATATTTAGACAAGATGAATAATCACCTGGGTAGAAGATAGAGTCTGTGGTCGTGGCGGGTGATGGAGTGAGGGTAAGGTGAGGAGGTTGGAGCTTGGTGTAGTCCGGTGCGTGGACAGTGGTCGGGTGGCCTTGGCGGTTGTAGATGCGGGCTCCTTGGGCTACTAGGTACAGCCCTTAACCTCAGATTTTTCACTTTAGCGACATTAACAAGCTCACGTGGTAAAAGACTTTAATCTGTTTACACATCGCTCCCCTTAATAGATCATGAACATGTTTTTAGGTTAAGTTGCATTAGTTCTAGGTCAGGCGAATTGGCGATACTTCGTATATTAGCCATCTTGTAAGGGACGGTCATCAAGATCGAAAATAGAACGACAAGCAACAAAGGTATTGATTTATGGTTTTCTTTATTATCGGGCTGCTATACTACGAAGGAATTCGTGTGCTTCCTGGTATGTAGAGAGAGAGGAGAAAGGGAAAAAGGTATTTAGGCCATGGCATCACCTCGCAAAGCATTATCGAAATAGCAGCAGCTATAACAAGTCTTGCCCTTAAAGTGCCATTAAAGCCTAAATGAAAAAGGAAAAGAAAGCACGAATTGACATGCCGTGCCCGTAACACCCCATATGCTGAGGCCGATCGACAGAAAGACTCCGTCAACTCGCCTGCTTGAAAGCTGGTAACTGTCATCGCAAGAAATTAGAAGCCGCCGTGGTTGCAAATGATTGCCCGCATCGCTAGTAGAGACGTAGACGCCGCCACCGATAGGAACACCAAACAAGGCTCGAGGAAGGATATCGGGACGAGCTTAAACGCTGGCAATGAAGCGGGCAATGAGGATGTCCATCTCGAGTTGCTGATAGATAAGACCCAAGCCGATATTGTTGACGTCCATGTTATCGAGATCTGCGTCACTCACCCGATACAACTCGGGCAAAGTGAAGACGAAGGGGCCGGAGGCCGAAGGTACAGGGTAGTGCAGGCGCGCGGCGGTCATGGAACAGCCGCATCAGCAGCCAGGGTTCCCTCCAGTCCTTTCAAATCTCATCCAGAAATCAATCGCTATGCCTTATTCATGCCCCATCGGGATAGCCATATCGATTCAAGCTCCAGTCATGATTAGTCGCTGTCGTTGCGCAATCTCTGTGTACGGATCTGACTGCTTCGCTCCCTCATTCCTTCGCAGACTTCCGAACGAGGAAAACTCCAACCTCAACTACTTTCTGCGGTCTACCGTTTCTGCAATACTTGCTGATGACTTCAATAAGAAGTGCGAGACTGTCAGAAACGATGACTAACACACACAAGGAGAGGCGGGGCGGGGGTGGTGGAGGCGGGCTGGTCGCGCTACAGCAGTTCTGGAAGAGAGCCTCGAGTTCAGGCATGCAGCCTTTTCCTGGGGAGCACCCAATCTAGAAAGTTTGTCACAGCGACGAGCTGCGTAGTCGTACGATGTAGCGCGTAGCCTCCATCTCCGTATTGCTAGTTTCCTGCAGATGCAGCAGGAGCCGGTTGCCGCCAAGGGTTCGCTGGCCAGGATTTGTATCGACAGATGAAGGAGTACGCTTGGCTAAGGCGAAGCGTGCAGTATCGATAGGAGGGCAAGAAGAGCATGATGGAGGGCGTGCACTTCGTCGGCTACATGTACACCACTCGAGCACCCGATCGTCTGCCTCAAAAACTCGATTTCTCTGCTGGATCAGCTGAGTCGCATCTTCGGATAGCCGATCTACCTCGTCGAGCAGCCGAGTCAATCCCTAGAACGATCGAAATGCTCGTCACTAACTTCCCAATTCAAGGGGTTGTGGCGTCATCTTGATTAAGGCGTGTCTGCTCTTAACGAGTTCCATGTTCTGCATTGTTCGTGCGGACTATAGATGGGACGTTCACCGCAAAATATCGTCGGGAGCAGTGTGCGACACATTTTGACAGTTGCTGGCGCCATAGTTAATGTGTCGCGGGGAACGCTTATACCTCGCGGACGTAGACCAGTTGTCCCATCAGGTTTTGGTTGCTGAGAGTGTTGACGGCCTGTTGGGCTTGTTCCCTAGTTGCGTACTCGACGATTCTGCCATGCTTATTGGCTATGAACCCTGGTGAGGAGGGAGGTGGCGGAACCGGTCTAAAACAGATGTACAGAGCTGAAGAAAAGCAGGTATTATCTCGGGAAAAGCTGTAGGAGCTGGGACCAAACTCCATGAATGAGACGTGAGGACCCAGGCGGTATAAGCTTCTGTAGGAGGTGGGAGCATCACCGACATCTACAGTGGTATTCTGGTTGTCTTCCTGGCCGTCTTCATGGCCGTCTTCCTGGCCGTCTCCTCGATGGGCTTGTTCCTGGTCATCCCGATTGGCATCTGGACTAGATCTCTGATGAAACTCCTGGTGATCTTCGTTTGAGCGTCTTGCTTGAACCCCTGCGGAGGATCTGTTTAGGCATTACTCAGCCTGTCGAGCCTCCTTTTCAGGCTAAGGGTGTATTTATAGCCTACCCTGCTATAAGACATCCACTCTGACAAATCGTGCTTTGCAACCCTCAGCTGTTCCATCAACTTACCACGAGAAAACTGATCCAAGCTTCGAGACTTAATGCCTGGTGCTGTCGATGTGAGCGGCAGAGTAAGCTCATCGATTGTCGAACAACGGAAGAGGAGTTCATCGCTTTGGTACGTCTGATGGATGCTGGAGAAGGGCAGTGTCGCGGAGGAAGGTCGATGACGACGCGTCCTGGGATACGTCGCTGAAATTTTGAGCGTAAACCATAGGTAGGAGGGTGAAGACGACCGGGATGGAGAGGGACTCTGCCTCCCGAATCACCCATCCATCTCCACCACAGTGGTCTTTTTTGCTGCTGGGGCTTCTTCTCTTTCGGCGGCTAGGGTTTCTCCTTGGGCAGTGTCTCTCACTTCTGGACCGACTCCGAGACCGGCTCCCAAATGGAGAGGTTTTTGGCCTGTTCTTCTGGCTAAACGAGAGCATCGCGAAGCTTGAGGTTCTCGGGAGGAATTGTTTGCGAGTTTCTTCGCGTACCATATCGTCTTCTCCGAAATCCGAAGCTGCTCCCCATTGAGAAACCGATTGGCCTCGTCGAGCGCTCGATCCACCTCTTTGAGTGGCCATTTCACCCTTTGACGCACCCGAACTGTTACTCTCGAGTGAGAAGTCGGGCGAGTTCCTAGCTCTTCTTCGATGAAACCCAACTCCGTGATCTTGGTATCTCCCATCACCTTCGGTATTCGTCCGCCGAACTTCACTAGCCAGGAAGCTTCCAATGCCGCGCTGTATGGCTGTGTGAGCTGATGCTGAGGTCCGGGTGTGCCTTTGAAACCCAAAGAGGGCGATTAGTCGTGGGCTAGACACCTAGGCCAGTCGAGACTGGCAAGATGGTAAATAAAGGACTGGACCAATGGAGAAGTGCCTTGATGATCGACTGAGACCTGGTGCTTGCCCATGCCCCATGCCCTGGAGGCCGGCACCCTCATCTCCTCCAGTTTTTTGCAAGGTGAACAACTGCCTCAATATAACCATGTTGGTCTAACCGACCGCAGAAGAAGTCACGCCAACTCTCCTGCGGAATAAGAGTACTTTTTTACTTGACTAGCTCATCGGCTTCACCTGATCCTCCGTTGGTGAACAAGATGATATCTGTTCTTGCTGGTATTGTACTGCTGGTATAATGTTCGCTTGGCCGGGCCCTCCTTTTCTGTTGCTAGGGCTTCTTCTCCTTCGACTGTTGCTGGGGCTTCTTTTCCTTCGACGTCCTGTGGCCTGATCCACTTCTGCAGCCTGGGCTGCTCGGCCATGATCTAGCATAAGAGCCGTGTGAGGGTCTTCTGCTGCTTTTCGCCAGGGCTTAGAGGGGCGCCGGCGGGGTAGTAGAGTGACTCGGCGAGGGCGTGAGCCTGCTTGGTGATGCGGTTTCTGTCGTTGTATGTGGGCTCTCAGCAGTTGGGCAGTTGCTCCAGTAGCGAGGCGAAGCTCCTAGGCACCCAATTCCAACCGGCAGTGGGGCATTCGGAGATCATGATGGATAATTCGAAGCTGGTCGCAGCAGCGGTGCACTTGAGTGTGTCTTCTTGGGATTAATAGCTTCGTGAACAACACGAGGGATTCAAACGGCAGAGGCTTCAGCGGGAGGCGGCAACACGGGGTGCTGGTGGGGAAGGGCACCACCGAAACTGGCGTCTTTGAATATAGGTTGCTCTCAGATGAAGCGTGTTGCGGTTGTGAAATGAAGGTGGTGATAGAATGGAGATAATAAGGTAAGATGGGGTTCGCGAGTTTCTGTTCGGCTTGGCAGGATCACTGCTGTCTGGGGTCAAGTACTACCAGCGAGAGACACCCCCTCTACTTCAACACGATTCTTTCCGCTTGGATCTTTTTACTCGAGCTTCACACGTAAGCTCACTTACTGGAAGTGAGTTTCTTTTCCGCACTGTTGAAGTGAAAGGGGCCGCCAATTCGTCTATGTCCACGCAATTCAGGACCGCATTTGCTATAGAGTCGACAAATGAGGAAAAATTATCAGTTTGGCCGACATCAGATGGGCTGCACGCCTTCTCCAGCTCCACTGCTGTCTCGGGTTGTGAAGAAGCAGTTCTGTGTTGATTTGAAGAGGCATAAGGCCCGTATATATAGCCTATGAAAGGGGGGGGGGGGGTACTCCCCTGTTCCCCCTTGTTACGGATATGGAAGGATGTAACGCCACTGACACGCTAGTAGTGGCAACCTGAGTTGCTGCCTGGGCAGCTGACGTCCCTAAAGATCTTTCAACAAGCTAACCTTACCCTTAGGCCGTGAGTCGATTCGTGACGCAGTCAACGAACCAGAACCTTAACAATTCGGAGAGTCTGAGATATCTTATCAACTTCACTCTAAGTAGTCGGAGGGTCCTACCTGCCAGTAGAAAATCTCCGAACATTGGGTAGATTGAGCAGACGTTCTTATGCAATTTAGCAAGTTTGGACTTAGTCGAAAGGACCTTTAGGATGTAGGCTAGACAGACTCCCCTTTTAACTTAGGGGCCACTTCCCGATATCACCGCCTACACTGCAGCCTTCGTCCACTCACCACCAACTATTGCGGATCACCGGAAGGAATGGCCTTCTACTCTCGCTATGAAGACTGCACCACTGCTGCGCAGAGTAATGACTTTAGGAGGGGCACAGGTGGTGACTCTTGTGAGGGAAGGATGTAAGCAGGACACCTTCTTGGGAGAAGAGGATGATTCAGATAATGTATTTAGACCCACAGCTTGTTCATAGGTACGTTTCTCCTAACTGAGGGGGGATTTATGGATTGTCAGCGCTGTGTGGCACAGGTTGACTCAGCTTGCCACTACTAGCGTGTCGGTGGCGTTACATCCTTCCATATTTGTAACAAGGGGGAACAGGGTAGCACCCCCCCCCCCCCTTTTCAGGGGCTATATATACGGGCCTTATGCCTCTTCAAATCAACACAGAACTGCTTCTCTTCAACTTAACAGGTTGCGGCATTCTTCGGATGGCGCTGAGACCTCGACATCTTATGGGACTGGGGACACATTAGGAGAAAAGCACTTTCGTGGGGACGGGAAGATTCTGCATAAAGAACTTAGTGTCGAAGGGTGCATAATACAAATGCTTAGGACGCATTTGTAAGGACGAGAGGTCTTATACCACAGACCGACATCCTCCACCCCTTTCGCACCAGTATCGCATTGGACTACATCACCGATTTGATGACCCCGGAAAACGCCAGAATGAACGTGAGATGTCAAGTGAAGCCGGTAACACCGAGCTTCCCGACGATATCTTTCCGGTTATATGTGGTCATCCTAAAAACCTCACCCGCCTGGCCCCGTTCAGGAATACCCTCGACACGCAGCTGTAAGAGTAGTATCTGAACAAGTATCCGGATGTAAATATTCATCAGTAAGGCAGCCCCCCGACAGACCAAGCTCTCGTACGCTGGAACAGAAAGAGTAGCATCGAAAGTAGAAGGAAAGGGAGGCTGCTGGTGGGCTACAGCGCTTCGATGACAACGGCATGCGCGGTGAAGGATCCACCACGAGCCGCCAAAGGAGTGGACCCATGAAGCACTTATTGGAGTAGTTGTCACCAAATGACAAGTAGAGCTTCAATTCGACCGCTAACAAAATGCAGAAGAAGATCAAGGCAGTTCATCTTCCAACCGAACTATCCGTCAACCATACCTCTTCATCCGCCCCGAAATCGAATGATCACGATCAAGATACCACGTAATGATAATCAAGCTCGGCGGAGGGTTGCAGCTTGGGGACTCAGGAGGGCGTACAATCGCAGGCAGATATAGGCCTGTACTTGGGGCTGGAGGACGTACAATCAGGTCGACTTTCAAGGCGATGTCTGGGGCAGGAGAACAAAATCAAGTTCGGCGATCGGTAGCAGCTTAGGGAATGCGCAGGATGCACAATCGGCTCAACCCAGCCTGGGTGGGCGAGTTTTGGAGCTGGAGAACGCAGACCAAAGACAAATCGTCCGCGACAGTATCGCACGGCGTCGGCTCTCACCTCAACCACCCCCCAGGACGGCCAAGCCTCATAGGGGAGTGGTAACGGAAGTAGCCTAAGCCTATCTTTTGCAGGTTCCGGTAAAAGTGGTGGAAATCTAGGAGAGAGCAGGACATTGTAGACGCGACTAAATCAAGTGGTCTTGCGAGCATCACAGAGGCATCAACGATGTTTAAATAAAGAGAACTCTGCGCGCCCAATAAATGATTCTTGCCCAGTCCAGCATTTTTAGTTTCCACCCCCCTTCTCCTCTCCTGGAAGCGGCGACGCTGTTCGACTAGAAGTAGGATAGCTATTATCATAGTCAGTAGGGAGGACAGCATGAGCATGTAGGGTGTCATTTTAACCTAGTGGTAATTCACCCTAATTTTAAAGTCAAGTGCGAATCCGACTAACTTCAGCCATATTCAGTATCCATATTCCAGCTTAAGTATCGTCATGATGGCTACCTATTCTTCTCCGCCAGGATAACTCCTCGGATCAAGTTTGGAATCACTCGGAGGTCCACACGCCAGCCTTCGAATTCACTCACCCGGCGAGTACTATAATCCTGAACGTAGCAACACAAATAGATTTTGATGCCCCAGAGATGTTCAAGGTATCATTGCGTACTTATTTGGATACGAATGTCTCTCCCTCTCGAGGTGGATGGTCACACTGCTCACCCTACAGATGTGTCAATGCAGACATAGTTCTAAGACAATCTTCGAAAAGGAATTACCAAAGGAAGCCCTGCTGTGAATGGAGGAGATGTTCTCAATATATAGAGAGAGCTGGGGAGGGAGTATCAACGATCTACAACTTTCAGTCCTGGCATCATCAGACACGTATGTGAGCTTTGTAGCGTGTCTACGGATGCTATTAGGGCTAGCTGCATAATCGACCATTATTAACTGTCGCAACGAGTTCTCACTATGAATTCTGTCGAGGGCGTGTAAAGCTTATTCCGTCGCCTCGTACCCCGAAGCCTTCAGCGTAGGCTCTCTTAAGCCCCTCTGTGCCCGGATTATATAGTCGAGAATCGAGCGGACTTATGGACGTTGTGCTTTCCGGCCTGCTCAGTTGTAATTTTGGTAGTCTTCTTCATGATGTCAAGGGGATGATCATTAAAGCCACTACTACTGATAGGATGATATTCGCCGCAGTTCTTGGGAAAGTCATTGGGAGATAAAATCAAGTTATTAAAATTCTAATTACACAGTGCGATCGCAGGGCGTTGAGGTGATCAGGGGATAGCAACGATGATGTGCGGGTGTTGGTCTTTATTTGCGAGCATATAGATGTCCTTCTGTATAGGGGTACCGCCGCAGAACACAGACGTCTTGACCTCCGCCAACCGGTTGCACTTGTTCCCTAGTCGCGTACTCGACGATTCCGACCTCCACCAACCGGCTGGACTTGTTCCCTAGTTGCGTACTCGACGATCCTAACCTCCGGCAACCGATTGCACTGGTTCTCTAGTAGCGTACTCGACGATCCCAACCTCCGGCAACCGGTTGCACTGGTTCTCTAGTAGCGTATTCGACGATTCTCATCACACTGAGAGACCGGTCGGGTGTTGGTCCTTATTCGCGAGCATGTCGATGTCCTTCTGCATAGGAGCACAACCGCAGAACACAATCTTGCCCTCCGACAACCAGTTGCACCTCTCTCTAGTAGCGTACTCGACGATTCTCATCCCAGCGAGAGGCCAATGCCCGCTGCAAGGCATCACGCTGGCATGCTTCTTGTTCCTGAACTAGATGTGTAAAGTGGAGCTTTGGAAAAGACACTGCCAGCGAACGGTGGTTAGTACATTTCTCCTTAAGGGCCAGGTGGCCGCGGCCAGCGCTGTGGAGACAGTGAACTTACATGAGCAGGGAGGTTGCCACAGGCGTCGTTTAAGGCAATGTCGAGCTTGCGTCGGGTCACGGAAGTGAGGTCCGGCTCGTCCTTTCACTCTGTGCCGGAAGTCGGATTCGTCGGCCATTAGAATGGCCAGCTGTGCAGCAAGGAGAAGCGGGGCCATGAGAGAGTCGGACTTTGTTGTCAGCACGAAAGGGCTGCTTAAGGACACGGTCGGCATGTCAGGCGCATGCGCGCTCTGTGCCGAAGTCGTGCTATGGATCGCAGTAGTGTGCGATGGAGTAGTGACCGAGACCGACAAGGCAGCAGCGCGGAAGGAGGCCGAGGTCGACATAGCCGGAGCTGAAGGAGTACGAGCTAGGTTAGCGACCGTGACTAGCGAAAGAAGCGCGGGAAGGTCGGGTTGGTAGAGGAGGTGAACGAGCTGTGAAGTACGAGGGTGGGCTGATACATACCCGTTTACATGGAGTGAAGGGGAGTGAAAAGAGAGACCTTTGGTGAAGTGAGGTGTTTGGAGTGGAACTTGACGTGAAGGCGCGCTGACGCTATTCCAAGTTGTTCGGATTTTGACGACAGACTTGGCGGCCACGTGATACTTATCACTGGATCATACTTACCGCTACTTTTCACTTTGAAGATATGGACTGAGGACTTTCTATAACGAATGTGAAGAGCTAGATCTTGGGTCGCTGGTTTTGGCAGTGAGAGCGGCAATGATGCGGAGATGTTCAGTGATGACCTATATTTCTCGGTACCAAAATGTCGCCTAGAGAAGGACAACATCGCGAACTCTGTATAGAATATTACCAACATTGCATGATTTTACCAGATTCGCGCTATCTGAGCGTTGAGGCCGAAGGTATGCAAGACTATGGGGAGTGCAGAGAACTACATATAGCTTCAATGGCCACCGAGGGGAGAACTGGAACGTAGAAGGTCCAGATCTACATATTACCCAGATGCACGGTCGAAACTTCCATGATACTGAATGATGTCCAACACGTAGTAACTGTCGTGCAAAGTGGCAAAGCGAGGCCCTAATTGTCAAGCATCATCAACTGCAAGCCCTAAAATGATTCCACGCAATCTAATCTTAACAGCGACTGAGTCGCCGAGAGTGACACCGAGAACGGCAGCAGCAAGGGAAAGATAGGCAATACATGATAAGAGGTTGTTCACATGACAGAACCAGCATTGTACGTCTAGGCAGGTCGAGGTGCCAGGCAACTCGAAACTCTCCATCTCTCGTGGGGTGGTCTTTATTGACGTTGGTAGCGACCGTCCATGAGTGCCTTTGATCTACACAGCCGGAGTTCAAGGAGCAGAAACTGGTTCAGTGACGGCGCGGGACCGGTTTGAAGCATCTCAAGTAGAAGGGCTAGGTGATTGAGACCTCTAGCGCAAAGACAGCTCCGGCCTGGGACTGCGATGGCCATTTGAAGTGTCCTAATGTCTAGTTGCTAAGGTCTGCGGACATCATCCGGCGCAGGGTCCCGGTTGTAGTGATAATGGTGTTAAAGGAATATTCACTAAGTGAATTCATTAGATGGATACTGCTCGTTTATAGAGAATAAACACTTAGATGTGATACTTGGTTGTAAGAGATTGAATTTATCGACAGCAACACGAAATGGAGAGTGCTCATTCCTATCTGGGCTACGTTCTACTATTCATAGGGCTAGTTGATGCGCTAGGAGTGGATCGCAGGTTACAAAAGGAAAAGTTCGAGAGGGAAATCCTTGCATACGGTTCCATCATTAAAAGTAGAGATACTAGGTAACTGGAGCACGACATGTGTTTTGAGAGGCTTCCGCGGCTATTCCTTCCATCTCGTAATAACGTGAAGCAGACAAGCGGCAGTCTAGCTGCGCATTGTGTCGTAATAGGCTTCCTCCAGCTTCCTCGTTACCAGCAAGTCCTCTGCAAAAGAATGCTCGGCAACTGTTCCTTGTGGCGGCTAGGCAGTGTTCGCGCGTGCTGCGACTCAGTCGTCATGTGGGAATGGGCGTATCCGAGTCTCCCTTGCGGTCGTTCCTCTAATATTGACGGCTGGGGAATGCTGCCGATTTTGGCGGCGGATGCGAAGAATGCCGTATTGGCGGGAGGTGGACTAGTATGAGATTTCCGGCTCTGAAAAACCTTCCCCCTCCGACCACGGCATATCTGCAACGGAGTCCGCACGCTGCTGAAAAGTGCCACGGTCCTGGGGCCGTAGTAGTAAAGGCAGTCAACGGGTCAAGAAACACGTCGTGTTCTCAAATCATTCCATATCCCTTGATCTTACCGCGCTTAAAGCTGTTCTTAGGACATCTGCTCCGCAGATAGACATATCTAGCTCGCTATACCAATAGTCGTCGCAGCTGCGAGTACGTATGCCTGAGAGTAGGAGCACGTCCGACGGCGGGGAGGGCGCTATCGCTATTGCCGCGTTCTCGATGATATAGTTATGTTTATGGTAGGACGCCGATCGTGACGAGCAGGGAGGAGGAGGAAACTATGCTCGACGCGTTAGAATGCACTGAGATGTGTCTAGAAAGCTGCAAGCTCAATACCAGATTTTTGAAGCGGCTCCATGACCTACTGTAGGTTCGGGGAACCTGGATAGCTTTTCCATGTCCTTCATTTCCCGTCATTGCCACTCTCGCTCCATGTGTTCTGGACCCCCTGATATCGAAAGTCCATAGCTGACATCCCAACCTTGTCGTTGCTCGTATACTCAGCGAGAGTACACGTAGCCGGTCCCGAGGAGCTTTTGAAAGTAGAGCAAGCGGTGTTAACACTATGGAAAGAAGTCTTGCTACACAGCTCAGGTCACCGGCTCGTACTAGGGTTGTTTGCAGAGTCTGTGAGGCGAGAGCTCTCTGTCGGCCGGAAAGCGGATCCCGGAGGTTTTTTAATGCGAAGGAACAACTGTCGGTCATAAGGTAGAGCGCTTGGGGAGAGCGATGCTGTAAGGAAAACTCGAAGGAGGAATGTCACGGGGAGTAGGTGAACCGGGGCCCGGAACTCACGTGGTAGATCTCAGGACAATCCAAGCCCACCCGCCCTAGCGATTGGATTGTCCTGAGACTGTGTGATCTGTCCCGGAGGTCAAAGAAAAGTACCCCCTGGCATGATACAGCGATGGGCATAGCTGCCGTTCCTCAGTTTTCTGAGGTTATAGCCATCATCGTCGTAATCAGAGCGTCGAGGCTGACGCTTCTTCACTTGTTGAACGAGACTGAGCTGCCCTAATTTCGCTGAAGAAGAGACGGGACCAAGTGAAGTATTGGAGAATGAGTGAGATCGACTGCACGAGCCATTAGCCACCGCCGCTCCGCTCGTGACTAGTGAATTTGGGTTCCCGAATGCGGTCTTGCTAATCGCAGCCCGCGCAGAGATCGGGTAGTGGAGATGATGCAAATGCTCTCGCGGCCAAGCTAGGAGGCCGCAAAATTAGCTAGATGTTGTTAAGTGAAGAGACTGGTGACCGTGTCGCGGACCAGCGCTGCTGGCATTCCGCTGCAGGAAGTCAACCTTGCTTATTCGCGGGGATTGGAAAGTGAGACCATTTCTAACAACAAAGCGCCCACTAACAAGCACAGTTGCTCTTATATCATCTCCCGTATTAGGGTTGATTTTTATGGGGTGCAAAAATAATTGTAGTCCAAAAAGATAACACAGTAAGGGCTCGAACCGGGATCCAAAAAGACAAAAAAAAATCTTTGAAAGCTCACTTTGATAAAGCGTGTCATCCTTAGTGCAGGGGCCATGCTAATCTTCTCTGTGTTGTTTCAAGTTGACCAAATGCCCGAAGGCGAAGTGCGTTGAATTTGGAGGAAATATATAGACTGAAAAGTGGGCGGGGTCAGTGCACGTTTATGGGAGCATGTGATACCACAACACGCTCGCAGGCCGCGGAAAAATTCGGCAATAAGGTATATAACCATCTGCGAGCAGTATTATATGTCTGGAATCAATGTGTAGCAGCTCATCGTCGTCGGCCGCAGCGCCAACCCGCATGTGCGCTAAACAGAGAAAATGATACGAAGACAGCAGTCTGCCAGCACGACCATTTAACCTCCCAGATGCCTTTACCACATGCTGGGAGGGCTTGTCGTTACCAGTGTCGCTTTCGCGCGTCGTCCACATTATCACCCTCAACATCCTTCCTCGGTTCGTCACCGACCCTTCTCACAGAATCACAACCTCGTACACACGGCAGCCTTGTACCCGACTGACACTGCGCTCTCCAGACTATATTATCTATGCATTGCTCTTTAAATGCGCTTGAAGACCCAGCCGCAACATTTCAGGTCTCTCTACCGAACTACTAAAATCACAATGGCATAATACCCTCTCCGTCCTGTCCTACCCATCCGCCACCCACGCTCCATCCTAGCTTTCTGCCTCATATCTCAGTCGACCGCATGCGCAAGGAATCCTCCATTCCCTCTGCCAACTCTGGCAGTACACTGCGTCGTTGTCTCCGTTCTAGTCGAAGAAGCAGCTACTTCGTCGGCACTGTCTCTCAAAGGGCCAAAAAGTGAAATAGAAATCGCAAGATCTGGGCTGGAGTGCACATGGGCATATTGGGTTACGCAAAGGGACGCATTTCATTGGATGAATCAAAAGATACTCACTGCGGGGATACAAATGATTCGGATTCATAGAACTAGGAGAACACCGTAATGAAAATTAGAAAGACCCCGAACATACTCGATATTATTCTGAATGCCCAAGACAAATTGCAATCATAACTCCTCGAATCCTCACCAACTATATATTATTGGGTATAAATAACCGACTAGTGCATCACCATGCCCATCAAGCCCCTTCATTTCCCTCAGTCCCTGACTCTAATCTCGCGCACCCCAATATCGAACTACCACCGCAAAATCCGGCATGTGCTTGTTGAAGCAGTCGCATTTCTTCTTGATTCGAAATCCCAGTTTCCCAGCAAAGCACCTGACGACGTTGGACACTGCCCAGGCTCCAGGGCTCGATCTGCTGTAAGGTCGCGAACGTAATGACTGCAGGCCTACCAAGGCTACTAGCAGACGACATCGGGGTCCAAGGTGGCCGGAGCGAGACGAGCTTGCTACATCCTACGCATGGCATATCGTGAGAGGACAGGCTTCCCTAGGTACCCATTAGGCCAGTTCGAAGGTCGCAAGGCGAAGACTGCCAGCTTACCCAGAGCGCGTTCACCCTTACAGACGACATCGGCTTCGAAATGCCTTGGGCAATGCAAGCTCCAGCGAGTCTGCATCTCTCGGGCCACGCTGGGAAGCCGTCTTTTCGAACAGTCGCAGCCCATCTGGCAATACGACCGGAGTAGAGCAAGATGAGCCGCGAACTCAAGACTCGACAGCAGAGACCAACCCTCTTCCCCAAACCTCCGGCCCGAGCCCGAAGACCACCTCGGTCAGGATCATGTCCTGCTCTGGGCCGCTGTTGGCCTCTGGTTTCGCGAGGCCGAGGTCGGCGCAGTAGCGTAGCAAGTATTCGTTGTTGAGGAGACTCTCGATATAGTTCTCTTGTGTCATCTTCCAAGCGCTGGGCTCCTTCTGGTACTTCTGCGGTATATTCCCTTTATACGGAGAACCGGTGAGGTTGACTTGTCTACTTTCACCGCAAGCTCAGCCCTCTGTAATTTCTGTACAAGGCGTTTGTTTCGGACCCGGAAGTAGCATCCGACATCTGTGATTCGCCGAGAGAGAGGTCGGCGGTGTGAGGAGGTCACTTGCCGTGACATTGGAAGGACAACCGACATTCTCGATCGGAACGGAGACGGGCCATTGATTTTCGACGCGTCGTCGATATGCGGACAGACTGAAGCAATTCCCTTGTCAGCCATCATGTGCGGAGGGACAGTACCTAATCGAGCGTAGATTCTGGTAGTGGCAACGCGGAAATTGGGGGGCCGGAAAGACTAGAGTGTTCGTGGTTAAGCTGCGGATGGAGGCATCAAAATACCAATAGTGTTGAATGGCTAGAGATTTCGACTCGGATCAAGCCAGGGTATACCGTTTTGGTGAATGATGAGCTGGTGCATCTTGGCCCATCCCTGCGTTCACTGAACACGGCTATGGCGGCATAGCTTCTCTGGGTAAGTTGGTAAATAGTATTGTCCGCGTTTGAAACGATTTAAGCCACGCGTGACCTGCTGCTGAACGGGACTCTAGATAATATTGGAGCTGTAGTCGGTGATATAGGTTGTGAAGTCCAATTCGGACTTATTCGCTCGCAAGGCCTTGACTAATGCCTTGAATCTTCCGATGGCGGCTCTTTTTAATAATAAAGCTCACCTCGCTTAGCAGCGCTAAGATGATATACCTTGCAACTTCATAAGACTGACCGGGGGCTGTGGCTAAGTAAGGGTAGTGGAAAGCGCGGGTTCTGGTCAGTGAGTTCAGTCGTCGGGCGTTAGCAGCAAGGACGATGCAGAGCCTAGTGAATGTTAGAGCACTTCACCTAAATAGTCTGCAGTGAAGAGTAAAGTCGTAACTGATCGAAGCTTAACGGCGCTGGGAAACCCACTTAGGGCTACTAGCACCTAAGGATGGATGGCATGATTGGGACCGGATCTGCATACCATAAGATGAATAAACGTGACTGGAATTCGGTATGGGAAGAAACAAGGGACAAATAATATGGCTGGGGAGATCTAGGTATAACTAAGTCCATCGCCAAGTACTACAGGAGTCCTTGTAAGAGTCCATCCTTCCGGGTTGGTTTCTTAACAACGCGGGGCGCAAATCAGACATGATACTGCGTCGGCGAGCGAGAGATTGCGCTCTTGGGGTAGAGCATCCGGCGAAGGCTAAGGCGCATGTGGAACGGAGACACTCTCCATCATGAATGATGTCAGAGGAGCTTCCTGTTCAACATTTTCGCCTTCACGTGGTCGAAACAATGACAAGTACTTGAAAGGATAATTGATCTACGAGCATGAGAAGAGGAGAGATAAAGCTTCGGAAGTTGAGTTCTTGTTCGCTTCTAGACAAGAATGCCATCGCCGCCCATATGCGCTTTTTTCACACCAAAGCCGACAGCTGTTGCTACTGCATCCTGAACCTTTACTGTCTCATCGTGAATCCGGGCTTGAAGTGTACGCCAACAGCTTTCTGCCTGCTCGTTGAAAGCTAAGGGGTAAAAGCAAAAGACTCTTGTGGCTGAATCCTCTGCCATTAGGATCGCTGCTGATACTCCAACGGGGCCGGCTCCTTCGACCTCAAAGCATGTCGCCGTAGCCAAAGTGCTTACCTCTCCGGCTCCGTCGTCTAGTAGCGAAGGCCTGACGGCGGCGGTCTTCCAGAGTACCGCTAATAAGGACGCTCCCGCCCTGTGCTCCTTAGGCCATCTCCGCGCTCGTTCGTGATACTTGTCGGCCTTTGAATCTAGCTCGCTACTGTGTCATGAGTTCGCGTCCGTACATCGCTCATCCCAAGCATACTTCTTGTCCTGCCCTAATTGTTGATCTCCTAGGAGAAAGAGCATGCGCATACCGTCGGTAGCTCTCTAGATGACTCAGGGAAATCAGCCCCGCCAACAGCGCGGCTGTTTCGCTCTCTCCGCTTCGTTGTACCGATTTCGAACCTTGTGGACGCGGTGGCTGGCATGTCGGGGAGGAGCGCGAGGTAATTGCTATTCGAGGATGACACGCGTATTCAAAGCTTGAACTCGCCGCAAGATGGGTAACCGGGGGTGCTAGAAGTAGTTTTGCTGGTTGGCCACGAGGACAGACATGCGTTGTTGGTTTCGTAGGCCTCAAGAGATCTATTCATGTCAGTAGATGCCTTTATCCGTATGACTGTCCCCTACGCTTGAGTCCGCTGCATTCAGCGAATGTCGACGTTCCAGAGATGTTTGAGCGTCTGTTCAGGTCGTGGCGGAAGCGGTTTGGTCGCGGCAAGCGCAATTGATGACGAATTCCGCAGCTACGTGAAGTTGATCGAAGCCATCAAGCGAGGTAGTAGCCACTTTCAAATCTGTTCGAGATCTGCTAGGTATGCTGCAGCTCTCGTTGCTCTTCGAGATCGCAGGGTTTGCTTGTTCTGATGACTCTTCATCGGCGTGTGCGCGGTCGCACTTCAAGGTGGAGACTCTGTCTGGAGAACAAACCCAAGCGATAGACGCAACATACGCATTGAAGTTCTGACGATTAACTTTTGTAATGTCGCGCCCAGTTCGAGTTGTTGAGGTCCGAGCCTAGTATCGGGGTGGAGAAGTTGGCCAAGGCTGAGCTCCGGGGAAACCTTTCGCAGGGTCGTCGACGGCAAGCTCAGCGGACACCTTGAAGCGACGGAAAATGTGAATGTAGAGAAATCGGCGGTCTCACGACTGAGGTCGGAGTGTTTGAGAAGGGCTTCAGGACAGCGGCTGGGATAGATTTCGGTGCGGTCGCGCGGCTCGTCACCGTTCTGGATTCTTTGCTGACCGACAGATTCTTAGGAAGCATTGGTCTGCAGTAGCAGCTGTGCTGTATGCTAAAGCACCTTCTTTGCGAGATGAGCTTTTTCTTAGTTTTGTCATGGGTAATTTTACAGAATCGAGAGGCAAAATTACCACTGTATCTAGCTCAACAATTGAATACTTCAATAGATATTCGAGAATCGATGAGGTGGATTGCGGAGCTGAAGCGGGATCGCGTTAGAGGCATCAAGCTCGAGGTCGCTGCAAGACATATGGAGAATTTGACTAGTGAGGACGCGTTGAAACTTGTAGTGACAAAAGCCGCACTACAGAACTTCAGCGACTCAAGAAGATGGTAGTCAGGTATCACAGCGTGGTGACGGTGCTCGGCGTTGGGTCTACTACGATCACCACCAGGACCAAGACGCGGCAAGACAGCATCAACTAGTGGTGAGAGGCATCAAAACAAATGGTGAGGAAGCGCTTCCAACTCCAAAAGCAAAGCAAAAGAGGATTTCTTCTTCTTCGAAGACCCAGACAAGCTGAGATGTTCAATGAAAAAGTTCGCGTCAGCCCGAGGCAGTGCAATACGAGCGACACAGTGTCCGCTGACATAGGCAAGCCCAGCGGCCAGGGAACGGTTTCCAAAGACTGGATTAATCAAAGAAAGTCCCGTAGGACCGTTCCAGCGACTAAACTGAAAAGAACCTGAGAGAAGATTGTTAGCAGGGAGAGCAAGAGGAGTGAGGAAGGAGAAAGGAGGAGAACTTACAGATACTACACTTGATCGAAGCCAAAAGGCACTGCAGAAACTGTTAGCGATGATGGGAGTTGGAAGGATGGGAGTGAGGTCGAAACTTACAAGAAAGCTGAGAGAGGAAGCAAGGTCGGGGCGCGGACAAGTTCATATAGGCGGCGGAGGAGCTCGCTTAGCTTGCTTACTCATCAACGCTAGTGAAAGTAATCGACTCTTCTCAGGCAGTATAATCGTGCCAGTACACCTGCGCAGGGCAGGACTGTTGCCTGAATTCCAGAACCTTCGGTCTCGGAGAAGGAGGGTGAAGTGACGTCGCTAGTCCTGTTTTCTCACTTCGCACGTGATTGCTCCTGGGAGCGCTCCAGTCTCTCTGCCTCGACACCTATCCTTGCATGTCAGTGAGCCTATGCTACTCTCGTCTGCTAGGAACTGTGCAACCGGCGTTCAAAACATTAGGACTTCACTTTGATTCATAAGGTGAGGCGCCCACATGGGCGTGGCGTTGGCCTACGAAAGCCGGAGGCAGTGAGAAACCATTGCACTGGTCGTTAATGTCGCTTGGATGGCGTTGGATACAGGACTCTACCCCTGGCTTGCGCCTCAGAAGTTTCCTCAATCTTAGTTTCACGTCTGGTAGCTTTTCGAGCTACTCACGAGCCTTTAGAAAAGATGCGAACGCTTCGAGGTGCTCGTGGTGTTCTGTGGCAGCGCGGGAGAGGCAACATTGTTCGAGGAGATCGATGGATCTTGCAGTATCGACTACGGTGTAGACTGCAGGTACAGATTGCGGGAACGAATTCGAGCTATACACAATGATCACTAGAGCCTGAGTACTGCCACTATTCACAGCACGGCAACATTGTGTACGCTAACGAATACGGAGTAAAACCATCAAGTTGAAAGCCTACTTAAGCATCGCTCCCGTGCTCCATTTCGTCAATCAACCAACTCCTGCCCGCACTGCTTCACCCACCACCTACCTACAGAACCTGCCCCTTCACAATGACAACCCCGCAGTCCGACACCTGCCCAATCTGCAAGAATCCGTTCGCCCTCACCACCACCGACCGCAACCTCCTTGCCACCGAGCTAGTCAATAATGGCTACAATACCGAGAAGGTCAACGTCGAGCTCGACGTCCTCGTCAAGCCCCCATGCGGCCACGAAATGGGCCTGTTCTGCTTGCAACGCTGGATCAATCTGGGACACACCACCTGCCCGTACTGCACGCTCACAATGCTCAATGATACTAAAGAGGACGCCTTGTTCGAATTCGTACAGCCCGATCACATAGGCTTCTACCAAGGAGACGATGAGTTGATGCAGGCGGTTGATAGGGTGCTGAAGACCTACCACAAGCAAGAGCGCCTGCCGACCTGGTGGGATGGGGTCGATCAACAGCGTGGCGAGTTTTTCATACAGCGACATCGGAGAACGCGCTGGCGGTATCGGTCGGTGGTGCTGGGCGTGGTGCTGGGCATGGTTCTCGCGGGGGTTGCGGCACTGTTTTGGGACTATGGATCCAGGATGGCTATGGTGGCGGTTGCTACTACGGGACTGTTGCTTCACATAGCACTTATTGTGATGTAGGAATTGCCTAAGGATGATGGAGGTGATTAGGTCGTAAAGAGGGCATTTGATGGAGCGAAGGGTGCTGTTACTACATGGGGGCTAAACTTTCACTCACGACCGCGCTGCTTTACGGATTGGGGGGGGTTTCGGAAGCAGTAGTAAATAGCAGCCTAATGATGCCATGCTGGCCAGAAGCACGACAGCTGCGACAGCGTAGACAATGATGAGAAATCTCATAAGAATCATATGGTATTTCTTCTGAGATTGAAGTCTGGGGGACTGTGAACATGCAAAATCGATGTCAGATGTATTCGCGTACGTTGACGTGACTGTGCGATCATTGGAGTCTGATTGCTATCGTATTTTTCCCGAGAGGAGATGTTTCGTTTGGATATGTCTGTCTTCGAAATAGTTCTACTGGTTCTGGGAAGCGGCAACCAAATGGGTGGAGTACGCACGGCTAATACCTCCTCTGACGAACTCCGTACAATATCAAGCGTGCCTTCTTCGATGGCCTTTCCGCCTCGTCCGCGTTCTCCTCTTCCTTTTGCACCACATTCTTAATCAACCCCTCCTCTTGCGCTTCCCCCCTCTTGCGCTTCTCCGCCTCTCTCTTTCGCTCTTCCTCCTCCCGCTTCGCAATGCGCTCTGCGGACAGCACCTGAAGAAAATGGTGCATGACACAACTACCGTCCTCAAATGTCCAGTCGCTATGACTGTCCGGCCAGTCCCTGAGCGCATCTTCTTGGCTTGAAGGCAACTTGCCAACAATCTCTACCGGCAGAAACGGCAGACCCTTTAGGATGTCGTCTCCCCCTCTGGACCTGTCGAAATACTTCTGACCCGGCTTCAATCCCTCCTTCTCTCTCGCCGTGATCCGAATCCGGCTCATCTCCCGTAGAATAGGGTCCCAGTACTTAGCTTGGTACTTGAAGGCTTCCCGCCCTGTAGCTCCACGCGGCGCTCGCTTGCCTCCCGGGCCGCACTCCTCTAGGAACTTCAACGCGGTAGGAGGCATATTCAGATCCAGCGTGACTCGCTTGATATTTGGGAGACGGACGGAATCATTTAGAGCGCTGACAAGATCGTTCAAGTTCCTGAGCGAGGACCTGAAGGGATTCGGATTCGGGTCGCTCTGGTTGTTGGCTTCGAGCCAACCGTACCCGCCCCGGAATTTTGGCCCGTCCATTAGAGTCTGAAATTCACTGTCAGCTCTGATTTGTTGAAGGACCACGGGAAGCGGTACTTTATACATGGAGTCGTAGCGCTGCAAAGAGATAGGATTAGCTGAGAGTCTACATTTGGAAGTGCGGCTGACACTTACCGGATCGTTCTTTTGGTTTTTGATCTGCGCATTGAAGAACTTGATGCGTATGTGCTCAATGGCATGTGATTGGCGACTGGATGCTGCTGCGAGGCTGGCGTAATGCGTCTCAGCGGCTTGGAGATGGCGGAGGGCCTCCTCCATGCTGATGACGACGTCTGTGTCTGGGGTTGGAAGCCAGCTTGGTAGGATCTCCGCAACGTCTTCGCGGAGTAAGCGGCATACGCCGGCGAGAGGGCTCGATGGCTTGTAGCCTCTGGAAGTGACGTCAAGAGCGACAGTACCCTTGGCAATCTGCTGGCGGATCTCCGCAGGGAGAGCGGTGAGAGTTGGGGCAGCCATGGAGTATTGAAACTAGAAAGCCTAGATTCGAGCTGTTGTTGATATAGGATGTTGTCGTAGAGTGTTTGTTGCTGGTGGGAGCGTTGTGAAGTCCAAGAGGCTAGTAGGAGATCTGGAAAGTTTAAATAGCTGGCGTTACGGACACCAAGCAAATTTCTTGATTGCGTGACAAAGGTTTGAGCGCCCGATTCCTACTCCAGGGGTTCCATCTTCCGCAATTTGTTTGAGTTTGACATCAAGTACTAGATGTTACAAACTCATGAGGTGCACATGACGCGCATGGAATGCAGTCTGAGCGAATTCATTCATGATCTGCAGTATGCACGAGCTAGGGCCTGATTTAGGATGTGGAAACTCTGACGTTGAACAATCTACAGCTCGCATACCTCGTCACATGCTTCAAAACACTTATCACATATGCAGAGTTTCCATTTAAGGCATCAGAGTTGGAGCGGTTGCTGATTTGTGTATAGTATGCAGGTTTGATAGACCAGCGCCGGATTCAGGATGCGTCAACTTTAACATCGCAACCTACAGTTCACATATCTCATGATGTGCTTCAAATCACTTAGTAAATATGCAGAGTATCCATAAAAGGCTTCGGAATTGGAGTGGTTGCTGATGCGTATATGGTCCGCGGTTTGGATTAGCAGCCGCTGATTCAGGATACATTAACCTCGACATCGAACAACATACAGTCCACATAGTTCATGACGTGCTTCAAATTGCCTGGGACATGCGCAAAACCTCCATGTAAGAGATGAGAATTGGAACAGTTGCTGATTCGTACGTAGCTGGCAGTTTGGGCAGATCAGAAGTTGATTCGTGATGCATTGACATTGACGTTGAATGAAGTCTAGTATACAAAAGTTATGATGTGCTTCAGAACACCTGGGACATGTGCATATCTTCCGTGAATGGCTTGAGAATTGGAGTGGTTGCTGATTCGTATAATGCTGGAAGGTTGGATAGACTAGGGCCTGATTCAGGAGGCGTTAACTTTGACGTCGCATGAGGTACAGTGTGCAAAGGTTATGACATGCCTCAAAACATTCACCATGCGCGCAGAACTACTATGTAAGGTCTCAGAGTTGAACAGCAGTCGAAGAGAACGTGTCACACGCCTCAGTTCACAGGGAGATGGACCTTGTCCCCTTGAATAATCTGGCTGATACCGCCCCCAACCTACAGCAGGAAGACTTCCCCTAAGGGTTCCTTACATCTGACGTGGAGGTAAGGCGTTGATCTAGCGCTTTCGCAAGACATCTATCAACATTGAGAGTAGTTGAAGACGTTGTGTATCGCGCGCAATGTCTGTACATTGATTGGAGAAGGCACAAGAGCACTACAAAGGGTTAATGTCGCCGCCAAAGTCTAGTATTCTTACGGGCCGCCCCGGGCTTGTGTCTCTATTGTACACCGGGCGTCCCTCGCCTGTAGACGCCACGGCCATCTACTCATCCCTCTTCCTCTTCAACACCCCCCCTCTTCAGCCCTCTTCTTCCTCTTCTTCCGCTCGTATTTGGGCCCATTGTTCCCTTCTTTTGATCATCAACGACGCACGCATTGACCCCCTCGTGTCCATATAATCCGTCGCACCTCGTATCTCAATCGCTTCTTTCAAGAATTTCTGCAAGAAAGTAGGGCTTCCCTGAGTTGCGGCGTCTTGATGGGCCGCAGTGTCACCTCTCAACCACTCGAAGGTCTCGCAGTCGATGCCATATGCCACCACTTCCAGCTGGCTCGGCGGCAACGTTCCCACAATCTCCACACCCAGCCTAGATCTCTTGAAGAAGTACTGCTGCTTGCCGTTCTTGCACTTGCTGCGCACATTGTCCCAGCCCCTCAGCCTCTCCAAGACATACGTCCACACGATCTTCTGGTACTTCCAGCCGTGGTCGAAGTGCCCGCCGAACGTGTGCTCTCTGCCGTCCCAACAGTTCTCAAAGATGTGCAGGGGCTCCGGGGGAATCGTGAGGTCGAGCTTGACATGCTTGAGCTTGTAGGGGAATTTTGTGAGCTTGGCGTGCGTATCTTCTAACCGCCTCACAAGTTCCATCATGCCTTTGAAGACATATCCGGGGAGGCTGTTCCAATCCTCGAACTTCGGGAGTAGAGCGTTAATGCGGACTGTTCGGAGCGATTCAGAGGACCACGAGCGCTTTGAGTCGGCTGCGAGCTGGTGGAAGTGCTTACGCGCAGACTTGAGCTGTTCGAGGGCGGCTTCGCAGGTGACGAGGACATCGGTTTCTTCTGTCGGTAGCCAGCTCTTGAGTGTCTCGGCGATGTCGGCTTCGAATTGCTTGCAAACGCCTGTGAAAGGGGTGACGGCGTACCAGCCATACCAGTGGATTCGGAGAGACAGCGTTTCGCGTAGGATTTGATGGCGAAGTTCGGACGGGATGGTCGTGAGGGTCGGTGGAGACATGATCGAAATAGTGGTGACTTGAACGTGAAGTGGGTTAGATAAAGACGGAGTGGTTCGAGAGGTGTAAAGCTCTAGGTTGCATCAGTGTTTTGATGGAAGTTTGTGGGACGCGCTAGTGAGAATGCTAACCCATTTGAAGGCCGATGAGGCATCCACTGTAGTTTGAATGAGTGATGTCATCGCTTTGGTGATCTAGATATCATACCGAAGATCGGGAGTAGTGAATGTATAGTTCTAAACGTCATGTTTCAGATGCAGGCTCTTTAATCAACTGCGGCTTGGATTAAATGTTATGAAGTCTTCCCGCTGGACCGATAATATGAACTTGGTGGATCTCTTGGAAGTCTGAACTGTCACTCAAGTAAACGCGCCTTTGTAGTTGGAAATAGGTTTCCTTGTCGAGTTTTCCCATGTCCATCGGAGTGATGGCATAGTAGAGTAATAGGTCATGAATATGGGTACATGGACATCTCACTGCTTGTGCTCCACTCTTGCTCGTTGGCCACCACTGTTAGGAGTACCTTATATAGTACATGGCGAAGCGGATGAAGAAGAAGGTACAGACGCCGGATTTCTTATTAAAGCTGGCCACAGCTCCAGAGCAGCTACAGTAATAGGTTCTGAAGATGGATACGCGGATATCCTACTGCTCGTGCTCCACTCTTACTCGCTCAACGCTACTTTAAGGAGTGCCCTAGCTAGCATGTCTTCGGCCAAGCAAACAGTAGCACTAGTTCCACTGCATACGCTTTTACATCATATTTTGAGATTTAGAAACCTACTAGAGTATGCCAAACAGATGCAAGGAGTACCCTAACCTATGTCATGGTATTGTGATAAGGATGCAGGTAGCTTTTTGAAAGGATTTGGAGACGTGGGAACTGACAATTGCGATTTACGGCTCCCTGCAGAGGCAACATAAGTTTGCAGGGCAAAATTACAGGTTATTCATAGATACTGAATTATTCTCATACGGGATATAAGAAAGTATTCCAAAAGGCCTCCGGGCAAAGAGAAACATCAGACGCCGATCCCTATGGATTTCTCGTAATCGAAGACCCTTGAATGCAGACCACGTTTGCTTCTCCCATAGCTGCCATGGATGCAGCCCGCCATTGCTTCTCCCCTAGCTCGTTCTTTACTTCCAGCTCATCCCACATTTCCTCCGAGACAGCGTCCTTCAGGAACGTTCTAGCCAGATACGTGTGACGGCGGCGAAGCAAGCCCGCGGTGTTCCCTTCCAGAAGCATGAGCACAACAGGCACTTGGCTCTCCGGCAGTGTTCCGACAAACTCCACCGGAACCCCTGCACGCGGGTAGAAGTACCTGAATCCCTCGTCCGTCTTCACCTGTTCAATCTGCATAAGTCTCAACTATCGGAATATCTCCACCCAGTACGGGGCTTGGTATTCGAACCATAGGTCATCCGGGTCTTCGTTTTCAGGTACGTACGCACCGCCCGGTCCGCATTCTTCGAGGAACTTGAGGGACTTCGGTGGCATGGTGAAATCGATCTTGATGCGCTTGACAGTAGGGGGTGCCTGGGCCATGTAGACTAAGTCCAGCCTCAAGTTCCCCTGAAACCACCTCATAGGATTCACGTGAGCATTACGGTCCTTGGGTGGTGCCCATCGTGCCCATCTATGCTCGATGTCGCCGTGGAAGAAAGGAACGCGAATGTCGGTGATACCTGGCCACACCTTGCCTGTGGCCGATGCCACGGGGAGTTTGCTGAAGTGTTTTTTGGCGGCTTCCAAAAGTTCCATGCCATCTTCGTCTTCGATGAGGATGTCGGTGGTGCTGTCGGGGAGCCAGGTCTTTTCAGAGGCGCTGATGTCGTCCTGTAGTATTTTGCAGACGCCGTCGAGGGAGTTCATGATGTGAGTGCCCTTTTCATTGAGCTTGACGGAGAAGAGATCCTTGATAATTTGTTGGCGGAGCTCTGCGGGAAGGGTAATGAGAGTTGGCATGGCTGAAGTGGTAGGAATAGTTGAGATAGTAGGATCAGCAGTGAGAGAGTTTTAGTGTGGTGGTGACTGAAGTGTTGGTTGTGCATAGGAGTATCGAGATACTCAGACAGCTTAAATAGGTCGTTTAGCATGAGCCTCTGCCTGAAGTCAGTCACATATGAAGGTGAATTGGTCCTCAGGAGCTGTACGTGAGGTGAATCGATATCGCGGACCGCCTGCCGCTTGTTGAGTTTCGCCGTCAGCCCAAGGAGGCGCAGTTTCGAAACTCATACTTGCGCCGAATGACCCTGGCAGCCTCAGAACGAGCAGTTTGTATGGACCTCAAGAGATCATTGTGAGGTTCGGAGAAGAGATTGGGCAGTTGTATATGAGCTCTACAAAACTGGCCAGGATTTCCAAGCAGCTAGTCCACCCCAGAAGGTCCAGGCCATGGCCTCAACTCCAACGACTCCAACAGCTTCTTTCTTTCTGAAAGAGCCCGCCAAGTATGTCTTCTCCCCCTGGCCATAACGGAAGACACGGCAGAACGCTCGCTGCTCGAAAGGGTGGCTGCACCAAGGATGAAGATGATGACGCGAAAAGCCATGGTCAAGTTGATTCCGAGACCATGGCACTTGAGCGAAGCAAGGGAATCTTCCTGTCGTTGTTCCCTGCGGATGTCTTGATGGTGTTTTTTCTGGCCCGCGAGACTCGAGAGGTTGTCTATACCGTCTTCATGAGCTATCTGGCGAATTCGGTTGTTCTTCTTTCTACTGTGAAGCTGGTCATAATAGCGGACACGGTCAGGAGGCTAGAGACGTCGAAGAGGATATTGCTCGCATTTGTCACGACCTCCAGAGTAGTATTCGCCCCGGCCTCTGAACCTCGTGAAGGTTGGAAGTATATAATGTCACTTATTTTCCGGTCCCCCTAATCTTAGGCGGGGCGTGCTTTTTCATCCAACAGTGAAGTTCTTACACAGTGCTGGAAGCGCGAAATACCTAGGTTGACCATGACTTAAATCTTCCTCTACCGGTTGTCCACCATCCATGTAGCCCCTCAGCTTCGGTTGCGCTGGCTCCTCCCGCAAATGTGATGGCAATGACCGCATGGCTAACTCTGTTGGTCCTTGGGCACATAGGCGATGAGAACGTTCTTTACTAGGCCACGTGTCTTGAAACGGCGAGGTCGCGCAGTGTTCAACGATCGACCAGCGAGAAGCAGTGCGGCGGCTCGGAAATGTGACGCTATCCCCTTCAAACATCGGCCTTGTTCCTTTAGAGATGGTCCATCGCCTCTTTTAAATCATCCTGCTTTTTCTCTGCTTTGATCTTAGCTTCTGCAGCTTGGCCGGCAGCAATTTCGAACTAGAGCTATTGGGTGTCAGTATATCGGATGCCAACTAATGTGGTGCGATAGAACAGACTATTGCTCCACCATTCATAGTGGTCGTCGATATCGCTATTTCTGAGATGACCATTTGTCTCGAATCGCACGAGCCTCGAATACGAAGACTGCTCGCACTGTCCTCCGGCGACTGTGCGCTGCTTCTTCAGAAGTCTGTCGGGCATGGCGGGGGCTGCTTAGGAGAGGATGATATTGGAGGGTAGATGTAGTAATGCATGCGGTTCATATTGACGGGGACGTGAGAAGAGACCATGGGCAAAACCGAAGTAGAGATAGCTGCAATGGTAGGGACAGTCGAGTCATGAAAACAAATGTCTTGCCGTCACAAAGCAGGCCGTTGTGTTGCGCTACCTGCTGTTCGACTTTGATCGGCTGAGTACTCTACAGGATTTTACAATAGTCTTCCTACAAAGGTAGAAGTGACCTTGACAACGCTAATCCTTCCACCGCATTCGATCGGAATCGGTGTTTCGTAAACACTGACGCCATTCTTGACCTTCTTCTCGACTGGAGCATCTTCTCCTCCGACTTTCCCTCCCAGTCTTCCATGGCGCGCTTGCCCTTCCTCTCGACTGGAGCATCTTTTTCCTCCTCTGACTCATCCTTCCAGTCTCCCGGTCTCCCATGGCGCGCTTGCCCTTCCTTCCCAGGACTTCTACCGTTGGTCATCGTCTCAGGCTCAAATTCCTTGATGACGGCAGTGAGAAGAGTGGTGCATCGTCGGCTGATTTCCTAGGGCGTACGCTGAGGAAGAACCAGTCGAAGCAGACCAATGGCGACTCGCGAATGTCGTCCCGGATCTTTTCAAAGATTCCATCGCTCTCTATCCCGTATTTGTCTATCTGGATGAGCAAGAAGCGATCCTCCTCCTCGGTATAGACCTTCTTGTTCGTGGTCGAGACGGTATGCTGGATCGCAAGCGGGGGCGCACGGAGGCTCGATGCTTTTGGTGGCACATTGGCAGGCAATGGAGGCGGGCTGATGCCTCTATTCTTCGATTTGCTTGTTCTGTTCTATGGTCCCATGAATGTTAGCCCAATGTATCTTCGGAAGATGGGAAGGAAGGCCAAATCGAGTGCATAGGGCCTGGATCAGAGGAGGGTCGTTTTCTCATTAGCAGCTCAGCAGGTCACAAGGTCGGGGAGCACACCCCACCCCACGAATGAGGAAGAATGAGCTACCTTCACGAGAGTTAGTCTGAGCCGCCTCAGACTAAGGATGACATCGACTTTCGAATCATCATAACAAACAACGAACAGGAGAAGAACGATAGGAGGGGTGACTTACGAGATGGCTCTCAGGAGGAAGAATTGTTTCACTGCTCAACGATGCCTTGGCTCGCTCCGGTATATTCTGAACCCCTACAAGATCCACCACGGTCAGCCATGAGACCCCAAAAAGAACATGAAGATAATCCAAAATGAGAAAAGACGGCGTGTCAGAAGAAGATTTTTGTCGGACATTCACCGGCCGAGCAGGTCACAAGGTCGGGCGACGCACCCAGTCTCCGGAGAGATAGGGTGAGCCACCTTCACGAGAGTTACTCACGGCGGTGGGCTCCGTGTCAAAGAATTCCCAGGTTATCATCATTCCAGTCGTGGCGCGAAAGTATGTAAGAGGATTGGCTGGCCTACCAGAACTTGTGAAAGATTCGTAGAACCTTGTCCTGTAATGCTCGCTTGGTTAGCCACTTGTAATTTTGTAGAGTGAAGTAAATCAAGTTTCCGAAGTGTTGTTGTTTCAGAAAGATTAGCACGTTGTTGATCCCGCATGGACAGCCGGGCAGGTCACAAGATCCGGCAGTCATTCCAGTCGCGCAGTGGGAAGGGCAGGGGAAGGTGAATGGGGAAGAAAAGTGAGAGGGGGTGGAGGGGGTGGAGGAAAGGGAACTACTTTGAGCCTGGAAGACTGCCATCACGAGAGTTTGCCACGACCGCCCTTAGGCAACTTATTGTTCTCGTCATAACAAAGGGGGATCAGAGGAGTACAGGATGGACACTTACTTGCTGACGTTGAGGCCCAGACACGACATAAGTCGAATGATATCCAAGTCGTGCGACGCTGAAAGTGTTCTGACAGCGAGCGAGTGCGCGTCCTCACCGTCCTCAACGTCCTCAACATCGTCTGGAAGTTCATTCCACAGGAGGTAGTCACTCATACTGTGAAGCCGAGATGTGACATGGGAGAAGGAGTGAATCGATCGAGACAGTTGCGTGGTGGTGACAGAGGTGTAGTGTTGACGAGGTGACGGAGAGACAGCTTCAGGTTTTGTGGGCAGCTTCGCTTGGCCGGGTACTCCTCGGCGTGAAGGTTTCTTGGCGGAAAGACGCACTACCCTGGCAGACCGGAGTGTGCCGTTGGGATCCTGAGGCCTTCGTGGAGGCTCCCACACTGTAGGTGTACCTCCTCCGCCATCTCACTCTCTATTCTCTCTCCGCGGCCTCCCCTTTTTACACCTCTATCGCTCCGGCATGCTCTTCATGTGGCAGCACGACATCCCGAGCTGCTTCCTCTCAACGCCCACCTCCATAACCCACCGTTCATGACGTGCGTGCCGCCCTCTCGATGCTCGGGGCGATGTCTACAACGGAGAACATGCACCATGATTCTCGGAGGACAGATTTATCTCATCCATGTTGGCCAAGTCTATATTCAAGGGGGTGAGCACTTCTTCTACTACGCCTCTATCTCCAGAACCGGACCCGTTTCCTCCTCTGCATCTCCCTCTCTGAGTGAGCGTCACCCGGCCCCACCATTACTTTCTTGCCTTTCAGTGGCTTGGAGGTTAGGCATGGGACCAAGATTGAACGGGAGCAAAATAAACACCGCATCGTTCAGCCTGAGGTGATACTTTGGTATAGACTCATGCGACGTAAGAGTACCCTTCACCAGTGGCTCGACTTCATTCCTGTGCTAGCGGGATTGGAGGACAAGCTGGTTAAAGGGGCCGGCTCCGACATCTTGCGCACCCGACAAGTCTACTCTTGAAAGCATTCTTTTGACTAGAAGTACAGACTTGGGCACCACAGGAAGATCTGTTGTTTACCGTGGCCTCGTTATCGCCACCGTCCCGACGACTTACCTAGATACAACCGGATCTCGATGGAAGAATAGAATACTCAATAGGAATATCGGAACAGAAGGAGAGTGGTCATTTTCTGGGAGGCTCGAGCCTGAACAACCTACTCCCCGGCTCCACATCCTGTAGAATGAAATCAGACGGTTATCCTTCAGAGCCACTTGTTGTTAATTGTTCCAGACACTACCTCAGTCCGCTTTATATGTTTTCAAGCTCCTTCTCATCCAGTTGCTGAGCGCCACCGCTTGGTGAGCTTTCCTACTCATCTCGGCCCTTTAAAGCAAACCCATACACACAGCGAGTTCGAGCGAAGGGAGATCGTTGTATACAGAAGAATGACACGGAATAAGTAAAAAGGCAAAGGAAAGATTCACTCCTCGCTCGGAGGGTTTTGTAGATATCGAAAAATTTAATTAGCCTCATCAACCATCTTCTCCCCCATTGATTGCAATGTCTTCTTCAACTTTAAGGCCAGGTTGTGTGCCATTGCAAGGGGATATAAACGTTTCAATGTATGAACTTGAAGAGGGTCAACGATGCGCTAGGGAACTCGATTTCGAGGAAATATGTTTAATGCTTGCTACATGGGGCTGCAACTTTCTTGTTAAACTTTGGACTGGAAACAGGAATCTTTCGATGTGCTATCCGCACTATGGTTCGCTTCATGGGTGACCCATGGGTCGCTCTCCGATCTTAATGCAACGACACAAAGTATTTCATATAAATTCGTACAAAGAATACAGACTGTGCGCAATACATAACGCGATTTCTCTTCCATCACGCCTACTCGACCTGGATTGCTCGCCGTCTGGCTGACCCTGGAAAGCGGAACTTGTCCGGGGAATTTCATAACGAGAACGACGGAGACCACTTTCTTCCAAATGAACAATTTCAGCAGATGAGTGGAATTTTTGGCATAATTCAGGCCTTTTGGTACGAAGTTCCCTGATCTACATCTTGCAGTGGCGAAAAGCATCAAATCTCACTACTCATTTTACCTCAGCTTCGAGGACACACACTCGACGACCACAAATTCCTCGCTACCCTCGATCCTCAGTGCAGATTTCCATATCAACCCCGCCTGTTACCGCTCAATGCCGAGAGCAGCAGCGAGTTGCAGAGCGCGGCCCTCTCTCCGCGTCGTGAATGGCTTCCGCTATGAACAGACTACGCCGGACGGGAAATGGAGCTTCTCGACGCTCGCGTCATTGGCTGATAGACTTCGACAGAGGTGTATCCATATGGGAGGCCGCTTTCCCCTTGTGGCTACCGCGGAGACTGACTGATGGGTAGGCAGCAAGGCAATCTCATCGCGACCTCGCAAGCTGTTCAAGATCACCCAGCAACTGGACTACCCACCCTACACAACTACCTCCTTTCCCAATTTCAGCACTGCCACTAGGATTTCCCTGACGACCGTGGATACCCGCGGAGCACTAAAGGTGGCCTCCTCATACCGATTGGAGACGTCTTCTCTTACCAACCACGCACCTCAACCTCATTGTGCGGCACCATCCTTTGGGGTAGCTCATCTCGCACATTATTAGCCACCGAATGCTGCGGTGGGGGTCAGATTTCTGCCATCAGCCGTCAGCGAGAACCAGAACATGGTGGATCTTGGGCACGCACATTAGCCAGACCCGTCTAGAGCGATTCGAAATAGAGCTAAGAAAGAGAAAAGAGAATTGGGAGCTAGTTTCTCGTCATTCCGCGCGAGCTTGGGAGTGCGATCGTACTATTGCGTAACTTCCAGTCCGATGGAATCCGCCAGATGCCCGCTATCGAGGTTGTCCCCCTCTCAGGAAAGGACCAAGGAAGCTCCTAATCTATGGAGACCGGATGTCTGTTGCTGTAAAGCCTTACACCACCTCCCATAGGTCCTGGCCAGATAGGCGCCGTTTCACCACCCGCGGCATATTCTTCGAGGACGAGAACGCCTCGCACGTCGATACCGACTGTACATCTTAGGCCCTGCCGAGGATATGAAGTTCAATGTCATTAAGGATGGCTCCAACGAAAGTGGGAAGGCTGAGCCTAGCATAAAACTGCGTCAGGACGTGCTAGATGGAGGACATTCACGAGTAGAAGGTGGAGAAGCTCCAACTCTTGCCCGCGTCTCCTAATTACGCACGTCGATGAATGGATTCACTCCATTTCTGTTCAACCTCGGGAAGTACAACGATCACGAAGGAGTCTGATCCGCCTTTATTGAGCTCGAATCCAGAGTCCAACAAGGACTACATGCCCCGAAGCTGGACCATGAGGGTATCGCAAGCAATTCGAGGAGCCGCAATTGGTCTGCGGAACATGTTTGGTCACTAGTCCCTAGACAGCACCATTGTGAGGTAATGATATCTTTCCAATCGCTCCGTTTCGCTCTAGGCCCCGGACTCACAAGTGACCGTTCAAGCTCATTGCGCTCACCCACCGACAGAATGAAGCTAATGATGGATCTGCTCACATTAGGACAGCAGGTTTGGAAATGCTCAATGAGTGGAGCATAACACAGAGCAGATGAACCGTAGTCTCATCCGCTGAGCAGCTGGCTACCACAAACGTCAGGTTCTTCGAGAGAAAGAAGACAGTGAGGCGAAGGCGAAGTCTATCTGTCAATGACATTTTTTTGAGAAAGACTTCGACGAGCGCATCTCAACAGCCCAGTCGAGTGCACCCGAAGTCGTTCGAATCTGTATCAAGGAAGACTATAAACGCTTACAAGTACCGAGTTTCTCACTCGATTAACCTCGACTCTCCTAGTGCCAACCTTACCTCTCGATTCCACACGCTGAATGCCGGCTCGAGCATACGTCAAGGGACAGATGCACATGATGATCGCCACCCATGGCCTCTGTGCGCCTCCGAAAGCGCTCGACCCAGCGTCCCAGAAGCAAATTATCCGCAAAGCTTTCGACAGGCCGTAGAGACCCACTTAACATCAGGTCAGTCGCAGACTCACCGTCAGACTTCAATAACACCGGGCGTTCCTATACCAAATACTCCTCAGCCTGCTCTAGGGGTAGATCTAGAGGGTCAGATATTTTCGTGGAAACACAACGCAACTTTGGATAAGCGCCTGGGGTTGGGGAAGATTGGATAACTGCGAGCGATAGGATAAGGAATGGGCCAACGTCCCTTCGAGCAGGATACAATGAGCGGTATCGACCGGGTCAATGAACTCTACATGAATGCTAGCACAGGACAGATCCATATCGAGAAGTCGAGGCGGGCACTCGCAACGGCATATATAGCACACTCTACTTGGAGCTGTATCCTATTCTTCGCCCTTGCACGAATAGCACTTTTTTAGTAGCACCTAAGCCTTTCGAGGCCCAGGTTGACGTGCAAGTCAGGTTTCTGCGCCTCGTCGAGGGATTCGCTCCTGACTTCTAGCAATCCTTTGTCCCTTTGGACCACCCGTCCTTTGTCCATTCGGAGGTTGGTCAGGTTCTTTGCAATGTCGAGTTTGCCACATATGGTCCTGGCTTCCATGCGCACTCGGACCACGGACTTCGGCTGGCTGACGGGGTTAAAGGACTCACGTACCGTGTAGAATTCGACTCCATCGTGGTTGCACAGGAACTCGTGCTTGCCTGAGTCAATCCTTTGTTTAGACGCATTCCGGGTTCCACAAGTACCTCCGAGAGTCGACAGGTCCAGTATCTATTCCATGAAGTGCTGATCGCGCTTTGTTCTCATTCCTAGGCGGCTTGGTACGCCGTGAACATCACTTCTAGTGGCTGGAGTAGAGAAAGAAACTGGCTCTGGTAATCAAAAGACGGAATAGGACATCGTTCAGCCTCACCATGATCTTGCTACCCCTCTGTATACGCCTACCCTCAGATGCCGCCGGCCAAACCCCACTGCCGAGCAGCCGAGTCGACTGATGTGAAGCGCATGGCCGCGAGGGGAAGCTGCTTGCTGAATGGAACGGGAGGGAGGAGCTGGATAAGCGAAATAACGAATACAAATTAAAGTAATATGATGCGGCTCATAGCACGGGATACTGTGTTGCGGGCGAGGTGGCTGCAAAGTCGGGGCACCGAACGTGGGTGACAAGGGGAGGCAAGAGTAGCCTTGAGAAGCCCGTCGCTGTTCGCCCGACTTATTGGCGTTACGAAAAACGTACGGAATTATAGTGTAGACAATACATGAAGTAGTAATTAAAGGATCAGAAACGGCTGATACTTCGACCCGTTCGTCGGTTTGAGGTGATGATGGCACTCTAGTTTTCAATATCCGCGACTTTGAAGATGAGCCAAGTTAGGGAACCAGTAAATGAAAATGGAGGATAGGTGACGGCTTAGGATTCTACTCTAAAGTATAGAAAACTCATCGGGTACCTCCGATTCAAACGTAGGATACATGAAACTGGAATAGGCACCTTCGACGTGCCAGTTGACAAGAAGGCTGTGAGTTATTGAGAGGAGATGAAACTGATCGTAGTAGCAGTGTCGCACGAAATGCTCATCGTCTCCTTCCACCTCATTCAAATTTACGAACCTTACTCCTCTGTCAACGGAACGAACTGCTTGATCACCAAATCTTCCTTACATTCCATTTCACACTCAAAGTATTCATGTACTTTGTGCCTCTGAGCGCTTCAACGGAAAAGGGAAACCATATGTCACCAGATTAGATACAGTGTTCTGTCCATTTCACAATCCTACATCGGCCAACTCGATGATGATCCGGTGCATATAGTCGAAGCAATACAGGCATCTTTGCCAATTTCAATCTAAACTCCTTCATACAAGTAATACACGACACCGGCTATACTCTGTCTTCCATCACTCTGTCTGCTCGATCCCAACTTCTCTTTATGTGTCATATTTACCCATTCAGCACCGTCAAGTCTCATCCTATACTCAAAAGAGGCACCCATGGCCTTCTCTGATCCGCGGTGTGTAGGTGGAAGGGTCGACACCGCCCTCGGGAACCCTGCTGATGATGCGAGTGCCAGCATATATTTGGGTGGCATGGGGTTGTAAGGATTAACTGACTCAAGAGTGACGGTGAAACGCTTCTCGATAGACTTCAGGACTCAGGTTAAATTGATGTGAACTCTGATTTCTATAGACGTCTAGCTAGTTGTATATATACTAGGGGAAGGAAGGGGGGCCACCCCTGGGTGGCGCGCTAGTAAGTTCAGCTGAACACTGCACAGCTGAGTTTTCAGCTGGGCTCTCCACAGCTGAGATCTCAGCTGTGTTCTCTACAGCTGATGTTCGGAGTAGCTTTCTAGCATATGAGTTGTTGATCCTAGGTTGTAGTGCTGCAACCTGAGTTCAGGACATCCTCGTCTTCAGCGGTAGCGACGAAGGAGATACTCAGACTCTTGGTGCCGAAGCGACCAGCACGTCCGACACGATGCAGATACGAGTCCAAGTCGTTCGGGAGATTGTAGTTGATCGCGAGATTGATACGCTCGATGTCGATACTATGATGGGATGCGTCGGTGTCCATGCAGGTCCGCTTGTTGAACTCTTTGAACTCCTTGTAGCGCTTGATACTGTTGAAAATTAGCTTATTGCAGACTGATTCTTCAATAATTAAGACGTACCGCTCTTCTCGGCTGACACCAGAGTGAATAGCAATTTTCGGAAATTGGGCTTTTAGAGCAGCCGGTCGATCACGGTAGTACACAGGTTTCCCGTCGACCTACATGATGCTCCATCGGGATAACATCATTTCTGCGGCCAATAACCACCGCATACAACGAAGAGAGAGACCAAACCGTTTCAGGCATTCTGCTCGATCTTCCATTGACTGCCACGCTGTTGCGACGCAAGGCAGCAGAGCCAGTCGTTATCATGCCCGAGGTCTCCATCGTCTTGGTCCTCTTAGACCCGTCATTGTGGTTGATTGCCTTGCCCTACCTGCGCTGAATTGTCCGTGTGTCCTACTGCCAGCCAAGGCGCACCAGAAAAGCTGCCAACTCAACGGCGGGAATGTGGCGTATTCTCTCAGCTCTTTCCCTCATTTCCAGGCTCAGCGCGGCTATCCACTCGGCCGCGTATTTGATTCCAGCATTGTAAAACCCCTCTCGTGCATAAAAGACGTCCTCAGCAGCCTCGAGAGTCAGGCCTCGTCCGCCGTTATCATCCATAGTCGTTCTGGTAGTCACTCCCAAGGCCCAGTGATTGAGATCCACCAGGACGTGTAGTGGTGAAAGAGCCATGTAACTTGATAGTAAAGTCTTGTACGGTCTTGAAGCTGGCGTTAGCTATAGGCCGAACGTTGAGCGGTGGAAGGAGGAAGGAGGCCAGCAGGGAAGGCGGCAGGTAGTAGTCATTCCGGTCTCTCGACTTCTGGTATCGGCCGATTGCTTGCGGTGAGCTAGATCGGCCGCTGCTGCTGCGAGATGTCTTTGATGCAACAAAGCAGCGGTGACATAGATGCAGAACCTGGGGAGACGATGTGATCGGGTGGGAGAAAGAGAAGTCACGCTCTTGATTTTTAGGGCATTAGACGACATCCTGTTGCCCATGCTCATGCCTCCAGGGTTTATGAACGCGTAGGATGCTGCTAGATCTGGGCCACCGCCGTTGGCAACACCGCCCGCAAGGACATGCATCTCATGAAGATTGAACCTACGAGGTGACCAGTTCCCCACATGCCCAGGTAGAAGTGACCCGTTGTTCTCCATCTGTTTTGCTCCCACACGCATATTTGATGAAGAGGATGGCCTGGTCGAAGTCCTAAGTGGCAAGGTCGTTCGACTGCAGCATCCGGTTTGTCTCCCCTCCACACAGCTCAGTTTTGTACTGCGAGAGAGCGTGTCGGTCAACCTTCCGGCGAGGTGGCCACCGAGGCCGGTCAAGAGGAAAGAGAAAGGATCGTTGTGACCTCCGCCGTTGAAACCACTGTTGGAGAAACCAGCACCGGCAGAAGCACGCGCCTGTCAAGCAGAGGTGAACGCCACTTCGACAGCTGTGCTGTCGAAGAGAGTAACCCCGTGCATGCCGCCGTTCGATGCTTACTGGAGGCCGTCTTATGTTATTTGCAGGTAGAGCGGAGAGACATGGGGGCAGCTAAAGCCATCGACGAACAGTTGGAAAGAACGTAGGTGGTGGGTAGGATAACCCGAGTATCGTTCGAGCGTCGCGGTTGAAAGTCTGCAGGCTGCTGGGGTGAGCCAGTCAGTTTGGAATGAATAGATGAGCGCAATGGGAAGCTGGATTCGGACCCAGAGTTGATCTGCCCATCAAGCAGTGCCGGTGTAGCCACGCAATTCTAGGCAGGCGTGTCTATAGACACCAGGAGGTTCCTATCTATCTCCAGCGCGCTGAAGCCGACGATGTCACGCCTCTTGGCGGTCGGTCTGGATGAGGTTGCTCGAGTGGTTGGCTTGAAAAGGAGGCAGAGAGGCAGTTCGAGATGTCCTTATGAGTTGTGGTCGGAGATGGTTGTTCGTCTTCTGTGGCTTTGCTGGAACCTGTCCTGATCGATAATTTGTACAGTGTCGGCATGGTGCTACGCGCTAGTCTCCATGCGGTCGGGTGGAAATAAATTAGGTTACGAGAAATGATAGGGTTTTTGGCGACGACGCAAGCTTCTCGTAGACTGAGAGGGACTCATTCAAATAGTTTAACATTTTGCGGAGGATGGTAAAGAGAGTGGACAGCTTGAGGTAGCAAGAAGGTGGTGCGGCGAGGCCAGCCAGAATGCCACGTAGGGCTGCGCACCGTGTTGAAGCGAGCAAAGTAGCAGAAACGCTGTACACGCGAACCATGGCGCTAATTTAAGGAGATATCGTATAGACTTAGCTTCTAGAAAGCCATATACCGGACGTCCTCAGGAGTGGCCGCGATGCTGGTCGAAATTGTCACTGAGACTCAAGTCCCACATCACGATGTAGAATCGCCGCACGGCAATAGCGCACCAGGGAGACAGTAAAAAGAATGCTCATCCTACATCTAAATCTACGCAAAATCTCACAGGAGAGCGAAGAAGATCTTATTCACAAGTCATAGTGAATTAGCAAAAACAATCTCACTCACCCACTGCGCGACTCGAACTCCAAAAAAATTTCGTAAGCTCACTTTGATAAAGCGTGTCATCCTTAGTGCAGGGGCCATGCTAATCTTCTCTGTGTTGTTACGATGTGACCAAATGCCCGAAGGCGAAGTGAGCTAAATTCTGGCCAAATATATACCCTTAGAACGGGGCGCGTCAGTGCGCGATTGTTTGCCCACCCACCACTTGTTGGGGGAAAGCATCACGGGAGATTTTCGGCAAAGATGTCATTATGCACCTCCGAATTGCCAGTTGCATGTTACAGCACTTTGCGCGTCATCGTCGTCGCCGGCCGCTGCTTAGCGCCCTGTCGCCGCCCTCCGCCACTGAAACCGCATTTGCGACATATGCACTTTGGGCTCTTCACACCTTAGGTCACGCATCTTACTTTTCCAAAGAACATCCTCGCCAACTTGCTTTTGAAACCCACCACAACGTTCAATCCCATCAATTTCGGCGCGTCAGGACTTGGACTTCATAGCTGAGGGCCATCAAATGTCCTGACATCCTCCAGCATCACATCACCCACCCCAAAGCGGAATCGAAGTAGTTATAATATCAGTGTCTTCTGCATTCGGGTGTTCCTGTCATCGTGCCTGGATTTACATGCTGTATCTTGACCGTGAAATGCACTCCGTCATTACTCCCTATCGAAATCATGGCCGCTACTTTCCGCTGAATCGAACATAGCCACACACCGTCATCATCCCAAAGCATGACCTCTTACAACCCAGATCTGCCCTCCGCGTAGTCTCCGACTCCCATATTGGCGCGCTGCCGCGTTGAGGGCGCGGTTGAACATCCCTCAAGCCACGTCCTCCATGCGCTCTTCCCTCTCCTCAGCCCCATCAAGTCCCACCACCGTCTCCTCCTGTTTATCCTCGCTGATGGTGAGGCGTCGAAAAGTCTCCAGAGCTCTCGCCTCCGCTTCACTCGACATGCCTTGTTCTGCATCACTTCCATTAGCACCGACAAGCACAACAGACACAAGAAGAAATGTATGTTTGAGCCCATGACACCTCCACCTGCGCTACAGGTAGCAAGGCAATGCCAGCGCCGTGGTATCTCTGGTGACTCAGCCATCGCCAAAATGCAGCCTCGACCCTGCCCAGCCTGCAAACTTCCGACCGCGGCTTGCCGTAGTAATACTTGAGGGCTCATGCGCCGATCTCGATCGTCCTTCGACGAGAGAATCGACCGGACCCCCACGCGCGATGACTTTGTTTGTTCTTGGTCCTCCAGCTGGGAGCGAGGCTATCGGAAGCGCGGGCTCGTGCGATGGGGAGGGGCCGGTGTGTGGTATACCGGGAGCGAGGAGGACGGGGAGAAGGGGATGGAGGAGAAGGCAACCTACCGGGATGTTCGAGGGCCGGGAGGGCGTGCTGGGAGGTCGTCTTGGTCTTCACGGCCTTCAGCCTGCGATCGCGCTTCTTCTCTGCTTGCCCCTCCCTCTTGATGAAGGCACGGAAATCGGCCCGCTGCTGACGCGTGGTTTTCTTTCGAAGCACGGCATCGAGCAGTTTCGCGTTGTCGCGGTCGAATCGGCTATCATCGTACAGGCGGCGGAGGGCTTTGCCAACGTTGGGTCTACCCGCGTTCTCCGACCTCCTAGCAGCGGAGTTGACAGCCCGGAGGACAAGGGCGTCTTTTGCGGGCGTCCTCGTAGGCGTCGGGGTGGCGATGGGTGTAGGCGTATTTGAAGTTGGCAGTTGAAGATCCATCTAGCGAACATTAGCCTTCCAACTTGAAGTAAATGTCGAAATCAGAGCGAAAAGAGCAATATGTACGAGCCCAGACACACCTCCACCGTCGCCATTGTGCAGAAGCAGTGCTGACTACGTGGTAACTCTAAGACATCAGTCATCGCGGAAAGTGCTGCCCCGACTCTGCTCAGCCTGCATCTTGCCGGCGCTTTTAACTTTTCCCCGTGAGTGCCAGAGGGCTTACGCGGTGACTAGGAAGGCATCACGCACCGCTGGGATTCGGCATCAACCCTCCGGTCGGTCGCGATGACTTTGATTGATCTTGGCCTCCACCCATCCGCGAATGAGTGAGGCTATGGAGAAGCCAGACTCGATCGACGGTACGAGGCCTGAAGGGAACGAGCAGAAGGAGAGGAGCAGAAAGAGAGGAGCAGAAGGGGAGAAACAGAAGGGGAGAGACACGAGCTGGCGAATACGTACCGTAGATTTGAGGAGCTGCGTTGTGAAGTTTGGGGTTGCGCTGTGTAGAGGGTTTGTTTTGGAGAACTTGCTGTTGTGCGGAGCCCTCGGCTTGTAAGCTAGTGGAGGAGGTCTGTGCACACTTCTCCGCCATTTCGGCGTGCTATTGAGTTTCGGGACGTCAGGTAGATCAATCAATGCTTTCACATAGCCAATATGTTTCCGAATACCTCGTACGCCGTCGTCTAAGAAGTCGGGGGCACTTTAGAACTAAAATGTGAACATATATTCATTCCTGCCATCCTGGGCGATTTCAAACGGCATAGCGGGCCTGATTGTCAGCATTGCAATCGTTTCTCACGCAAATCACACACACAAAATATGCACAGTGTGTCATAGAGATAGCATATGACAGAAAGAGCTTAAGAGGCAGTATGAGCATTCAAATCTCGCGTATATCAGCGCGAGGCTATAATAACGACCCATAATTATTTCCCCTCGAATCCGCCACCAAAGTTCCAGGAGACTCGAGGCTGGTACCAGTCTCACACCATCTACCCTTTCTCCATTCCCCGTGTTCCTATATACAGCTTCAACTCGAGATGGTCATCGTTCGCCGTCTATCCTAACAACCATGTCAGCACAATCTCATACTATGTCGACAAAACAACGAGACGCAAACAACGCAGAAAAAGCAAATATGTACGAGGTGGGCCGCCCGAACGGACCCCATTCTAGCAGAGCAGGCAGCTGAAGCCGCGGATCGCCCTTTCGTCGCTCGTCGTGCTCTTACGACTCAAAGGGCCCTGCTCTACCCCAAATTATACAGTCCGATTCCCTTGTCCAGTCTCAGCCAAGTTATCCCTGTGGCTTTTTCCCCACACCCACTGAGCACGACGATTTGGTTTGATCTTGGCCTACAAATCCAGAGCGAGAGCTACGAGAGTCGGGCTCGGTGGACTGAAGTGCCGGAAGATTGTCTCCTTTTGACGTTGATTCTTGCGAACAAACTGGAGAGAGGGAATTTGGAAATGGAAAACGCTCTTACCTGCGCGAGAGCTCGCTCAGCCCGTCCATCAAAATCGAGCGGCCAGTGAAGAGAGAGATCCCGGCAAATTCGTTGACATTGACTGGGGGACATATCTTTCAACGATCGAGACATGAACTAAAAGCGGCGGGACGACGAGCCGAGCGGAAGGTTTAATTAGCTTCGAGTCGCCCTGGTAGTCAGATCCGCAAACAGCGCTATCATAGATCTTGGTCGAGAAGTAACTGTCTCCGCCAACGGTGGGGCCAGGAGTGGAAAGGGGGAGGTCGGGACTTCTTCAAGCCTATATTGGCCTGGTACGGCGTGGTAGACATTCATCCATGTCGTTGGTATGGTCGGCATGCTGCGGTGCAAACTACCAATCTGATCCAGCATCTTGTCACCCTTGGAGCACGTATTGCCAGCTATTGTCCAAGTCAAGCTGTTCTCTCGGATAAGATGTAAGTGATCAAGAGTGGAAATGTCGATGTTCGGTAGGCTCTCCTTGCTCGTGAGCATTTCGATATCCTTCTACCGCGCGGCATCGCCATTGCAGACATCCCTCTTGACCTCAACGATGTACTTGATGGAACAGGCGTATTCGTTCTTGATCCGGTAGGCTAACTTTCGGGTGTGGCAGATGAGGAGAGTGGATGCAACCGGGAGTGACAACGGCGATGTGCGGGCGTTTGTTCTTACTCGCAAATATCTCCATATCGTTTTAGCATCGGCCGAGGTGAGCTGGGTGGAGATGAGAAGAAGGAGGAGGCCACGGCAACTGGGGTTGGTTCGGGGCCTGGTCTGGGCTCGCTGTCGTTGGCTAACGGGGCGTTGTTGCTCATTTTGGAGTGGCTGGCCTGGTGAAGTGCTTTCTCGTGGGTGCCGCCAGGGAAGACGGCCATCTAAATCTCGTACATTCTATTGCTGGAGCAGACATGGTCATGGCTGATCCAGGGGCTTTGACAAAACCAGGACGATGGGCAAGTGTGTGCCTGCTCATCTAAGAGAGAATCCAAGATAATGTCAAACAGGGCGTAAGAGCTTCGAGAGACTTTGTGCCACTGGGAGGGCTGCAAGCTCTATGCGGTAAGCTGGCATACTGAAACTCTCACATAACGAATGCTTCTACCTCTTGGTTGCTCTTCTCTGAAAGCGGCCTCGGGTTGGTAGCAACCGTGGACTCGGGTCCTTCCTACGTTGTACAGCTGAAACCGAGCTACGCTTCTAAGCTGATATTTGTGGCAACTAAAGAGTCGTTATCCGAGTGTTATCCGTCTAGCCTTGCAGCAAAAACATGGAGCACGATTGCGACCTGGTTGCGATGACACAACAATAATCATCAGATTGTTGACGCTGGTCAGGGACGCATAAGTGCCTTCACCGAGCTTCTCCAGCTGCTGGATTGAACTTGGGTGCTTGCGGTTGTCCATGGTTATCTGCTGACCTCCGCCGAGATTTGTGACTGAGATAGACGAGTCGGTGTGCGCGTTCAGCGAGAGCGTGCCTACGTGTGTTGTCCGGAGCGTTCCTGGAGGGTTCAATCCTTGAGAAATGATTTGAATACGTCCTTTTGGTCGATTGTTCTCCTGGTTCTCGTTTCCAGCATGCGCGGTTCCGAGTTGTCGGAGGACCATATCAGCTACAAAGTGCGGAAGTACGAGTTAGCTCGCGCACGACGCTGGGTGCAAGGGACTAATGAATCATCCCACGACGTACCACTAAGCTCCGTTTTCAAGCTTGCTGATAGACACACATGTGTTGCCGTTGCATATGCCTCCAGCCCCATTCAGCCACAAAACTCCTTCCAACGATCCATTCAATGAGGACCTCAAGCCATAGCAGTGAATACGCCGTTGATGACAACGCCAGCAAGAAGAAGCCCGACAATGAGAGAGTCAGGCGTCGTCGTCGGGACGGCAGGGGCACTTGAGGACACCGTCGGTGTGAGTAAAGCCAAGTCGAAGTATCAGGCGACCGGTCGCTCTCTGATGAGGTTGTGCTGCACATCGCGGTGCTTCTCAATGGGATGGTGCTGAGGTCGATGAAGGGGTAGTAACAGAAGAGTCGACCAGTGGCAGGATCATCCTGAGGTCCTGGGTGGCGTAGACATGGAAGTTTGGCTTGTACTCGGGGAATTGAGAGATGCCCGGCCAGAAACGCTCAGAGGGGTTATCTGTGAGGCGGAAGGTATTTAGGAGCACTCTACGTGATCTGATCCTGGGTGAGACTGTCCGGCCTTGCAAGGTACCTGGCGCTGGCTGGTGAGCGTATAAGTAGCTGGCGTTTGAGAATCAAGATCGTTTCTTAATCACACTCTTTTGTGGCGCTGTTGGTAAAGCTAGCTGCCCCGGCTTCACAGAGACCACCGGTAGCCTCGGTTCCCTCCATAACTTCACTTCCATTGGAGATGTTGGTATATCTGACGTGGGAAAGGCCAAGCGGGCGACCACCGTACTGGTATCCAGTGAACTTGGCTGTACGAAGGTTAGTTGGTATCTCTGAGCCTGACAGGACATGACGTGCAAATGGCAGTGGCAGCGTCCTCCAACTTCTCGAACTGGACCACACCTGTACCACAGGAGCGACCGTTTGCTTCGTACTTTTGCTTCGTACTGGATCTCGGCGCGGCTGACGTTGCCGATGGTGCTGAACAGCTGATCTTCGTTGGTAGTGCCAGGGAACAGAGGACTGCGGTCGACAAATCGAAGTTGGCGCAACGGCAGCTCGAACCCCTCGACGGCTAGCTTTCATAGGTACCGGCAGCGAGTCGTCGCGAGAGCAGCGAGTCCTTTGCATGCTTCATTGGCGAGGAATTTGTTCTGTGGTCGCAACGCTGCACATGACGCCCGCTCGCTGTTGCTTCGTTTCTATCCGCCGGAGCTGATGAACTTTTGGGCGAGGCTCAAGAAACTGTGTCCGAAAGGGGGGCCATAAGTACGCGGCTTCAGTCATCGTGCTCAGGATCGAAGAAGTTATTCCGAGGTTTTGTGTTGCTGGACAAGCTGGGGCACCGGTCCTCTAGTAGAGGATTGGCCACTGCCGGAGAAAGCCCGCCTAAGCCAGGAAGGGCACTGCAGGCGAGCAGCGTCAGTGGGACTGGGCTGATATAAGCCAGCGTCATGCAGCCAGCATCCTCGTTGTGAAGGCAGCTGATGTGAAATGTAACATAGACAGTGATAGAGAGCAGAGAGACGGTGATCATGTGCGAGAAGTGTACAGTAGAGAAGTCACGTTTCGATAAGCAAATCGACAAACCCCCGTCTCATAACATCGCTATCAATAACTCTCAAGGAGACTCACTGCCACTGAAACCGGTTTTCTGTCTTCAGTAGGCTTAGTTAGAAAGAGCTGCAATACACCTTCATGCAAACAAGAACGAAGGGACGCAGCATGCTGACGTCAAGTCAGAGAGTGTCCCCTAGGGACATGAAACAGCGCGCACCAAGCCAACTAAGTCACTGAGCGCTTAGAAGTTATATAATCAAGGATTACAAGACATTCAAGCAGAAGGGTCGATGCTAGATTTAGAGCAAGAATTGGAAAACACCCAAGACATCACAAAAATACTAGATGGCACTCTTTTTAAACGAATTCCTCAAAGCATGCACTCAGTAATATTCATGTGCTTATAAGCTGTTCAATGCCGTTTGTCAAGACTATTACATCCGACAATTACAACTCTATGGCCTTCATTAGCTTGCCCCAAGAGTGTCTACCTGCTGCCAACCAAAGACGAGGATGCTGGACCATTTCTCAACGATTAAGTGCCTGAATGCCATGTTCACGGTCGTGAGCGGGAATACTCCTTAGTATCCAGAACGGGAATCTTGGTGGCATGATCCATGTGTCCAGGTAGTGTTGCGTACGTGTACGCGCCAGCTTTCACAGAATGCCCAGCCTGCAGGTAACACTCCGCCTTGTCGTCGTCATCGTCATAGCTGTGAAAATCACAGTCTCACCATGAGATAATATCCATACTGCCCGAAGCCGCAGCTAAATCTCAGAACTGATGTGGGATCTCCTTAGTATAGCGGAAATCGATGTTCAACCCAAAGCTGCCCAAACGAATCATCGCATCGCGGAGTGGGGATCCCTCTGGTAGGTTGTATTTGGAGAATATGAGCTTGAGGTGGTCGGCGGTGATGAAGCGGCCATTAATGTATCCGCGGACGAGCTGTAGAAGAGCGTCTATTACGGTATCCTTGAACCAAGAGTCCAGGATTCGTTCTCCGAAGATATAACAGTAGACCAAAAGGGTGAACTCGGCGTCGAGAGTGTTTGGTGTTGGGGCTTCCAAGGTAGTGTCGAGCCTATCGGTATCCGCCCAGTACTGGTAGATGCTGAAGACGCGAGGAGAAATATCCGGCATCTTTATGACACCCTCGACGGACTCCAGCCAGCCTCCTCGTAGGGCACCTTGGAGGAAACCTGAAGTTCTGTAGAGGGTATCCTCGAGGATGAGGAAATTGGTGTCACGCTCGTCGTTTGTAGACGGCTTGATCTAGACCGTGATCATGCGGCATACTAAATTGAGATGTTGTAAGATACATGTTTCGCGATAAAATGATCTAGGCTCAACATACTCTGCTTTTGGGCCCGCTTGCGGACGAACCAGGTGCTCCAAGCAGCCTTCGACTTGGTAATCCAAGGCATGTTGACAACCGAATTTTTTGCGGGGGGTGAGCGCTTGCAATACTGTTGGTGTAGACAAGGGCATCTCATAGTCTCGAAGGAGGAACACTATCCAGAAGAAGCAAAGGCCCCTTTATCACGTGCTGCAATGTACTAGCGCCCCAGGCCTGATCAACGACCATCAAATGTCCTTTTCTCTCCCTCAACTTCAAACAAGACAAAACTCTCATCGTCTTGAACCATCAGATCTCCCATCGACTGCGCCTTGGCGCCATCATCAGCTCATCCAAACCTTCTCCGACGCTTCACAACTCTCATCCATTTCGCAACCGCCAACAAACAGCCATCACGTCACCAACATGGAGAGCCACCAGGCAATCCTTGACAACGTCACGAATGCTACCGCCCGCCGTCGCGAGTCCGGCCCTGCTGCCCAAGCTGTCCTAAACCTCCATCGGATGCGGGGCGCTCGAAGCGCGGGTCGACGCCTACAGGACGCAATCGGAAGTACTGAGATTCGCCAACAACTCGATCAAGATAGAATCAACAACATTACGGCTACCATGGAGCGGCATATCACCAACCAGGACGCAGAGCGCCACGCTCTCGAAGCGAAGGTCCGCCTGCTGGAGTACCTCTCTCGCCAAAAAGATATCATGATGGGGGCTTTGGAACAAACTCGCGAGGCAAAGGACGTCGAGATCGCCATTCTCGAGCGAACCCTACAACACAAACCGCACTATTAAAGGCCTGAAGGAAGTGATCCAGGGGCAACGCTAGGGGAAGTTATGGAGGAAGCACGGCCGATCGAGGTGAAAAAGGTGTAATATGGAGCGATATGGCAGAGTCGCTGGGGCTCCCTCATCCTTGGATAGGCCTTTCTTAGGCGTTTTGCTATTCTTCCTAGGCTTGCCGCTGACACCTTAATGCAATGAAAGAACCACTCCGTTTTCTGCACTCTCGCTCTAGTTCTTAGGATAATTGAAGCCTTCGATACTCGTACACGGTTCGGGAGATGTTCCTGTCCCCTGCAGTCGTTTGCGGTGTCTTAATGCCTTCACAATTTGTCACGAAAATACACTTATGTTGACAAACTATATCTAGAGATCTACAAATGGTTAATGATGTAATAGTGCTAATTCGGTCAAAACTGCTCCGGCATGCCTTTTAGAGCTCATTCTATATTCTCCAGTCTCTACACATCGAGCCAGAGCAATGCTTAAATATCAATTCTACGCCCGTAAAAGACCGTCTGGAGCGCTGTAAAGCTTGAGCAAAGGTTAAACCGTATCCATAAGTCTCGCCGTGAGAAAGAGGAGACTAGTTTTCCGAGGTTCATTTTCGATGTGAGAACGGAAGCATGTTGTCTCCTCTCTATACTCCAAATTGAAAATGGGCACATCGTGTCTCGATTCTCATGAAAGCTTCAGAGGGCTTTTTACGGCGTCAACTCGTTAGCAGCATTCACTGCCGCCTGATACTAGTATAACCCCCACAGAATCCACCAACTTTATGTGGGAATTCACCCCTTATATCGGGATTGCCAAGACGTTTCTGGTGTTCTGCATTTATATTTAACTCCTGAGCCACCCTCGAGTTCTTCAACATCCCACAACCACGTCACTCCCCTACCTCCAAATCAACACACCCACCAACAATGCCTTTCTCTGGGCAAATTCTCAACATCTTCTCCAGCCCTAGTAAGCAGCCAAAGTAAGTCCGCTTCCGCATCAATGCGTTTTGCATCACGCTGACACGACCAGATTCCCCCAGAAACGTCAAGCACCCAAGACGCCCCAGACAACCCAAGCTTCTTCATCCATGCCGACTTTGTCTACCTGGACGCCCCAATCACCGAAGAAGCCCCAGCCAACCCAGACCGATCCATTCTTGTCGACGCCTTCCACCAATACCCTAGATGCCACGCCATCTGGACCAGCAATTGAAAATGCTGGTTTGCAGCGGCTAGTCTCCGCCAGTCTCGACCTTACTCGGGTTGAGACACCCCAAGTACCCAAGACGCCCCAGCCAAAGGCCTCTCTGTCCGTATCGACACCTTCCATCGCTAGCCTCGACCTCACGGGATCCGAACCAGCAATCAACGAGCTCGTTCTGCAGCAGCCAGCCTCCGCTAGCCTCGACACTCCTCTGACTGGAACAAAACGCAAGCTCACGGACTCTATTTCCTCCCCCCGGTCCGAGAAGCAGAAGATTCGCAAGTTCCTCTTCCAAGAAGCCAAGATCCTCGACATCCCCAACAAGGGCGCATTCAGCAACGCTGAGGTCAACATCATGGTCGAGGCAATCCGGCACAACGAGGGGGTAATGGCCAAGTGGAAGGAGGACATGATCAAGCATGTCGATGCCCATGAAAAAGCTCAAGCTCTTCGAACTAAGGTTGTGCAGTGCGTGGAGAAGAAAAATAAAGTGCTGGAGCACTATATTGATGTTGAGTTGAAGGCTCTGAGGGAGGGGAATAAGGGGATGAGGGAGGAGGTTGTTAGGAAGAACCGGAAGTTGGATGAGGCGGAGCGGAGGATTGAGGGGTTGTTGAAGGAGCTGAAGGGGAAGGAGGAGAATGTGGATGACGGGGATAAGGGGGCTGACGGGGAGATGGGAGACGAGGGATACAAGGTGACCCAGGGGGACGAGGGGGAACAAGGGGAGATGGGGGACGAGGAAGAGGAGTGGGAGTCCCGGGAGCTTGACGGGAAGCCAATGGACGTCGATATGGGTCGCCGGGAAAGCCACTTCGGACGAAGGATCTGATTCTCCTGGTATTGTGTGCTTACCCCGATGCTGGAGATGGAGCACATGAAGCCCCTTCGCGGGAACTGCTAGCCTCTAGGACAATGTAGCAGAGGGCCTGAGCCACGGGTTATTCCATTGGCAGTCATCACTGTCATATAGACTCCAATGATCGGCTGTAATGCGAATGTATTCTCCAATAAGTCTGACTTCAGGTATCTGTGAAATATGATTAAATAAATTCCTCCTATGACTAGACCAAAATAAACGTCCTTGGCGAGTAGCTTACACCACACTCGCTCTACTCACACTCCTCCTTCCTATGCCCATCACCACACCCAGAACTCGCATCTATTCACACGCACGCACCCACAGTCATGATCCACGATGAAACTAATTGCGACGGCGGCAAACCCATTGAGAACCGCCAGTCAGCCAGCTCGAAAGACCAAGAAGCAGCGCAAAGTGTGTTGAATTCCGCGTCCGGTGACTTACCGCTAACCTCACCTCCGCAGACACCCCCGAGCAAGTCGACGCCGCGAGGAGGTTTAATTAAGCCAAAAATCACGCGGAAAATGAGAAGCGCCATACCAATGCGAAGAAGCGCGCCGAGGAGAGGAATCCATACAATCATTTGCCGCTGTGTGAGGAGCTTCATGGTACTTGCAGCATTCCGATCAAGAAATAAGTCCGGCGTTCTGGATAACGATTAAACTCGCGAGGCTACCCCGGACATCATCAGCAGTGTGTACGCAGATTGCGAATGATCCACTGCCCTTGGTTTGCCTTAGCACGTTGGAGTCCTACAGACTGTGGCAGGAAGTTGTACATATACATATGATACGGCGGTATACGGCGATATTAGAGCCTCCACGGGCCAACGTTTCCCGTCTGTCCTCCTCTCCTCTAAACAAGATGTAAAGGTTCACGGGATGCAATACAGCCTCCTGTTTCTACGTTAGCAGATTTGGAGCATAGCTCTACGCGCTTCATATCGTTTCAATTGTACTGCTGTGCTACGTACGTTGTTAGTAGCCTGGATCACCCCTGGAGCATTCAACAAGTCGGAATTGTGAATGTAACGGTTGAGACATCGTAAAATTTAGGCTCTAGACTGTGAACCTCGGATAGCAGCAGACCTGTTCTCTTGGGAATGCTAGATGGAGCCATAGCAGTGTTTCTTTTGGAGGCAATTACAGCTATTCCAGACGCCCCCGGGGGTTATGGGGCCATGAAGAAGTGAATGTAAAGGTCTAGACATCGTAGTCTAGATTCCCGATCGTGACATTCACACAAGGCTACGTTTTCTCGTGCGTGTGAGGTTAGGTCATGGAAGCGTTCCTCTTCGGGGCCAGGATACCTATTCGAGACGCCCCTGGGGGTAGAGATACTTGAACGGGTGAATCTAAAAGTTTCCACGCCATGAATCACACCCTGGATATACGATCAGCATTCTCACACCTATTTCCTACGCCTGACGAATGAGCTTGTGTGGAAGTGTCAATTGGGACTGTAGATAGCGGTCTAAGACACCCCTGGCCTATGGAGAGTTGAAAAGCGTGAATGTAAACCTCCGCTATACGAAATACGGGCCCTCGTCCCTGACGTTGGAAATGGAGGTGAGAATTACGACCCTTTCATGTCAGCCCCATCCTACCCTCTTTTCGCACACGTAGGTGACTGCTTGGAGGACTCCTGGAGGTGTGAGCATGTTGAGGACGCGAATGTAAAGTCCTGTAGCATAAAGTTCAGGCCTGCGCTCGAGTACTTGTACACCAACAAGCGTAATATGTAGATCTTTGATTTGACGACAGACCGTTACTGCGCTGCGCAATTGAGTAGTACCTTGGGGGACTCCAGCGGGATGCAGGGATCGAAAAATCGTGATTCAATGTCCGTAGAAGTTGTGATAGACTGCGGGTAATCGCACCATGTGTAGCCGTGTTTGACGGTGGTGGAAGTCCTCCAACATCTTTTTAGAAGCAGAGGCGTAATGCAGAACCCTATACCAAACAGGAATGAATCCTAGGTATGGTCTGGACGATGGTTAGCAAAGTCTCGGCGTGGGGGTGGCGCGGCAATCCTAGCCAGGCGATCCATGGCTCGTATTCGCGCCGCTCGCGAGGACCATCAAAGCTTGTCTCAACCGCAATTGCTCGAAATGCATCAACTCCAGTGCGCGCCTTGGATTGGGAAGTTCTCGTCAAGGAAGAGAAGGGTCGCGGTTAGAGCTTATCCATGTTAACGTCGTGTGGAGGAGTCACGCATCGTTACCTAATGTGCAAAATACACCTAATATAGGGCCTTCACGTCTTGAATTTAACTCAGTGCCTGGCACAAATTCGGAAAAGAAAGTGACTACATTCCGCCACGAGGAAGGACCCCAATGGGCCACTTATCGTCATCTACTGTACAAAGTTGCACCCATTGCGGGGCTTTTCCGTGCCAAACTTCCCCCAACACCCCGGCTCAGTTCCTAAGGTGGGTGCCAGCTCCCCACTCTCCGCCCACGCGATAGGTGGTCTTTCCACCACGAACGTCGAAGGTCACCGTCGGCGTCTCCCCGGCCCACTCCACGCCGTGGGAGTGCTCGGTGTCCTCTTCTTCCTCTTCTTCGCCTTCTTCTTCTTCTTCTTCTTCTTGGTCTTCTTCTCCTTCTTGCTCTTCTTCTTGCTTCCGCTGGGCCTTGTTGTGCCGGTATCGCTGGCGTGCGCGTCTCATCTTCTCCCGGTACCGTCCCTTCTTCGGCTCCTCCTTCTCCTCTTGCTGCTCTTTCGGCCGGAAGCGTGTGCCGCCTCTCAGGCCCAGTGCCACCCTCTGCTTCGCCATCGTCTACCACAGTGCATCAGCGCCAGCTACGTTAAGGGGGTCAGGAAGCGTGTTTACCTTCAGCAGCTTTGGGGGCTTTGGGGGCTCTTTGGGCCTCAGCGTGAGCTTCATCGGCCAGCCAGCCACGGCCTGAGCGTCGTCTATAAGCATGCGTCAGCGCTAGTTACATCGAGGAGGCTGGAATTCTGTCTACCTTCGGCTTGCGCCTGCTCTCCCGCCGCCGCCGCCGGGTGCTCCTCGATGCCCACCATGGGCTCGCCGATCTCTGGGTTGTTCGACATGATGTGAGAGGTGATGTGGGCTGTGTCTTGTTTGGCTGTGTGAATCGGACGTAGAGTTCGTCGGGTCGGGTCTTGCGCGAGGTTCGGTTGTGACGCGGATGGTGAAGATAAATAACATCAGAATCAGCACAGACCATCATAACCCACTGCATGATTGGCCACTTACCGAGGGCACCCCAGGAAGTGGTACAAAACGTGCCGTATAGGGGAAGCATAATGTCAAGCTTCAAGTAGTTCAAATTAGACTACCGTTTGACTAAGTGGCTGCTTACTAGCTAGGCTACTCCCCACAGTGGTGTCGAAGGAGCAATATTGGAGCTAAACAGTGATGAATCTGTGTGCCCAAATTTATGATCTAGCAATGTACCTACCTAGAGCACCCCAGCGTCTCCCCGAGTAGATGGGCGTCGGCCAAAGCTAAAAGAGCAAGCAATTCTGAAGGCCAAGGCAATAGCTGTGATTCTTATCTCGGTATAGCACGCAGCGAAGCCGTCACGCGACGACATATCTCCTAGGCAACAGACAAGCAACCCGCTCCTCACCTACCTATATATTACAAATAATTTCGCCGTATCTCTCAGGAAAGTTGGCTTAATGGATTTAATCTTATCCTATTATTCTTCCGTCATGTTCGCGCATGACCCTTTCCTTTTGCATTTTTTTTGCATGTGCTAAATATGATAGGAGAGGGGCGGGTTCGAGTCCGGGTGCGGGCCCGCCTGTTACTTTACTTTCCTTTACTTTACTTTTGGATCCGTAGGGCATAGTGAGGGGGTTCCTGTGAGGATTGAAAGGATCTGGGAAAGGTAGGATCCAATTGACAAGCTTAGAGACATGAATAGCTGCTTCACTTTCTATTCTGAAGTTAATTGATGAGTGCGAGGACTACTAGACCTTTGCACCCATCACCTTAAATTGAATTGTATCTCTTGTTAGCCTACCAAGGCGATATATAGGTTGTAAAATCTCGTCCGCCCAAAGGCGGTATATCTAGCTATCTGATCTTCCTGTCTAATAAACAGCAGCCCAGAGCCCGGAGAGTCGTGGCGAGGACGCGAATGTCTCAATATGGAGAGGCAGGGTCCTGACAACAACATATCAGCCTTCAATGCCGCAAGCTAGCCTACGGCCATCATCGACAGGCTTAGACACTGCTACCCAGGTATTCGTTGTTCTGCTTGATATCTCATGCTCATTAAAAGCTCCTTGTCCACCCCGACTGCCGCTGCCGCCGCCGCTGTTGTTCGCGAAACCAAGGTTCGGAATGGGAAAGGAGTAGGAATCGTCAATGGCTGGCGATTGGCCTTTTCCTCCCTAGAAGTTGTCTTGATCCGAGGGGTTGAGGGTTGATATGAAGTCGACGAGAGCGTTTTGATGGGCACGGATAGTAGACTGAGTTGGGAGAGGCGGTGGAAAATCAACCTGGTATATCAACGTTAGCTTTCGATGCAACGGGTTTCTTGGAGTCTTTTGGAAAACACTGGGATGATTTGCTACCCACACAGCTCGTGCTTACCACAAGCCTGAGTCTCAGTCCACGCTGATTCTGTTCTCTTATGCCGCTGCTGGCCAGCGCCTTCTCACGCGGGTCTGGCCATTGCAAGGGACCCTCAATCACTGCATATTGTGTTGTTGCCCGTGGGCTTTTATCTATATGAGGCGTGGTGGAATGCTGATAGAAGATGCTTTCCAGTCGCCAGCTGGGCTTGTAGGATGAATGTGGGCAACTCGTCCTGCTGTTTGAGGGCTTCTGGTCGCTGGCTGCCGCGAGGGGTAGGACAGCTGGGACTGTATTCCTTCTTTTCTCGTGGAGTTGTAGAGCATCGACTCGGAGTTCGCTGTGGAAGCTCGCTCTGCTGTGTTGACCTCGTTTCTTTTCGCCTCTCCTGTCGTCCAACCTTAGTACAACCGCCGCAGAGCCCATCTAAGGGGCATCGCTTTGGGTTGGATCGTGTTATCTTCATTGCGGGGCCATGATTTGTCTTCCCCGAGTCGCCTGTTCTCTGCCTCCAAGTGCTCGTTATCCTCCGCCCCGGTCTTGACCTTCGCTTTGAGCTTGTGAATCTCCTCCCCGGTCTCATCCTGGGCATTCATCTAGTGCTCGCCGTACTCGTAGATGCCGTGCTTGCCGGCAGCGCGCGATATATCCTCCTCGCGCTCGGTAACGCGATCCCGCCGCCTCGGATGTGTGCCTCTAGCTCCTTGAACTGCCCAGACGGGACTCATTTAGGGTGTTCTCCTTGGAATTGCCGCTCGAGAAGGTTGTAAGGTCATGGTAGAGATTTCGTCGTCCGACGCAGGACTCGTAGCAGGCAAGCTGCCTCGAAGGGCGGCAGTGGGAGGTTGGTCTTGTCGGTACAGGCGGTTTCCTGTCCACGTTGTTAGCTATGGATTCCTGAAAATGGGATGGAGAGATCTTTGATATGCTGTGATCATGCCACTCAAAGGATTGTCGACGGAGCCGCCGAAGAGCGCGCTGAGCGACGAGGAAACGGAGAAAGAACCTGATCGGCAGTGTCCACCTGGCTCTCAACAGAGACCGAAGCTTTAGGTCGGAAGAGAATTTGCGACAACGCAGTTGTGGGTGGGGAATCTCTCGATGATATGGGCGTCTGAAGCTGGGTTGATCTCGCCGCGCGCTGTGGTATGTGTAGGCTTTGGCGGAGAGCGGCAACGAGGCGGAGACATCCTGTACTGCTCAAAGATCTTCCGGCCCTCTCAAGGATGAGAACATACTGTACGGGGTTATGATAGAGCAGGAGGCCATGGTGTTTGTGACAATCACCGCCGTCGCGTCTCGAAGCATTCTTGCCACGACGCGTCCCACCACCCCACGCCATCGCCGGAGCAAAGAGAGCATCATCTAGATACTTCTTAGATTAGCTCAATCGTTGTATCTACGTGCGTTTTGGCCCCACCGGGGTGGTATAGGGCCCGGGGCGTCGAGTATTCATACAAAATTGGTCATTGTCCGCGCCGCCTCAACACCATCATGAAGGCAACTAACAAGGGAATTGGACAGACACATAGCAGCATAGATAGGGCATGGTAGCTTCTACAGACAGTCTCTTTGTGGAAGACATGCAGCGCGTCAAAGCATGTAGCGCGTGGTTGATCCCAAGCCGAGACTGACGCACACAACATCACAACATGGTGTCAAAATCATCACGATGTAAGGGCAGGACATCAAAGCATGAAGAGGAAGACGATTGAATGATTGAATGAATGATTTCTTCTTCGAAGACCCGCTCAAGGCGAGTGTATCAATGAAAAAAAGGGTGACTAGGTCACAGAAGAGTTCATTGGAAGTGATCTGCCCATCCGAAGACAAGCCATCGACCTCCGCTGAAGCTGAAGACTCCGAAGAGACTTTGAAGATAGGCCGCCCCATGAGAAAGAGAACAAATCCGGAATGCAAAGAGTGAAGAAGGTCGCCAGTCGCCGTCGCCGTGCCGTGCCTCGCGCGAAAGAAAATACGTACCTGCGCTAAGGTTGTCGATGTCCAGAGGAAGTTGAGTGGATGGGCGGTCTGGCATGCCCTCCATACCCAGAGCCACGAGAGGAGAGAAGCTTCCATGAGGAAGAGAAGCGATGTTGTCGAGGAAGAGGGTTGTGAAGATGAAGAGTGGATGAAGGTTGGAAAGGTTGGTGGGGTGTCAGCTACTTATGCTCGAGCGAAATTCAATTTGGCGCTAGTGGACTAGCGCGGGCAGGTCCAGGCAACAGTAGCAGCTCCACTTCACTTGACTAGCGCAGGCCGGCATGGAAGCTTCTGGATCACAGCAGGGGTTGTGATCCGGCTGTACACGCGAGGGCCGGCGCCGCCAAGCCTCTGATCCCAATTGGGCACTCCTGACAGACCTAACACCCGCCTCCTGTGTCACTGGGTGTATCTCATTGTAAGAGTCCCTTAGCGACAGGCTCTATAGCATGTGACTTCCGGCTGGCATCATCTCGCACCGTTCTAGGGGCATCTTCAGTTTTACCAGTACGCTGCGACTCCTTCAGCCAAATGTAAGTAGCTAGCAGAGTCCAAAGTATTGCTAGTGCGGCCACAGCTTGTAGAAATCTCGGAGCGGAGAATATCTTAGGCATTTGTGAATGGCGCAACATACTTGAAGTTCACCATGTTTAGGCCGTCAGGTCAGAGCAAGCTGTTCAAACCTGGATTTGATAATATGCGTCTAGCTTGAGGGGCAAAACGTCCCGGCGGTGGGTCATCTAGTTGCAGAACGCTTCAATTTTGATTCTTGAGACCTGGGGTAGAGGGGGACCATGATGCAGTTTAACGGGCACCAGGGCAAACTTTGACGGCCAAAAGGCAGGAAATAATCGAGGCGCACCTCTCATAAGGGATCACTTGCAAATTGTGTAAGGCTATGAACCTTTGAAAAGTCTATGAAAGCTCTCTTTGGTTGTTCATGGATGGTATGCGGTCTTTGTTCTATTATCCGGTGATGTCGAAGCCAAAAATGGTAGGAAGGCCGAGGGCTCAGGGACGCGGTCATATCTCAACGTCAGAGTACCACAGCCAGATGCTGGAGATGCTTGGGGTGTGTAGAGTGACAAAATAACAGCCATCTTGCGAAAAGAATATAGGTGGGGCTGTCCCTGCTCAGTGACGGACGTTGCGGTCCATCACCGCTCAGCCATCGTCGGCAATGGTCGACCATGATTCTCAACACCTAACCCCATGGCTGCAACACTGAGGGTCTCATCAGCCCTGAGACTTCACTGGACACTCATGTCTTGCCCTAGAAAGATCCTTCAGGCTATGTCTGTCCAGTGACGGATGCCGCTGTTTCCGCCCCGCTGGTGTCCGCCGCTCAATGGAGTTGGCAAGATTCGCAACACCATGCCCGAGCATCATAATGCCGGCTTCATAGACAATATAAAACCAGCTTTCCGCCTCATTTCGTATCTTTAGAAGCTCCTGGACTTCCCCCGTCCAGTGGCGGAGGACGTTGCCTGGCTAATCCGCCTCTACTATTCAAGGCTAATCGTGAGTCTCAACACCAAGTAGAAGCATCATGGTACAGAAGATACGAACTGTTGTAAAGCTATCCTACAGATATGTGTTCTACCGAGGCCAAATCCCCAAGCCTATGCCTCTCCAAAATTGCACGGCGCTGCTCATTCCCGACGCGTCTCCGGTATCATGGCGGTGTATAATTCTCAACACAACAGCTACCGAGCAACACGCGGAGGATATCGAAGGCATGAGGAGCTTGATTCAGGCCCATTAATTGGAGGAATGCGACAGACGAACTAACGTATGTTCAGTGGCGAACAGCATTTCGACACTACCGAGCCTCCGCCGCTCAGGGCCACTTGCGTCCTTCAACACCATGACATCAGGTAAGTACGCTGAGGATGAAAATTGAATTTAAAGCCCCTTGACGCACTTCCATCTGCAAGAGTAATTGAGCTGACCGAGTACCTGATCAGTGAGGACCCGCGCACCCTGTACCACCCAGCCTCCGTCCCTCAGGGCCAACCAGAATTCTCAACACCACGACCCTAACATACCGCGTTGAATATATCAAAGAACCGAGTCCACCTCTGGCATACCACACGCCCCGATGACACGCTTCTTATTGCGTTATTTGCTCACTGCTAGAACCGACTTTCCCCCCCCGATTCGCACGCGTTCCGCCAACCTCCTTCATCTACACCTCCGAATCTCCTCCGCAAAACAAACCCCTCTCCTCTACCTCTCCGCCCAGACGCTCTCTCTCGGCAGGCGTACGCTCTGTATGATACCACAGCGGCAGCCCCACCCGCTCATCCTCGTCTCCATCGAAGAGAAATGGCCACGCCAAAATCGAGATGAGCCCCACAAACGCCGTGATCACGCCATATTCTCCACCCGCCTGGCACGCTAGGATGAGAACGAGGCTGGCTGCGCCGATGCCGGCGACTGCGGCGAGAAGGGTGGGGAGGAAGGCGCGCATGGTTGTGTTGATGGTTTTTTGGGTGGGAGATTTGCGCTGCTCGGGATTGGGCGTTAGTTGCTTGGGTTTTCGGATGGGAGAGGGGTGGATCGGGATGCTTACGCCGTTTGCAGGTTGTTGTGGTGTCGGGGGAGATGCGGGTTGTTTGGCTGTGGGAGAGTGGAAGTGATGGCGGTTTGGGGGATAAGGAAAGGTAGAGCGGAGGAGTTGGAGAAATGGGCGAAGATTCACCTTTATCCTCAATCACATTCTCCCCAACAAGACTGGTTTTCACATTTACTATTTGGATTCACATCACCGGGAGAAAATTAAGGGAACCAGAAGACAATGGACGGATAGGACCAGAGCGACTAGTAGTAGACTTTCCTTGTCGTCAAATTTGCACATTTCTCGGACCATTTGTGCAATCTTATCCAGAACCCACTCGCCGTCGGAGCTGGCTGTAGTAGATGATTCTTGTCCTCGAGCTTGCGCAGCTCCCAGGCCTTTTGGAGTGGTTTGGTATGTCTACGTCGCTATCTGAGGTCGTTTGGCGAGGCTCCAAGACAATTCAAACATATTATCCCCAAGCTTGTGAGCACGCATTGAAGAAGCTCAGGTAGCCACACAGCGATGTACACGGTCATGGCCCACCGGTGAAAATGTACAGAACAGATACTGATGAAGCTTCGGCATACATATGAGCGTTGAAGACGCCTTGCCTACATACTCAGGTTGAAATTGATGTGAACTCTGATTTCTATAGACGTCTAGCTAGTTGTATATATACTAGGGGAAGGAAGGGGGCCACCCCCAGGGTGGCGCGCTAGTAAGTTCAGATGAGCCCTGCACAGCTGAGGCTTCAGCTCGGTTCTCTACAGCTGAGATTTCAGCTGGGTTCTCTACAGCTGATGTTCGGAGAGTAGCTTTCTGGCATATGAGTTGTTGATCCTAGGTTGTAGTGCTGCAACCTGAGTTACATACAATTAATCGTCCTCAGAGCCCCGTTTGATGTCAAGCTCCGAGCGCGCCATTTGTGTTCCAGTGCTCATTCCCGTTTTTGACTTCGGTAAAGAACTGTTGTCCTCAGAAGTACAGGATGAGGCCCCTCTCTTCTCCAAGGCCCGAATGAGATGTCGTTCGCCGACCTTGAAAGTCTCAGTAAGACTGACACGTAGGGCAAAGAGGTAGGAACCGAAACTGATCTTGTTGGTATTTCACGATGTGTTTAATTGGATCATGGGGATGAGTTCGATGTCTACAAAGCTGCAGCATCTTCTGCGTTGAAGACTGGCGTGGGTAGGGTTCGAGAATGAAAGATGCTTTGGCGAAGACTTGGTTGAGCCTGTTCTTATTGTCCGGATACGATTGCTTGAAGTTGTTCGGGTGGACTCTTGATAGAAAAATTCATTGGTATGAATTGACTTCATTCAAGGTATCAAAGGGCTTATATAGTTGAAAGAAAGAAACACAAAGCCAAACGAACACAGCCAGTCAACGCCAACTACGGTTCTACCGCTCAGAATTCTGATATTTTGTCCCAGGTGAGGGAACCATGCTGAGCCTCCTCAAGTGGTAACGAAAAGACTATGGCAACTACTCGTGACAAGCCTCCGAAGTTTCAACATCCAGGTAACCAGCATAAGGCTTTGTGCTATATGGTCACCCACTTGGACCTTGTGGTTGGCGCCGCTGCTGCTGTTGAGGGCGTTGGGCTATCGGTCCGCTTCTGACCTCCCTGAGTGGTTGAGGTTGGTTTGGCTATCAGGATCGAAATGACTCTTCCTTAAGTCGTCTACACTGGAGAGATTGCTAGGCGGCCCTTCCTGTGCTCCGTCCTACTTAACGTGTCTCCTTTATTTGATGGTTCGGCCTGTTGCGGGTTGAAAGCTTTCCGTAGTAGCAGAACTTCGGCCGCGGTGTGAATTTTGCTCGTAGCACGCCTTGGACGGCTGAATATCCTTGCGCCGGCATGGTCGCTACTGCAAGTGGTTCTGTATCTGCCTGCATGTTGTACGTCTTTGACTGGTGATAGGTTGGTCCAGCGGATATGTGGCTGTGCTGGTGAACACCTGGTTACGCTGGTGAAAAATCACGTCGTCGTATGTTGACCCTATAGGCTTGCCCCAAATTGTAATGCATGTAGTGAACCTGCTCAACGGGCTCGAAGGAAACCTGCAGCGCCAGCAGTTTGACGTAGTGCAAAGCCGTGCTGGAGTTTTGCAGCGACATTACGAGGGATTGGGTTTTTTGGTTGAGAGGGTCGGCCACGAAAATTTATTGCTGTGTGACCTGGCTATGATCTGTGAGGACAGTACGAATCATACCGGCTGTGGCACTGACGACGGCACTATTCGTGAGTTGCTGGCGTCTAACGTCTTTACAGAATGATGGAAGCGGGATGAGGTCTCTATAAGCAGCAGCAAAGACATACGCAGAGACCTTCGAAGAATGTTTATACCCATCACTCAAGTCGTGTTGCCTATTATTTCTGGTAACCGTGCATCGCGTAGATGTGTATGACAACATAGAGAACCACCTCGAGCAGTGACAAGAAAGACTCAGCATGGACTTATGAAAAAGAATATATTCTAAAGCGTGAAGTATTCAATCTCATAAAGAAGACGTTCTCTTCATAGGCCTCGATCCACTAAGCTCCTATTCTTACATTTCCTTGAGAATCCCGGTATGAAACTGCCACATCGCTGTTCCCATCCAACGACCTTTTGCTTCCTAGTGCACCGGAAATGCTGCCATTCTTGTCAAGCTGGCAGCAACCGACTGGGAAGACACCGAAGGGATGACTGGGTCATCGTCCCGGACAGGCTGCTTGCCTCGGGCACGCTCAGTGAGAGGGGAGTACTCGGTGGGGCCAGTGCCGGATGAGCCTTGTGGAGAGCTCTCAATTCGGGGGGATGATTGAGGCGGGGTGACGTGATCCATTGTGATGAAGTACAAGCCGATGATGTACAGTGACGATGAAGGAGCGTAGGATGTGAGGGAAAATGACGAAAGTCCAAGGTCCAAAGGTCAAAGAGTGTCTGGTACAAGACCAAGTAAAACGATCGTGAGGTGGAGGAAGGATGGAGGAAGGAGCGAGGGGTCTCAACTCGGGGGGATAACTGAGGCAGACAATGGCTTGACGATTTCGTCCCCATTCAGATGTTACGGATGACCAAATTCCACCAAGTCGTCTTCTGAGCTCGCCACAGCCAACTGAGAGCCATCGCCATCGGAGCAGGGAGTGTCAGGTTGTACCTCAAGACTTGGGTGATCTTGGGGTCGAGACATTTCCAGGCCATCATAGGGGTCGTACAAGGGTGACCAGGCCAGTCCAACATTGACGGCTTCCATGAAGATCTGCCGATTGCGATGATTAACACCCGGTGCGCCGATTGTGCGAGCAAGGTGATTGCCCAAGTCTCTGTCGTTGTTGGCTTCCTCAAGTGCGTTCTTGTGGAACCACACCACCTCTACCTCTTGGAAGCCTGCCCACGGCTGTTTGGCCGCAGCAGCCTTATCGTTGACTTTCTGTGTGACGGTCGGGAGCTGACGAAGTTGGCTAGGAGAGGTAATCCGTACAGTCGTGTCGGTATGCGGGGTCCACAGCCGCTCTATGGCTTCGATGTCTTTTTTGAAGACCTTGCACACAGTCTTGAGGTCGGAATGCATGCTGTAGACGCCGCCGTTTGGGCGGATATAAACCTCTGTGTTTAATGCATTTAGCAATATCTCCTGGCGAACCCTAGCTGGCGTAGCGTAACTACCACCGAAGAGAGAGGAGAAGCCGCAGAAATAGCCTTTTCGTGGACATCTTGCCCGAAGCAACGTCTGGAAGCATGAGCGGGTTTGACGACGAGGTGGGGGTTCTTGGGCGCCGACGCACGCACGAGTATCAGCGCTTCAAGTTGCGGGAGGGTGACGGTAGCGCAGGCGGCGTGGGCGTTCCAGGGTCAGCACTCCGGTGAAGGGCACGGCTTTTCGGAAGCTAGACGCAAGGTGACTGGAGGCGCCTGAGTCGGTAACTTGACCTCCGCAACGCCATGCGTTGCTCCATTCTGTTGGTTTTTGATTGAATGAGATTTGGGTATGAAAGGCCTAGGGCGGACGGCTCTCGGAGGTGGTGTAAAGAGGATGACGGCGGCGCTATAGTGGTGGAGAGATCCTTTTCGAGTAATTTAAGCTTCCAACACACCGGTGGACTCGCATATTGTTCCTTCAAGTTGAACATCATTCCTCCCTTGTCCCCGTATCTGCTCAAACCCCAAAAGTGCAGTCTGCCTCCGTGGGCGCAAGAGGTATCTCCTGACGGATGAAGTCGACAAAAGCGGCGACCGCCGCGGCGGTGATCTCACAAATTATGTAGGTTACGTGACACGAAGAGTCGCAGCAGACGGCGAGCCCCATTTGAAGTGACCCTGGGTTCTTCTGGAGCATTTTTGCGCTATCTCCTAATGCGAATTTAGCAAATGGTGCAGAGGCGCCGAATGAGCGAAAGTGAAGTCGTGTGTTGCAGTCCCTGGAAATGCCTGTGTACTCGCGGTGCAGCTTACTGTGAAGTTCTTCTACACCGTTCTCTGCCTTTTTGATATAGTAAACGAATTTCAAGCTGTCGGCTTGCATATGCGCGGCCGGGGGGGGGGGGTGGCGTGAAGAGATCGGAGGGGTCGGAGAAGCGGTTGCAGCGGAGAGGAGGGTTCGATGGAGTCGGAGGCTAGGAAGTAGCTCTGTACCTTGGGTAGACGAAGTCTGGCTGGTCATGGCTGTCGAGCTTTCGTGGCACAGAATTTGTGGTGTTGCGGCTAGTGGCTGAACCGCGCAGTGGCTGAACGACGCGAGGCGCGTATCATGTCCACGCGCTCGAGGGCAATGCTTTTCCAATGCAAATTTGATGTATGCAGTTGTATCAGGATTCTATCTATGCCTTGGGAATGCCGGTCGCAGTGACAGGTGTCATTTTTCGCATCGCCCGACGGGACCTGGCGCTTGCGGAGCATGGTACTCTGCTGGGCACTCCCCAGTGCCTCACAAAGGGCATGGAAGGTGCTCAGAAAGCAGTTATTCCACAACTTGATGCTCTTTACGCAAACAGTATCACTTGGGTTTGAGGGGCTAATTATGGCGAGGCACTCCCTGGAGGAACGGGTTTAGGCAGACTCTATGTAGCATTTTCGGCGCCACAACGGCGTGTGGCATTCTCCACGCTCGGCATAAGCGGCTTTGAGATTCTTTCTCCCGTTCCATATCCATCTTTACGTTCTTGAATGCAGTGGCGGCCGGACGACATTGGCGGCCCAGAGAGTGACTCCAGACATGATTCGCCATCCCCGGACAGCACTCACGGTCCCACCGCGAGTGATGGTGATTCTATGATGGCCGAAGAGAGCCTGGTGGTATCCCTTTATTAGTGTGCAAAGTGCTGCTCAGATGTTTCATCACTGACGGACAAAATTGGTGCGATCTCTCAGAAAAGACATCTCCGACCTATCCCAGGGCGAGAGTCACGGTGGCAGGCCTCCCAGCGGAACCGACAAATCATGAAGATAAGATCTCTGGTATGTTGTACCTAGCACCTAGCGCAGTGCCTCATTCATGATGCAGTGACAGACAAGATGTGGCGCGTTCTCCTAGCTGCCGCAGGAGAATCTCGTCCCAAGGAGCGGATAGCTGCCATGACTTATCCCCGTTGCCATCATCTCCAACCAGAAAGAGTCAATAGAAGCTACAGTAGCTCCTCCGCTTCCGATATGACAGGGGTTCGTGATCATGTCAGCCTGTGAGATACCGCTGCCGTCGCGCGAGTCTTCTGGCCCAGGTCGACACTGCCAGGCTCAATACCACAGGCGAGGAAGATGCAACTCCTATCAGAAACAAATCTCTACCTATCTCTTATGGGCCGTTCATGCAAGCCGAATTCGTAATGCAGTGACGGACACGATGTGACGCGTTCTCAATCCGTCGCATTCCAAGGCAGCCTGCCTACCTCAGGGCGTTGCGGGCCACCTTAACGCTCACAACGCATTAGCCACATGTCTTCAAATCCCTCAAGAAAACCCTCCAGTCGACAGGCTAGCTATGCGTACATTTCAGGGCGCTTCGCTGGCTGCGGCGCCATTCGCGCGTGAGATTGCCGGTCGTGCTTTTCTGGCTTCTTCGCTGCCCTCAACACTATGACTCCGCCGTTATGCCCTATCGCAGATATGATCATGAGATACTTGAGCATCTAGCGGACTTGCCGTCTAGCAGCGCGTACTGCTGTGCTTCGCTATGATGCCGCACGCGCAAAATGCATCTCGTCGAGCTCTCTGCTGCCCTCAACACCATGCAACATCCTGAGATTATGATCTCCGCACCCTGTAGATGGATGGCGGACACACGACTGTGCCATGTGGCGCGTCCAAGAATCGCAGAGCGCTCAGCGCCGATTGGGCCTCGCTGAGGGGAGTCAAAAACACGGCGGTCACGATCGCATCACCATTGTAAATATGCGACACTCAGCGTGGAGGCAAACCGATAGTGATCATCAAGCAGGTATCTCACAAAGCATTGGTGGCGCGCATCAATAGCGACAAGCATGGGCAGCAAGGCGGGGCAGTGACGCGTCACATCATCCAGTGAAACACCCAAGCAATCATCACGAACAAGCAGGGCAAGTGAGGAGGCAAAGGCAAAGAAGCTTCTTCTTCGAGTACCCAGACAAGCTGAGTAGATCAATGAAAAAAGGTTGAGGAGATATCTCACTCAAGGTTGTTTTCCAAAAATTCCCTGCCGATCCGAAGACCAACAAGAGTGGTCGGTTGTGTAGTTTTCAACCAGCAACAATACGGTCTCGGACGAATCCTCACTGACGCGTATAATGCCCTGTGATGATTGTTAGTGAGATGATATGAGAAAGAAAGGATGGGGAGGGGAGACTTGCCTTGCACTAGGATGAAGAAGAGAAGGCTGGAGGATGGGGCGAGGAGCTTGATATAGGCAGGAGGAATTGGTGCTGACTCAGCGGGGCCCTAAGCGAGGGGCTGTGATTGGTTCGCAGGTAGGCTGTGGAAGGCCGTGGAAGCTCTGGAGTTTCGCTGTTGCCTGGAGCTGCGCGGGTGGCTAGTGTGTGGCTCGGGCAGCGGCAACAAGGTCGGTGTGGCTCAAGGCAACAGCCCCTCCGGCGCCGGTGAGGCCTGTGAGGTTGAAATACGTGAGAGGCCAGGCCTCAACACCAGTTCTGGCTATCAACCAGCGCGTGAGAGGATCAAGCAAGCTTGGTATCTTCGAGCTGCTCGACAGCATGAGCTACAGCGGCGGCTCTTTCACCCCTAGATTCACAACTCCTCACGCAGTGAGGCATCACCGATCTCCTAAATGACCCTACACTAGCTAAAAGAGTACAAGACATGCTTCGCATTTTGCTTTTGGTATTAATTTGTGGAAATACAAGCCAAGCACTTCTCGCATAGTGAGGAACCTCTCATTCTGCACTGAGGCATCCAGGCAACACTTCATCCTTCCGCAGACGTCGATCCGGCAAGCGCATACCCGACACGTCTGCATACGGTATGGCAAGCGGCAAAGATGAGTGTGCAGAGAGGTATTAGGACAAAACATTTTAAGCCTTAGGATTCGCTTCAGGGTGTCTTTTATTAGTTCATTCGGTCCGGGAGGACAGCGAGACACGGGTAGGCTTCTCGTTTGCACGTCGTTTACGCTGTCAAATCACCGCTTCCACCATGTCCCGAAGCTTCTTCCAGCTTGAGCCGGAAGGTTAGTAGCTGGAAAATCTCTAGGCGTAGCGGATTGATACTATCGTCGACCCTACATCACGCTGCGCAAGACTTCAAAATGCTCGAGGTACCAATTGAAACCGCCTGGGAAGCAAAACCACGAATAGGTAAATTGTTCCTCAACGATTTTCAGCATTACCACACAAGTTTCTAAGGGTCCATCTTTGCAAGCATTGCGATGCCGAGCCCGATTGTAGCCCCAAAGGAATATAGTAGGGCACTGAAGAGGATAAGAGACGGTCCAGAGGTAACAACGACATTGACGAAAGGCGGACGGCAAGGATGGCGAAGTCGGAGTCTGTGGCTCATATATTCGGCCTGGCGCATATTTCTACGAGTACTGGAAAGAGATTAATAACTTCGATATTACTTGGCCTTTATAATATGCAATGTACATCTCAGGTCGGATGACTGACGGAGTGCCAGCCGCCTGCCAGCTTTTTGTTTCTTTGTGTCACGCTGAAAGGTCTTGAGGAAGATAGAGCGGTTGTCCTAACACAAGTCAGGCAATGAAAACTGAAGATGCTGTTAGTGCTGCCGCGAGATCGCTGGCGCGGAATCATAGCATCTAGCATATTAAGCTATCGCAGGGAGGATGGAAGAATTGTCACGACAGAGACCATGACGGTGAAAAAGTACTACATTGAGAATCTGAAAACCCATATTACGTAGCCGTAGTGTTGTTCAACGTCCGACACCGTACCCAACTTCCAATCCTCTTTCAAACCGCCAGCGTCCCTAGCCATAAGTCATCATTGCTTCTCGTCCTCTGGTATTCCTTCTATCAATCGCTGACTTGGTCAGCGGTCATCTGCCCGAGAGCGGTGGCAGGGGATTGATAGGTAGTCGCAAGTATGCCATCGGGCCCAGGGTAAAGGCTGTTTCCCGCGGGGACATTGTGAAAGGAGAGTACTCCGTCGGTCAAACGCCACAGGAAACCCGCGGCACTTCCAGGCTCGGGTGGAAGAGGGAGAAATCGGCCCACGGTTGTCTTCGCTCTGTCGTCTCCCTCCCATATCATCTTTGGCAGCGCTGGCCAAGGTGCTATCTCCTTTTTGAGTTGCCACTGCGGGCACCAGATCCTTTTCTCGCAGACCACTACGCCGTGGTTCTCGGGGAGACTAAAGACGTTCTCATCGTCGCTGTCGTTCGGGCGCTCGACAAAGGAAGGCGTCGGCGTGTAGGGAGCAAGGTCTCGGGACATAGGCGGGAGTCTTCGTCGATTCCGTCCACAGGAAATATGATGTCTTCGAGGGTCGGGATCTTGCGGACATGGTCGAACGTCTCTGTGGGAGGATTTACGCAGGTTGTGCCAGGCCACAGCGGCACTTCTAGGCTCGCGCGGAAGGGGAAGGAATCGACCTACACAAGAGGCCTGGCGATCATCAAGCGTTAGTGGAGATACCGTGAATGATTTTCAAGGGGACACATACCAATTCTAAAAACATAGCATTGTGATGACCAGAGAGTGTGCTCCTCACCGACGTGAATAACGGGCGTCTTTCTCTCAATGAAGACGCGGTGCTCGGAGGCGTGGCGGCGCCGACTTTGCATGCGGTGTAGGGAGAGCGAGTTGAAGAAGCCATGGTTGCTGCGGTTCGCGAGGGTTGGATGCGCCCTGCTAGCTGTCTTGTCCGGCTCCCGTATCTTCTTCTCTGAACCTTTGCTGCCATCTACGTTTCACTTTTCCGCGGGCTTCCAGCAGGTTGTTCCTTTCTGCATCGATGATACGCTTCTTGTCGCCATCAAGACTCAAGAGACGAGACATAGACTCTTCCATGCCAGCGCAGTCGATCCGAACGTTGTTATGTAAGGTGTATAGCAACTATATTTGTTAGATCAGTGTTGTTGGAAGGAATGCATCGGGCACCTACCTGGGGACCGCAACTTTCAGTTCCCTCATGACAGAGCAATTGCGAAACTTCTGGACTAGCGCCTCCAGACCCTGGGATGTCGCGTACGATATCTCTGCGAGTTCATCGTGGGACCGATTGTGTGGAACAGGCACGGTCTGCCCTCGAAATGTTCCAGCCATCGAAATGTTCTAGGAACTTGATGATGTGAATCGGGGAAGTCGAATTGAACCTTCCTATACGAAAAGAGCCTGACTTTGGCAGCTCCTCCTTACTGCTAACGAACTCCTCGTGGCTCGGAGTTGTATCAGGCTAGTCTGCGCTTGTCTATTAGGTGAACAACACGGGCCGTTTGGCATGCCCCCGATCCCCATATCGCTCACTCAACAGACAAAAGTGAAGAGAAAGAAGTCGCCCTAGGTCATGGTGTTAGTCCGTGTTCTTGTAGTAAGAAGCAAGGAGGAGGCTTACCACTGCTTGGGCTCCAAGGCTGAGGCATGCAAAGGTGTTATGCTGAACGATGGCGGTTCCTCGTCGCTGAGAACTCCTCGTGGTTTGCAGTCCTACCAGGTCGGTCTGCGTTTGTCTGTTGGATGAACGACACGGGCCGTTTGGCATGCCCCCGATACTCGCGTCGCTCACTCAACGGACAAAGGTGAAGAGAGAGACGTCACCCTGGATTTCACAGTGTTAGTCCGCGATCATGTAGCGAGGAGTAAGAAGGACGCTTACGACTTGTCAAACGCGTAGCCGACATTGGCGCCCGACTTGAAATCCATCCTCAAGTACATGAAATCGATAAGGCCTCGGGAACTCCTCTTTCATAGCGACGGCACGTTCGAGCTGCTCTGTGTGGGACTCGACGACAGCTTGCCTGTGCGCCAGCCACAAGGTTTTGTCCATCTTAGCAACCTCGGACTTCGGAAACAGTCGCCGCATTGAGTTCATGACTACATGGTATTTTTCGTTTTCTCTTGCCAAAGGATCGAGAGCAGTTGTACTCCAAAAGAATGAGCACACGGTAAATCGGAGGAATGAATCCTTTGCAGACGACTTAGTTGTCCGGCTGGGCCGCGCGGTTGGTCATGACCGGTGATGGTTGGTGGGTGTTGGTGGGTGAGGAGATACGGACAGCCCAACGATTTTGAAGTTGTGGCCGAGGAAGCGAGCTAGGCCCGCACGTGACGAGCGTCACCGAGCAGCCATTCACGACGGCCGCGAGCTCATACTTTACTGTTCTCCTGATTCGCATTCTAGTGATCACTACATCTTCCTCTGTATATCTTGATACAGTAGGCACTTTAAAGAGGGCAAATAGCAGCATATTAATGCTCCTTCACGATTCACATCGTTCTAGAAGACTCCTATAATGCGTTTTAGGGTGAAGATGAGAAATGTTCACCACATTTGATCTTCCTAGGCACTATACGTCACCACGCTTACCCTCTAGCTGTCCAGTACCTTCACCCTGCGTGGTCCAAGCGCTTCTCGTTTGAACTATATCTACCCTCTGCCTCTCTCCCTTCCTCCATCAGCCTTCATCGTCCGCACCACCGCCACAACATCTCCAACATCCAGACGAAATGGTGGCCTGGGACCACTACGGCGAACTCCGCGCGCGCGCAAAGCTGGCCCCGCGCAGGCAAACTCTTGGGGAGCTCGCTCGATCAATGAGCGTAGCAAACACCATCCCCCTCCCTCCCTCCGACGACGTAAGTCCCAAAAGCCCCTACGCTTCCGCGTTTCTAGTTGCTAATCTTAACAAAAGTCTGACCTCGTCGACATCCCCCCTGCCCGCGTCGTCCCCCCGCCGGCCCCCATCACCTCTGCGGTCGCCGTCCCCCCGGCCGTACGGACTCCGGTCATTTCTTGGGAGGAGAGCGCCCTAGTGACTGGTACGTCCTGTTACCATCTTGTTCCTTTTGGGACGGTAGCTGACTTGCGTGATTTTGATATAGCCCCTGCCCGTTCCGCTGCCTCCTCGCCGCCGCCTCGCCGCCGTGAGAGGGCTGGCACTTGGCGCCGCGTGCGTGGCTGGTTCGCGCGGGTCTTCGGTGGGAAGAAGAGGGGGGAGTGATCTCGGGGGTGTTTTGCTGCGTGCTGTGCCTGCGGGCGTGATGTGGGGGGGAGAAAGTGGGGTTTTGGGGTTTTGGGTGGTGTTCCGGAGCGCCTTCGGGCTGGGTATCTGCTGGTGACTTGGAAGTCACGACGAGAATGAATCCGGTGTTCTCGATCTTGTAACTTGATCTTGGCTGTGATATCTGAATGCTCGTGACTGGTGCTGTGAATTAAAACGTAGATTGATAGGCTGTTGATATTGTTTGGAGTTCTTTGGCAGACTCAAATATCTCGAGGAAGATGTAATGCTCACCCAAGCATGGATCTGAATCGTGATCTTCTCATACTCTACTCGTCGTGGCATTTGGATCTGGTATGTTGAAATGCTGAATTGGAATGCGTACTGGCAATGCGTTAGCGCTGTCTGAAGTCCTCAAGCTCACTAGAAAAACTCCAGCAAGATGTAATGACCATCAAGGCTTATATCTGTGTCTCGTCCAACTAGCAACCCTTTTCAACGTTCAATTTGAGTCACGTTCCTTTGCAATGTGAATTGGAACGTATATTGAATACAGCGACGTGTTGTTGACGCTGTTAATGGTCCTTTAGCCTACTAAAATATATCCAGGCAGATGTAATGATTGATACGGTAGATATCGGTGGCTGTGTCATTTTGTAGCCCACTGAGCGCATGAGACCCATCACTGTGCCTATTGTTGTAGACTGAGACGTGGTTTGCGAAGGCCGACGCCACTGGACGACACCCCGTGCCATACTGAATATGATACGGCAAGATGTAAAGACTTGGAGAACGTAGATCTGATGCCCAACCTTTGGAAATTCTCAGAGGAATAATGAATTTGTGAGGAGTCTCCTCATAAACTGGAGACTATTCCAACGGAGAAGGAAGACCTTCTCGGTCTTTATGTTTCCCATCATTTCCATTGTCCAAGGACGCCGAGAGCGGCTTCGGGGATTTTGTAGGCTGTGCAGATACAGCGAGGTCGTCGGAGAAGTTGAATCGGAGTCATTCGAGACTGCAGAAGGGAAGTATGGGCGAAGGGGTAATTCAAGAAGCCGTCGGCAAGGCTGCTATGCTTGAATCGTGATGGTCGGTCGATAGAGGGTTTGGTCGGTCTGGTAGGAGAGGAAGGGAATGCGTGTTTATTATCGCGCTTTCTGGAGTGAAATCTTTCCATGCGATTAGAGAGGAGGCTTGCGAAGCTTCGCTATGAATGCCTGTAGTAGGAGAGACGCATGAGAGATGAACAGAGATGTTGAGGAAACACAGAAAGATGCTGTTGACATACCTTTGAGCTTCAAAATCGCGACCTGAAGAGTGTGCCTTCGGCTTGACCATCAGGGCATTATGACCATGAGGGTATTATGCCGTCTTCGTCAAAGTGTGTCGCCACCCGTGGTGTACTTCGCAGCCGCGTCGGCGCTGCTGGCTACAGGATGTCCAGTTCATTCCAAGGTAGAATAGCTTAATCGCAAGGTTGACGCGGTCAGTTCATGTTGTCCCATCCGCCCATCAACGCCGCAAGGACGTGCCTCGACGCCTTGTCGTAGTCACGCCGGCAGCGACCAGCACTGAAAAGATGGCAGTATCGTCCGGTCGCAAGATGGCAGCGTCTAAGCCGTAGCCTGACAGCATGCCATCGCAACTCAGAGAGATCTCTTCTTCTTCGACGACCCAGACAAGCTGAGTAGATCAATGAAAAAGGTTCGCATCAGCTCGAGATAGTGCAATACGAGCCACACTGTGTCCCGAAGAACAGGTAATTTCAAAAATTGGGTGCCGAAGCTCACGACACCACGGTGGTATGAAAATGAAGAAGGAAGGGTTCGAGGGTGTGGACTGTTTAAGTGGTCGAGAATTTGTTAAGCGAGCCTTGGCATTGCGTGACGTCACCACAGCAACGCCAGGGCATATCATGCTCATAGGTGAAGTGAGATATGGCGGTAGGGATGGAGTATTTTCCTCTAAATTCCGGTGGGGGAGCCGCTCACTACGAAGATGAAGTCGCGTTCGAGGTAGTGCTATACGAGCAAGGAATTTGGATTACGAACAACTCTGAAGCATAGACTGGTACTCTCCTACGTCGTAAAATTGCATCTAGATATAGAGATTCCAGCTTCTCATGCGAATATTGCCAGCTGTTGCCTCGATGTTGGGAAGTTATTGCTGAACAGTGCCGAGCCTAGATGCGAGATTGACATTCTCAATTTAAAACGCGTACTTCCCAGTTTTGTGGGCGAACGGCTCAAGATCCCAAAGCTTCACCAAACCAGCTGCGTAGGAGGATATGGGGTCATTGGGATAGTAGCCAATCCACTCTTTGCTTTGCACTGATGAACTGAGGGAATGACTTGGTTTTTTCTTCAGGGACCTCACGATGAGAACGCAATCTTCCAAAATCCAATCCGTAGCTCGTCTTGATAGAACACCGTCGAATAAAAGAGACATTCGAAACAAAGAGGAAATAGCACTTTGCTTCTTTACTTTTTGCGTCCAGACTAGGCCACGCCTTACCTTGTCCGATCTCCTCTCCCCCGGCCATCATTTCCATGCGCCGAGCCCCTTGAAAAGTAGTCATCCCCGCCGAAACAACCAGGCGGCCGACCCTATCAACTCCTTGTGCTTTTCACCTGGCGCATCTTCTATTCTCCCATAGTAGGCCGGTCGCCTACTTCCGGCAATCGGCATCCCCGCTCTACACCTTCAACATACCGGCCCCGCAAAACTCCAAGCTCGCAGCCCAGAAAGACATGACACTGTAGAACACTCTATTCGAAACCACCTGCGGATATAAATACCTGCCATCCTGACCGCTATGAAAGGCCTCAACCAAACCTCTTTCACCGCTTGTGAGAGAGTACCATTCACGGGACATCTTCCGTGTTCACTCACTACCGCGCGTACCGTATTCAAGGGGACATTTGAGGTAGCAAATCCGTCGAGGCTAGAGAGATTTTTCAGTGTGGAAGCTCGCCATCTAGAAGAACTGGCAATATATCAGCACGTCAAGCAGGGTCAGATGGGTGGACACAACATGAACGTGTGGCCTTGGTTCTAGATCTCGTTGATACTTTGAAGCTCCGCAAAGAGCGACACAACATTGTACACAGGCCTATACCTCCGCTGAGGCTGCACACAACTTTTGAATATGTTTTTATGGGGGAACTCAGACCGCGTCTGATAGTTATACATAGACGGAAAAAATGGGATGATATCCCAGACTCAGGATAATGCATTCGGGCACCCCAGACGATGGCATACGAGCGTACATACAGGTTAGAGCCGTTGTCCACGAGCTTGACGTGAAGGGAAGATTGCATGAGTAACCTACGGTCTCCGCTATGTTGCTGCCGGAGGAATGATATCAAGGCTTCGTTCACGGGATTGCAGCCCCATCTTGGATACTAAGCAGGAAGTTAGCTAGCTAGATTGGTTTTAGGGAAGGTATTGAAGAGCTGTGGAGCATTGTCTGAAGTTTCCCAGCGCATTTTTAGATCATCTGCAGTCGCTAGCGCATGCTCTCTGGGGAGGTACGGAGGCGCTTCAAGTGGCGGCGAAGAGTTGTACACAGACTCCTTGTTAATTCAGATATTTGGACTCTAGGTCACCGATAGTATATGAGGCTTACGTGAGCTGGTGGTGTAGACTGTCGTCTGGAGCCTTCCTACGACTTTTCAGCTTGTTCAAAATAGCGGATCCATGGTCTTTGCGAATATATGGGGGTGCTTCGGACGGTACTATCCACATATGCACAACTTTCTAGTACAATCTAAACACTAGAGAACATGTTAGCGAGGGTGAAAGACGGTTGTGTGATGTTGTTGGGGAGCTGTATAGTGTCGTCTGAAGTGGCTCAATCATCTTTTAGTCGCTTCAAAACTGCTCATTACATTTGTTTGAGGGTGTGCCAGGGCACTTTAAACGGCGGTGTAGAAGTCTGCATAATCCTATGCTGGACTCTGTATATTCGACACAAAGTTAGCAAGAGCGAAAATGTCTTGAGAGGGATCAGTGTGGAGCTGTCGAGTAACGTCTGAGTTGGCTCAACGAGTTTTACACGTTCTCCAAACCGGTCAATGCACGTGTATTGCGAATATCCTGAGGTACCTCCAACGGTGGTATAGAAGTGTATACAGGCGTCTCGAATATAATGAAGTATCCTCATTTTAGAAAACATGCTTGTGATGCGAAGCGTTAGTATAGAGCTGTAGAGTATCGTCTGAATCACCCCGACGTATTTTCAGGCCGATCAAAGCAATTGCTACGCTTTTTTAAGAGCAGACAGAAACGCTCCTCACGGTGGCATGGAGGTGTGCGTGAGCCCCTCCTATGTCATGAATACTCGGTGCTTGCGAGAGGGGATGGTCTTGCGAAGTGTTTGTGTAGAGCGGTAAGCCATCGTCTAAAGCACCCTAAGGTGCTTTCAGGTCGGTCAAAGCAATTGCTGCACTTTATCGAGGGCTCACATAAGGCGCCTCGGGCGGTGGCATGTAGGCGTGCATGAGCTTGACAGGAGAGACTGATTTTGATTGTTATAAAATTACAAAAGAAAACAGGCCGTATATCCAAGCCCGGAGCCAATCGTGGGGGAGGGAAGGTGGGGACTGCGCCGTGCGCGTTGGTGGTGCTGCTACAGAGTTTAAATCAGCGTGGTTCATCTATTCCACGGGACTGTGTTTCATACAGGATGCCGAAATGCTTCTCCAGCGCTCAGTACTCGAAATCCTCCTCGTCCTCCGACAGTTCTGGTATCATGGTGTAGGGGTGGCGGGCCCCCTCCGGCGCGGTGAGCGCCCAGTGCAGCTGCTTCAGGATTGGAATCCCGGTGACGACGACGAAGACGAGGATGAGGAAGATGGATGGAGTGTCGAGAGCCATGATAGGCGGCGTAGCGTATGTTCGCGCTTTGTAGGGTTTGTAGGGTTTGTAGGTTTTGTAGGTTACGTAGGCTTTGCGGGCTTGGTAGGTTCTTGAGGTTCTGTAGGTTCTGTTCGTACGTCTTCGGTAGAGTGAAAGGGAAAGATTGGTGGCTGGAGCGCGCGATCTATTGTGGTGATGGAGGTTGAGCACGTGATGAAGGCAGGATAGGTTCCCCACGGACAATAGATGGGCCTGAAAGGTCTCTTCAAACATTTGTTCACGTTATCCCACGGCTGTCTGAACGTCCTCGATCTATTTCGGAGATTCGAAAATAGCGGGAAGAGGTCGCTTTGTATAATAAAGAAATTTGCCAGGCCACCTCAGACACCATGAGATAGTTCTACGCGGAACAAAATTGCCGCATCTCCCTCGGCCGTATGCTCTTCATCTTCCTCGAGTACTCGAAGCTCGTGGTTCCTCTTGCGCTGCAATTACATACAACCTCTTCATTCGGCTGCTCTGTTCCACCCACTGGCTGCACCAGGCAAGACACTCTTTTCGTTCCACCTCGACAAGAATTGGCAATTTCCCCAATTTTCTAACGACATAATGAAGCCATGAGTCCGAAATTCCGACCGTTCCTGCGAGTAAAGTCTCGATCTCTCGCGCCTGTCGCCTGCATCCCTTTCCCGTGTGAAAGACTCGTCGCCAACTTCCTACGACAAACCTGATCGCCCACTTCTATACTCCCCACAGCCTCACTTAGCAACAACTCGAACTGCTTCGGGTATCGATTCTCATTTCAAACGGAAGCTGGTAGAGAAGAGCATTGCTCGACTTCAACTGGCGGCCGCCGACATTTTCTCGGGGAGTGGAATGCAAAGATGGCATACAAGAGACCATGTGCTCTCATCGACGGCGCCACACGCCTCCGCCGCCATCGGACCCAATTAATGTCTCTATTAATCGCCTTGCTGCTTTCTCGTCCTTTTCCCTCGAATTCCGAATTATGGGAGAGCTCTTCGTAGAGAAGCCCTAGAGTACGCTGCAGCCGCCCACAATCGTACCTCATCATCAATCTCGCACTCCTTACGCCAGCGGATCTACTATCACCTACCATTTTTTGGATAGCAATCCACGCTCATAGACGGAGGATTTGGGGGCCACAGGATTGGGCGTGTTGAAGGCACCATCCTTTGCTGGTTGTTGTTCTTAAGCCACGGTAACGTATAGTCCATACTGGACAGCGGAACACCTCGCGAATTCATTTTGCCCACCTCCGAGCTATTCAAGGGTTAGTTCACGGTCGACGGAAGTTGCCATCATGTCTACAAGAGCCAGCTGTGAGTGGAGAGATCATCTAGGCAACTTGGTCGTCCTTAACCTTACCACCCCGCTCGGCTTTGCAGATCCCCTTCACTTTGTCATCGGTTTCAGATGGTCGAGAAGGTAAGTCGATCAGCATTGGTCCGCCGCTCCCAATGGGCAAGATAATCATTCGGATTCAGGACGACAAAAGCTGACAACTATCCGTCGAACTGACAGCTGACAAGGAAACAGAATACGCGGTCTCGATGATCACGGTCGCGGCTCCCATCCCCCTTACATCGTATCTACTATCAGCATGCCTCTCCCAACTCTTCGAATATTCAGCCGGCAGGCATACCTTCCAGATGCACTCTCCCGTCATCAGCTTCTCAGCAGTGTTCTACGTCCAAAAAGACCTTCCAATCATTAGTCACCATCACTGGACCGCATCCTAGTTCTTCATCTTCCGCCGTATTCAGCTCACAAGAAATTGAATACTTCGCCGTTATTACATACCCAGAAGTGTGCCGCGTTAAAGTTACCTTCCCCGTAACAAGGCCGAATCAGGGGCCTGGAAGTAGAAGCTAAAGCGGGAAGAAGAGGATCTGGAATCTCGGCTTCATATCGAAGCATAGCCTGGATTTCTGAGACAGGATGGATTAGTAGCTACCTAGATCCTTCTACCAATTTCAACAACTGCAAAGAAGCGTAAAATTCACCCACCTTTACCAACTCTTGAAGATTCCTGCTGACAACACGCAGAGAAGACCAGCACTATGAATGAAATCACTACCCCTGGATCACATGATCTTCCCAACCTCTTCGGTAATGCTAGCTGATAGGAACTGCCAGAAAACCCCAAAGAAAACACTTCCCGCGGTCTACAACGGGAAGCTAACGTCCAGATGAGATTTATCGAATTCACCTATTTCGATAGCTTTCAATCACCGCCCCATATTGCCCGACATCCATGCAGCAAGCGCTGTTGGCATCGCCGTCTCCAAGAGCTCAAGGCTCCTACAGACAAATTCCCGATCTACGTGTCGGCGGGTAAAAGAAAGATTCTCTCCTGCCTCTCCTAATTGGGGAATGTCTAGGCAAACAGGCGAGTAGCTTGATGAACCCTGACGCACGATGTTTTGTTATCATAGGGAAAGCCGTAGCGTACACTACCCGACGAATACTCATCACCTTTGGCCACCGAGCATTTTGCCGTTCGTCTAGACCCACAATCCCAAACCCAACGTGCCACGGTTATATCCTCAATTCACGCTTCATTACTCAAGTTACTCAAGTTCCAGAGTTTCCAAAACCCCCGACTGTTCTCAATCCACTATTGAACGCGCCAAGACTACTTTTACACCTTTCCGATTTTCACGTTGACTGGTCCAGGCGTGGTCTTCCAGATATCAAATATATGTGTGCTAAATCTCCCTCCGTCGCCTACGTTACTTCATGTGTCACATATGCATTGATTCTGACGGTCTTCTAAGCCCTATCTACTCCCGCAAATCTCCGCATACTTCTCCCTCAAATCAACCTTGACAAAATTAAACAAACCTACCAACTCATCAAAACCACCTTGCCCAAATCGTACGCTATTTCCTCAGGTATTCCAGCTCCCTCATTTTCATTACCTCCAAGTATCCACAAAGCACCATCAAAGGCCCCAAAGTTACCACAACCCCATCACGATCTCAAAGCATTCACATTCAAGCACGCCCTTCTCAGTCACAGAAACATCGTTCTCAATTCCACTTCCCGGCTTGCACCTCACAGTTCGAACTATCTTGATGGTGTCTGGCTATCCACAAGCTCCTCTCCATCCCGCCAAACCTACTCCTCCCCCTGCCCCATCTCCCCCTCCCCTCCAATCTCCACCCCCTCCAACCACTTCTCCACTCTCTCCATCGCCGCCTGCTTCCAGGCCAGCACCTCCAGCAGCGGAGCCACCGCATGCAGCATGTCCAGCCTCTCATACACCGTCAGCTCCGTCGCCCGTCTGCGGAGCATGTCTGGGGGCGAGGGCCGGCTCCAGGCGGCCTCGTGGGCGGCAGGGGGAGAACTTTCTACAGCAGATTATCAACACCGTTCTTTTGCATTGAGGTTTGGAGGTGATATTACGCTTGGTGCGCTTGCGCGCGAACAGACGGCGGAAGATTGCGAGTTTCATGGTGCCATTTTGGGAGGCGTGTGGTGGTGTTTGAGTGGCTTTGGAGTGGTTTTGATGATGAAAATTTGAAGCTGCTGTAGGGCTTGTTTGTGGTTCTTGAAGATGATGAGGGATGGACGCTGGCCTGGAATTGGGTGTACTAGACGTTTATACGTTTATATAGCAGACAGGGTTGAGACTACGAAAGGTGAAGGCCGTTGACGAGGTGGGTGCATAAGTGAGGACAATGGGGGTTCTTCTTCTAGTTAGCGTCAAAGGGATGCGGTGAAAATATGAAGAGACGAAGAGGGCTGACGAAATTATGTAGACCTGTTCGCCACTGGCAGAAGGCCCTCGATATACTCTCGGAAATATGGGTAAGATGGAATTTTGGCGTTCTGTGCACATTAGTCTGCCACTGCTTGAAGGACCTCGAGATATTTTTAGGAATCAGATGATGGTACTTAGTTAATTATAACAGGCAATAAATTTGCTATAACACCTCCACTCTCCGGGACCGTACCCAAAACAATGTCTTTGGCAAACGTATCCAAACGGTCTACCATGGTCTTGATCATAATCTTCAGCGAACCAGCCAACTGACTTCATGCAAGTAGACCGGCCATACAACCCAACCTATTGTCCGTTCAGAGAACCCAGAGTGTAATCGCAACGCCCATTAGTTAGCACATACAAAATCTCCAACCTGTATCGTACCTATCTGCCGTCCTCTTCAGGCTCGTCGCCGATCATAGCCAGTCGCTTTGTCTCGTCCAAGTCATCACGCTCGTTGCCGAACAAACCAGCCAATGCAAGAGAATGTTCTCAGTCGTCAGGTCTCGATGGTGTATGAGGAGTCGATGTCCAGAGGAAAAGGAACGAAAGGAGAAGCTAGAAGGGCGGATGAGTGTGTTGCGGTGACCTAAAGGCCGCATATTCTGCCACGATTTGGCATGAGTACAATACCAGCATCTATAGACCGACGCCTTCCTTCCCGTTTCACTTCGGCGCGCCGTCCATTCCACGAAGTGGAAGATGGCGTTCATAGAGGCGATGTGAGACCTATCGCGTCCTATCTTCTTCGAGACGTCGGAGCAGTGCTTGCGGTGGTAGGAGTAGCTTATACTGCACTTGACGAAGTCATGTCGCCCGCATGATGATAGTACAAGAACGGACCTATGCAGAACATGGACGCGAGACACCTTGTTCTCGCTCGACCCTAGATACGATGAGGAGCAAGAACCCACTCGAGTCCATCCAAATACCCTACTTATATCCCTTTCGCGCGTTGGAAGGAATTGTGCAGGAGGTCTGAGTGTAGCGTACACGGCGTCTGGCGACGCGCTATCAAGGAGGATGGGTTCCTGCTACGCCTTTTTCTAGCCGGGTACCGAAAACCGAAGCAACACAGGCAATGGCGGTACGGATATTCCAACATTTGACGCCGCAGCAACCTGGTCCACCTTGGATTCTTCGACCCAGTCGTGCGGGCTCCCGGAGATTGCGTACAGAACCAGACGATAGCAGCTCCGGCGTCCTCTAACTTCTCGGACTGGGCCACACCTGTACCACGGGACAGACCGTTTGCTTCGTACTGGATCTCGGCGTGACTGGCCTTGCCAGTCTTGGTTGGGGTAGGTCAGGTATGCTATCATTGTCTGATGTGTTGTCGAGCTACAAGACGGCAATTTCTCTGAGCCCTCCATCAATTTGGGCATTTCCACATGTCCGCTCGTCGCCTTTATTAGCCTTGACATTACTAGCGGCTTTCGAGTCTCTTGTATTCGGGGCTTGACGTTCATGACTGAGGTCTCTGAGCTTGGGGCTCGAGCTGCTGGCAGTCTGTCGTCGGCCAACTCGTTATGGTACCCCGTCGCTTCGCGTAGATAGGCTCGAGGCGGCATGTAGGCGGGCGGAGTAAGACTACCTTGAGGGGGTAAGTTTCTCTTGTTTGAACTGTTTGAGGGGGCAGTAGGCTTCAAGGAGGCGGCGGTGGACTTCGAGGAGGCGGCGGTTTCTGCGCGGTAGTCTTAGGTCCGCAAGGTCGCCGTTAGTTCTTGTTAGCTTGCAGACATGGCAGATCTTTATAGGAGCTAGAGAAAGGGTGTTGGAACCTTGACAGGAAGACCGGCCTCTGCAAAGTCTTCCTCCATGACACCGTTCCAAACCATCTGCTTGCTGTCTTGGAGCTGATCGTGGGCTTGGCACCCTGAGCCTTGAGATCCACGGCCGAGGGCTCGAGCCGCTGACATTGGATGTAGTCCCCTCCTTCCCATGGCGTTCTCTCAGTATGATATAGACAGCCTACACTCCCAGCGTAGTGGCTAAGATTCGTTGCAATTGTTGTGAGATAGCCAGTAAGTCTAATTCCCCGGTGTTTGGGCAGCAAAGCTCTGTGCTTCGTCCGTAGTCCGTGGCATGGATCGTGGACGGCCATCCTCGAGCCGAATAAGATGGCGCGATGAGGAGCAAGCTCAATGCCGCTAGCTGTGGGACCGCGTTGAGACCTACCCGAATAGCTCTGGCTACAGTTTTGGCTCTGAGTGGCTATGGTTGCTCGAGGGAGTCGGGTACATGACGCGGAGGGCTTCGAGATGGTGGCGGTAGCCGTTGAGGATGTAGCGGTAGAGCTGAACAATTATAGCATAGTGCTCCACTTCGAGACTGCAACGAAGGGCTCCGATAGAAGCATGACGGGCTAGTGCTCTGTGGATGTGACCTGGGGCATCGAGGCTACGGTGGTGTTCGAGACCTCGACGGTAGGCTTTAAGGGTGTGCCAATGGATTTAGGGGGTCTAGTAGGGGACGTCGAGACACTCGTGACGTGCTTGAAGATTTTGCAGCTGGGGTGATGGACATCGAGGACGCGGCGAAAGACTTGGATGAGGTAAAGGCGGCGGCGATGGGCTTCGCGACTTCGAGACTTCGACGAGGAGCTTCGAGGCTATGGAACTAGAGATGGGGAACAGACCGCGACGCTCCTTCAGGTTTCTGGACGTGTCTGAAGATGAGGAGATGACGCCGCCGGTGGAGAGCGTGCTGGTTGGCTTCGAGAGGGTCGAATGGCATGGGGGAATTGAGTAGATGAAACTGGACGCCAGGCAGAAACTTGAAGTCGTTGATCTTCGGAAAAGAACTGACACAAAGATGGAAGAGCTGATACCTGGCTGTTGAGGTTTAGTCGTGCTGAAGCTGTCGGGGTTGAAGTTGGTCTTGCTGCTGGCGGAGGTGATGCTACGCAGCACGGAGATCAACGGACCCAAGCTGGAGATGCAAGAACTTGTCGGGAACCTCTGCGTAAATCTGGCAGCTCTCTACTCGTGTCAGTACTCCTCTATGGCGTAGGTATCGTGACAACCTACAGGTACTGAGCTGACACGACGGCAGGCAAGCTGCCTCAACGCCACGCAGTCTTCGAAAGGCAACGTCAGCTTCCTCATCCAGCTCCCGTACAAGGCGTGATACTCGATAAAAAGGCCTCTGCAAGGCCGGATGCAGACTCAGCTCGAGGGGTTAAGGCCCAGGACGTGCCAAACTTGTGCAGCGCAGACGCGTTCAGAGTTCTCGCGGGGGACGTGGCGCGTCACAACACCACAACATGCATATTCACAGAGACACCAGGCAGAATTTCAAAGTCACAAGAGAGAGAAGCTTCTTCTTTGAAGACCCAGACAAGCTGAGTAGATCAATGAAAAAGAGGTGAACAAAATGTTCGCGTCAGCCCGAGGCAGTGCAATACGAGCGACAGTGTCCCCTGACATAGGCAAGCCCAGCGGCCAGGGGACGGTTTCCAAAGACTAGGGTAATCGAGATGTCCCCGTAGGGACCTTCCAGCGATTAAACTGAAAAGAACCTGTGAAGAATGTTAGTAACGAGAGCAAGAGAGGAAGGAAGGGGGAGGAAGGAAGGGAGAGGAAAAAAGGGAGGGAACTTACAGATACTACTCTTGATCTAAGCCAAAAGGCACTGTGGTGAACTGTCAGTGACGAGGTGGAAAGTATGGGAGGGGGAGAGGAAACTTACAAGGAGCTGAGGTTCAGGAACTGGCAGCGGACGGACAAGTTAATATAGGTGACGGAGGACCTCGCTTAGCTGGCTTACTCATCAGCGCTAGTGAATTTAATCGACTCTTCTTAGGCAGTGTAATCATACCAGTGCACTCGGGGGCCTGTTGCCTGGAATGCAGGACCGCCGTAGCCACCATCCCGCGGGAAGAGAGATTCGGTGCCCCCCAGCGCTACGGAGAGCGTCAAAGGTCTATACACAGTATTCTAGAGCAACATCGCCGTTTTCCAAGCGCTGTATTGTTCTAATTGACGTTCTGGAAGAAGTATCTGTACTGGAGGTCTTTGCGAAGGCCGTTGGCAGAGAGCGATTGACGGCTGGCCGCAATTCACCTCCGACAGTGAGTACCTATAGTCCTAGGAGCTTTACCATGGCTAGATGGCTCAATGTAGGACGCTACGAATCCGCCTTAAATTCTCCGTGTGGACTATGGCGGTGTGAAACGAGTTGTAGCATGTTTTGTGTCTTGTACGCCGTCACGCGCCTAAGGCAGCCCTCCACTCCCGCGACGGCATTACAACAGTCCACGGTCCTTTCATTGTCTCTAATGAGCATCACGGTATGAGAAAAATCTAATACTGTTACTCTTTCCTCTCTTATTCCTCTTCACCGTACTCCCAGCGCCTGCCTGCATTCACGCACCAGCATAGTCGAAGATGCCCCTGACCCGCCACGCACCACCCGCGACCTAAAAAAATATTTACCTGGGCCTTAGATGAGAACAAAGGCCCAGAGTCCAGTAGTCCCGATCTACTATCAGAAGATGAGCGACTATAATCAACAATCTTTTAGAACTCCTAAGCGTGACGGAACCCCCGGTCTCAATCTAGCTCACGTCATCCACTCACCCGGCGATGCATTTTACTCTATTAGTCCGTATCTACAAATAGCCAGCACGACCTTGTTCTTTCGCAAAGCATCCAAATAGAAATGTCTTCTCAACCGCAGTCTCAACCACAGGCCTTCCCTCGCTCCCTTGATCCGCGAGCGCCCGGTGCGGAACCCACCGACCTACCTCTCAGACATGGATCTTCAGACTGGAGAAGTATCAGGCCGAAGGACAAAGAATCTTTTTGTCGATAGTTTCCTTCTCGGCAAACACAATCAGATCGGCATGGCATCTATGGTTGATTTGTTGCGGTATCTAGGTCACTCGATCTCTGGAGCCAAAGAGGTATGGCGGAGCAAGATCATAACAGGTCAAGCAGTCGGAGCAGCTGTAGGCCTTACTCCTCCTCCTCGTTATGCTTTTAACTGCTTGGTACCGCGAAGCGCTTTCACCAATGAGCTAGACGGTTGGTACGGCCATTGAACGGCTGTTATGTACACCTTGAGGGTGCTTTTAAGCTACGTATTATGCGAAACCCCTCAGCCTTATCAAACTCTGCTAGCCACACCCCAGAGCGTTATGGTCATGGTGTACGGAGCTCGAGAACAGGGAGTGACTGTCCATTGAATAGACTTGACTTGGCGGCTGTCACGTGATATCCAACCTCCAAATCTTCAAATCCCGTCATCCGCTCCTACCATCCTTCCAAGCTCTTCCTCCCACACCTCCATCTCTTCCCCAAACACCAATCCGAAATCCCGAACCCAAAGCCTTTCCACCACCCGGTCGTTACAACCGCGCATTACCAAGCTGGCAGCTAACCTCCGCGTCGTCACAGCCTCCCATCCCCTCTCCTTACCCTCGCCCTCCCCCCCAAACCCCCACCGCCCTCACATCTATCCCTCCCACTCCAAACACGCACCACAGCCCCCCTCAACACCCCCACCATGTCTCAACACCACCCCCCTCCCCGCGAGGCGTCTCCCGCACGCACCCCACATCCCCGCCCCCTTCGCAGCCCCCTTCCTCAACATCCTCATCGAAATCTGCATCGTCACCCCCTCCGCCACCCGCACCATGGCCGGCCTGCTCGCCCTCGGCACCGCCCCCTTCCGCGTCTCCAACTCCCCGCCCGCCTCCGTCGCGCACCAGACCATCCACGGCTTCCTCGCGCGCTTCGCACTGCGCGTGTGCTTCGTGACCCAGGGGCCGCTGACCTGGGAGATCATGGAGCCCGTCTCCGGGCCTACGCTGATGGCCGAGTTTGTGGCAGCCAGGGGGGAGGGGGTGCATCATGTTGCGTTTGATTGTGCGGGGATGATGGCGGTGGAGGAGCGGGTGGCGGAGTTTGAGCAGAGGGGGTGCGCGTGTGTGATGAGTGGGGATTGGAAGGGGGAGAGAGGGGGTGTGTAAATTTCGGGTTTTTGATGTGGAGGGCAGTGCGGCGACGGGTTTTGAGACGTATGAGTTTTCGGGGGATGTGGAGGTTTGCCCGCCCGAGGTGGGGGGGTGGGAGGGTGAGTGCCGCTGTGTGTTGAGGACGGGCGGTTGGGGGGTTTAGGGAGGTTTAGGGATGGGTTGCTAAAGGTGATGGGCGAGTTAGGCGGCTTGAAAACGACCTGATTGGCGCCCCTTCGTCATGATCAATCGCTACCAGTGCTCCAAATCTGGATATGAGATTCATGTATCAATGGTACGTCTCTGGACTTTCTCAGCTGAAGCAGGGCGTTCACGTCGTGATCTTCAAAATGTAATAAGATCACGGTGGATTGAAAGACTACTGAATGATTGCGGGTATCCGAAAAAACGCCCCGGCACGAAAATCGCAGATAAGGACTAGAAAAGGGCTGACAAGCGAGTGTTGTGATCGTCTTCTTGCATGAAGTTTGCGGCTAAAAGAAAAAAGAAATCACCTCTAAGATCTCAGTCAAGTTCACTGCCGCCTAATCAACGCCAAACAAATCTGGGCTCTTCTCGTTGAAAGAGCCGCTAGATTGCTCTCCGGCCTTTGTCTCCCCATTCTTCTCATTAGACTCCCCATCCCCCAGCTTCAAGATCGCCTCATACTCAGCGATAATACTCGCGGTGCGATAATGACCTGTTCCAAGCGCGTTGACATGGCTTTCTTTAGACCTGAGGAAGACCTTCGCTGCCTCGCCGTACCACTTCAAGTCGCGGAGGATGTACGCTTGCTGCTTGATCGTCGCCACCAAAGCCTGATGGGTATCTTGCTTGTACATCTTCTTTCGTTCCTCCAACACAAAGGTATTGAGGGTGAGCGCTTCCTCATTCTTACCTTGCAGGTTGAGGGTCGTCGCAAGACGATAGAGGCTGAGCAAATTCCACGCATGGGCGGCACCGAGCGTGGACGTGAGAAGTTTGGAGACATCCCGCTGCATCTTTTCGGATTCGGCGTACTTTTCATGCGCATGGAAGACACGCCCAAGATCGGACTTTGCCACCAAGGTCTCTGGGTGCTCAGCTCCCAGGGTGCGGACTTTGGCCTCCACGACTCGCAGTTGCAGATCTTCGGCGGTCTGGTAGTTGCCGCGTGCAATGTGGTTGACGGCGAGGTTGCGGAGGCAGTTCAGCGTACGGGAATGGCTAGTGCCGACGGTCTCTCTGGAGTCCTTGAGTGCGCGTTCGAAAACCTCATGCGCCTCCTCATATTTGGACTGCTGGTACAGAGACTCGCCCAAGCTGGTCAGTAATGCCGGCAGAGCATGGCGCTCATCGCTGTTCAAGTCAACGCTGTCCACAGCCTCGCGCAGCGTCCTCTCAGCCTCTGCAAGCTTCCCATCAGTTATGTTCCTTTGTGCGTTCAGGACATGTCCGTATCGAGACTGTGTCCAGAGAGTCGAGCTACGGTGCGGTGGAAACAGTCTGGCATTGATGTCAGCGGCTTCGGAGATGGCACGCCCTGCCAGCTCAAGTAGACCGACTTCGGTACACTCCGAAGTGAACTCGTTGAGGACGCTCACTCGCGTGAGAAGATAGTCCCGATCTTCGCCTTTGTCACATGTGATGTAGAGCATTTCCGGAACGGGAAGATCGAGGATGACGGCGTGGACATGTGGAATCAAGGCCGGAAAGTTGCCTAAGAGGCTCGCCCTGTTAGTGTGGAAGACTTGGTGGAGTACTTCTACGGCCCGTCGGTGCCAGTACTTCGTCTCGGAGTGAGCCTCGATCCAGTTCTTGACCGCCTGCTGGACAAACTTGTTCATGGTATACTTGTCGCCGCCAGCATCTTCCGTAATGAAGCTGTATTCAAGGAGCATATCGAGACTGTCATCGGAGCTTTTCGGTCCGTTGGTAGTGATAGCCGTATTGTTTCGATGTCCAGATCGCAAATACCGGAAAGGGTTGGCACTCCTCCTTGGCTTCGGCGTCTGGACCTGAGGAGGCTGTGGTACGGGCTCTTTCGCTAGGAAACTCTTGAGCAGAATATCCGGAATAGCTTTGTTGTTGAAAATACTCATAAAGCAAAGAAGACGGATGGCTGCGGGATTAAGGCGCTCTACCTCGATGAACGAGATTTGGATAAGAGAAACGAGGGCTTTGGTGATTTTTCTCTGGCTATCTTGCTGGTCAGACTCGAGGTCGATCATGGTTTCCTCATTACGGAGGTTTCTGAGAAACACGGAGAGGACCGGATCAGGCTTAGCTGGTCGGCCAGGCTGGGTCTGTGCAAGTTGCGCTGTTGGCAGAGGCAGATGCTCAAGTATGGCAACGAGTTCGTTCGCTTCGTCTACTGGGAAATCAAGCTGAAGTCTCTTCTTCAACCAGCGAATCTCTTCAGCTTGAGAGAGCTGGGACGTGTCATCGTCTGCCGGGTCCCTTTGAGGGCGGAAACGGAGCTTCGGGAGTGTCAGCCAAGCTCTGTCAACTCTACAAGGAAAATGCTCATACCCTGTCTCTAAAATCTCGTATCAAGGTCGAGATGGCACGATTGGAAGCCTGATCCTTTTCACGGCGTCGTGAAGCCAGCTCGTCCGGACCCATCATGACCCCCCGCATCACAGGCGCCTTAACCTCATGTTGAGACGAGGAAGAAGATGGAGAACCGAAACAAAGGCGACTGAACATTTTCACGAAGAAAATAAGAGAATACCGTTTGATGAGGAGGCTGAAGTTGAGAGATGGACAGAAGAAGATGGGGTTGATAGCTACGTCGCGGGGCTGATGTACAGGGTGTGGCAGCTCGTATTCTGGCCAGGAGCCCCGCTTCTGTCTGCCTGGTGCCCTCTAAGCCCAGCCCGCTCGAGATGCACTAGGTACTGAGGGTTCCATGGTTTACTTTCAGCTATTTGCCTACTTTCAATAGCGGGCGAGGCATTTTTGGAGGGCGGCATCGCAGCAAGTCAAGCGTAGCAGGCTTCAACGCGACGGCAATACCGCGTTATGCGCCATGGACGCATCTCAATAGCTTTGCCGAATCCCACCAAGACGGACTCTGGAGACACTGTGACATCTGTCGGTATGGCAACGTGTTTAGTCGTTGCTTTGGGGGATGGTAGGTTTGCGAACCGCCGAAGTCTGCTCTGCCACCGCCACCGTGCGCAAGGACTCGTATCGCAGTATCCGCGAGGCATTTTCCTGGTGGATGGCTTAATGACAGCCAATTGAACGCGCAGGGAATCGGTTTTTGGCGAGCATTAGTATCTAAACAGTATGGTGAAAATGCTTCTGTCCATTTCCAGGCGCTGCTCAAACGCAACCCAGAAAGAGGCGTCCACCGTTTCCCTATGAGGTTGCAACTCATGCAATCGTAATAGATGCAGAAATACTGTCAGGTAGATACAGGGGACGATCTACAAGATGAGACTGTATCGGAGGAGAGCAGTCTATCTTGTCCTCCTAGGGTAGCTTCAGAGATGCCCATGGGGTAGAACACGTGCTAGCATTCAGAGACCAGAAGCCAAAGGCTCCCATGAACCGATGAGGTCATGCTCTGCAGTCTTCTTGTGCTATCATTTCGCCTCCCGATTCACAGTTTCCTTCGCCTGGATAAAATGAAGCTTCCCATGGGAAAGCACAAGTATGTCACGTGACTATTCCTACGTGATCTCGAGACATTAGGCGGGTCCTCCCATCGAATCTCGTTCAAGTTAGCTGTCATCTGGAGCTAAATGTCGTCTTGGGTAAATGAAGATGCTATTTTCGCAATTGGGAAATGAAGAATGTAGAATCAGGAGAATGCGACGAGTCAGGGGATAGGGGATGGGAGAATGTCATACAATTGTGGTATCTAAACTCTTCGATACTAGAAGGGCACCATCTCGTATTACTCACTGCCATCTGTAAGAGGTCGCCGAACCGATGTATTCCGGTCCTCTTCCACCTCATCTGTATCATTGGCGCGCAGAGGATCCTTGAACAAGATCCACCCGCTCCCCAGATCCGCCAACGGATTCCCCTCCCCTTCCGTACAGACCCCAACCTCCTTATCGAACCCAATCCAGATGTAAAAGCCGTACCCGGCGGCCAACGAGATCAGGCTCACGCAAACATCCTGCTTTTGTGCCTGCTCAATCCCCCATTGCACCAGCTCTTTCCCATATCCACGCCCCTGGTATTTGGGATGCACGCCCAAGACATCTAGGAAGTATGTATTGGCGCGTTCGCCCCGCCAGTGGTGCTGAAAGAACGGGAAGGAGTCGTAGAGGGGACTGGCGAGTTTGGGGTGTGGGTTCGCGGCGCGGTTGGGACTGATGAAGAGGGAGAGGCTATTATAGAGGGCCATCGCAGGTTTTATGCCTTTGCCTATGATCAGTCTGCTAGCCTAGGTGCTATTGGGGGTTGCTGAAGAGCGTGTTAGACGGACGAGGATCCCACCATGCCATCGCCGGCTGCACGCTGCCTCGGAGCTCCCATTCCGCCACGCCAGCCACGACCTCCTGCTCCTTCCCGTCAATGTATTCTGTCGTAGTTGCCACATACCAAACGCGTGTATAGTCCCACCAATTCTCACGGGTACGTCGTAGCCAAAATTGTGCGAAGTCAGTTGGAAACTTGGCCCGGAGGGGGTGCATCAGATCGCCCCATAGCTCGTCTTCCAGGGCGACTGCGCATACTGCTGCTATGGCTGGGAGGTCCGCGTATCGAGCAGGACGAATCGTCATTTCTGGGTGCGAGAGAGGAGGGAGGAGGTAAGGACGGTGCGGGCTGTCATAGTTGCTTGTGTTGTTAAATGCTACTGCATCGTGCTGTCACTGAACTTAAGAAGGCAAAAAGGCAAAAATAGCGAGGAGCTCGATTAGTTGATGACTGAGATGGAGTTCCGCTAACGTCAGCTGCGAGGTTACTTCACCGTCGGGTTGGTGTGACGTTCTGTAAAGACGGACGCTCCGTCCATACAGGAAATCGTCGCGCGATGGGTGGGCAGGCGCGTGCGAGAGCGAGGTGCTTTTCTACGCAGCAGATCCATTTGTGTTCCTAGGTGATCTTGCTTGTGGTTTGTGGGAGGGTAGATAGATGATGGAGTTGCTGACAAGAAGCCTGACAAGATCCAACATTTTCCAGACGCGATGTGCCCCATCACGAGATATTCCTACAACGACATCAACAACCACCATCGACGGGCTCAATCCATATAAAAGAGTGTTAGACCAGGCGTCCGGCCAGCCTTTAGCAGTACCTCAATTTTGGGAAGCCGCTAATTCCACGTACGACCTAAGCACCATCCGTCTACGATAGGATGAAGATGCATCAGCCTTGCAGGCACCTCGGCGTGAGCGCGCTGCCTGCTGGGGATCGAAGCGCTTCGCATCCATCCTCTCTTCTCTCCTCATCCTCTCCCTTTTAACGTCCATCGCATCGTTTTCATCCATTCCGTTTCGGTTCCATTCGTTTCAGATCTCAAATGGCGGATCCGCTTTCTATCACCGCCAGCGTTCTCGCGGTTGTAGGCGCAGCTGGCAAGGTTCTGGCAGGCCTGCATTACATCGCGGAACAACGAGAAGGCCCCCAGATTTTCAAGGACCTCTACTCTCGAGTATGGAAACAACCCGTTCTAGCTACGCTACGATACTAACCGCGTTACTAAGGTCCGCAATATTGAGAGGATTCTCACCACCATTCAAGAGCCCCTCAGAACCCTCCAGGACGAACCGGCCACCAGAACTGCCCTTGTTGGTTTGCAGCACAACATAGACCAGGTCGAGGGCGCCCTGAAAGACATAGATACCTTGATCTCTGAAGTCCGGAGTGGCGATGGAACGGGTGAGCCAAGCATATCTACCTGGAAATGGATGATGAAGCAAAGCAAGTTCAAGACGAAAGAGAAGGCTCTCCTAGACGCGGAAAGGAATCTCCAAACCTCCTTGTCGTCAGCTATCTTCTCGCAGATGTGAGTGATGACCACCGCGTAGGGCTGCAGTCAGTTCCTGCTAACAAGAAGGCCTTAGGATCTGTGAGACACCCACGCAGCTCAGCGTACAAAACGTCCGATCTCCTGCCTGGACGGTACCCTATCGAAAAGACCCCGATTTCGTCGATCGCCCCCATATCCTATCAAGTGTAGAACATCTCCTTCTCGAGCCAGCTTCGAGGGCAGCTTTGGTCGGCCTCGGAGGCGCTGGAAAATCACAATTGGCTATTGCATACGCATACCGTGTAAGAGAGAGATCACCACACACTTCCGTATTCTGGGTTTATGCCGGAAATGCGGAGAGATTCGAGGGCGACTATCGGGAGATCGCCGAAAAGCTGAATATCAGTGGGCGCCACCGACCAGGTGCAGATATCAAGAAACTCGTATTCGATGCATTGGGCAACGAAACCTGTGGCGAGTGGCTTATGATCGTTGACAATGCGGATGACCCTACACTCTTCAAGAAAACAAACTCCGTGTCCGAGTCTCTAGCCGACTCCATCCCTCAGAGTAGGAGTGGACGCGTGTTGGTTACATCTCGGAACAAATCAGCCGCAACCTCAATCGTGGGAAGACACCAAGATATCATCAAAGTTGAAGAGATGAGTCAAGATGAGGCGATGTCCTTCTTGAGGACAAAGCTAGCCATAACATTTAACGATGCTGACGCTTACGAGCTTCTGGAAGCCCTTGGCAATATGCCGCTAGCACTCTCCCACGCCGCAGGCTACATCAACGAACACACCCCTCACGTGACTATTCTGGAATATACACGGATATTCAAGGGAAGCAACAGTGACAATTTAGGTCTGCTCGAAGGCGAGCGTAATGACGATCGAAGGGACAGACATTCGTCTAACGCAATTGCCACAACATTACAAATCTCTTTCCGTCACGTTGAGAAGGCGTCTCCATTGGCTGCAGATATAATGCGTTTGATGTGTTACTTCGATCGTCAATACATACCCACCGAACTGATCCTCAATCCATTCATATCTTCCAAAGATATTTATAACGTTGATGGCGCCGCTGACCAGGCACCGGACGACGACACTGAAAGCTCTTCACAGTTCAGCCCGAGCGAAATTTCAAAATCCAGGCGTACTCTACATCAAAGATGGCAAAGCCTTAGTACCAAGATCAAAAAACGACGCCAAAAGCCTCCCATTGCGGTTGCCGGACCGCGTGCTGCGGATACACCAAGCCAAATGTCAGGCTCTATTCCCCGACGGATCTTCCAGAACACCGAAGTGTACGATGGGCTCTCGAGTTTGGCCAGCTATTCTCTCATTTCTCCCACTCCGGACGGACTAGCCTACAGCATGCACCGCCTCGCCCAACTAGCAGGAAGGAAATGGTCAATGTCTCTTTCGGCAAATACGCTCTGGCCTCTGAAGACCGGTATCTCTATCTTCGAATCGTTTTCACGCGCTTGGTTCAAAAATGATTACCCAAAGATGCGATCCGTTCTTCCTCATACCCAAGCGCTTTTGCGAGATAGCACTGCAGTGCTAGGTCACGCCCCAGTCCATGGCGCGGTTTCCAATCGACAATATTGGACGGTTCGTGCCGAAGTTCTACAAATTCTTGCAGAGTATCACCGTGATTGCCATCAAATCAGAATTGCGCAGTCCGAAATCCGTGAATCCATTGAAATATACAATGCCATATACGGTCCCCACCACCCAAACGCTCTCCACCACCCAAACGCTCTCCGGGCTCAGCTTACCCTGGGAACCATTACTGAAGAACATTCCGATGCCGCAATGAAAATCTACCATGAGATTATAGAAACACTCCATAGATACAAAATTGATGACAAAAGGCTGGAATCCTACGTTTACAGCTCGGTGGGAGATTTTTTTTGGAATAAAAAAGAATATGAAGAAGCCAAGCAAAATTATCAGAAGGCGAACGACATAGAAAAGGAGTCTGGTGCCCAATCTTTCATCATTGAATCTAATATTGTATCCTGTGATGAAGCGCTGGGTAACCTCGCCGAAGCGGAACGTCGTCTTAAAAACCTTCTCGCAGAGCTAGAAGTCGCCTTTCCTGGGCGGATTTTTGACTTGTTAAATAGCAAAGCCTCACTGGCGAGCATTCTAGAAAGGCAAGGAAAATATGACCTCGCCGAGCAGCTGGGTCGCCCAACGCTTGAAAGTCTAGAAGTCATTGTGGGGCATGACCACCCCAAAACCTTGTTCTTAGAATCCAGGCTTGGAATCTGCCTCCTCAAGCTACGCCGGTACGAAGAAGCATATGCGTTTACTCAACGTTGTCTTTCAGCGAAGGAGGTCTTGTATGGGACTGCTGCTGAAAATACCTTGAACACAGTTCGGTGGCAAGGAAGGATCTCGGAAGGGCTGCAGAATCTCGCAGATGCCGAACAACAGTATTCTCGGGCAGCCGAGGGCTTCGAGAGCTTGTTCGGCGCAGAGCACGAAGACACTGTCTGGGCTCGCGAAGCCCTTGAACTCGTTCGGCTGAAATCAAAGGCACAAGAATCGTTGGCGGCAGAGAACTACACAGAAGCAGAGTCACTGTATGTCCGCGTAGCTGAAGGCGAGGAGGTCCAGTGGGACGAGGATGACCCTGTGACACTTGAGACTCTCAAAGACCTGGAAGCCATACGAGAGAAGATCAAGGACCAGGAAGGCCTATCACGTCAGCCCGAAAGACTGGAAATTGAAGCGTCTATGCACGACACCGAAGCGACTCCTAAAACCGACTCCGACTGCGATCATCCTGGCCTGACTGCTGTCGAAACAATGCAAACCCAGTCAAATTTCTCAAATGTGCCTCCGCAGAGCATACCCGGCCCGCCTCGTGAACCTTCTCCTCCACCGCAAGGCTCCGCTAGTTCACCAACATCTTCACCCGACACACCCCAACATCCCTTCAACCTCAGTTCTCTTGGTCCGGCTCTTGAGGCGTAAATATCACGGCGGGCGGATACTTTCCAGTAGCTAAATCACTCAATTGGGAGAACGGGAAGGTTAGATTTTTTTTGAGATTTGTTTATAGTCACCTATCCCGTGACCGATTACGGCAATACGAATAACGACTGTCCCACCTTATCGACATCTTTACGGTTCTAAATCGTCTTTTTTTTCACCGTTTTATTCAGTGTCTGTCTCGATTCATGCTGTCCGTCAGTTACTCAACAAGAGAACAATCACGTGACTGCGCCTGCTCTCCCGAAGCTATTACCTATGATTATCACACTAGGTTGCACGCTTCAATAGCCATCTAACAAGGTATACCAATGTGTGCCAAACTCATTGTTCCTTTTGACCATTCCTCCTATCTCAGGCTTTCATGATCCGCCCCGGCATCGCGTGTCTTACCACAAAAGTCCCACCTTACCACAAAGATCCCACCTGCAACAGCCCTCATTGCGCGCTCTTTTACCATGCTGATGCGTTTTTTTTCAGCATTCTATCATGCGATGCTCGTATATACACTGCCGCTTATTCTTATAGCTTATTATCCTCGTCCGCATCACGTGCCCTAGTCCTGAGAGTTCAGTTTTAATTCCCTTTACTTTTTGCGCACCCGTCCCGCACACAACACTCTCTCCTATCATTCACATCCCTTCATCAAATATCATACGCGTCCATTATTCCCCTATATACACACATTCCCCCGCCCCCTCTCCCGCCCATTACCGCCTCACCTCCTCCAAACCCTCCACCCCCTCCCCTTCTTCCCAGCCCTAAGCTCCTGCTTCCCCTCATCCTGCTCCTCCTTCCCCACAATCCGCAAGAACACCTGATCCAGTGTCGTCGGCGAGATGGAGTAGTACTCGAACCCCAGCTCCTCCTTGTTCGCTTCCAGGAGCGCGAAGAGCGACGCTATTCCCGGCGGAGGTCCATTTCCGGATCTGGCATCTTCATCGACTTCGTCAACGCTCTCGGCGATCTCGGAATCAGTCTCCTTCTCGCCTTCGTCTCGTAGAGTCGAAGGAGGTGGGTGTGTGTACGCGGCTTGCACAACCCGAAACCGCAACTGCCCATGCCCGCCCCACTCCTCCCTGCCCACCCTCTTTTGCCTCCCCTCCTCCACATCCTCGTCCTCCACCACCGCCCCCCTCACATTCTCCCGTATCCACCGTCTCACCTTATCCATCTCCTCCCTCGTCGTCCCCGGCGCACTCCCCAAACACAAATGCACCCCCCACTCGCCCCCCCACCTGCCCCTCAACGCCCCCGCACTCCCCACCGCCAGCATCCTCCCCTTCATAATCCCGACCCGTGTCGCCAACCGATCCGCCTCCTCCATACTATGCGTCGTAATCAGCAGCGCCCTGCCCGGCGCCGCAACCCCCAGCAGCGTCTTCCACATGACCCTCTTCGCGGCCGCGTCCATGCCCGAACTCGGCTCGTCGAGCAACAGCACGGACGGGTTCCCCATGAGCGCGATAGCGAGGGAGAGTTTGCGCTTATTCCCGCCTGACAACGCGCTCGCGATCCGGGCCGCGAACGGCGTCAGCCCCACCGCCGCCATCACAGCCTCCACATTGCGCGCGACGTCCCCGACGCCCCTCACGCGGGCGTAGAAGCGCAGATGCTCGGCCGTCGTCATGGCGTCCATGGCGTCGAACTGCGGACACACGCCCAGCTTCGCCCTCGCGGCCGCTCTATGCGATATGATCGATGTGTCCTCGATGAGGACGTCGCCGCCGCCGTGGTGCGCGGGGCGGAGGTCGCCGCGGATGAGGGAGATAGTCGTGCTCTTGCCCGCGCCGTTGGGGCCGAGCAGGGCGAAGACGGCGCCGTGGGGGATGGAGAAGGAAAGGTCGGCGACGGCGGGGACGCCGGCGAAGGATTTGGAGAGGTGCAGGACGCGCAGGCCGGCGGGGGTGGAGCGCTCGGTGGCGGTGGTTTCGAAGGCGACGTCTGGCGGGAGGGGGTGGGTTTCTTCGGGGTGGGGGAGGCGGTGGCGGGAGAGGAGGGTGAGGAGGGCGGGTTTGTAGCCCGAGTCGTACCAGATGAGGAAGGTTAGGAGGACGAGGGATTGGAGGATGAGGTAGAGGATTGGGCCGCCGTAGACGGTTATCGCGCCGGGGTAGGAGGCGACTTCTTGGCCGCGGCAGAGGAGGGAGAACTCGTTGAGGGCGAGGAGCATGCTGCGGAGGAGGTTGCCGGCGGGGGTGATGGTGGCGAGGATGAAGTGGGAGAGGGTGAGTTCGTGGTTGATTCGGTTTGCAGGGGAGTAGGTAAGGATGCACATGTACCTAGAGCACGGATTAGTTACTATCTGGTTAATTGGCGAAGTCATGGGGCTCACATTATGAAATAGATAAGGTAGAAGACCGCTTGACCTCCAGCAGCGAAAGCGAACGCGGCCAATTGAGAAGTGACGAAGAGCGAAACCACGTATGCGATCAAAATCGAGGCGAGTCCGTAAAGAAAGAAGACCACAAAGAGGTAGCCTGGTGCATACCACGCACTAGATGCCTAGTAGCTGTCAGTACGTAGTCTACGGTGAGAGTAGGTTGGAGAGGAGAGAGCCCGGTGATACGTACTCCTACGAATATCCCAGTTACAATCGCGCTGATAAACAGCACGAACATAAAGTCAAAGGCCAAATACGCCATCCAAAGAGGAGCAGCTCGGATGCCATTGCTATAATGCAGCGCCCTCACTTTCCTTAGCCGCTCCACGGTAGGATACAACGCAAAGAATCCCGGGTAAGCCGCCATCGCTAAGCCGAAATACAAAATCAGCTGGAGCGTCTGTCCAGCACCCGGAGCAAAAGGAACCGCAAAACTTTGATACGCCGTATTGATTGAGATTTGGGTGAGGACACTCGAGAGTGCGTTCTGCGCTACCATAGCATCGACGATGTCGCTATTTCCTAGGTAAGCAATGAGAGGATTCTCGCCAACAGCATCAGAAAGGAAAAAGCCGCCGGGCGTGACGTTGTGGTAATGAGTCGCGATGAAGTCTTGGAAGTCTTCAACGGTGTCGAGCAGGTGGAAAGCGGACGCATTCTGGCCTGACCTCTTGACTATTTCATCAATTGGGACCAGAGACGGAGGTCCGAGTGGGATGAAAGCCGTGCCGTGCTTGGTGTTTAGAGAGAAGACCCTGGGGGTTGTGGACTGTGCGCCCGGCTCGCAGCCTACGGCAGAGAAATTACTAATGAACAATGTCACAAGTCCAGCAGTAATTATTGGAATGAGAACCGCGACGACGTAAGGGAGGTAGTTGCGACGAAGAATAGCGATCCTCTTCATGAACAAGATCCAAGTCTGCTGGGGCATAGTAGTTCCCTTTCCGGTCGACATCTGAGGTCCCTTTTCATCTTGTGACGACCCGTCCAGGATAGGTACTCCATCTAGGTCCTTACGCGACGGATCAGATCGAAGTATGGTAGGCGTATCGGGTTCGTCTTCTCTGACCTCTTCGGCCAGATTGAGGAATACATTTTCGAGCGTAGGCCCACTGATGTCGTAGCCTTGAATTCCCTGTCTTTCAAAAGTATTCACGAGTCGAGATGTCTCGGCAGAGTCTTTCGGTAGGAACGTAGTCTGGTCATAGGACGTTTGTATCGGAATGTCCTCAAACTCTTCAGTAGCGGTGTACTCGAGATTTGCTGGTAGAGTTACTCGGTACCCGCCGCCATGGTGATGCTTCAACTCGACCGCTGAACCTTCCGCTTTCAGATGGCCCTTCGAAAGCACGACGATGTGATCAGACAAAATGTCAGCTTCGTCGAGGAAATGCGTCGTGAGAAGAAGTGTCCGGAGGCCTCGTTCCGCGAGTAAAATGTCCCAAATCTTCCTCCGAGACAAAGGATCGAGTCCGGAGGAGACCTCATCAACGCAACACACTCTACTCCCACCCGTAAACATCATAGCAAGCTGCAATTTCCTTTTTTGTCCTCCGGAAAGCGTTTCCGACTTTGCCTTGAGCTTATGACCGAGATCGCATGCCTTGACAAGGTCCTCGACCTGAAATTTCCCATCGGCCGCGTCCATAGATTTCAACCGGTTGAAAATCTTGACGTGTTCAAAGACAGTAAGCTCGTCCCAGAGCACATTCTTCTGCGGACAAAGGCCGAGTCCTCCGGTCCCGTCCAGCTCGATAGAGCCGCTGGTGATGCTGTTGAGGCCGGAGATCGCATCAAGCGTCGTAGATTTCCCGCTTCCGTTTGCACCCAAGAGCACCATGATCTGACCTCGGCGAGCGGACCAACTTACGTCGTTGACGGCATACACCGTGTTCTTCGTCTTGATTCCAATTCTCGACAGTACCAGGCGTCGGAACCAACTCGGTTGGAAATGCTTAGAAAAATTAGTTAGTTCGATAGCATTTTGATTATCTGGCGAGGAAATGGCCATCTTGCGATCCTTGGATGCGGTCCCATACAGCCATCTCTCGACAAATGCGCCTAGCACGGGGTATAGCATGATCTGGATGATAAGGAAGACCCAGAGGGCGATCCCGGGAAGGTGCCAAGGGCTGTTCGGAGCGCCTTTGACGAGATTCGTAGCGCGAGAAACCTTTTCGAAATGGGCCATGTAGATGATGAAGAATGTGTAGTTCATCGGCGGGAATAGTAGACTCATGACCGCAACTGCGCCAGTGCTGTAGGGTCCGGCGACTTGCGCGATGATGGCGAGGACTATTGACGCGATCGTAATAGTAATCCCGGATAATTGAGCTTTGTGAAAGAAGCTAGCGCCAAATATCGAGAAGCTAGAGAGGGAAAGGCCAGCCAAGATATGGTAGAAGATGGGTATTGCGACCGATGTTGTTGGAAATGCCAACCGTTGCATTATAATAGACATTATGATCCAACCTGGAAGATAGATGATATCGAAAGCGAGATGGTTGGAAAGCAGGCGCGCTGCCTGCGTATGCCAACCCTTCGAAGCTGGAGTCATAGCTTCGATCAATTGAGAGATACCAAGCTCTCGCTCAGACGCCATCTGTCCTGTAAGTTGGTATGTAACTCCGCAGATGCCAATGAAAAATGCCACAGCAAGGATATCGATCAGCGCCGCCATATACAAGTGCCGTACTTCCACATCGCGCTCATGGGCAGTCAGTAATGTGAATGGGTATTCGTCGATCGCTTGAGGCAATTCTGTCTGGTTCAAGGACGCAATTGCGGTGTCGATAGCGTGCTGAAAAGGCAGGATATAGAGCTCAGCGTCGTTATCATGACGATTGACAAATATCCGTTCCCCAAGATTGCCGTCTGCTCTGAGTGTGTAATTCCACATTCCATCTCCGCCTTCGGTAGGCGATGCATGGAAGCTTGCGGCGCCATAGCAGGTGCTGACTCCACGCAAAGAGCTTGGGCAGATCGTGAAGAGCTCTTCGTCTGTTTCGGCGACTCGTACTTTCTTTCCAGCCCTTGTTACAAGCGATGACACGGAGCTGATCACATCTTCAATTTGCCCGCCAGTGTGACCATTGTTGATGAAAACTACAGTGTCCCTGCCTCCTTGAGCAGCGGCCAGCGCATTGTCCAGACTCCGTATTGGGACCGGGGTCCCAATGCCGAAGTCTGAAGGGGGTACGAAGAAATTCTTAGCGTAGGAAATGAAGAACATCTGTGTCGATCACGAGTCAGCATATGCCTATCCAATTCATTGTTCATCTCCCGGACTAATTCACATGAATGGCTCGGCTTGATTTGAGAATGCGGGGATTGAGCCACAGCCCCACGGGGTAGACTGCATGAAAATGTCGGCACTTACAAACAGTATGGGCAAGAAAAACGCTCGGAGAGTAGTCGCGAACCAGTGTCGGACGAATACTATGAGGAGGTTCTTGTACGTGAGGGTCCATGTCTGGCGGAGGAATGCCATCGCGGTGTCGCGTGTCTCGGCCTGCTGCCCGCGCCCGAGCCTCCCGGAGATATCGACGAGGCTTCCGAGGACGTAGAAGCTGGAGAGAAGAGGAGGAGCCCCTGGATTGAGATGCGAAGGGCAGCTCCAGGTTCCGAAGGAGTTCGTTTCTTTCAAGTCACCAGCGAAAACCCCACCACCGCTTCGACAGCTAACAGCACCCCAAGCAATGCCAAACGATAGTATCGAAAGAGTGCAATCTTTTGAGCGTGTGAAAGTACACCTCTATGGCCAAGCTGGAACTTTATTTTGAGCTGTGGTGGGGCTGGGCATAGGTGTGAACCTTGGAAGTGTGTTCAAATTGGCTGGGCGGGGACACATTAAAAAAGAACTCCTCCCTATATCCGTCGCCCCAGGCTTCTGGTAGCCAATAAAGGAATAGATAATGGATTGACGCTAGCAGAAGAGTACGTAGGCCGAGCATGTATGGTTTACATGAGGAAGAGAGGAATCAAGAACGAATGCGATTGCTAAGGAGAGGATGGGAAACGCGGGCTGCAGCAGTTTGAGGCCGCCGCCGCCGAAACGGCGGCAAGCAGGACGCCAATCGATGACGGCTAGGATTCATGCATCAACCTCCCTCGGGACCCTGGTGCCGAGCGTACACCGTGGCCGGGCGTGCCACCCACGCGGGGCACAAAAAAGGCGGCACACCAGACCACCAAAATCAGCCGAATCCTAAAAAGTCCGGCCAATCCATCGATATTCTCAGCCGACACAACTAAATACATTTAGACTATTTTTAGATGGAAACACTCACTTGCTTCGAAATTGTCATTCTGCCTAATTTCAGGGTTTCAGATTGACCTGAAGGCAGTTAAATGAGTTGCGGAAGAAGCCGACCTGTTTTAGTGTGCCACCTTTTCTGTGCCCCGTGTGCCACCACACCACGCCACAACGCCATTGCCGCCGCTTCGAGAGGCGTTAAAGCTGTCCGCGGCGACGTGACAGTTGGGCCCGAGATTGGCGAAAAGGGCGGCGTGCCGTGCACCCACAAGTTCCCAAGCCGGCCCGATACCCACTTACCTCAACTACAACACCATCTCCTCCATCATCGACTTCATCAGATCTATCAGACTAACAAGCTGACTGATGAGCGCCCTCCAGCTCCTCATGACTCGAAGTTGATGCATGTAGCCATGCGCCATCGATCACATCCAGTCGATTCCTTTCTTAGGTAGCCGCGGCAGCAGCAGTGCTGTCCATTGGGCTCAATGTCCTCGCTTACATTCCATCAAGGCGAGAGAATAATCTTCATACCTAGTTCTGGAAGCTTGCAGTACTTGTTCCGGCTGTCCAGACTTCAAGGGCGGGACATCAAAATGAGGTTACTTCAACTTGATCCTTGGTTCGCGTCTACGAATATCTCGTCCTTCGGGTTCAACCAATAGGAACTCACGTTCTTTCGCCATTCATTACTGCTGTGGCATGCTTGAGTCGAGATTGACCCAGTCAGATATAGTCACATCGTGTTTAGCTTATGAGTTGGAGGTCTCGAGTATGTCCGTCCAGGAAGCCGGGCGCACGAGTCACCAATGCGGATGAGCCGTGAATACCGCAATGTCATTTAAAGCAAGACTTTAGAACTTGAAGGCTCAGCATCTTAGTCATGGGATAAGTAAATGACTGTGTCAGTATATGATATCGGGTGATAATAGTTCTTATTCCACGTCGCGAAAAAGCCACATAGAAGCAACACCGTAGTATAAATCATTTCTTTACGTCTTCAACCAGCAGACCAAATTTGAAGTCTTCTGCCACACCGCTTCTATAACTATAACTTCCTCTTGTGCAGTAGCTTCGCAACTCCACAAATCAGCAATATCACCTACCCCTTGAACAATCCGACCTCTTAGGCTTATTCGCCATGCGCTACCTCAGCCTACTCGCAATAAGCTCTCTTTTTGCCTCCCAGGCTCAATCCGGCTGGCCCAAAGGCTGTTACGCATCAGGGCAGCCGTGGTATGCCGAAGATCAAGCCCAAGCATTCCTGCCAACCGTTTGCGACTACCTCGTCAAATTAGGCGGCACTCCCAATTTCAAAAACAAGGACACACGAACGGCACGCCGAACCTTCATAGAGACGAACGTTCACGATGACGGGCAACGCATCCACGATGACAACGACATGAGAGTGTACCAGTTCAAAGTTGAGCTAGTAAAGGGGCAAGGCCAGGCTCTCAGAAAAGACGATTGTGTCGCTGTGATGGGACAGATATTCACGGCATTCACTCTCACCACTGAGCATGATATTGTATCTGGCTGGGGTGAACACAACGAAAGCGGAAGCTTCAGGTATTCGTACGTCACCCTGGTATTGCGAATCTAGTCCCTTAGCTAATATTGATCTCAGCGTGGACCCGGACATGATGCAGAAGGAGAAGTCGGATACTTGGTGCAATATGACCTGGAACAAAGACGGGTCTATGGTGGTCAAACCGCTCTTGCCGCTGAGTCTTTAATCTGCCCGATAGTCCCGCCTCCCCGGAGTCAGCTTTGCATTTTTTCCTTTGTTAGCTTCGATGCCTCATTTTTTCGATTTCTCTGGGTTTATAGCGGCCTGCCTTTATGCTGGATTTAGTTGTAGATACTGTGTTTTGGACTCTTCTCAATTCTAGATTTCTTTTAGCATTCCCAGTGATTTCCTCGATATTCACTGCATTTAATCGTGCTCTTGAGAGAATCCGAAGAATGACAACGTATGCGGAGTCACAGAAGGAGCCACACGCAAAAAAATAACAACGAACAACCTTCGGTTTATAACATATCTGTTATTTATATCTTGTTCAAAGTCCCGGTTCCCCTAAGCCTTCACTCTTCATCACACTTCTACCCTAGTCAAGAACCTCTACTCAATACCATTACTTCTTTCTCATTCCACGTCCAACAACTCATCATGATGCACTACCTCAGTCTCCTCTTCTGCGCGTCCGTTTTTGCTTCCCTCGTACTAGCCAACGGCTATTTCGAGGATGGAGGAGAGCCAGCATTCGCAGTAGAAGAAGCCAATGCCAGCGTCGCAAGCGTATGCAAATACCTCCGAACATATCGTGGGGACACATGGTTCTACAACGCCACCTTAGAAAACCGCACCGCCTGCCGTACCTACTCCAGTTTCGACGAACCCACCCAGAAGACGCTGGACAATTTGGATAAAACGTGGTACTACGAAATCCATCTCATCAGCAACCCTAAGAACGGCCAGAAATAGGGACAAGACGAGTGCGTCACGGTTTAGCCAAATCGGTTAATGCGGTCTGTGAGTGGGGCGCGGATTTTTCGTATACGAATTGGCGATATTTGTAAGCTCCTTTACTCCGAGAGGTCTATAGGCTTTCTGGGCTAATACTTGGGGCAGGGCGGACCCGAATAAGATACCCTGTCAGCAAAAGTGGGCCGATCACAGTCCAGCAGTCGATAATCTCATGAACTGATTTGGATATGGGTGTTCGGTGAGGAAACCTCGTAGTGTAACTGGGGTTGAGACATTCTTCATGCTCATCTTCCTTTCGATTTCCTTTTCAAGCTTGGTAATTTGCGTTGCTTTCCCAAGCTTTCTCCAACAAGTTCTTTGAGAAAATTCTATTCTTGTAGCTTTCTGGCGTTCTTGATTAATGCCAGTAGTTACTCATTTTAGATGCCTGGTTTCGGCTCGATCTTATTTCTATGTTTTTATTAGCATGCTCGGTAATCTCCACGATAATTGCTGTGTTTGATCGTGCTCTTGGGCTGCTTACTCTTATCATCCATAGTCATATTGTGCTTGCCTCGCAAAGCATAGGTCCGGACTTCGGGGGTATGCTTTTCGATATGAGTCTATCACATAAGTCATCGAAGTGGAAGAGCCATGAGCCATAAATACCGCAAGAATACTTTGAGGTATACGGAGTCTGCGCGCCCCTGAATCATCACAAACATACTCCTCGTTTCAGAATAATAGAATGACTGTTCTACATGGCGAAGAATGGCGACGGTCGTTCTGCAAACTAGAATAGTCAACCCGGCAAAGAGAAGTATGAATCACCTTTCTTGAGTCAAATGAGTTTTCGCAGGAATATATAAATCTTTCGCATCCGCTGCACAACATTTTACAATCCATACCCCGTTTACAAATTACAACCTCGAAAGGCCAAATAATCCACCAACTTTTGCGAATCCGTTTATCATCCATTACATCCTACCACTATGAGCTACCTCAGGCCTCTCTTCCTAGCTTCATCCTTTGTGCCGCTCGCTCTAGTGGCTGCATCCTCCCCCCAGTGCTTTGCGAAGGGCCAGGGACAATTCGCCAAAGACGAAGCCACCGCAGCCCTGAACAACGTCTGCGATGAACTCCTCTACGGGGGTTTGGCGCCCAAGCCATCTGTCGATCTCCAGAAGACACAATCAACATGCCGCACCTTCCCAGACTACCCAGGCAAGGCATACCAGTTCACGATCGAGCCCCTCATGGCAGCGGAACACAAGAAACTCACACACGATGATTGTGCCACGTTATTGTCGGATATTTTGGATGAGTGCGCACGTGGAGGCTGGGATCGTACCGACCATGGCGAGTTCGAGTTAAGGTACGCGCCAGTGTTCGAAGACTTCTACCTCTGTAGCTAACGATGATTTCAGGGCCGACCCACAAGGAACGCAGTGTTGAACGCAGGGACGATCAGGAATGGCAGTGGCCGGGAAGAGGCGACGTGGTCTTATCTTTCTCTTCGAGTCTCCGAAACTTGCGAGGGACCTTGTATCTTCATGTGCTTATTCTTAAGGAATCTTCCACAGTGTTGGGTCTTTCTGGCTTCCTGGCTTTCTACTTCTTGACTCTTGGTAGTCGTAGACATCATGTTTCGAGCTGTATAGAAGTCATCACGGGCTCGTGCACGCTACGGGCTCGTGCACGCTTTGATCACGCATCACCACCAACTTCAAAGCCTCACAACTCAATCAAATATGAATGGATTTCTACCAAATTGAAATACAAGAGCCTTTTGGTGTTTCACTTTCATTCTATAACCACCACGGAGTCGTCGTGCCATTTGGGGGGGTTGCGCATTCGCTGAGGCCGGCCAGAGGTCGCCTTCACAACCCCATCCTCCCCCTCGCACTCCTGCTCAGCAGAAGGCTCCTCAGGAATAGTGAATACAACCGTCTTAGCCTTCTGCTTCTGCTGCATCAATTTGCTCTTCTCTTTGAGCTGCTTGTTGAACTCACGTGCATAATGAGCCTCATCTGCAGCGCGCTTCTTCTCGCCCTCAGCATCTAGCTGATGCTTTTTCTTAGTAGCTTTGCTAGCCTTCGTCATTTCCTTAATTCTTTGCTTGTCATCCTTTGCTAGCTTCCTGCGCACCTTATCCTCTGCCTTGCGAGCAATATCAGCTTCCTTAGCATCCTTCTTCTCTTAGTAGAGCTTATGTGCCTGCTGCACCTTATTAGGTAAATAGATAATAGCTCTACCACTATTATTAGAGGCTAGAATCTAAAAGAAATTCTTCTACTTCTTCCTCTTCCTCTATTCTATCTTAAACGCTTCCTGGTAGCCTTAAATATAGCTTTAAAAAAGTAAATTAGTTGCTATAAGCTTATAAATATCCTAGGTAAAAGCCCTTACTTATCTATTAGTCTTAGATTAAACTATATCTTCTACCACCTCTTTTAGCCGGGTTTCTATCTTTTTCTAATTACTAGCTGTAAGAATTAAGTTTATAAAGTTGCTAAAAAATAGGTTTTTTTTATTTTTTTTCTTTTTAATATTAAATTAGTCTAATACTATATTAGGATCCTAGGGGTGTATACTAGTCCTTTTCCACCTACTAGCTATATTCTTTAGTATTATAGCCTTCTCCTATACTATCTAAAACATCCTAAAAAAGTTCCTTTTTATAAAGTATAAAAATTCTTTAGAATTTAAAATAAACCGGTTTAATTTAGTTAAGTAGTAAATAGCTAGAGGAGAAAAAAGAAAAATATCTAGAGGCTAAAGCCGGTAAGTTAAATAAGAAGAATAGATAGCTAGGAGAATCTTATTCTTATAATAGTACTTAATAAACTTTATATTTATATAAAAACTGTGCCTATTAATTATCACGGTCTTGGGCGGCAGAATTGCCCTAGCTAGCTCGGGCAGGTAGGTAGAAGTAATAACTGAATTCACTACGTGTTCTATAATGCACGGCAGGCAGGCGGGTTGAATAACAAGACGTAGCTTAAGGAGCTATAAGGAGGCAGGGCGGCGGTCGGCAGGTATACTCCTGCCAAGGCTCGCATAGGCCCTTGCAACAAGGCCTCTCGCCGGGTCCTAACATCACGTGTTACGCTGTGCAGCAAGCTTCACCGTTCAAGCCGTGACAGTACTCCCCTCCTTACGGCCGAACTCCGTTGAGGCCTAAGGACCGGGCTTTTCAGGGTAACGGCGGTGGAACAACCGGATAGCTTCCTCGGCATGTTCCAGATAGTCAGCGGGCTCTTCTGTGACTTCGTTGTATCCGGTCTACTTCACCGTGTACTTCAGGCGGGGGCGGCCACGACCGCGACGCTCCCATCGAGAGTCGACAACTTCCTCAACTTCCTACTCCTCCAAGCCTTCGACTTCAACTGGCGGCGGTGGTTCTTAACGCTGGCCGGGCAGCAGATTATTCGCGGCAGGTTTTAGTAAACTAACGTGGAAGATATTATAGTTGCGTATGCTCTCCGGTAAGGTTAGGCGGTATGCATAAAGGCTAACAACCTTCTCTACGCGGAATAGTCTAAGATTCTTCTAATCTAGCTTCTTCTAGGGGCGGAGGGTTTTAATATTCTTAGTATTTAACTATACTAAGTTGTTAACTTAATAGTTATAAGCAGGGCAATAGTTACAGTTTGCATTATCTTTATATTAGGTATAAAAGGCAGTAAGTTTAGACTTTAGATATTCTAGAATCTCTTTTATATACTTAGTAAAGCGCTTAGTATTTCTAGTAGGCAGGCGGGTTAATAGTTTAACTGGCTTAAAACCTAGATATAGGTAGAAGCTATAGTTTATAAAAAAGGGGGAAATATAGGTGCTTTTAGAATTTATAGTATTAATTAACAGTTTAGCTAAAAGCAGCTATTTAGCCTAGTTATTCTATAAATAGAATATATATACCTGTAAGTACTATTCTAGAATAGTATTAGCTTTTTTAGTCTAGCTATTAGTTTTAGGGTAGTATATAGTTAATAGTAGGCAGTTAATTCTTAGGCAGCTAGTTAGGTATTTCTAGAATTTAGCTATAAACTAGGGCCCTTAGTTAGATATAATAAAGGCAGGCAGGCTATATAGTTTCTAGATATTTTTTAGGAAAAGTTTTATAATATCTTCCGTATTATAGGTTCCTTTATAGGTAAAAAAGTGTTTTATTTTAGTTAGGCGGTCTACTATAATAAGGATTATATTATACTTTCCGCTACGCGGTAGGTGTATAATAAAATCTATTAATATATTATACTAGGCTCTTTTAGAAATAGGCAGCAGCTTTAGAATACCCTAGTAAGCTTTTTATAATAGAGTAGTTCTTTTATATATTTAGTAGTTCCTAACCTAATAGTCTATATAAAGTAGTATTCCGGGCTAGTAGTAACTATAGGCTATTAGGCTGTATATTTTAGATCTTTTAGAGTAGCCGGTAATAGCGTTTCTATAGTATATACGCAGAAGTTCTACCTTTAGTTTATTATAGTTGTCACGGTATCGACCGCGACACCCTACCTACCGAAATTCTGCCGCAGATTGCTACAACTCCAGCAATCTGCACCGGCCTACTACCGTTGGCCGGCCTCCTGCTCTGCCTGCCCTGCTCCGCTCCCGTCTCGCTTCCGCTTCCTATCCTGTCCCGCTCCAGCCACCTACTGGCTGCCCCCTTTTCCTATCACCTGATCTGGTAAGGACCTCGCGTACACGCGTGCCACGCGCCGAAACGGCATAGAGGCCGTACGCCACGCGCTCGGCCACGCCCTTATATCCGGTGGCCCGTCTCCCGTCTTCCTGTTCCTTACACAACGTCTTGATTCTCCACGTAGCATTGTACATAGCACCTAATCAACGCTCCTCTTTAAGCCCTCGACCTCTTGCGTGTAGCGCTATCGTGACAATAGTTAGGTATATATAGGCAGTTCTAATAGTATAGGTATCTATTTTTTTTCTAGTATTTAGCTAATATAAGCTTTATATAATAGCAGTATTCTTTTTCTAAGGCTTTTAAAACTAATAGCAGAACAGGGTCTTTTTTATATACTATTTTTAGCAGAGCGGTAATTATAGAGAGTAGTTCTATATCTTCCTTAGTTTTTTATTTATCTTACGGGGTGTTATCTAGAGAAGTTAGTAATAAGCCTTTTTACCGGGTTTTTACGGGTGCTAAAGCTATTATTTTAGCTTTGTTTTTAAAAGTTACTTTTTTTATAGTTTTCTTTTCTATTTTATTCTTAAAGTTTAATTTCTTTAGAATTATCTAGCTCTAGTAGCGGAAACGTTTATTCCTTTTCTTAGGCAGGTTCTCTAACCTTCTAGTTAGAAAATTAGGCTTTACCCTAAGTTTTCCAGGTTAATATATAATCTTAAAGTTAAAATAGAATAGGAATTTAGACTAGCAGGCCTAGCAGCGGTTTAGTAGTTTTATTATTATAAAGTACTCTAGATTATAGTAGTTAATAATAACTTTAATAGGTAAGGCGGCGCCCTTAAACTCTAGTTTCTATTTTTTAAAGTATTAAATAATAGTAAGCAGTTCTTTATTATATATTTTATAGTTATATTCTATAACTAAGTGCTTTTTTAAGAAAAATATAATAGAGCGCAGGATTCTGTTATTTCTATACTATAATAAAACGCTAGCTAAGATATAATTAAATGTATTTATTTCTATAATAATAGGCTTATTCTAGTTAAATAGTGCTAGAACAGGTGCAGAGGTAAAGGCTTTTTTTAATTTAGTAAAAGCTTTCTAACAGGCAGTATTCTATATAAAGGCAACGCCCTTTTTTATTAGGTGTACTAGCAGAGTAATAATCTTTAAAAAGTTTTTAATAAATTAGCAGTAGAAGTTTCTAAATCCTATAAAAGCTTATATATTAGTTAGGTAAATTAGTATTTTCTAGTTTATTATAGCTTTAATCTTTTCTAGATCTATTTATAAGCTGTTAGCTCCTATAATAATACCTAGGAATATTATTTCTTTAGTAAAAAACTTATATTTCTTAATCTTTATATAGAGTTCTGCTTTTTATAGCAGTTTTAGTATAGTGCGGATATACTCCAGGTATTTAGTTTAGTTCCGGCTGTAAATTAGAATATTATTTAGGTAGGCAGTATAGAAAATATTAAAATACTCTTGCAGAGTATTATTTATAAATTATTAGAACGTTGCAGGGGCTCTGGTAAGCCTAAACGGTATTACTAAGGTTTTAAATAGTTCTAGTTAGGTTTAAAATATAGTAAGCTATTCTTAACCCTTTTTTATATATAGGTTATTAAAGGCAGATATAATATTAATTTTTATAAAGTACTTTATCCCCTTTAGGTTGCTTAAGGTTTCCTTTATTAATAGTAGTAGGTAGCGGTTCTTAACTATTATAGTATTTAGCGCTTAGTAGTTAACGCAGAAGCAGAGGCCTTTTCTAGGCTTTTTTATAAATAATATAGATAATATAGCAGGTAAGGAGCTAGGGCGGATAAATCCTTTTTTTAGATTATCTGCTACCTATTCTTTTAGAGCTATTAGCTTATTATAGGATATTAGGTATAAGGGTGTAAAAAAGGGCATTTTTCCTTTTTTTAACTTAATTTTATAGTTATATAGGCAGTGCGGTAGCAGGCAGTTAGTATTTTTAGGTAAAAAAATATTAGTAAACTTTTATAGTTCTTTAGGCAGGCGGTTTAGGTTAAAGCCCTTTTTTTTAGATAGGATATAGTTAATATTATCTAGTAATATAGAAAAGAGTTTATATCCTTTTTATAGGTAGGCGCTATATACGCGTAAGGAAACAGGTGCTATATTTTTCCCTTCTAGGTTTTTTAGTGCAGGCGGCAGGTATTCCAGGCAGTTTTTTTTTAGAATATTAGTAATTCCTTATACACGTGTTGCTTTTTATAGTAAGTTGCAGTATTTATAATAGTACTAGCTTATAAACTATAGTATATTGCGGGACTAGTCCGGTATAGGATTATACAGGCGTAGCTACAGGATTTCTAGAATAATTAGGTAATAACTTAGTTTAGTTACCTCTATTTAAATAGTTTCTAAATATTTAGTTACCTCTATTTAAATAGTTTCTAAATATTTATTTATC